ATAGAGCATGATGACAACAGTACTTGCCGATCCGAGGAGAAAAGCTGCGAGGATAAAGAAGAAACAGAGGATCGGTTGTGAAGCGACTGATTGATGACGATGATAGGTTCGTGGTCGCTTGGTGACAACGGGAAAACGGTCGTTGATATGTGTTGATGATGAAGTGGTCACGTCGTGATGAGTCTGTTCGTCGACGTCGTCATCATCGTCGGCAGCAAGAAGAAGTGCTGCGTTTTCTTCATTACGTAAAGGCAGCATGAGTAATTATCGTTTGGTTCAACAAAAGTTGCTTATGGAGATTCTAAAAGAGAGCATAATGGAAATTGTATATCGTAAATGCGTCGTTTACGATCAAAGGGTAAAGTACGAAGAATAGTGCGTATTTTTCTGTTCGGTTTATTAACGTGGCATTGGGAATGAGTACGGTAAACTTCTGACACTAAACGATCGTCATCACCATAGTAGCTAAATTGTGCTTTTTTATTGCTCATCAAGTCAACTGCGATCTTTAAAAGAATTCGGACGAATGACAAAGTTGACGTGACTAGATGGCGCATTTTGACTGCTGTAATGTATATTCTTCGAAGATTATGTTTTTGTAAATTTACTTAGCAAGAACGTGCAATCACTTTCTCGGTATTTTTATTATCGCTGATGGTTTCGTTTCACGTCCGTTATAACTATTGCAATATCATGTTTTCATGTCACATACTGTTCCGTGTCTCGCTCTTCCTGTTTGCTTTAGAAAAACTGCAGGTTTTCCTTTTGCCATCTGTTTTAATTCTTTTTTTTTCTTTACCCTCTAAGTTTTGTGCGTGGTTTCATCAGTAGTGTGTCGCGCTATACAATGAATACATTAGATAAAATATCATTAATCGTTAACAAGAACTGTGACATCATTCCGTTAACTGTCAAACTTGTTTTTGCTTACTTTACAATGATCCAACGACTGAGTTCTGCGATCATTCAAAAAACATTCGTGAAAATCAATAGATAGTATTTCTTTAGTAAATTGAACAATAAATAGATTTAGATCATCTAGATATGTATTTAAACGAAACATTACACAAGTAAAAAGGCGTTGTACCAGAATTAGAAAGCCTCCTGAGCTGAAATCTTCGACTTTGACCATGTTTAATACAACATATAGGCAAGATTTTCTTTATGGAAAGGTGATAAAGGGAAAAAGTGAGAAAGCTGAGAAGGATGACAAAGAGATTTGTAGGAGAGTTGAGAGAAAAACAAACATTAGTATATGCATAATTAAATTATCTTTCAAATCAAACTGGAAAAAGCGATCACAGACTTACAGATACATTACAATTTGTGCTCCATTCTTCAGTTTGAATATATCAATTAGACGAGGTTGATCTGAGTCTTACATCAATTTTCATTAAAGTGGAAATACTCTTTTCTTATCATCATGTGATGGGAGAAACCAGGGCCTCCCATTCTAACGCATGGAATGACAAACATTCCATTGAGAACCCAAACACTGATAACAATCGCAATATTCCTTTCATTTTTTTTCCACACTTCGCATCCTAATGATATTAATTTAGATAAAACCGCAAAAGACTGGAATTCAGAAACGAACGACAACAAGCTTCAATATTTACGCATTCAACTACGCCATCTAGTTTCGGCCGCTATCCGATTCGTGTTTCATCCTTTGCTCATGACAATTTCTTGATTGTTGCAGAATAAAATTGAAATCAAGCGTTACGCTGATTCTCTAACTGAAGCTTTCAATAAATATCCAATGCATCAGTTAGGACACCAAGAAAAAGCAGCACTTCTTCTTGCTGCCGACGATGATGACGACGACGTCGACGAACAGACTCATCACGACGTGACCACTTCATCATCAACACATATCAACGACCGTTTTCCCGTTGTCACCAAGCGACCACGAACCTATCATCGTCATCAATCAGTCGCTCCACAACCGATCCTCTGTTTCTTCTTTATCCTCGCAGCTTTTCTCCTCGGATCGGCAAGTACTGTTGTCATCATGCTCTATCGAATGTCTCAGGAAGCTGAACGTACTCGACTAACGACCCCAGACATCAATCCACAACGTTTCAATGTTGACCTGTCCATCCAAACAAAGCTGTCCGAATCTCTCACGACGAGTAACTTTGTAAATATGAGTTCCGTCGATAGTGAAGATAATGCTGCAAACAAGCTGTTCGAGACGTGGCAATCGCTGTCACCATCACTGGATCGTGTGAATAAGTTTTCTTACGACGTCATGCTCTCCAAATATGTAGAATCGTCTGCGTGGAATGGAATCCAACTACTCGATGGCCAAAACAATACAGAACTTCTGAAGATTGATCGCCTGTCAACGAATGAACTCATCTCATTTTCGTCGTTAGTGAAGTCGGGAACAGTTGATGGGAAATTCGTGTACTATGTGAACTACGGACGACAAGAAGACTTCGCTCATCTCTTTAGGAGCGGTATTTGGGCCTCCCAACGAGCACAATCAATTATTTTTATGCGTCGACGATCGTCGGTCATTTCTCAGACTGAACAGATTTATCAAGCCATCTATCATGGCTTTGGTGGCTTAGTTCTCTTCGATGACAATGTTAATCAATTACCAGCAGCATCAAATGGCCGGAACACCTTTTATAACGAATGGAGACAACAGTTCGAAACTAAAAGTAAAATCCGTCTGACTCCAAGCGATAGTCATATCACTGGTTTTTTAACATAGGTGGTGATGATTTTCTCTACAACAGACTGAAGAATACCGACCATTCGATATGCGTGTTGACTCTTTCGTACGATGACGTTCAACGTATCTTCGGATCTCTTCAGCCCGATTCCAATCAGTGGTCAACTCCTCCACTCGAATGGCACAATCAATCCACACTGATGAAGATCGGCGGACCGCTCACAACTATCAAACTCAGACTCGTTGTCAACGTGGAACAAGTCAAAGTCGAGCTCCCAGTCGTCATGAGTTCGATTCGTGGTTCGATCGATCCAGAACACTTTGTCATGATCGGACATCAACTCAACTCAGCTCAGCAAAATCACATTGTCAATCAGATCGTTCAAACTTATGTCAATCAGATGAAAAGTGGATGGAAACCAAAGTAAGTGTTGTAGTACAACACCCTCAAGATTGACGCATCTCTCATTTTGTAGACGATCGATTTTATTCTGTGGTTGGTCTGGATTGAGTTATGATCGATATACAGGTAGAGAGATGGTGTTAATATTTCAATGAATGTTTTCATAGTCTATGTCATATGTAGTCCGTCGATGGATTTCGGAGAATTCTCTGTTGATTGATCGACATATGATTGCTTACCTCGATCTGGGTAATAATATCACTGGTAATTCGATTCTGAATCTACATGGATCACCATTGTTGGAACAGATAGCATTTCGTGCTGCTAATTATGTTATAAGTCCTCTCGAACATAATCAAACATGTCATCAGCGATCGATGACGACAACGATGGCGAATGAAGAGAATCATCACCATGATCACAGTCGAAGACGACGACGACGACAAGATGGGGATGATCATGGTCATGAACATGAAATGAAACGAAAACAAGTAGAAGAAGAGAAATGTGAACGATATAAATTGTTGGATGAATGGATAAAAGCAAATCGAAATCGAAGTTTAGGAATTGTACAAAGTATTGATGTTGAATCATCAGCATCAATATTTTTCCTGGAATATGGAATTCCATCAATTGTAATCGAAATGACAAATGAAAAGGTAAATTCAACAAGCATCGGGTATATTCGAGAACATTCTCATCTTTTCTTTTCTTTTCTTTTCTCTTCTTTTCCTTCGTCTCATACAGAAGCGGAAGAAATGAAATGAGAAACTCTTGAAAACAAAGATTAGTTAAGATTCGACTGGTATTGATCTGTTTTCTTTTCGAATAGGGTTTATCAAGTGATACATTTTATGTTCGTCATGAACGACCTCTATTTTCATCTGAAAATATTCAACCTGAGGTGTTTGTTGCGTATACACAATTCATTATCGAATTCATTCGACAGTTGGTCGATGAACCACTGATTTCATTCAATTTAACGAATTATGCTGATCAACTTGATAAATTAGTACCGGAATTTGTTGAACATCATAAGAGAGGATATGAATCTGTCGCTTATCACGTTGGTGAATCAAGTAAAAATACATAAAGAAGATAATTGATGAAATGACATTTCATTTGTTTTCTAGAAGAGTTTACGAACATCTTGAATGAATTGATAAAATCTATTCGACAAGTTCAATTACATATTGATCAAACGTCGAAAACTGAGTACGAATATCGAGAATTGAATAAAGATGAAGATGATTAAATTCTCTTTTCTACTTTTAGTTATTTTCTATTACAACTTCTAAATGAACAACTCATTGAATTCGAACGTTTATTTATCAGCAAAGATCAACTTTATGGAATGAATTCCGAAAAGAAAATCTTCAAGTAAGTTCATTTGGAATTTTGTGAAGATTAACTAATGTTGATATTGGTTTAGACATGTTTTATTTGGTCCAGTGATTGGACTAACGAATACAATTGTTCCATTTCCATTATTATCGAATATTCTTTATGGATTACCAGGTGATCCACCTACTGAACTATGTGATGCTTCACGATTTTATTGGTTGAAATTAAAGGATCATATTTTACTTGTGAATCGAACAATAAATGGATTTGATGGACTTTTAACAAAGAGCAAATGACTGTGATCAGAAACAGTTGATGATCTTAGTATTTTTTGAAGTTTTTTGTCAGATGTTGCTTTTTCTCCTTAATTATTGAAAAAAATTACGTATTTTCTGCCTTCTGTCCGCAACGTAATTCTCGGTAAAAATTCTCAAAGAATAAGTATCTGTATTGCTATGCATTGAGTACGGTGTTTCGAAATGAAACTACGAATGAGTAGAAGGTCGATCTGAGGTTGATTAGGAAAAATCCTCATACATTGTCTTCTCTGTGATATAAAGAAAAGATTTTATGAAAACAATACAGGATTATCTTTTTTTTTTACAATTTATAATGAAATCATCTGGAATTGAATACTTAAGAAGTTGAGTTTTGTATAGTTGTGTGTTCAAGTAATGTGGGAATATTTTATTTGACTTTTTTTCTGCGTGTATGCAGAATAAATGAATCGATTGACATTTTGCGCATGAACAGTCTTCAATCTCATTATTTGAAAAAAAAGGGTTTCTCTTTTCGAAAGGACGAACGGAAATTTCGATAGGGCGATTGTATAAACAATGTGAAAACCGGTGTTCGCTGGATTGCAAGTATAGTCTAATCGTTAAATTTTCGAATTCTATATAATCGCAAACTATTTTCAGTTTATTTAAATAAGTGTTAGACTGATGAATATGTATTATGTGAAAAAAGAATGAAACTACGTTGATAAAAATAAGAACTGTTATTTACTTTTGTGGTTTCACTGAACTATGACTTTGAATTAAATTAGCATAGATTGGTAAATGATCACCAAGTATTTTTCCGAAACCTTCAACATCATTTCGCCAATCACGCTGTAATTCAGATCCAGCTGCAAACCAATTAACTAACTGTGCACCAGCATTTTGCATTCTTAACCATGCAGCATCACGTACAGCTGCATTGAATGTTCCACTACAATCCGTAACGACAAATACCTCAAAACCTTCTTCTAAAGCTGATAATGTTGGAAATGCAACACAAACATCAGTTACAATGCCAGCAATGATCAATTGTTTACGACCAGTTGCTTTAACAGCTTTCACAAAATCTTCATTATCCCATGCATTGATTTGTCCTGGTCGGGCGAAATAAGGCGCATCAGGAAACATGTTTTTCAATTCTGGCACCATTGGTCCATTGGGTCCTTGTTCAAAACTGGTTGTAAGTATCACTGGTAATTTAAAGTATTTTGCGATATCAGCTAATGCCAAGAGATTATTTTTGAATTCATCTGGACTGTAATCGCGTACCAAGGAAAGAAGGCCGGATTGATGATCGACAAAAAGTACAGCAGCTTTGTCTTTGTCTAATCGATTGTATTTGAAAGACATGTCGATTGTTTTGATTTTTGTGGTTATTCAGTGAAACGACGAAAGAAGAAATATTTGAGAACGTATTTAAGAGGCAGGAGATATTTATACTCGCGCGAACAAGTAAACATTCATCATATCATGATACGTCACAATGAGTATATTTAGACGAAACAAAAGAAATGCTTGATCAGCATGAATGCGCATTCTTCGTTTTATACATTGATCGTAAATAAAAACAAAATCGCACATCTATTTTTTCCCGCATATACCGAATGAGAAGACATTTTTTATCGTCCGTTTCTATCAGAATTTATTATTTGACTTGAATTACATAAATAAATAAATAAATAAATTTTCTTTAGATAAGAATACGTCTCTCAGCATCAGATAACCTAGTTGACGGTGTTGATGACGAACTTGTGGAAATATTCACATCTCGAATAGGAATATCCACGTGATCTTCTGAACTGAACAACTTTGAAGTTAAATTCGATATTTCATCTAATTCTGGATCGCTTTCATTATTATAATTTTCACGATATTTTGCTGTTTTCGGACAGTTAATACTGGATGACTGAGTCAAAGTTGGTAAACTGTTGTACAAGTTCTTCCGTTTTCGTTGTGGATAACATAGAGAGATTGACGACGATGACGATGTTAAAGTCGAATCAGCATCATCAATTGTTGATGACGAATATTGAGTGATATCAACAGTTGGATCTCGATGATCTCGAAATTTCGACAAAACATTTGAATCATTCAGAATTGTTGGAGTCACAAAAAGCGATTTCGGTCGAAATCTATTCGTTGTTTTCGTTGGAGATACGTGTGTACGATGTGCTGCTATTGGTTGTTGAGATGATGTGAAAATCACATTGGGTTTTTGAGGAGATGTAAAATACAACGGAGACGAATTTACAGGTTTTAATGGAGTTACATGAATTTGATGTACAGTACTGAAAAATACGAACGAATTACGTAGGTTTTCTCTCAAATGAGATGTAGTGATAATTAAATTGGTAATAAAGTTCAGTATATTCTACTCGAAAAGCAAAAGTGTCCTTCAAGTCTACCTGTCACTTATAAGAGAAAAAAAACACGCAATTGCCTTTTACCTTGGAGATATTTTTGCTTCATGTTGATCATGGAGAATATTACTCAAAAATTGTCTCGTTTTATCTTCAACTGATCGATTATTTACATCATGTAAAAGACATTGAGCTGATTGTTTTAAATTTCTAAAGAACAAATACCAAAATTGAAGATTTTCCCATAGAGAGTCGAACGAAATTACTTGAACTGTTGTTCATAATGTGACAATTGCTTTTTCTGTTGTTTTATATTCGATTCTAATTGATGATTTTGGTTGAATACTGTTGCCAGATCATCGTAAACATGATATAACTTTTCTTTCAGAAAGATAATTTCTTCACGTAGGAGAAAATGATTGTCCGTTGAAATCCATTCTGTTCGTTGTGCGACTGATCGAATGTTCTTTCGAATAAACAACGGACAGAAAGGTTTTGTGGAAAAATTGACGTCTCTTCTTACTTGTTGAGTTATTCGTTGAATGAGTTGTACATGATTTCGTTGTAAATGATCGAATTTGTCTTGTAAATTCTGACATTTACTTTTCAATTGTTCATTATGCAACGATAATTGTCGACATTGAGTTTGATTTGTATCGAATTTCTTCTGTAAATCCACATCTATAGAACATAATCATCCATATAATAGAATTCGATCCGAATGTTGAACTTACATCGATCGTCACTTCGACGGATTAGATTATATTTATAGAGATGACTATTTGTTGTTTGTAATTGTCTTGATAAATGGAGAAAGATGAAGAATAATAAGAAAGAAATCGAAAAGAATTTTTACCTTCGAAGTTCGAGTATTTCGCTTCGTAATGGAACTAAAGATAATTGAAATTGAATATCATTTTTTGCATAGGACATCGCTACTGAAAGACAATTTTCAAGCTCATTCCAAAGGAAAAGACTTTCCTTATCTAAACAATTAATAATGATTAGAAAGAGAAAAGAAAATGGAAGTTTTACCGTTATGATGCGATCGAATTTGTTTAGAAATGATTCGTATTCGTGACAGAGAAGTGAGGAAATGTTCAAGAACGGAACGCGTCTGTTCTTTCTGCATGAGATTAGATTTTAATGAGCCAAGATCACTACACGATGAACTACGGATGAATTCGTCTTTAATTGAACTACGCGAACATGATTTTGCCGAGATTTTATTTGTCGGTAATGATGATATTAAATGTTGTCGAGTCGTTTGACATGGAGAGGGCTGCTTACGAGATTTATTTGGACTGAGGCGATTTTTCGATAAGCCGGAGTCCTAGAAAAGAAAAGAAAAGAAAAGAAAAGAGAGACTCATCTTATCTTTGTCAACGATTTTCATCTGACATCTGAGAAGAAGTTTAATTATATGCAAAATGGAGATATTTCTTTTTTTTAATGGATTCCTTTCAAGTCACGCACAACATCTTTTAAACAAAGAAAGAATGATTTACTTCTTTTTCTTTTCATTTTCATTTCTCGTTCAATTCACACATTTAGTATTCTTTTCTTTTTGCAACAAACCTCGACTGTCGAATGGGAAGGTCTTTGCGGTGAATAGAATGATCGTCGTTCATGCTTGTTTGTTCCATTATGCTTATCTACAAATCGGATTATGTATTTTCATTCGTTTTCCTCTTGTTAAGCTTTTGTGTTTTTAAAGTGGATAAACATACTTGTTTTAATGAAAGACGTTTTCGTAATCGTTATTTTACTACTCTGTTTTTTTAGTTGCCTATTTGTCGACGAATTTTGCTTTTCTTTTCGGCTGTCTTTATGAACAATTGGTGATGAAGAATCTCGACGTGATTCTTTAAAGAAGTGTGATTCAAAGAAAAACGTTCTCACGAAAACAACTTATTCAACTTACTTTGTGCGTTGACGATACTTCGTAAGAGTTCAGCACATTTATCAAACTCTTTATTTGTTTGATAAACAAGTGTTTTCGACATGAAATTCGCTGACTAGAGAAATCGTTTGTGGCAATTCCTACTGAACTATCGCGATGACATTCTATAAGAAGAAGACGACGAAAGAAAATGAAAAAGAAGAAAAGATTAATCTCAATGTTACCTCTTCAGACAAACGGAAATCGTCAGTTTCATTTCCTTGGTTCTTTTCAAACATATCAATTTTCATAAATAATATCTACAATTATCCAAAAAGAGAGAACAAACCACAAAAAATTGTTTTATTAGAACATGGGTTCAGTGATTTCCTCGATTGAGTAGAGCGGATTCAGACATGAGAAAGCACGCTTTTGAAAGTTTAACGATGTGAAAGAGAAATGAATCAGAATTGATTTGTGAAATTGGACTTACCTTTGCCGCAGAATGAATGATGAATAGAACACTTGTTTGATTTTCCCTCTTTTTCGGTTTTAAGGTAAAGTTTCTCGGAATGAATGAATCAATGAGTGTGTGTGTACCGTCTCGTTAACAAATGTAAAGAGAATTCCAGTTAATATGATGAAGAGAACACTTCATTCATCATGTTAAATATTTGAAAAAAGAAAAATGACGATGGAAGAGAGAAAAACGTATAATAACGAGATGTTTGCTGCGAACAACGTGTGTATGAAAGAAGAGAGAAAACGAGACGGTAGACCATTGTTTATCTTCATTCTCACTCTCATTTAGCATACTGAAGATAAAAAAAATGTGTGTTCACAAGTAAATGCTCCAAGCGACTATATGTATAAGTACATAGGACATTTTGTTTCTTTGATTAAGTACAAAACGAATAAGTAGAAGCAACAATGGTAGTCATACAAGTGCATTATGTACACTACTTGACGTCAGTTTGAATTCAAATCCAATATGTTCAAATTGATTGTTAGAAAGAGAGAGAGAGAGGAGAGAACGAAGAACGATTTATGCAAATGTTGACACGTTTTTTTTCTTTTAGTAAAAATGAGTTTCAGGAATATGACGAAATTCATCTGTTGTTGTGAAAAAATGAAGAATATAGAATTGCCTTTTTGAATTTGAAAAGGATTATATATCGTTCTACATTTCCTCGACGATTTTTTTCATATCAAATAGAAGTATTTATATCCAATCGTAAATAATCGAAATCATGATGAAACAAAAAGATTTATTATGCGAATAGACGTTGTTAGGATTTCTGTGACCAGATGGAAATTTTATTTATAAAAGTTAGATTCTATTGATTGTCTGTTGTATTTTGACGAATGGTTATCAATTTACGACGTTCGTCTTTCGTATACGGAGGCCGAGGACCATTCCCATACGCAAGAGAGACAATTGCACTTTGTCCGTTGTTTAATTCAATCTAAAGTAGAAGATAAACAAGAATTACGAAGTAATCGATTCGTGATTCTGTACTGGAAAGTCGAGATCGTATCCTTTGACAGTTGAATGTTCAATATTTGCCGGTTGAATCGAATGTTTTGAAGGTAGATTGGGATATTCATCCCGTAGTTTTTCTTCGATTACATCGCGATACTACAAATCGAAAAGATTATTTTCAGATGAAAAAATACGTTAAAGAAATAACCAATTCAAATCTCTGTTGATACCACGGATTTGTTGCTAATGGTGATGTCGGAGTAGTTGGTAAAGTTGTTGCGCGTGTTATTGGTGGACGCGACGGTTTAGTTGCCGTTTCATTCATTTGATTGTCTTTAGTCACTGATGTTTCACTCATTTTAGGATTGTATTCCAAATGAATAATTATTCAAATGACGATATATGCATATTTACCACCAGATGTAATATGCGCGAGAGAATACAATAAACAAAACAAAAAGAGAGAAAAAAAATAACTTCTTTGTTATTCTTAATTATGCACACCTTTCATGCTTTGTGAATATATTAAGAAAAGAAGACGACAAATGATATTTTGTTTCTTAGACGTAAAAACAATTGCGATTCGATTATTTGAGAATATTGTTGTTTGACCTTATGGTAAATGATGACTAATGAGGGAAAGAGTCGATCAATTAGTTCGTTCGTTCATCTAACGACGCGCGTAACATTTCATTGTCTCAATGTGTATTTCTACAATTTCTATCGTCATTTGCATTGCTTTATCCGATTTACAATTCATAACTACTGAAACACTCTATTGTAGTATTCATTTCATCGTTGATTATCCACTATGGTCATTGGTATTCTCATTTCTTACGAGTTCAGCTTTTCTAAGACATTATTTCATCGTTTAGACATACACGACACGAGCAGATCATGATTATTTTCGAACAAATACATTACTTTCCACTTATATCTATCGAAATGTCGAAGGTTTAAATGAACTTTATAATCAATACCGATTTCCGTATACATCAAAAGCAAAGAACACAACTATTCAATTCTTTGTTCATGGAATAACAGGTAGCTGATGATAATGTAAACGAAAATTTTTCAACTCGGTTATTTGTCTTTGAAGTTGTAACACAACATGTTTGCGATCAGAAAAATCCAAGAGACGATCCTTTACAAGAATTTTGCTCTCCGAACATAGATAGCGATGAAATATTAGATCTAATCGTTCGTTACAGCGATTATAATAAAAAACAGAATGATTATCAAGGAGCTTGTCTTTACTATGGTTTAACATCACGAAAACTTCGATTACAAAACAATAAAGGCACTGCACTGGGTAAAGATTTCTTTTTCTTTTTAGGTAAGGAGAATACTCTATGTTTTGAAATTGGATATGAATAGGATGGTCGTGGAAAGGACATCTCTGTGCAAATATGCGAGAGTTGAATGGTTGGTCACCAGGAAAAGCGAATTTTAATCCTCGATATTCGGGAAATGTTGGAATTGTCACTGCAAGTTTCGATGCAAGCGAGTACGCAAGAAGGAACTGAGTTTATGAAAGGTTTTCTTTCGTGTTGAATATATTTTAGTTATAGTTTGAATAAGTAAGTTGGAAATCTTCGGGAAAATGATGTTGATCGAATAATTAGAGGTGAAATGACGTTTTTTCATGAGATTGGACATTCAATGGATGCCAATCATGATGATGATAACGAATTTAAAAATCGAAATAAAGAATGTAATCCAACGGATGAAGAAGGCGGTAGGTATTTAATGTATTCGACTAGCACTGAAGGACTTCTACCAAATAATCGTGCGTATTCTCATTGTTCATTGGATACGATTTCGTGAGAATCGACTTTTTCCTCCTGATTTCGTTTTATCGTTGTGATTTGTTAGAAAATATACTCGAACACTTGGCCGAGGAAAACCAAGTTGTTTATCAACAGATAAAAAAATAAAAGGAAAATGTGATGGTATCCTGTCAACAGATGAAGTTTGCGATGAACAAGGAACAACTAGTAATTGCTGCACAAAAGATTGTAAATTAAAACCAAGTGCCGTATGTTCACCGGTAAACGAAACTACGATCAATGAAGGAAACAACTTTGAAATCGTTTTTTCTTTTTTTCAACTTAGTCAACTGGTTCTTGTTGCCAATCATCATGTCAACTTCGTTCATCTGGTCACGTATGTCTCGCTGAAAGTGAATGTAAACTGGCAATTCCATGTTCAGGCGCATCTTCTATTTGTCCCGAAAATGATAAGAAATACTTTAAAGTAGATAATACACCCTGTCGTAATGGAACATTACTTTGTCAAAATGGTTTGTGTCAAGCATCTATTTGCTTCTTACATTCGCTTTTACCATGTCAATTGAAAGAACCTGAAGATCAACTATGTATAATTGCTTGTTTAACTAAAGATGAATTATGTGTACCTTATCATACGATTAATCAAACTTCAGATTCATCAAGAATTCTCTATTTACCATGTAAGTCGTTGTGAGTTTATAGATGTGATTTGCCATTTAATTTCGTTTTCTTTTCTATTGATCTAGATGGGTCATTTTGTGATCAAAGCCACGGATTTTGTGATCAATCACATAAATGTTTGCCATTGATAGTTGATCATACAGAAAATTTAATTAGTGCTGGATTTAGTACTCTTCTTCTAACGAATTATTCAGCAATTATCAAAAAATATTGGTGGACATTTGGAATATTTCTGCTCCTACAGATTATTCTCATTCCAATTGTTCTCTTGTACTTTCATAGTCAATGTATTCCTTCAGATAATCCTTTTCTCCAAGTAAATAGACAAAAGCATTGAACATTCTTCGTAAAACCAAACATTCTACGTTACGATCTTTTGTCAATGGAAATGAGTATAGTTAATAGCAATGGTTTGTCGATCTTTAATAGTTTATTGTTGTTATTGAAAATAAATGTATATTTATCACAATAAAAACAGTTCAGTAAAAGATGTGAAAATAGAAAATTTGTAGTGGAAAGAACAGATGAACTAATTGATGATCTCTAGAAGCTTCAATAGCAAGAATAATATACAAAGTACAGTATTTCATCTCCAAATCAACGAAAGTAATCTGAGATAGTAATGTTCTTTATATACTTAATAAACTATCATCGGAATCGAATGTCAAGAAATAGACCGCAATTGTTATGAATACAATTGCATTTGCTCCCATAACGAAGCCCATTGAACCAAGAGCAATCTTAACAATATGTTCAAAGCAAATGCCTCTTCGATTTATCAAATCAACTTACTGTACCAGCTCGATGGAGAACTACAGGTAAACTAAATGCCGAGACAACAATTGCACTTGTGATAAACCACATCAGATCCGAACATGGATTTGTATCACTTGTACTATAACCATTCGAAGATGTACATTGACGTGCGATTACTAATGGAATTGGGCAAAGTACATAAAAGATAATCACGAATGTGGGCCACCAATTGCTAAAGATGAAAAGCAAATCGTTCGTTCTTATCATTGAAAAACTGATGACGTACTAGTTCGATAACGCACAACCTAAGATGAGTAATGTGAAACCAATAGCAGCCAAGAATGCCAGAAAAACAACGCTAAATTAAACAGATATCTGCAATCATTTTAGAAGAGTCCATGCAGATCTACTTGCCCTAGAAAGTAAAAAGAGTTTTCATGTAATAAACAAGAATTTTTTCTCAGTCGAACCTTACCTCGAATACCTTGAAAGAAGCCCATGATTAATTCGTTGCAAAATCAAGCTTAATCTACAAAAGGAAAACAAACAAACAACCGATGATCATTAAAGTCAACGGGAATCCAAAAGAAAACAAAAAAAAACAATTTCACTAAACTAAGGACATCCTTTAATAAAAGGTATTCCGACAGGTACACGTTTTTGATAATCTCGATAAAGATTTCCATAACATCTGATCAATGTAGCTTCTTCATACGTAACTCGTTCAGCGAAGAACCGCCATGTTGACTAAAAGAAAAGAGAAAATTCATGAGTTTATATATCTGGTTTGACTGAACAAAATTTACGATTAAATAAAGTATAAAACATATAGGATTGGCTAAAAGTATTTGCGTTCCACATGCCCACCAAAACCATCCAACATATGATGGATGACGATACGTTTGATAAATTCCGTGAGTAATCAACTGATGTTCACTATTCGGTTTGTCTTCAATCAAATGTGAAAAACTTTGTTGAGCTGTACACATCGATAATTTACGTAAATATTCTCCACCAATGACCATACATAGACCAAGAATTATCCAAAGCCAATAATAAGGAACTCCATTGGGAAAAAGAAAATATTTTTCAAGATAGTACTCGGCGTAAGCCATGACTATTGCAGCATGATATTGCGGTGAATGATTTAACAGAAATGAATCGATTGTTAATGTTCGAGGACACCAAAGAGCAACGGATATGTATTCACTTATATGGAAAGTTGACAAAATTATTGTAAATAAACCGATCGGGGGTGAGAAGAATGACCCGAGACAGCCAATGGTAAGTATAAATGTCAGCAAATGGGCACGAAGAAAGACTTCATGGATATAAAAACGAGTGAAAACAAAGAAATGAACGAGAAATAACGTGATTATGAAACCAATGGTACTATAGATGGACAGACGATTCAGAAAATAAACAAATAGAAATGGAATTGAAAGGAAAAACGGAACAAATGATGCCACACATGAAGAAAGTTTTTTCCGACTAGTTAATTCCATGGTAATTAAGACCAATGGATTCTGTTTTTGGCTTTTTTCATATCTCGACATTTCATATAAACATATACTTCTCTATAAAAAAAAGAAAAGGAATTCAATTCTCCGACATATTCGATTGGCACATTCTTCCAAAAACGAATAGAAAAAGTTGCTACGTCGTAATCGTATTGTATGCGTTCCTTGAAAAGTAATTCAATAGTTTGGCTAAAGTCGATGAGTAATGATAAACTTGACAAATTCGGATATTTAAACGAAACAAGCGCCGTCTATGATGACAATGATAGTAGGAAGGGCAAAAAATCTCTAGTTGGCCCGTTTTATCAACCAGCAAATACATTTGAGTTGGTTAGATGGCGTAAATAGACACGAACATTTGTATAGCTATTCTTCGATTATCACATGAAGAACACTTCAACTTCGAAAAAGACATTTGACATTTAATAAGTATATTTATGTTTGAGAGAAACTTGACATTGAACATCATTATGCACGAATGTTGTTAAACACATTCAACGTGACTAAGAGTCACATATTATGTACTTTCCGATATATATAGATCATCTGATTATGTTGAACTTCAGAATTAATTTGGTAATGATGATATTTTATGAGTTGAGTTTCTTTTTCAATCTGTTTTTCTTTCTTCTTAGCGCAAATGCATTTGATTATTGTTAACAAAAGAACTGTTCCTCCTTTCACGTTGATGTCATCACTGAAGATGAAGATCTTCAAGTGGCCCCATTGAATTTCTTGTAGAGAAAGAGAACGATTTTTGAATCTACTCGGTTATACCGTGCAGGGGAAACTTGACGTTTTTTTTATTGCAAAATATAAAGTAAACAACGATATCTTGTCTACAAAGGACATCTGAATCTATTGTAACAACCACAAAACTTGCCCAAAAGATCATCTCACCTATGGTTTCGTATGGGAATTGCATATCTCGACAAAGCAATATCTCAATATCGATGATTTGACAAAAAAAAATAACAGAAAACTCGATTTTTCTTCTATCGAAACATTCGTGCTACAGTAACAAGTCCTAAAGTAACAACACTTGCGTATAATGAATATTTTAATAGAGCATCTGTATTATAAAAGTCATTGCTCGAATTGGCAAAGTAATTCAATTTTGGATAAACACACAGATATCCAAGTCGAACATAAATATCATCTTGATGACGCGATTGTTCGCCTCGAGGTGAATACGGTTCTAAACTTCGTGTAGAATTGTTTTGCGAACGAAATAGTAAACTTGTAAACCAAGATTGTGACATATGTTCAGTATTAGTTGTTAATTGTTGATTATTATCTTTAGGATTCGTGTAAATTGATACAGCTGTGATCGCTGAATAATCGATTGGTAAAGGAATTTTATGTTGACGACAAAAGAATTCGATGGGTAAAGGATAATCTTGTTTAACAGATGGTTGATCAGCTTTGGTTAAGATAAATAATGAGGGTAAACGAGGATAATCATGTTGTTGAAGAAAACTGGTCGCTACATTTGAGAATGCACGTGGATGAGTACGATCAATAAGAAAACAATTGACATTGGCTGTTTTAAAAAGAACTTTTTCGTCTATCTCATTCGAATGACGTTCTTCGAGAATTAAGCATTTTGTTTCGTTTAATACACGAACAAAATCAATTGCATAGCTTTTGACAGGTTTATATGAAGATGTTGAACGATAATCTGATGAAAGAAAAGCTTTGGCTTTATTATTTAATTTCTCCGCTAGATCTTCAGTGTGATGAATTCGATAGATTGTTGGTGAAACAAAGCGTTTGAGAAATGAACTTTTACCAGATTCGGGCATACCGTAGACATGACAAATGTATGTCATACGAGTTGGTAAACGTGTATCATCAATGTTTGATATCGCGTATGAGTAACCTAATTGAAATAAATATGAAAATGTTAATGATGGTTGAGTTTGAACGAGGAAAAACCATTGAGCAAGAAAACCCGATAGAGTGATTAATGGAGATTTCGTAGATGATTGAGATAAACGAAGATAAATACAATGTTTGATGTTTGATAAAGAAGATGACATTGGAGGTATAATATCGATCAGAGATTCGAATAATTGATTTAATTCTTTTAAAGTCAAACACGAATCTTTATCATTGTCAAATCGATGGAACAGATGTGTTAAATAATCGATTGCTGATGGAGATAATTCACCGGCTAAGTCTAGAAAAGAGATCATTTGTTGAAATAAAGGAGAGAAGAGTTCGAAATCATCGAATTAAACTAATGAAATTTTACCTTCAGGAGCATTTGGCACACACAATTCCAATTTTCGATTATAATTAAATCTTTCCAATGTTGTATAGATTGTTTCATATTTTCCTTTGTTTAAATACAATTCAAATAAACATTCAAAACCTTGATAGGTCAAGGCACTTGTCATTACACCTCGATGTTCACTAATAATCTTAATTCCATGAATAGTTCGTCGTTTAATTTCCTTCTTTAACTGTTCGATCGTTTGTTTTTCATCATTCGTTTGAATTTTGCCAAAACAATAATCTTGTAACATAGTTAATTCTTGATCGTTTAATAATTGATCATTATCTTGGTCAGCAATTGTGAATATTCGTTTTAGACATTGTTTAAAACGTTTTGTTAATTTATTTTGTTCTTGGAGATAGTTGATGGGATAGAGAACACATTTTTGCGCAGAATAGAACAATTCCGAGATGTTTTTCATCGTTCTTGTTGATGTTTCAATACACGCTTCAATACGCGAGTATTTTGACATACTTAGACGAAAAAATTCTCGATTTTCCTCGTTGATATCATGAGGATTTTCGTCGATTAAATCACATTTATTCGCAACAAGAATTATTGGAATTGTCGTTGCACTACGATCAATCAATGGAAGCCAAACAGTCAATAATCGATCCCGAGATTCTCGACTATCGAAAGCATAAACAAGACAAATAACATGTGCTTGACGAATACATGAATAAAGTGAACGTGATTGTTGAAGAAGTGGATTTGGTGATGGACATTCCATGGGTAACAACAAATCATCGATTTCATCAGGTGTCATTGGCTGACGACCACAATAATCCATAATAACTGTTGGAACACGTGCTCTTGTTACTTCAGGTGGGATCGATATGTCGTCTGTTGTCGGACGAATTGAATCATTTGAATGAGTTGAAGATGAAGGAACAACATCTTCACTAACAAGAGAATAAATTAATGAAGTTCGACCGACATTATCATCACCTAAGAGAAGTATACGTATTTCAGATATATCCATCTAAAGAAAAACAGCGACTGAAGTTTGTTTTTTTTTAAAGTTAATTTCGCCATTAAAAGTAAAAGATTCTTTTGTTAATGGGAGGTTCACTTACCTATAGTTCTACTCTACTAACACGTTCTTAAGTTGATCAGTGATGAGCAAATATTCAGATAATTTACGATTATGAGAACTAGTATACATACTTTCTTTCCTAATCAAACAAATCTAGAAACAAATGAAAATGTCAAAGCGATTGTTTGTCTTTTGTATTCTTTAATATATATATATAAAAAGTGACGATCAATCAAATGAAAACAACCGATGTTTTTGTTGGTTGTTTTTTTCATTTGCATCAACTCTAAGATAAACTACTGTATAGATAAGTAATGATAGAAAAAGAAAACAAACGGAACAAAAAGACAAACGAACATAATCTAAATGAGTTGTCTCCATTGAAGAGAGAATTCCTGAGCGAACAAGAAGAGAATTACATACACATATAGTACAACAAAAAGAAAATGAACATTTCGACTTTGTCAAAGAATATACAAATACATAATATTCACAAGCGTTCGTCTCTCGCATGCGCTCAGATGGTTTTTATATACAAAATGAATAGAAACTATCTGTTTTTGAAGAATGAATGAACGTATCGAGAGAAAAACAAAAAAGAAGATATTTTACATGTGATAAAGAAATAAAATGAAAAATATTGTGTGTGTTTGTGTGCTTTTGGAATTATTAGGAAAACAAACGCGATGTGATTCGAAGTATTCTTTGCGATTTCTATGGATGATTAAATTCAGTATTTGATTGATTAACTGTTGAATTCTGTTCACTGTTATTTAAACATATTTCGTCTAAATCACTTGGAGGTAGTGACGGTTGTTCACTAGAAGTTATTGCTGGTGAACTTGTTGATACAGAACGAATTTGATCCGGAGGAAGAGGGGATCCTAAAGAAAGGATATGTACAGTGTGAAGGAATTTCAATTAGCAAAGTTTGTTTTTCTCACCTTCAGACATTTGGTCATGTAAGCATTCTCCATCTTTCAGAACTAAGTCATCATTCAACATTGGCTCTGTATTTGATTCGGAAGACTCTTCTCCGTCATCTGCATCGTCAGTATCATCTTCCGTGTTTAAAGATGAAATCGGTTGAAGATAAGATGAAGAAGAACGAGAAGGGGTGACCTCCGATTCGGTTAAAACCGAACTTGACGATGGTGATGTTCGACCATTCTCTTTTTGTTGATTTGTTTTAAGTAATTTTCGACGTGGAGTATCAACAAGTAATGTTGCGGCATCTTCTGATGCTGGTCGTTTGGGAGTCTAAATATTTCATTCGTTAGAAAATTCTTCTTTCTATGAGAAATGCAATCATGTAAACACATATTTGATCCTATGAAAACTAATCTGTACTCCTATGGTTGTCAATGACAAAGATATGTTATCAAAACAATTCTCTGATGGCAATATTATCTATGTGACATAGCATAAAAGAAAATATAAAGAAGTTTTACCCGCACTGGTGTGGGACCATTTGAAATCGGAGTTAAAATATGTTCATTTCGTTCTAAAGCTGGTTTTCGTTTTTGAGGAGTGATTGCTGTCGATGAGGACGACGATGATACTGATGCTACCGATGAAGGTGCAGGTGATAAACCATCTAATTCTACTGTATCATCTGAACACACCGATGTTGTAGCTAAATGAAGAGAAATGGATTTGAAAAACGAAAGTTTTTTTGTTGAGTGTATACATGATGATATCGAGTAACTGAGTTTTTCTTTCTTCTTTTTCACAATACAATCACTGAATGGTGGTCCAGGTGGATCGAGCATAACAGTAACACACGTTATGTTATCCGAACGTAACATTCGGTCACGCCAAAGTGTTAACGCTTTTTGTACAAGTTCATGAGATGGATTGCGAAACGGTCGATGATCATCATCCTAAATGAGATTATTTTGAATTTTTCATAGAAGGATAAAGTTGAAAACTTACATCTGCTTTTAAGATCATTTCTTCAGTTTTGACATCACAAATTCTCACAGTTTCTACTGCTGCTTCCGGTGTAATCATGTTCCAAAGTCCATCACTCGCTAGGATGATACATCGATGTTTGCTTGAATCAATTTCAATCACGGCTAGTTCAGGTTCAGGTGACACTGAATATAAATTCGTATGCGCATTCAAACTCCATAGATCTCCGAGCGCTCTTGAAACAGCAAGAAACGGAATTTGTTCATATTCAATAGTCGTTCCATTCGAAGTTGTTGTTGTTGTCGTCACTACTGAATGTTGATGTCGATGACGATATGTGTGTGACGACGTTGATGTTGTAGATTTCTGTCGATTCCAAACAACACGGTGAACACCAGCTTTACAAAGAACATTTCCTCCACTTTCATGAATACGTTTCAATTCTGATGGATCTTCGGGTTTATGATCACGCGTCAAACGATTTGCTGTCCATGTTTTATACAATGTTTCACCTTCACCTAGCACAATCGCAGAATCACCAACATGACCAATATATAACTTATTCCCACGAACAAAACAAACGCTTGCTGTACAACCTAAAGGAGAAATTCATGTTCATCTCTACAATTGTTTCGCTTTTCTATCAAACCAGATGTGCTCGGTAAGCCTGAAGATGTTTTCGGCCATTTTTCAACATGATTCCACATATCTTGATGACAAGCAAGAAAACCTTTGCGTATAGCTGAAAGAATCACTTGATCATTTTCGTTTTCATCCGCACTTTCTGGCCAAAATTCCACTTGCTCGAGAATATGTTGACATAAATTCTGTCGAGCAAATTCAGCTGCTTCTTTTCCTCCATGACCATCAAATATACCAAAATAAGCAAGAGAGATTGGACTTTCTTTGTCCGATTGATTTAAACGTTGAAGTGCAATTGCATATGCATCCTCTATATTAAAATCATTTGAGATTTTATCTTAGACAAAGGACGCATTTGTTTACCCATGTACTTTCGACCACCTGTAAATAAAACAAGACGTTCAAAACAGGACAGAACGAAATAAAAATGAAAAGTTTACCTTGATTACTGTTTGTCGTGATTCTCAGATTAACCTGAACACAGTCGTTTGGTTTGTTCGTCATAACTGATCTAAATTTCATTTGAAAAGTCAATACCTATTCCATGTTATTTGTTACTTCAACCATAAAAATACGTTCCGAAAAATCTCGTGATTTGGTTCGCTATTCTTTCTACTTATTTTTCCTTCTCTATTTACATTTACGTTGAATCATTCATTTACGTCAGAACCAGCTAAGACAGGAACGTTCGGTTCGATTTGCCTGCCGTAATCACTAAATCGCCATTATGTTGAAATGCATCTGACCTTCTCCGTGAAAAATAATAGAACAGATGGCGCTAGTTTATAGTCATATACTATACGTGAATTCGCGTAAATTTGAGTTTCTCATACTTATCTTGAGAATGATAATGTCTGTTCTTGTGTGAGTGTTCTTAATAATAAATAATTATTTATACTCTGACCGTCAGCCAACTGTTTAAGAGCGTGTCTCTGACATTTCGTTTAAAATATATGATAATCAAAGACACAAATCGAGTGGTTGAGTGACCGTAAAACAAATATAGATATATCGTATCTTTAAAGATTCTCAGTACTCCGAACGAATTTTTCAACAAAGTTCTTCATTGTAACATCTTCGAGCTTCGTTCTCCGTTGTTTTTCCTTCTAGAATTTTACAGAAGAAATTTTGAATAGTAACCGCCAAACGAGGAATCGGCTTCCATCTATGTTAACGATCTATGTAAGTACGAATGACTTTGGTATAATTCTTATTAACACAGTTTTACTGTTGTTATATAACCCCTCTGTTCTTTTCTACTATGTACATTTTCCTAAACATTTTGTAACCAATGACTAAGCTAGGACTGTCATATTTCATGCTTTTCCACTTGTATATAACCTTAGTTAGTGTAAAATCAAAGATAGTTGCTTCAACTTCTTGAAAATCAAAATTTTCCACATAAAAAAATCCACCAATAAGATAATTCTTTAGCCTAATCCATCAATGCACTTTCAATGCAGTCAAATTTTCTCATTGGCCAGTTATGTGTTCTTCTTTCTAATAGAATTGAAGTCTGAAATCGAGTTATGTTACCATTTGGGATCTTGTTTATTTTCGATTATGATGGACAACGAAGATAAAACTTCGTTTGATAAGAACATGTTCCAACAGGTATGTGATCTTTGCTTATCTTTAATCAACTGACATGGTTGTTATTTGATATAGATGTCTTCGTCTCATTCTTCATCGACATCTGATCAAGATGAAATCATAGCAAGAAGAAAACTTGAACAAAAACGTCGATTTCAGCAGAAACAAGGCAATGCACATAAAGACGCGGATTCATTGATGCAATCGATGTTTTCAGATTTTAAATTACAGCCAAAACCTCTGGTACAAAACTCTTCAGGTATGATTGAATCTTTCATTTCCATCTTCAGCTCGAACTCGTTCTTTTCTTCAGAAGAAAATCGTTCAAATCTACATATATCAGGTACGAATATCAATTTAATCTTTTTGACGCGACTTATAATGATTTTCAAATTAGTACTGAAACCTAATCCAGTAACACAACAATCTCAATCACATGTATCAGTGCCTGGTGCAGCTGATTGGTCGAAAATCGCATTTGATGATGAATTAAAAACGGTTTTTCATCAAGAAGAAAACATTCCAGTTCAGAATACAAAACAATCCATTACATTTCATCATTCCACTGAACAAACACTACTACCTGCATCTAGTTTTGGTAAAACTTGTTTCTTCCCCCAAAACAAACCGAATTGAATATTTTTCTTTTCTAGTTTACCCATCTTGGTGTTTACAACCGATTGTCTTTCTTCCGCTTGTCTATCAACAAGTATTCGAAGCGTCATGTGTTTCTAATGTTATTCAAACATCAGTTCTCTATCCAATTCTTCTCTTATCTGGTCTTCGGCAAGATCAATTAAGTCAAATTTGGTCTCAAGTGAATCTAACACAACCAGGGACATTATCAAAAGAAGAACTGTTCATGGCCTTAGCTTTAATTGCATTAGCACAGAATACTAATGGACAAATTTATCCAAATGAATATCTTTGTCATTTGACTGACATCCCAGTACCACATTTTCAAATTCAACAGGAACAAGAGCAAACACAACCATCAGTACCAACGCCGCCACCCCCGCAATCAGTTTATCATCAAGATGATTTTGCTGATTTTACATCTTTCGAACAAACAAATGAGAGTACAAATGGTGTTACTTTACTCGATTTCGAGGAAAATCATTTGTATCCGCCAGATATGAAAACTACATCATCTGAAACACAGTCTATTGCAAGTTTGGAATTACCTATGCCAATCACAAATACCAATCATCAAGATAATACTAGTCAAAAAGGAAATAGTGATAATGTCTCCTATTCATCTTCTTCGAATACAAATGATGTTGCAGCAACCATTGATACACAAAGTATACATTCAATACCTTCGACTGAACCGTCAAAACTCGGTATATATTCAAAAGTATATTTGATTTTCTATTGATGATCTTTTTCTTTTTAGAATTAACTCAATTTTCCTTTTTCTCTGATGACACTTCTCAGCTTGATTCTCACATGACTGTATGGATACGTTGCTTTGAAAAATGTCGTGATATTTTATCTCAAGCGAATGAAATCTTTTCGTCAATTGAAAGTCCAACATTATGTACTGAAGTTTTGCAACAATCACGTACACGTGATTATGTTCAACATTTGCAAGAAATATTTCATGTTCATAAACGAATCTATACAGCAGCGGTTGTCGAACCAACGACAACAAATCAACTCACATCACTTTGGAAAGAAATTATCGTCCTATGGATGAATTTACAATCATTCTTCTCTACTGCACATCTTCATCTAGTAATGCAAAGGATTTTTCTCGTTCAAAACATAGTTTCTTCGCTTCTTTTAGTTAAATGGTGATGACATTGATTATTCATCATTATTGATGAATGATACATCATCATATTGTTCAATTTGTCTCCTTTCAACTGTTGGTCTTGATTCAGTATTACCAAATTCTTCGTCTTCACTGTTCAACACTGCATGTTTAACATTTGCTGGTCGACTATATCATGCACCTTGTGCCAATTTTTATTTGAATCTCATCGATGGCATTTTACCATCGTTAAGGAGATCATCATAAGAATAGTTTTCTGTTTATTTACTGTTCTTGTTTGTATTTTATCATTTTCTTTCTCGTCTACTTTCTATGTACAGTGAACGTTTCTCTATTTTGTGTTGGATTATGGATATATACATATTTATTATTTTCAAGTCACATTTAGTAGAAAAAGGAACGATAATTTAAGGAGAATTTTGTTTTCCGCTTCTTTTAGATGGCTGACGATGGAGATTATGATGATGGAGGTGATATGGGTATGGATGATGATATGGACGAAGACGAATACAATGAAGAAGATCAAGATCTTGATGGAGAGCAAAATACCCAGTCAGGTGGACAACAAACACAAGGTGATGAACGAATGGAAATTCTCAACGAAGATGATCTTGGTGGAGGACAACCAGGAGTAAGAACTGATCCATCAAAGCGAATCACAACGCCTTATATGACAAAATATGAACGAGCACGTGTTCTTGGTACACGTGCATTACAAATAGCGATGTGTGCACCGTTGATGGTGGAACCCGATGGTGAAACTGATCCATTACAAATAGCAATGAGAGAACTGAAGGAGAAGAAAATTCCAATGATTATTCGTCGATATCTACCGGATGGAAGTTTTGAGGATTGGAGTATTGATGAGCTCATTATTACTGATTAAATTGTTTCCTTGTTATTGTTTGTACTAAATACATGATGAAATGAAATCGTTAAGGTATACGACAGGTTATTATGTTTAAGATTGAATGATGTCATCATGGTGTTAAGATGAATAGCATGTAGAAAATCATGAAAAGTCGGACACTGATTAGTAAATGATATGTAAATACTTAGATTCATTTGGATTTTTCTTTGCTTTCAAACGTATTAGTCAACCTCAGACATCACTAAAAGAATTGATTCGTGTTAATCTTATTGAAGATGATGTTATTATGTTCAAAATTGTACGTTCTACGATACTTATCAAGTTCGCTTTGCTCTTAATGAAAAGTTTGGAAAAACTATATTTAATGTAGAAGAAAGGATGAGGACGCAAGTTTTTCACAACTTACAGGTAAATATGTGACAATGTCACAGAACGACCTCTATCCAATATCGAATGACTTATTCATACTGTCGAAAGTCGGCGAATCGAAAAATAGCTACTTTTACTGTCTAATTACTGGAAAAAAGAAAATACTGTGTTATTTTTGCGACTTAAGAGCATGAGAATGAAATTACATAAAGGCATATGCAATACTACTGTTTCGATTTATTTCATTTCTATTCTTTCAACGATGGCCATATTCGAATAGCTGTATAGAATTCCTTTTCCTTTTCTCTGAAACTAAACTGACTATATAACAAACAATGTTAGACTATAACTATCACTTCTTATTCTGCTTCAGATGGCTGACGATGGAGATTATGATGATGGAGGTGATATGGGTATGGATGATGATATGGACGAAGATGAATACAACGAAGAAGATCAAGATCTTGATGGAGAACAAAATACCCAGTCAGGTGGACAACAAACACAAGGCGATGAACGAATGGAAATTCTCAACGAAGATGATCTTGGTGGAGGACAACCAGGAGTAAGAACTGATCCATCAAAGCGAATCACAACGCCTTATATGACAAAATATGAACGAGCACGTGTTCTTGGTACACGTGCATTACAAATAGCGATGTGTGCACCGTTGATGGTGGAACCCGATGGTGAAACTGATCCATTACAAATAGCAATGAGAGAACTGAAGGAGAAGAAAATTCCAATGATTATTCGTCGATATCTACCGGATGGAAGTTTTGAGGATTGGAGTATTGATGAATTGATAATAACAGACTGAATTTTGTTCTGTTTTTGTTAGTAATTTAAATTGAAAGTCTTTCTATTTCAGATAGAAATAAATTCTCATAATCATGGAAATTAATGAACAAAATCTCGAAGCACTTTCAACATATTTACGAAAAACATTGTCGCCAAATGGAAACGAACGAACTGAAGGTAAATATTCTCTAATCAAATTCACTTCTGGATCAATAATTGGAAATGATTTCAGCTGAAAAAACTTTGAAACAAATCGAACGGAATGAAAACTATGCATCTTTACTGTTAACACTCTGTGATCGACAAGCAACATCGGATGAAATCCGTCGTGCTGCTGTGATCACATTCAAAAATTTCATCAAACGTAATTGGCCATCACTCGATGAATCAAGTTCAATATCAGTTCGTGATCGAAATCATATCAAAGAGCATATCATTGATTTAATGAGTCGATCACCTGAACATATTCAAGAACAATTATCCGAAGCGATAACTGTCATTGGAAAATGTGATTTTCCTGAGCAGTGGTCAACATTACTTGATACGATGATTAAACAGTTTCAGCAACAATCATCAACTTCTTTTCAATCGATCAGTGGTGTTCTCAAAACAGCACATTCTTTATTCGAAAGATATCGATATGAACAAAAGTCTGATGAGCTCTGGTTGGAAATTAAATTGGTACTCGAAAAATTTGCACCAGCTTTTACTGAATTATTTAAAGTAAAATCGAAAGAACGACGTTTTTTGTTTATGTTTATTCGTATGTTTTAGTCTCTGATGAGTTATTATCCACAAAAAGAATCTGATGCTGTCGAAATGAAAAATATTTTCAATTCAATTCTTGTTATCGTGAAAATCTTCTACGATCTCAATGCTCAAGTAAACTTTTGCGTCAATCGAGCATTTTCACAGAAAATCTTTACATTTCCCATAGGAATTACCAGAACATTTCGAAGACAATATTCAGATTTATATGACTCATTTCTTAACATTGTTATCCTACGATCATCCATCACTTCGTTCAAATGTAAATCCCATTATTTCTGTGTTCTTTCCTCTCGAATTTTTCCATCGATTAATTTAGAATAACGATCCAGGAGTCTTAGATCAAATTAAGACGGAAATTTGTCGATGTATCGCACTGTATGCCGATAATTATAGTGATGAATTTAAACCGTATGTTCAACAATTCGCCTTATCGGTTTGGTCTCTGTTAACACGACTAGATCTTTCGCCATCGTATGATGAAGTAAGAAAATGTTGTTTTTCAATATTTAATCGATTTGTACAATATCAATTTCGAAGTTGATTGGCACGGCGATGAAGTTTTTATCAACATTGGCTGCCCGAAGTCATCATTGCAGTATGTTTGAAGGTGGTGATACATTGAAAACAGTGTGTGAACAAGTTATTCTTCCGAATTTATTTCTTCGAGGTTTGAAAATGCGTTGCTCTTTTGAGGTATGGCAGATAAATTTTGGTTTTTAGAATCTGATGTCGAAGAATTCGAAGACAATCCAGAAGAATATATTCGAAAAGATATCGAAAAATCCGATTCGGCAACTCGACGACGCGCCGCGCATGATTTTCTTCAAGCATTATGCATCTTTTTCGAATCTCAAGTTGTTCAAATCTACAGTCAATACATCGACACAATGCAAAAGGTAAATTTCCATTTCATTTGAAAATCCTTAATCATTCTCTTCTCTTATTTCAGGAATATTTACAAAATCCAGCACAAAACTGGTTAAAAAAAGATACATGCATCTTTCTTGTCTTGGCTCTTGCCTCCAAAGGCGAAACACAAAAGTTCGGCATTACAAAAACCAGTTCATTTATCAGTATTCCTGCTTTTTATACATCAAATATTTTACCTGAACTTCAAAATCCAGATGGTAAACAGCATTTCTCTTTGAATTCATATTCAAAACTCTCCTTGATTTTAGTGAATAGTCTTCCATTAATCAAAGCTGATTGTCTCAAATTTCTAATTGATGTTCGAAGTCAAATCGATCGGGATGCATTACTCGTATCAATTCCTCAATGTGTTCGATATTTATCATCGAATAACATTGTCGTGCAAACTTATGCAGCACATGCGATCGAACGTTTATTACTCGTTCGTCATCCAACTGATTCAAAGCAAACATCGTACGAATTTCTCTTCTAACAAAAGTTATACTCATTCGTTTATTTAGAATCACCAAAACGGATTTGATTCCACATGCTCAGACAATGTACGATAGTTTCTTTCGAATTTTAACATCGGAAAAGTCTTATGAAAATGAATATGTTATGCGAGCTGTGATGAGATTGTCATCAGCACTTCAAGATGGAATTTTACCTTATTTAAATATTTTAATCGAAAAATTAGTGATGATCTTACGACGATCAAGCAAAGTAAAAACATTTCGAGAGAAAAATCTTCTTTCGAATAAACTCTTTCTCGTTTAGAATCCAAATAAACCAAATTTTAATCATTATTTATTCGAAACTATTACTGTCTTAATTCGAACAAGTGTTTCACAAAATGTCACTGTTCTTGATCAATTCGAACAAATACTTTTTCCAGTCTTTACTCCAATCTTTACTGATGATATTGCTGGTAATGAAAGAATTTTTCCTTCAAAAACTTCCATTCACTCTTCTCTTCCAGAATTTGTTCCATATGTTTTGCAAATCATTGGATTTTTATTGGAATCTCATAAATCAACCATTCCGGATACTTATCGCGCCTTGTTCCAATCGATTCTCATTCCATCATTTTGGGATCGTAGTGGAAATATTCCAGCACTATCACGACTTTTACAAGCGTATATTGAAAAAGCTGGTGAAACTATTGTCTTAGAGAAATTGGTAAAGTCAATTTTGGAAATGAGAAAATCTCGAACGTTTTGTTTTTGTTTTTCTCTTTGAATAGACAACTGTTCTCGGAATCTTTCAACGACTTGTCTCTCAATCGAAAGTTCATGATCACGAAGGTTTCGCGATCTTAAATTCTTTAATTGTTCATTTGCCAAATGGTTGTTTGAACAATTATTTTAAAGACATTTTTATTGTTATATTTACACGGTTGACCAAAGCGAAAACACAGAAATTAATTCGATGTATCATTGTGTTTTTTTCGTATTTCGTTATTAAATACGGAGCGCAAGAATTAATCAATCAAATCGATTCAATTCAAATGAAGTAAGTCATTTCTTCGACACAAAACGTATATTTATTCATTGTTTAGTATGTTTCAAATGGTTGTTGAACGTTTATTCATCCCTGAATTATCTAAAGTCAACGAGGAGGAAAAGAAGGTTTGCGCAGTTGCGGTGATACATTTACTGTGCGATCCACAATCAATGACCAGTGGAAATTATTGTAATAGTTTATGGATTAACTTATTACAAGCGTTGCTTCGATTATTTGAATCCAGTAATCAATTACAAACAATGTCAGCAGCAGAAAGAAAGAAAGAAGCACAAGAACAAGCAGAAGAAGAGTTACTTGTTGGATTAGATGATACACCAGGTTAATTGAAGTTGATTTCATAACACTTCTAATCTTAGTTCGTTTTCTCTTAGATTATACACCGGCATTTTCTCGATTGGCTTTTGCGAGAAAAGCACCAACGGATTTATTTGGTTCAAGTATTCCTGATCCTCGTTATCATTTAGCCAAATGTTTACATACATTAACAACATCTCAACCGAATCAATTTTTATCCATGATGAGCAATGGTCTTTCGCCTGAACATTTATCACATGTTCAACAATATTGTGCATTAGCAAGTGTTACACTTATGTGAATAACCCAGATATCTATCTCTAATCTAGATGAAATTTTCTTTTCTGTCAAAAAGATTTTTTTATGAAAAAAAACCTATCTGATGTTAAACAAATAAAAGTCATTTGATTATCTCAAAGATAAAATTCAGTATTTTTTCTTGAAGATTTCTCCTTCCCCTCACTCTCAGATAAACTATGGCTCAAGATACACCTCGACATTTAAGTCTGGATACCGTTACCCGATCGCCGTCAAGTTCGTCGCTTCGATCGACAACGACAATCGGTTCTAATCTTTCAACGGTTAGTCAAAGACGACGCGGACTTATAGGAAGGATTGGCAATGGCTTTAATTCGATTTTTCGACGGTTTTCTAGCGCACAAACATCGCTAACAGAGATGCAAGTTCAACTTCTGTCTCATCGAACAAACTTTACTCGAGATCAAGTTTTGGAATGGTAAATAGAATTCATCGAAACTTTCTTAAGGCCCCCTCCCGCCCCTAAAATCGCGATTTTCGTCAAAAAAGTCGATTTTGAGATTTTTACAGGGTTAGATAGCGCTCGTGTTGCGCTATCGAAATCATTATCATTTCTCTAGTTTTGGACGGTTTTTCAAAATGTTGCATCGATTTTACGAAAACTACTGGTATCAGAGAAAAATGACTCTTTTGAGATTTTGACTAGTTTTGGGCTTTCTGATCTTTTCATTCGTTTTGATAGTGGGAATCTAGTGATTCTACGAGTGGGGAAAGCCTTGGCAGCTTCGAAACGCATCAATTCGTCACTTCTTTTTCTTCTCTTACTTATATTCAGGTACTGACGTCACTTTTTCTAAAGTTAGTTCTTTCTACATGTATGTGTTACTAGAAGCAAGGTAATAAAGAGATTTTCTCTGCGTTGCACTTAGTTCATTATATTCGAATTGTTTTCTCTCTTTCTTCCATTCGTCATATGAAATATTATGTCTGATACGAATTGTTGCTTTGGACACTACGATAGAGTGTGCCAATCGGTGTAGTTTTCATGGACGGGACATATTTAGTAAAAAGGTTTTAAGCTAACATATCGTTTGTTCGTGCTAGCTTCACACCGATCTATAATCGATAATCTACATTTCGTTTCACTCGGCAAAAGTATTTTGCGTTTTTTTCGAAACGAGTCATTCGACTTGTTCTCGTTTATGCGTCCCAGATTTCTCAGCCATTTTACAAGGTGGATCGCTCACGAACGTCTCAAATTAAAGAGAAAACTTTGCTCTACGACGTAATAGAGTCTGACTTCTGATTTTTTTGTTGTGGACACTGATCGTTAAAAGAATCTCCGAAAATACTGTCTCTCGCTTTTCAACCTTTTTCGTGCAAGAAGCACCAGAAAACATTGACAAGGAATTCTGAAAATCGGGGCCTCTTAGGTTATCAGGATAGGTATCACTTGTCTTTTGACATCTCTAGGATTTGATATGCCCGAGAAATCTGGGTCAGGAATACCCACTTTTTGACTCTTGACATCAACGCAACTTCTGAATGGTGCAACATGTAGCGCTGAAATTTTTGCTGTAATGCATCAGGCCTATGATACACGTTTCCTCAAACTTTCAGCTTGATCAAACTCTCCTGAGTCAAAATTCACCCCTTAAGGATGGGAGGAAAGCCTTAACGAATTGTTTTTTCGTTTAATTTAATATAGGCACTCAAAATTTATCAATGATTACCCTGATGGGCACATGACTCGAAAGCAATTTATTGCCATGTATAAAGCTATGTGCCCAAAAGTCGATGCGGAACGTTTTGCTCGTCATATCTTTCGTGCATTTGACACTGATAGATCGAACACAATTGAATTTCATGAATTTCTAACTGGTCTATCGATGACATCACCAAACAGTTCATCACATGATAAACTTGAGTGGGTATTTCATGTCTTTGATGTCAATGGTGATGGTGTGTTAACGCGAAAGGAATGTTTGGAAATTATTGAAGTTATTGTTCGTTTTAATCAGTCTGTACAAGGTGATACATCGAATACAAATTCTGACCAACTTCTTCGCTCAGCTAAACAATCAATGATGAACATATTTACCAGTGGTAGAAATACTCATAATGATAAATTGACAATGTCTCAATTCGTTGATGGTTGTCTCCACGATGAACTCATTTCACAATTATTGGACCCTAAACCAACGACACTGACTAATTCACGCGACAGTCCGACGAATTCCTCATGAAACGTATTCATCTGCTTTCTATTCAACTCTTCAATTTATTTACAGCGTTTCGTAGTTCAGATAAAATTCTTCTTCCGTTTGTATTTCAAACAAAATCTCTTATTTATCTTCCCTTGTTCTATAAATTCAATCTCAATCTACACGCTGCTCAGTTTTTTATTAATAAAAAGACTCTCAAAGATGAGAGATGACTTGTATGATATTCTTCCTCTACAATAATACGAATCAATTCGATTGTTTAAAAATTAACTGATCCTACTTTCAATAATTCAAATGAACATATTTCACCAAGAGTCATTTTCTTGATACGAACGGAAATCTTTTGCGATTGGATATTCCGATGAAAAGATAGGATTAATATCCACAAATAAACTTAATCAGATACACATTCATTTCTAAAAACAACATTCGAATGAAAATATATGAAAGAATACTTTGATTTTGTATATATACGATGATAGACAACTTATCATCATTGGTAGTGTCAATCATTACAGAATGTTTATATAAATGTCGAATCATTTGAATAGTTCGACGATGAAATATATGCGTTCATTTCTTTGACTACTGATGAAAGGATAATATCACTCCATTTTTATTATTCAATGAATATATTTTAACAACAAAAACATATGAAATTTAATCTTCAGATTTCCGTATTAATTGTTCAAGAGATTTTCTATATGTTCATCAAATTAACTCAATTGTTTGGAATATTCTTCGCTTCCATTGCGAAAAGTTGCCTTGTTAAATATCCGGACACTTCATCACGTATGAAAGTCATATCAATGACTATTTTCAACATTCTCTTTTTGAAAATAAACTTAATTCATAAGCGATAAGACAGAACTCACATCAAACTTTTACAATATTAAAAACTCAACAGTTGTTTTGAGGTTTTTGATCATCAATTAGTATTTTTGAGATAATTGATTTTAAATATGGAATGGTATCATCAGCCGAGAACTTTTCAATTTCAAGACATTTCGAATAGCTTCAGCTGTTTGATTTGATAAAGAAGAGAAATCTTGTCGACCACTTGTAAAATGATACATTCCACGTCGACAATGTAATACAAGATGTAAGGCGCATTCTTTCTGTATGTTGTAATCTACCAACGCTCTATCAATCTTCGAATTGTTTATCAGAAAATCATAGATGTATAACTTGAAACTTGAATTCGAGTATTTGCAACACAAATTGAGGGTACTACGGAAGACCCGATCAGCAGAAATACTTGTGTTCAAGTTTTGTTTTTATAATTCTGATGATAAAATCGTATCTTCTAATATTAATCATCTCCGTTCGATGCATCTATCCGACATATATCGTTTACTACAATCAATTTCACATAATTTCAACTCAGTATCATTCAAATTGGGTTTTTCTTTTATTCGTTTCATATCTATTTGATAGAATATTTTTCATTTGAATCATTTGATGTTGAACTTGAGAAACAGGATCTTCATATACAAATGAAGCTAGTACGTTTCGAATAAGTATTGCAGTTGCTATTAAATCTGTATTCAGACAACAATTATCTAAAATCGAATCCAAATATGAGTGTCGTAATAATTAATCCCTCGTGAATGTTTCCTTTTTGGTGTCTTTTGCAACATTTACAAACTGTTTGTAGAATCTACAGACTCTTGTTTTTTCTTATTTAGTCTCACATAAAGTTACTGAAAATAGTGCATCAGTTGACAAACGAAAGTCCTAATAGAAGAAAAACGTCAGGTGTGGATCCACAACATCGACGCAGGATTAGATATAACCTACAAAGGTATATAAGGCATTTCTTGAGTTTTGACAGATATATTTTACTGCATAGTGAGCAGAATTTGAATATGTGGTAGCGAGAAGTAGAGTATTGTATGTGCTTTACCTTTATAAGGTTTTTTCCTTCTTGATAGCGATACATTATTGTGAGGAGTAAACATTTTCAGACAAGAAAGATTGTCATAGTCACGAATTATTGTATGTTCATAAGAGAAAAATTAGTTTCATCTTAAATATTTGTCATTAAAATATCTCAGAGTGCACGAATATTTTTACGTAAATCTGCTGATTCATTCCTTTTTCATCATGTATGTGACGATTTATAAAGGTAAGTTGTGCGTTGCCTCAAAGGACGGTTTGTTTATATATGCAGTATGGTGTGAAGATTGACAGAAAAGGTAAAAACAATGAGGGATGTTATCGCGTCTTTGAGGATTGCGTGGAGACAATTATATATGTAAATAATGTATAACGTGATCTCTTTGTTTAATGAGATCGAGAGAAGAGGTTGGATATCGATACCGATGAGAAGTTAGCACCTACAAACAAAAACGGGATAAAATGAATTCATCCAATGCCAAACTTGATTCTACATTGGATGATTTTACTTTCGAAATCGTTTTTACGGACGGTGATTCGTTTTCCTACAATTTCGCTCTATTCTTTTGCCTTTTGGTATTACTTTCGCATTGACTACTCTCTCTTTTCCGCTGACACAAACTATCATTCATTTTATTTCGTCGATTTTGCAATATAAATATCATCAAATGAAGAAAATTTTGGGTTAAATTGCCTTGTAAAAGGTATTGAGTCGTATCTGATGATTGTTACCTATGTTTTTTTAGTGGCTGTCATTATGAAATGAAAAAAAAGGTGCGTAGAATAGTATAAAGAGTGTATTCAGAACGATTTACCGTAGTCAACTGTTTTGTCGTTTGTAAAAGTTACACGATACTCTTATCTATTTTGACTGTATACAGTATTCTTGAAAAGAGTGTGCAACATGGATATCCATTTATTTGATAAATATGTTCTATGACTGAAAAACGCATAAACATTTCTTATGTAACAAATCTATGCAAATAACGTTATTTTCCTCACATTGTCCTGAATTCCAAGGATATTTTGATGATTCGATTGTTTTGAATCACCTGTTTCTTTCTTTTAATAGTCATTATTTATACATACTGATCATACCATCAATCATTCAAGCGAAGGTATTTGACAAAGAATAACTACTTATTTTGATCCGATAATTATCTCTAAAACATATCTGATAGCCTTGGTACAAAAGGAAATCTTTGACATATAAATGACATTGAATATTCCGATGAAAAGATAGGATTAATATCCACAAATAAACTTAATCAGATACACATTCATTTCTAAAAACAACATTCGAATGAAAATATATGAAAGAATACTTTGATTTTGTATATATACGATGATAGACAACTTATCATCATTGGTAGTGTCAATCATTACAGAATGTTTATATAAATGTCGAATCATTTGAATAGTTCGACGGTGAAATATATGCGTTCATTTCTTTGACTACTGATGAAAGGATAATATCACTCCATTTTTATTATTCAATGAATATAATATAACAACAAAAAATGATCAAAGTAATGTAAAAACATAACCTTCTGTTTGCTTGTTTTTGAGAATAGAGAAAAACGAGAGAGAAGAGATACATGGCGATTAATTTTTCTTCTTCGTTATCGAGTCTGTTGGTGACAAAGATAAGTACGGATAAAAATAGGGTAATTGATCATTAGTATTGATCAATTTAGAAGGTTTCAAATACGGTTGAAAACGGGAATGACTAGACGTTTTTGTTGGTTTATGATCTGATCGAATATGATTATATAATTCATATTCCGATAAAAATCTTGCGCCACATTTCAAATAATGACAGACGTACAATTGAAGATTATTAAGCGGATTGGTACATAGGTATTGAGATGTGTGACATTGAAAACATCCAGGTACTGTGCAAAAGGATGGATATGAATATTGAGATGCGAGATAAGGAAATGATGATTGTGGAAATAAATTTGTTAAAGATGGAGTTGAATCGATTTGTTGAGTGTGAGATGCTTTCGAAGGTCTTTTTGGTGATACAGGTGAGAGACGTTTTGTTGAAGAAGATTTTATTAGTTGAGATGTGAATATCGATGGAGAATCTTTTCCAATACTCGAACATGTTTGAGCAAGAAGTTCTAATGGACTTTGTTTAGATTCGGACTAAGAAGAAAGAAAGAATAGGTTAAGAAGAAAATCAAGTTTCTTCACTTACTAGAAGTATTGAAGACGGTTGAATATAATCTGATTTCGTTGTTGTTGAAGACATCTGCTATTTCCGAATGATGATGATGATCGGTTGTTATTTATTTGTCGAAAGTATGAAAGTGTCTTTTTTGCTTTCTTTTCTCGACAGATAAAAGAGAAAAGAGAAGGAAAAGCGAAGAACAGATTTGTATGTGTGATAAATGATGATCATGTTTGCTATTCTCATGCGAATAAACGTACACTACTGCTTGACACATGTCAATTAGAAAAGAAGGGGAAGGGAAACTAATGTTCGATGAATAATGATGGCATCTATATAAACGTTGATATAGCGTGTTGTATTCGATGGAAATTTGTCTCGTTTTCGTTTGGTTTTCATGATGAAAGAAAAACAAAATTTTGTCAGTTTAGAAAAGTAAAGAGATGAAAATGATGAATATCGACAGTTATGACAAGAAAAGGCAAATTTTGTTGGTTAAATGACAGATAATAATGATGATGATATAAAACATTTCGAACTGACACAGACGTATTCTTTCTCGAAGTACTTTTATGATCATGATCACATTGCTTTTTGTGTCGTTTTTTCTTCTTCTTCTTCTTGACAATAACTGAAGATATCGATCTATACGAGAAAGAAACATCAGAAGACATTTGGATCATTAATCATTCAATGTTCTTTAATAATAACAATACTTCGACAGGCAAACGAATGATTTATTGACAACGATGAGATGAAACATGCGATTCATTTCATCAATATCCATTGATTTGGGTAGAAATGATTATAAACGATTTCTAGTACGAAAAATTTCTTCGACAATTTCAATTCCAAATGAACTCGACATTTATCGTCGTGAAAAGAAAAAGAAGTTCTTATCGATTATCATAGATTGTCTTCTCAGATTAATAAAGTTTATTATGACTTATTCCACTTGAAAACAGATCAGATTATTCGAATTTTTAATCATAATTGACACTTTAAATAGAAGAAATTTTAAGAGATTTCATCTCGAAGATGAAAATATGAAATAAATACAACTAAGAACGTCTCATTCAATACAAACGCCCATCTCTCTGTATTATTCTACATTGTATTCATATCATTCCTTCTCTCCCCTCGAAACAAGAATGAACAAACGAAAAGAAATTCCTTACTTAAAACAACGAATCTTCACCATAGACAACGAATTCCATGTAAATAACACAATTGACACGACAATTCTTCTTCTCATTACATTCATTGGAAATCTCTTTGCATTGTGTGTCTCAATAGATCAATATCAACGCAAAAGTGTTCATGTTCTCATTTGTAATTTAATTCTTGAAGGAACAATTTCGTCTTCAAAATTTGATTTTGTTAAAATGATTTCATTTATTAATTTCAATGAATATTTTATATTAAATAATGATCAATGGTTGAATAAATGTTGGTGTAAATGTGAAATGTCTATTCTTCGAGTTATGGATTTTCATCTTGGTTATACAATTGTGTTTTTATATTTTGTCAATTTCCTTATTTTATTTATCAATTAATTCGAATTTATAATCCTTTAATTCAATTTCAATCATTTCTTATTGATATTCCATTAATTACTCTTCATTTTGGTGTTTTGCATTTTTACCTTGTTTTCATCATTGATTTCCTTTTCTTCAATCTCGATGGTTTCATTTGACAACATAAATTCGATCAAATGGAAAATATATTCAACAAATATTTGAAGAATTTATTCAATTTAATCATTAACGAAAATCAAAACATTCTAATGATGTTAATCCGCCTTTCATTTTTTCTCGAAATAATATCAAATCAACAATTAATAACATCTCTTCTATCACCAAAGCCAACAAAATTCATCAAGACGAACAAACAACAGAACTTTAATTGTACAGAGTTTTCATTTTGTATAAGAAATGTGGAATAGGTAATTAAATTCGTCAACAAATCCGATAGAGTTCTTGGTGAACGATTTGCATAGTATTTCAAGTGTGGAATTAGTGCACTTGAGTGAAAAAAGTCCTCATTTGATGATATTATGGTGATATAATCATACCAGTCATGTAGAATTATGCTGATGACATGAACTAACAGATACATAACGAAATATACACCTGACAATCTGAGGAAACGTTATAAGACAAAAAATGAGTTATTTTATAATTCAATACAACGAGTTCTTCTCTCTTGTTATTTACTCTCTTATTCAATTCAAAATAATATAAAACAATAGACAAAAATCAGTTGTACTTTGTTTCGCTAACAAGTGATATTCATAACGTGTTACATGAGAAGAGTTTATTTGATTTTTATGATATTTAATCAATCGAAATACGCGAATCATATTTCTAATAAAGGTGAGTTTTTAAGAAACTGGAAGGAAATTTTCTCAATTCATAAGAGCGATTAGTTCGATTGATATATACGTATAGTAGGTCTTCAATTCATCGATTCTATTCTTGTTGATTCACTTGATATGAACGTTGTTCGTTGAGAGGAAAACGCCATTGCAATCTTGTTTCGTTTCCTTCGATGACAAATGTATCGATTTGAATATGATTTTCATTGCATAATAAACGAATCGTTTGTAAATCAAATCTTCCTTGCGATTCATCATAACAATCCATCGTTTCACCATCATCATCGTATAGATTAAATTCACTTGTGCCGATTCCTTCGAATGGATAAACGCGTATTTCTAAGCCATCATCAGTTTGAAATGGTAAAAGAGCACCTTCACGAACAAATAACGGAAATATATCCAATGTTGCTGCGACTGTGATCGTTTGTCCACCAGCATAAATCTGATCTGTCCAGAAGTCATACCATTTCGTTCCGGATGGTAAATATAATGTACGATTTGTGGCATTTTCTTCATAAACAGATGCGACCAATAGCCATGGTCCAAGGAGAAATTCAAAAGATTGATCACGACATTTTTCATCGAATTGAAAATGATAAACAGTTGGACGAATAATCGGATGACCGGTTATCGCCGCTTCGTGTGAAAGAGAATATAGATACGAATGTAAATGCTTACGAAAATATAAGGCATCATGAATCAATGGAAGAGCATCTTCATACATCCAAAGAGAATTTTCACTATTATCATCGCAGTTGTCATCTTGATTTGGACGCCATGAATGAACACAAAATCTCGGATGAAATATACCATTTTGTATCCAGCGAACGAATAATTCTAACGAAGGTTTTTCACCAGCAAATCCACCAACGTCATGACCAATCAATGGAAAACCACTTAGAGATAAATTTAAACCCATAGGTATATTATACTTCAATGTATGCCATGAACAACGATTATCTCCTGTCCATGTCCCAGCATATCGTTGTGCACCTGCACATGCAGCACGTGTTAATAACCAGGGACGAACAGTTGGATTTGCTTGAATTTGTGCGTCATATGATGATTTAATCATTAGAATTGTTTGAATAGGTCGTAAACCTTCAATTGATTGTCCATGAAAACACTTCGCTTGAGAATTTCGTATGTTGAACTCATTATTATCATTCCACGTACAATCAATTCCATTCTTTAATATTTTTTCGATAACTTGATTTTTCCACCATTGAACAGTCTTGGGATTAGTGAAATCCAGATGTGCACCCAATCCACCCCAAAATGGTGATAGATCAGGTTGTTTTTGTTCGTCATTCTGAATAAACAACGCTCGACATTCGTTAAAATATGGGTGTGTAGTTAACATAGCTGGTTTAATATTTGCTAAAATTTTCATTCCCGCACGATGAAAGTTTTCCGCAATAGTTGGCGGTGAGGGCACACGCTGTTTATCCCAAACAAATACATACCGTTTTCCATCAGTACTATTCATTGAATAACCTGAAGACAAATGAAAGCCCGTACATTCAATACTATATTTAGAACATTTATCAATAAATTTCTTTAGCATATCTTGGGCATTGGCTGCATCAGTATATTTCATTGCTGAACCCAAATATCCCAATGTCCATTTAGGTGCTAACGGACAATGTCCAGTTAGTTTTGTATATTGCTCAATTACATGTTCAATTAGAGGTCCGTTGATAAAGTAATAATCTAAATCTGGGTCTTTACTCTCAAAATATACCATATCACCAAAGTAATTATCGATTTCACAGCCGAAATCAAATGTACAGTCATATGTTGTATCATAAAATAAACCGAATGCATGATCATGTCGTAATGTTATGTAGAATGGAATATGTTTATAGAGTGGATCACTATGTTCAGCATTGTAACCCATGGCGTCCATATTTCGCATTCGATATCGACGAGATTTTTTATCGATTGGACCACTTTTCTCACCTAAACCATAATAATGATAATGATCATCCGTCGATGGTCGAGAAAGTGTATGACGAAATTGCTGTGTGGAAGTTGAATACTGATAACTACAAACAGGATTGTCTTGCAGAAGAATTTCATGATTTGTCATCCATACGATTGCAAATGGTTTATGTAAATGAATTTTACACGTAATTGTATCAGTGGATATCAATAGTTCATTTTCATGTTCAATCACAGTGAAAATACAAGTGTCATTACCATAATTATTTCGTGAAATTTCATGGCGGAGGCGACCTTCATAAGGAACGTCATTTGTTTCTTTATCAACGATAGCCCATGTGCGTGCTGTCACTGGTTCGCCTTTTGGCCAAACTCGAACACGAATAAGATTATGAGTCAAAACACTGATTATATATTTTGTTAATTGATTTTCTTGAGAAATAATTATAATTCGATTTGCTTTGTCATGTATCCACTTCAGCGATACTCTTTCAATAGAATCTTCAAAAATCATAATCTAGAAAGAAAGAAAGAATGAAAGAAAGAAAGAAAGAAAGAAGTCAATCACAGGTGCAAAAAACATAGCAATAAAACTGAAATATGAACTCTAATCATCAGGATATCGTGTTCCGTGGATTGTCCATGACATTGGTGTATATATTTTCACCAAAGTTTGTACACGCTTCAAATGTGCTTCTTCGAGCATATCAGCAGTCTTTGAAAGCTTGTTCTGCACCGCATATGCTCCAACTACACCTGCTGCTTGTCCAATAGAAAATTCAACTGGATGTAGACGAGTAGCTGAATTCACTAAAAATGACTGTGCCATAGTCTTACCAATCACAATCAAATTATCTACGTCACGGTTTGTCATGGCTCGTAAAGGCACATAGTATGGCAAAATAGGATAGTATTCGTTCATATACGATGGATAAGTACACTGCTGCATGGGATGTACATCGACGTCATAAGCACCAATGCATAGACGATCCTCGAAAATATATCCATGTAAATCACGTGCATGTCCACTTATAGTTGTGATGTTCATAAGAAACTCTCCGACTCCAATTGATCGACGTGATTCTCTTAGATACGGCATTTTTGCCAGACCGTGACATGTACCAGCCGCAGGAACCGAACGTACAAGTACAGTTCGATTAGCCCATTGTGCAGGAGAATTCTTTCGATACCAATAATGATATCCATAAGCTTGTCGTTCTGCATTCTGAATGGCATCTAAATTAACTCCACCTTGCCACTGATTTGTATCTCGTTGATGCTGTGCATCCGATAAAGAAAGAAAAAAGAATTCTTTTCGATAATCATTTCCACCCGACCAATTTTGTATTGTTATATCATTAGCAGCAACAGTATCTGCATTGGGTGCAGATGTGTTCACTCGTCGATATGTCCATATACGTTCCCATGTTAAAGATTGAAATGTGTAATTGGCTCCTCCAGTGGGTTCAGGCAATGGATTTGGTGGTTCATCAGCAGGTGTCTCTCGTAGTTGTTGAAGAAAATCGAACGTAAACGATTGACCACATGTCGAATCACCAACACCTGATGTGTCACCATCAAAACGTTCCATCAAACCCTGTAGGTAACTTGCATTCGACAAAACTAACACTTCACCCCATGAACTACCTTCCATAACATATACCATGTTTGTAAATAATAATTGTGTCTTTGTAAACCATGCACTGTCTATTGGCGAGTACCAATCGGGCAATTCTTCTGATAAAAATCGACAACGTTCGGTCGATGATTGTATTGATGTACGTTGAATGGCTTCAATTTGAATAATTCGGCGACCACTTGCATCTTTATTGATACGTTTAATGACTGTGTTGTAAAATATCCGAGTATTATTCAACTCTGGCACGATCGCTTCTGAATGAAACAAATTTGGAATTGAACATTTTGGCGATACCCAACATCGACCTGTATCGCCTAGGACAGCAAGCATTTTGGCAAAGAGAGGATTTTGATTATTCATTTGTCGATCGATCGAACCGACATTCAAAGTATAATTTGTATCCTTATCTTTCACTGTATGAAACGCAAAATCTGGTGCACTCAACAATTCAGCTGATAATTGTCCGCCAATCCAATCTGTTGGTTCCAGTACACATACGTTTCCTTTTAAAAACTTCGAAGCTGTTATTATTGCTCCTAGAGCAGATGTTGTTCCACCAACGATTAATAATTGACAATCGTCAATCGTACGAACCGAAGAATCGATCGAGTGAATAAGACACACAATTACGAGAATATGCAGAAGCATTTCTATCTAAGACAAAACAAGAAAAAAGTATTATTCACTAGATGTACGAATTTCTCTCGAAATCTTCGTTCAGATCTTGTATAAATAAATATAAACGATTTGTCAACAGATTATTTTCTTCTATTATTGATAAAATATACCTATTTATGGAGTCTAAGCAATATAAATAATTTCTTAGAACAGTCGCGATTTCTACTGTACTACTTTCCTTCTCACCTTTTAGTTTCGTCGAGTGTAACAGATAAACTCAATGATATCATATAGATTTACGAAGTATTTAGACAAGAAGATCTTTTAAGTAATTTTGTTGAATTTAACGAAATTGAAGGTGTCGAATGGAAAAATTCGTTTTCGATAACATTAGGTGGTATTCAACAGTTTGAAAGGAGATTCGTTTTGAAGGAGGATAAGGGAGATATGCAGAGAAAAAAAAGTAACGGTTATCTACTGATTGTTGGGTTTGCGAATAAAAAGTGTTTATGTAGAAGAGAAAATTTTATGAAATAAAAGTATTCATCAAATGATAACAGATAGATAAAAGAGAAACATTTCGTGTATTTATAATTATCTTTCATGTTGTTTCTTGTTTTTCGGTTGAATAAGATGAAAGTAAAAGTAAAGTACGTGCATTCACATCTTTCTACTGAGTTTACTTTTATATAGAAGTTTTCAACTATAAACTATTTTACTTTATGATAAGCATTTTCTACGTAAATAGATATATATTCATTAGAATTCGGTATTTTCAAATTTGATGAGTAGCTGTTCGTTCGAGACTATAAGCCTTTTTTTGTTATAAAATAAGAATGAGATTCATATCATGTTTACATAGTGTCGTTACCCATCGAATGCGTTTGAGATTATACAAAATTCATAGTTGTAGGCAAATGAAATTGTGCTTTTACAACTAGAAAACTTTGCATGGGAAAGTTTGTTTTAACTATAATTTAGCAATACTTAAGAGAAAAGTTTGCTAATTTCGATGAAAATCGCATAAAAGATGAGTCACTTTCAAAATTCATGACCTTGAGCAAATGCGTTAGGTAACCTTTATACTAATCACCTGATTTATTCTCTTGACGAGGTACAAAATACCGTATGAAACTTAATAATACAGAAGATAAAATAAGTTGACAAACTATATCCAAATTAAGATTGTTTAGAAAATCTTCACAAACTTTTCAGTCAGCTTAACGAAAGTCAAACAATTCAATCGATTGAATTTTTAACCATTTTCAGGCATCCATACGCCAATCTCAAACCACAATTTTACTGTATACTTCAAATTTGCAAACGCGTATTGATTTTTTGTTTTATATATTCATAGTTTATGTAATTCACTCAAACTCATATGCATAGAGACTCATCTTTTCAATTTTCTCTTGTGCATTCATTGAATATTTCTATTCTTTTTGGTTTAGTTACTTATTCTACCTGAACAGTTTTGTATTTCACTATGATATGTGTGTATTCATGTAATATTCTCATAATAATTTGGTTGTTTTAATAAATAATACGAGATGAATCGTCAAAACTAAACTTAATATTCATATTAAGTTACGAACAATTTCACGAATGTCGATCAATTGCCAGTAAACGAGAGACACAGATTAATCTATATCACAGATATACAGATCATTTTATTTTCATTGAAATTCCATATCCAAAAATAATATTCATTCTACTGATTCGACTGATTTTACTTCACAACAAAGTATACAAATATTTTCAGTGGGATATCTACAAAATTGTAATCATGCTTCAATAATTTACGTGAGAATATATGATTAGTTTGGGGCTTCTCTTTTTTAATCCCTAGGCACGTTTTCATTGATGTGTCCAAATAGCGTGCACTCATCTCACTGGCTACTTACATATAAGCCTATTCATGCACAACGGGAAAACAGAAACATCTTTCTTGTTTACAATCTTCATATCTCTCTCGGCCTCGGGGGTGTGCGTATGTATAAAACAACGAGAAAATCAACATATTCTCACAAATATCAATTGATCGTCAAACTTAACACAAGTTATTTGCTTGATCGAATAGCAGCTCACAAAAATGGTTTATAGCAAAGGCGCTGTCTATCTCTTGGTTTTAACTGCGATTATTGCAATAAATATTACACCATCAGCCAGTTATGCTTGTGGTCCTGGCAGCTGCAATTGCAAAACCTGTGAAAGTAAAACATGTTATCGTGGTTCTACAGCTGCCGGCTGTACAGATAGTACCGGACTCGGTTGCTGTTCTTCTTGTTGTATCGCCGTTATTCCACGTCGTGATGGCATTTATTATGGTCCTTATTACCCAAATACGAAGTCAGGGATGTATTGTCCAGATAATCAACTTGCTAATCCAGTTGATAGCTACATGCTCTCAGACAGCGGTTGTAACAAACCTTACTGCCCAACACCTGGCAGTTACTGCCTTTGGCCTGGTACAACACAAACAAAAATAAAACGCACCTTCACTGACAAATTGGCTTATTTCCGTCGTGCCCTTAATAACGCTTTTGATAGCGACGATGAAGACCGTAAATAAAGCAGGTAGAGTATCTTAGCCTACTGTTTTAATGTTCTGATATTTAAAAAATGTTCGAATATACTCTAATGTTCTTCATTCTTCGATGATTGTTTGATATTTTCATTGGATGTAATTTCTAATGAGCAATATCATTCGTAATTTTCTTTTCAGGCTTTATCATACAAACATTCAATGGTCAAGACATCGACATTCGTACTAATACTCTTTTATAACTAACAAGTTTTATGCATCATGTTTTCATTCGGTATATTAATATACTTCAGCAACTTTTTCCGCATTTTCACTTCATTATTTATTCTCTACACTTTCCGCTTAATTTTTCATTTGAATAAAAGGATCATCCAACATACACATTTTGATTCTTTCTTGCAAACGAATGTAAATAATTGATGATAATCAAAAATAAGTGCAAAGAAGAAAAGCAAAACATGTGCAATCAGAAATAATAGATAAGTGAATCAAAGGAAGACTCGCAAATTATGCATCTTCCGTGTTCGAATACCCTTCAAACAAAAACAACCTCAAGTTTTTATTCAGTATTCTCTGTTCACATTCCACACCAACTTCCTTGACTATTTGTGTTGAAATAGATCGTTTGTAAAACTATTCGCATCGAGAAATGAACGAATCTTCTCGTTTTTCTTTCATTTAATGTAAAGAATGAACAAAACTCATACATAAACACGAATGGATAATATTTTGAAAAGAAAAACAATATCCTGAGAAAAGAGAAAAAAGAATTTATCATTTCATTGCCATATGTAAAATAAAATACAAATCAAAACTGTCACAATTACAATTACAACATTGCTACGAAACTTAATTTATGATGAACTAGAATTTGATCGTGTTGCATCGATCTGCCGTTTAAAATAATGTGCAATATCAGATATATTCGGTCGTTTTGTTCCCTCAATATGCCAACATTCGCATAACAAATCATAAATTTCTTTAGGACAATCTGCTGGAACAGATAAATTGAATGATGTGTCATTTTTTGCATCTTTTTCTCGCATAAGAAGACGTTGGTGAAGTTCTTCATTTCTTAATGATACATACGGTAAATAAGAACATCGCGACCAGATTTCCCATAAAGTAACTGCAAATGAATATACATCTGATTTTGTTGTTGTTGTGTTCATCTAGAAATCAAACAAAAAACAAAACAATAAAGTTTTCATTAATGAGATATAATTTACTGTCAATGCTTCTGGTGCCATCCATCTCAATGGTATTAACTGTCCATTCGTTCCCATCCAATATTCATGTTGATATTGCGGTAAAGCCATTGCACAATCTGTTAGTTTAATTGTATAATCAGCATAGAACAGACAATTTCGTGTTGCAACATCTCCATGAATGAGATTTAACTGTGATAAATACTGAAGTGCATTTGCTAATTGATACGCAAAAAACATATTCATCCTAAAATCAACAGAATGGAAGATTAATCGTTATGAAATCTTCTTGACGACTCATACTTTTGAAAGGTCGTATCATTTGTTTGATGATTTGATAGTGTATGAAAATAATCTTGTAAACTTCCGAAATGTGAATGTTCTTGAACAAGATAAAGAGATTTGAGTTGTGCTCCATATAAACACGCCAGATTTGGATGATTTAACCGTGATAAAATGTCCATTTCGTTGAGAAAAGTTTGTCTAAATATGAAATACGCAAATCTTCTCTGTTGAATTTTCAAATCAAATGTCTACCGTGATGAATGAATTGAATTTGATTTGACTATTTTAATCAACACACATTTTGGTTCGTTATTGATAAAATAATTTCCGAAGTAAATTTCCCCATTGCCAGTTTCCGATACTTTTCGAATGGCGATCAATTTCGATTCATCGATTACGATCGGAGGTGAATGAGAACTTTTCGATGAAAGAATTTCTCGTGGAATAATACAATTAAATAAGCTCAAATGTTGATTACAGTACACTTTTTCAATTTGTTCAATATCAGATGATGCATAATGAAATGTCTAAACGAAAAAAAGAAAATTCATCAATCGTAAAACAAAAATTATTTATCTGAAATTTCTTACATTATTATTTGACCATTGTTTATAAGTATTTGAAGAATAATTTCCATCAATTACAGCATATTGTTCGCCTTGAAATACCGATGATGATGGTGTAGTTTGTAGTAACGATGTTGTTGATGTTATGGGATAAATATACGAACCCATAGATTGTTGTTCACTGGTCATGTCATCGTATTTACCAGATAAAAACATTTGAGTGATCTTTTGAGCTACAGGTAATGTACTTCCATCGTGTTCACTCGACGTTGATGTACATGATCCACTTGTTGTAGTTGTCATTTGAGAGGATTTGTAATAGAGATTACTATCTTGTCGTAGACGATGATGAGAACGTCGTCGGAGACGATATTGACGAATTCGATGAAAAGTAAGTAGAAGAAGAAGAAAAAGGCCGAAGAAAAGAATGGAGATAATAACGATTGTTAACCATTCGAATTTAAAAATCAGCAATGTTGATGTTGCATAAGTTGAACTGTGAAGAATTACTAAACACGAACGAAACTATTTTTTAATTGAATAGATTAGTCTTTTGCTTACTTGTCGAACAATTTGTCGCGTTTTGGATTATGAATGATACTGGTTCGTTGTCGAAAGTAATTTCTGTAAGAAAAAGTAATTGAGTGTGACTGAACTCAAATTTCATATGTAATTTTTTTCCAATAAACTCATTTCCATATTGATTCAATTGAATTTTATCAAAAAATACTGTGGACAAAGAAGATTCCATCGATGATACGCGATGTTTCACCACATGATTATCATCAAACTTCATTTCAACAGATTCGTATTTTTGATTCATTGTATAGATTTGTATTGTCTTAAAATGTCGTGTCATATCAAAATCGAATTCAATTATAACAGGCGATCTATTCCAACTAATCCAATGATTTTCATCACCACCGATAATTCCATCAGTCAATTTTCCAATTCCACCTAATTGAATACAATTAAATCCAACGAAAAATCTATCGAATAAAACATTTTACCATCGTATGTGTGATCTTTATCAACACTTGGTGAAGTTGTATAAGAAGTCACACCACCTAAATATGATCATTGGAAATGAAAAGATTGATGTCAATGATTTTTACCATAGTAAGGACATCCGTAGAGTTCAACTCGCATACAAACGGTTCGCCAACGTTTACTGTAAGGAATGATTCGAACACGTTTTGCGAGAAATGCTGAAGAAAGTGAACGTTTCTCTGCAACATATGTATTTGTGTTTCCTTTGAGAATCTTGAAGAAGAAAAATCAGGTTTTATAGGAGGAAAATGATGATTTACTGTGTCATTTGTAATTTGATTTCGATAAGTAAGCCAATCCGATGATTGATTATCTCGTTGATATTGAATTCGATAAAATTCTGCAAATTCTCTACCTTGTCCATTGCCAAATCGACCTTGTGTTTCAATTGAATTTATAAAAAATAATTGCGATAATTCAATTTCAAGATATTCGTATGAATTGATTCCAATGGGTTTGTCGGGACACCATGCTCCACCTTCAATTTCACTTCGAATCCTATTTGAAAAGAATTTTACTAAGGTTTCATTCATTTGCCTTCGTTTTCTTACCTTGCCATTTGTGCACCAACACTACTCACATCATGTGTTGAACTTGAGCTCAAATCATTATCAGTAATTGTACCTGATTCCATCCCCAATGGCGCATCACAATGTTCTGAAAAAATGAGAGACATGCAAACATGTATAATTAACCTTTTTGCACGTATTTACCATATTCAGGCAAGAGCAAATTCGATGAAACATTAATAATAAGAATTGCAAGTAATAGAAAACATCTGGGATTCATCTGAAATGGAATTGAACACATCTGATAGATCTAAAATCAGAAAGAAACATTTCGAAATCATCAATCTAGTGTGATAATATACACATATCAATGACTAATTAAAGGATAAACAAACAGTTCGATTTATTTCATTGGACTCACCTTCAAATCAATTAATTATCAATTTTTTTTTCTTCAAAAACAAAAAAAGAAAACCAATGTCAGTTCATTTTTATTTGATTTTCAATGTCTAGACATTCTATTTGTATTGTTTTTTTCGTTCATCTTTCTAACTCTATTTCGAATGACATCTTCTACATAAATATATGTACATCACTGCACACATCAACATAGATTTTTTTGACAAGATTGTATGTATGTATATATATATATGATCGTTAATAGCTATCTGTTCGCACTTCACTATAATCACTCGTGTAATCACGGATTGACACAACGTGAATTCGACTATGACGATCGTATTACGCAAAAATAAAATGAATATAAAGGCGTACTTAACTGACCACTATTGTCCGATGTATATCTATGCTCAGTGATTGTATAAACAAATCATATGGAAGAAGTTGTCTGAGATATGTTCAATAGGAAATATTCCTGATTGACTGACGGACGAGTGAATGAATGGACAGTTAATACCATTGAGATGGATGGCACCAGAAGCATTGACAGTAAATTATATCTCATTAATGAAAACTTTATTGTTTTGTTTTTTGTTTGATTTCTAGATGAACACAACAACAACAAAATCAGATGTATATTCATTTGCAGTTACTTTATGGGAAATCTGGTCGCGATGTTCTTATTTACCGTATGTATCATTAAGAAATGNCTCCACAACCGATCCTCTGTTTCTTCTTTATCCTCGCAGCTTTTCTCCTCGGATCGGCAAGTACTGTTGTCATCATGCTCTATCGAATGTCTCAGGAAGCTGAACGTACTCGACTAACGACCCCAGACATCAACCAACAACGTTTCAATGTTGACCTGTCCATCCAAATAAAGCTGTCCGAATCTCTCACGACGAGTAACTTTGTAAATATGAGTTCCGTCGATAGTGAAGATAATGCTGCAAACAAGCTGTTGGAGACGTGGCGATCGCTGTCACCATCGTTGGATCGTGTGAATAAGTTTTCTTACGACGTCATGCTCTCCAAATATGTAGAATCGTCTGCGTGGAATGGAATCCAACTACTCGATGGCCAAAACAATACAGAACTTCTGAAAATTGATCGCCTGTCAACGAATGAACTCATCTCATTTTCGTCGTTAATGAAATCGGGAACAGTTGATGGGAAATTCGTGTACTATGTGAACTACGGACGACAAGAAGATTTTGCATACATCTTCAAGCATCGAATAGGTATTCGAGAACCAGAAAAATCCGTTGTTTTTATGCGTCGACGACCGTCGGTCATTTCTCAGACTGAACAGATTTATCAAGCCATCTATTATGGTTTTGGTGGCTTAGTTCTCTTCGATGACAATGTTGATCAGCAGATAGTAACCAACAATCGACACACGTTTTTCGAAGAATGGAGACGATATTTAGCTATGCAGGGTAACCTACACGAAAGGTTCGAGACGAATTTTATGCTTTTCATATATAGACCGTGATGACTATCTGAATGGAAGACTGAAGAATACCAATCATTCGATATGTGTGTTGACTCTTTCGTACGATGACGTTCAACGTATCTTCGGATCTCTTCAGCCCGATTCCAATCAGTGGTCAACTCCTCCACTCGAATGGCACAATCAATCCACACTGATGAAGATCGGCGGACCGCTCACAACTATCAAACTCAGACTCGTTGTCAACGTGGAACAAGTCAAAGTCGAGCTCCCAGTCGTCATGAGTTCGATTCGTGNATAAGAGGCGGAATTCTGCTTTGTTATGAAGAATGTCTTCGAGATAGATGAAGTCGAGTGATTTTTTAATCATGTTTGAAGTATTACAATAGACAAGAGAGAGAGAGAGAAAAGGAAAATGAGGAAAGAAGACGACCATTATTTCCTATACTTTATCAACAAAGAATATAAAGGATGGACTGACAAATGAGTGCATGGGCGTTCTATATAAAGGAGAATATATGTGTGGAGAACTTGTTTGACCGGAAACATGTACACACGCAAACGGGAATGACTGAGTATATATTTGCTCAATGTGTCGATGAACAAAGTTATGGAAGAGTTAGACAACAAAATTATACTTATGAGACTCGTTTCTATTGCTATTAGTTATGTGAACGATTCCTACATCGATATATGATGTAAAATATAAAAAATATAATTTGATGATGAATGACATCGTAGAGTAGAATATGTTTGTTCCATTGAGATCGACTTAATTATCTCATTCATCTTGATTGACTTCTCATTATGAACTCATTTTATGGAAATGAACAAAACAAAAGAGATGATCACAAAGAAAATTTGAAATAATGTCAACGATAAATCATTTTAAAAGATTGTTTTTTATGCGATAACTCTTAAATACGTGTTTACAGCAGATGTATTTGCGGTTAATGACAAAAGAACAAGAATTCTAATTATTATCGATAATGATTGTTTATTAAAACAGTCGTTCTGGTATTTCGCTCCAACATGTACAGAAATTAACTTGGGTAATGAGAGTCAATCGATTAAAAATAGCCTTTTTTTTTGCGAAAATCCAATATTTTCCTGCACACCTATTGATCAATCGTTTGGATATATGGTTTTATATTGATTTTAGTTTTAATTCAATATATTTTTTATAAGTAAAGTTTACTTTGGTTTTTTTTGCAAGAATTTCTATTCACTTCTCAAACACTTCAGACGGTTTGGATTCAAAATCGAAAGAGAATACATCGATGCGTCAGTTTTATATTCCATTCAAATTGTATTAACAGTTCTCCTGGCATGTGAACCAATTCTACTGTATGCAACAGAAACAACAGCATTTGGAAAAAGCAAAGTAAAAATGAAGTTTTACTTTAAAAAAGCGAGGTAAACATTCAATGTATTTCAGCTTCCGGGTTACACAATCTTTCGTTGTGTACTTCGAACTGCAGTTTGGCTATTTTCATTGATCATTCTTCGAATTGAACGGACAAAAACAATGCCAACAAGTCAAACACGTGGCCATGGTTTGACACTCTTGACATTTTGGTGCATTGCAGTTTTAATCGAATTATGCACTTTGATATCTTATCGTTCGTCATGCAAAAGTGGCTGAACCAAAATTGATGACATAAATATCAAAACAATTACAGAAAATTCCCTTGGTCACTCGATCACTGTCGTGCTACAACAGCACACAACAATTCTATTTAACCGAGACATTTTATACAAAATACGTTCTGATCAAGTGCCAGCAATAGACAGAGAAATCGAAAATGCTGCGTGTACCACTGAAACGCATGATTGGATAAACATACTGGTGAACGTGAGTTGGAATTATCTCGCGGTGAAAAATATAGAGAAACTATTCTGGAAAATCTATTCTATATATCGTAAATACATTTCTTTTATTTAACAGTGTGCCGCTATTGTAAGAACACTTCTAAAAGTACTTGCCATTGTTTTATTGCATGAGTTCACACACGCGCCTTCTTTTATTCTATATCTTTATGCTATTCGATCTTCCGGAAGAAGAATTATTTTATGAGAACAGATATAATTTAAACATCACCTTACGTATTATTGTTTTAGATATCTGATCCAGTTCCACATTTATGAAAAGTTTGTAGTAAACAAGGACTAAGAGTGAAACACACATTGACGAATTACAAGTAAATGAACAAAGACGATCTGTCTTTTCATATACACATGCATTTAGTTAATTCGTTTTGAAATTAATCGGTGTATATCTTATCGAAGAGACAGAACTTTTTCTCCTCTCGTGAAAGCATTCTATTGATGCAGTTTTATTCCCTACAGACAATGTGCTACACATGGCTTTTACACACAAAGCCATAGAAAGATGTTGCTCTTGGTACTCTCGTTCAATTCTCATTCCATTCGATTTGTATATCTGGAAGTGATGATGTAGATCGTTTCGGTCACTTATACATCGATATATAGCTTTGTATATTGAAATAAATGTGAAAAAGGTTCTTTTTTTTTCATTATTCAAAATAATTATATACAAAAATAAGATTATGTGTTTCTCAGTTGAGTGCAATCCAAGAAGAATCACCGAGAAAAAGTTTAGACGAAAAGAAGCAAACAACAGGAAGAAGTTAGACTAGAACGAAAAGATTGACAGGACTTCGTTTAGGAATTTTTCAATTTTTCAATATGGTGAACGATTTTAAGTGATGGACCAAGCTTTAAACCCATGTGTCGCATAAGTGTGTCTGTATTAAGAAGAAGAAGAGCTTTGCCATCGATTTCCTGTGAATAGAAATCAAATGAATTCATTTGAAAATCGAAGAAATTCTAGATGAGCATACCTCTTGGAGAAAACGTGCAGCAAGACTATCAAACGATGGATCTATCCCGCGAACAAATGCTGCGACTTCATTCGGTGTAAACCGTTCAGGACGACGAGAACCACCGCCTTTAGAAAAGCAAATCGATTAGTTCACGTGAAATTTTTCATTTATAGAAATATACTCACTACAATTTTGCGTCGGTTTTATAGTTGGTTGACTGACTGTTATTGGATTATTATTAACGAACAAGGGTCCTAAATGGCAAATTAGAAACTAGTTTTCATTGTACGGAAAGTTTTACTTGTATCATAAACTGATCTTTCGTTTGAATTCGATCGCGCAGATTTTCCATTACTGATAAATGTTTTATTGTCTAAAATAGAATCAGTTAATTTTTTTCATCAAGACCTACTTTTACGATGACTATACCTGTATGTGACATAACTTCTGTACTTTTTCGTTTCGTTGTATTATTGATCGTTGATCGGTATGCGGGAGATAAATCTCTTTTATCTACAAAGCAAATATTCATATTGATATTTTCATCGTTAAGATATTTTTCATTTAATATACAAACCGGGTGATACAGATGAATCAAGAAATGACGACGCTGAACCGTTACCTAAATTGAGAACAAAAGATTGAACTTCAGATGTCAATAGATGTGATTAATCAATATACTTTGGTTATGCAATGATGTTACTGGTGGTGTTGAAGTAAATAGATCGTTACCAGATAAAATTACGTTTTGAAATGTTCGAATGACGTCCCAAAAGTCATCTAGTGTATCCAGTTGAGATATATAAACGATTGTTCCGTTTTCCACTAAAAGGAAATGAACTTTTCTTTAGAAGAAAAAAAACAACATTGCCTTTTCTTCAACATACGTTTGATTTCTGTGTAAAGATCTTTATTTTCGTCTTTCGGCGTTGGAAATATGTCAAGAATTCGTTTAATAAATGAGGTTTGTTGAAAAGCACATTTAACACAAGAATTGAATATTGTTGCTAAAACAATATGAATTTCCGCTGGACCGAATACCGATGGCATCGACAGACGAAATTTTTGTGGATTTAACAACATTCCACTGTTATCATCCATATAATTTAAATATACAGTTACTAAAATAGGAAGAGAAGGACATTTTGATAGGATATATAGAAATTAGTTTTACCAATCGGACGTTCTGTTTTGATGTTTTCATCAACTTCATGCTCTTTTTTCAAACTCGATGTTCTCGTTTGTTTGGGTTTGGAAACTAAATTATTATTCTTTTCATCCATAGTTGTTGGTGAATAAGATGAATCATTAGATGATGGTGAAACCACTATCTTCTTCGGTTTCGATTGTGAACGAACATTTCCATTCTGTTTATTTGGTGTTACAGGTAAAGTTTTATTCGATGTTCGAGCGGTAGCTAAAGTAAAAAGAATTTTCATATTTCGCCGAGAATTTCCTCTCCGAAAACCTACGGTTTCCTCCGACTGTTACAATTCGAATGCCAGCAAGTTTACACCAACCAACAGGAAATATATCTCTTGACGAATAATCAATTTTGAAGTTATTCGCTGTGCTCCATCCATCTAACGATATCGTAATCCGACGATCACCTGATATAATACTATCAACCGTTGCCGGACAAATCATATCAGGATGACGAGGATCGGCTGCTTCGAGCTTTTGACCTTTTTTGAAAAGATTCTTTTCAGGCTTAGCTGGTTGCGGTTTAAAACAGGATTCATCAGCAAATGGACCCGCTTTAACGTTTTTCTCGAAATATTTCGCCCAACGAGTCGAGTTTTGTTGAAAACCAAGTGGAGGAACAATTTGTCCGCCCTAAAAATAACATTTTATGAGAGAATCATCCAACACAACATTGTACATACAAGTTTTGCTGTTGTTCCATAGCAGCGAATATCCGCTGAATCCACTAGACGCCAAAAATCATTTCGATCATCAGTTCCATCTAATCGAATTCGTAATCTCGGTCCATCTTTTTCAACAATTGTTCCAATACACCACGAATCTTGATTTCTTGGATCAATTGACTCAAGTTTTTCTCCCACAACAAATGTATTCTCTGGTGGAACTAATGCCTAAAACAGAGAGCATTTCATTATTGCCTTTATTATTATTATTATTATTTTACTTGTCGGAAATTCTCAGCTGGTGCAGCTTCACTATTGGTTTCAATTAAATAACTTTTCCAGTCGTGTTCTAAATGAAATGTATTGAGAAAAAGTTCAATATATATGTTTGTCATTACCTTCTTCTATTCGTGAATCATCAGATGTGGAATTAGTATTCATTTTCGTCGGAGACGGATTCATATCTAAATAAAAGTAGTCTTTTGACGTTTTTGCTATTTTGTTAGACTTTTTTGTCTCATTTCATTGACAGAAAGAGAGAAAAAGAAAGAAAAAAGAATGATTAATGACAACGAGGAAATCAAGCCAATGGTCATTTAGATAATTGAATAGATGGCAGTGATAGTTGTCGATGGAATTTTTCTTTTCTAAATGTCATCGATATTTCCTTCGAAGTGTTTGGAAAAAATCCTTTTCACCATAGCCGAATGCTTTCGATTTCTTTTGCGTAACTCACCTGTATGAAGAAACGAATCGCGATTGTATTCTCTTTCTTTGAAAATATTCCTTCTTCCTTATGATGAGTAATATCGTAACGAAATTGTGCTTCGGTCAACAATCTAAAAACTAATCGAACAGAAATATTTCATTGGTGAGATATATTATTTGAATCAAAGGGAAATTTATCGAATGAGACTTTACATTCAGAAGAAGTCATGCGTATCAAACTACAAAGTGAATACTTTTGCGTAAGAGAACAGTTTGCAGAAGAACAACTGAACATGTTTCGTTGTTTTTTTATGAAATCAAAGATTTGCGGGAGAAAAAGTTAATAGAAACATAGAAAGAGTGTTCACGTCGATCACTCGTAAAGGGGAAAGCTAATCCATTATTTAACATATGAATAACAGAGTTTTGTGACAACTAATGGTGCTTGAAAGAGAAGGAGAAGAATCAATTGCATTCTGAACGATGTAATTTCAACAAAATTCTCATTATTATGAAAGTCATACGATCACAATTGTCAAACACTGTTTATCTTTACTTACACCTTCTGCTTGTTCTCCAGTATTATCAAAAGAAAAATGAATATCATAATCTTGCTATGGATTGGTAGAAAATTTTCCTATATACGCTTGAAATATCATGCGAACTGCAACAGTGAAAACAAAGTCTTCAATTCTTTTTAAACAGTCATATCAACGAACATTTCTAAAATGTTCAAATTTCATTAATTTAGTGAAAATCCTAACAGTGATTCTATTAGTGTTCCATTATATGTTCCGATTTCTGGACGTCGCAATTACTTACAAAAGTTTCTGTACAACAAAGACATATAAATCCTATTGTGAGAGAGTGATCTCAGCGAAGAATTTACTTTTTATATAAAAATTCTTTTAGTAAAAGTTTCATACTGGAGACTATCTGAAAGAAAGATCAGATTGGCATTTAAAGAAGAAAGTCTGTCTATCGAAGTCCGGAATCTACCAATGAAATTCGATTTTGATAGGAACTAAGCTCTCGCTTATTTCTCTCTATCGGATGATATGAAAACAGAACAAGATCAAATGAAATAATGATACATGTTACAATAAACTATACCCGATCCATTCAAAGTTCGAAAGTCTGCTTTTGCTTTTGGATTTTATCAATCAATAGATGCCGATGTTAGATGGCAAATCTTTTCTTTCAAATATGATGGATCAGGTCAATTTTCACAAATACTGAAGCACAGATAGAATTGTTACGCAAGCAGATTCTACGTGTTCTTAAAAGGTTATGAATTGTACGAGTGTGTTTAATATCGGTAGAGTTCGATTTCACTGACATAAATATGCTCTCGATATAAACATTGACAAAAAAAAACTTCATTTTTAGTATAGTTGTCTAATCACAGGATCAGACTGTCCTCAACCTTATACGTCTTTATATACTCATGTCATCTAACACTATTGAATATGAATAAAAACAAATTTTGAATAATTAATCGTCTCAGTTACTTCTTACTCATGTAAATACAGCGTAGACGTATTAGTGAATAATAAGTGAGAGAGCAAAACTATTTTCCGATGGATTGATGATGAAATAACGTATATGTGATGTTCTATTTATTTCATTGACACTTTCTCCTTCAATTAATTAAAACCTAGATACTTGTGTGTTTTTCTTTCCAAGATCCTATGACATAAATGAATGAAGTATTACACTTATGATGAAACCCTTAAAATGACTAGCGGCAATAGATGTCATTGGATATATTCATATATGAATCATAGGAGTCTTCTAAATTTTGTGAATTTCACAACTAGTTCGATAATTTCATTGATATACAAACCAAGTATGAATATAGAGGTTATCGTATAAATTGCTTATAGAAGATTCGTTATTGATCAGCTAGATGATATCCATGACTCATAAGTTGTATTTGTCTTGATATTTTTTTTTTGTATATTTCGATTTCGACCTTATCATCAATAAAATAGATATGAATAGTTTATATTTTCTAGATCGAGCGACACACAATGTTTACATTTGTTGAATTTCATTGATTAGTATTCGTCGTTATGGCTTTGAATTGTTGAAAAACATTTGTGCATTTTTTCGTTTATCACTTAATTGAATAAACAAATTTGAAGTAATATTCTCCTTGATTTCTATTGTTGTAATACATCAACATAACCAAACTGATGTCAATTATTCGATATAAATACAAAGCAGATCGAGATTTTGGATCTGTACAATTTGAAGGCACGAGTTGTTATCTCGGAGATCTCAAACGATTGATCATTGAAAAGTCATCTCGATCCGGATCAAATCATCCAAAGGATGATTACGATTTGATTATTAGTGATGCAACAACGCATGAGGGTGAGTTTCAATTCAATTGTTGAGTTTTTCTTCAATATTTTCTTATAGAATACAAAGATAATTCGAATATGATTCCACGTAATACAAGTGTTATCGTTACTCGTCGTATTCGTGGTACATTTGAATCTTTAACACCATCAACAACTCAAAAACCAGTTGTTTCACAAGATGATATTGTTAAAGAGTATGTCGAAACGATCCATTTTGCTTTGAACGAATAAATTAATCGTACTCAAATAGATATTTACTGCCCGCTATCTCTCAACTGACACAAATGACAACTTCTTCTGGAAAGAATCCATCGACAATAGCTGAAAATAAAGCAGTTTCATTAGAAATGCTGACTCCAGTAAGTGTCTCTTATTGTTCAAGAAATCTTCATCTGTTTCTGTCTTAATGTTGTAGCCTTCGACCACAATGGAAACAAGTGAACTAAATGAAGATGAACGAATCCAAGAAATTCTTCAAACTTCTCGTTCTCAATATTTGTAAATCTTTCTTTTCCTTTTCTTTTCAAATATTCATATTTATCTCAATATTCTTATTTTAGGCCACCACATCGACCGAGTAACACATATACGTGTCACAATTGCAAACAATCGGGCCATTCACGAAACCATTGTCCACTTCTTCTGGTAGGTTCGATATTTGGATTGGATTCATCACATCTGATTACTTTTCACAATCAACGACGATATTTCTTGTCTATTGTTTTGTCCATATCCATTCGATTTTGTAAATTAGAATGTTTTATCACTAATAATAAAGATAATTTCAATTCTAGTCATCCGAAAAGTGTAAAACACATAAGTAGTGGTCGATTTGCTTTCTATAGAGAGTTCTCATTGAGACAAACGAATAAAAATCGATTCGAATTCTCTCCTTCTATATTCGCTCATACATTTCTATCTTCAGCAGTCGTCATCTGCCAATCCAAATACTCAAGGAACAGCTGATGGCAAATCTGATCATACAAAATTCACAGCATATCATCAAGGAAATCGTTCGCACCATCGTGGCGCAGGACGTGTACGACATGAATTTGTACCGAAAAATCCCACCGGAATTCCACGTGCAAGTCTTATTCATATTCCAAGACATATTCACGGTGCTTTCAGAGATCCAAGTGGTGCTTCTGTTGTACCACGACAAATGGCGTAAGTGTCACCTATTGGAAAACATCTAACAACATTGTATCTTGTCTCTAGTCAATTAATTATAGAAAACAGTGAAAAGAAAGCAGATACATCTGCTCAATTGACTCAACAATTTCTAGAAAGAGATGCCTTTCCATCGGGCCCATCCTCATCAATGTTGCCAACAAAATCCGCTGAAGAAGAAGCATCCCCACCCAATGATCTTCTATGCCCTATATGTAAACAAATTTACACTGATGCGGTGATTACACCATGTTGCCATAATAGCTTTTGCGATCACTGTAATGAAACGAAGATTGGAAAACTTTTTGATTTAATCAAGATGTTCTTCTTTTATTCGAAGGTATACGCACAGCTTTAATCGAAAGTGAAGAGCATGAATGTCCGCATTGTCATCGCCAACATGTTCCTATCGGTCAAATTAATCCAAATTTATTCTTACGAAAGCATATCAACAATTGGTTAGAAGAACAACAACGAAAATCTTCTTGCCCATACAAGTCAACGGTGAATTATTCATCACCCTCAATAATTGACAAAGATCTTGATCCATCAGCAATACAATCATCTACCAATCAATCGTCAAATGATGTCGAAACGAACGATGAAGATGACGATGATGAAGATGATACGACAAAGACGAGCCTTCAGATAAAACCGCAACCAACAGTGAAAACTGCGCCGATTGTTATTCGAATGCAACCACTTCGACGTGATCAGTCACCACCCATTGCTTCAACAAAACAGACTGATACAACACTTGAAGATGGAAAAAAATCAGTTGATACAGACCAACCAACACCTAGGTATATTTCTAGTATTTGCTTTTCGTTCAAATCCACTTTGTTTTTCTATTGGTTTTAGTCAAAAGGATGTTAATTACCAATCATTAACAGAAAATCCTGATATCGGAGAAGAAATATCAAATACAGAAACGGATACGAATACTTCAGAAGGTAAATAATCTTGTTGTTTGTCTAATGAAGAAATATCTTGCTTATTTTAGACGTCAAATCTGACGGTCAAAGTCCTTCTTCTCAAGTAGCATCAACTGATACCATTCCTTCAATCCCATTGACAACAACTACAATACCCACTGCGGCGTCTGTAACTCCACAGTATTATCCAACTCTGCCCCATGACCAACATTTACATCATAACATTGTCTATCCTCCGGCATCTTCACCTAATTTCTATCCAATTCATCAGTAAATTCTTCTATCTCAATCAATCGAAATTCTGCTCTTTTTTTTCGTCATTTAGTAACATTTATCCTCCATTTGTTCATCCTCCTTATCCCGGTGTTCATCCATCGCTCATCTCTCCTTCAATGGTACCACCTGGTGGTTATCATCCTTATCCTCTGCAACCAATATATCCACCCACTCATCCTTTCAATGGCTCACATCTTCAACATAATCCCATCAACGGATATCACGTCACACATTACGAAACAGCAAATGTTTCTTCGCTTCATCATCCCGGTACAACATATGCAGCAACGTCAACATTGATTGCCCATCATCATCAACAACAACCACCACAACAACATCATGAACCGACGGGACAAATAACACCAAAACCAATCGAATTAACTCTTTCAAAAGATGAATTCTACACACGACAACGACGTGTTCAACGAAAGTAAATGATACATTCATTCGAATATCTCCAGAACTTCTTTCTAATTTTCTTCTAGTAAACGATCGAATAGTCGCCATCGTTCTCCTTCATCCTGTTCTTCATATACCAGCAGGTAATCTACTCATTTACATGTCGAAAAGCACTTTCTCATATGTTCAATTCAGTGACTCGCGTGATTCATCCTTCGCTCGACAGCGTCGTCGACGCTCTCCACATAGTCGAAATCGTCGTTATGAAGACTCGCGAAAGCCGTCACCAATTCGTGGTGCCCATCGAGAAAAACGACGTCCGCCACCGTCACCTAAAATTCGACAACAATCACCTTCACGCGATGATCGTCGCCCATCTAAATCTCGAAAGTGAGAACCACAACCTCATCCTCAAAATGAATTCTCTAACTCATTTTTCAATGATTACAGATCACCTCCACGTTCCTATCATTCGACTCGTGAAAAACGTCGTTCACCCCGTCCGCCACCAACCGTTTTTCAATCAACTCAACGTACATTTGTTTATCTGGATGAATCTTCCACTTCCAAACAACATTCCGAGTAAATTCTCATTCTAATCATAACTTCTCCATGATTTCACATAAATTTCATTTAGTCGACATCGCGATCATCATCGACGAAAAACTCGTTCGAAATCTCCTCCATCCTCTGTAATTGTATCCTCAGAAACACGACCAAAAACTCTCGCATCACGAGTTGAACCAGTCATCAATGAAAAACGTTCTTCTTCAATTTTGTCAAACTCATCGAATAAGATCCATTCGAGTGACGCAAATTCCAATAACGAAAATAAACGAAAGAAACATCATCATCATAGTACAAAAAAATATCAACGTCATCGTCGTTCGACAAGTGAAGACAATCGAACTAATCCAAAGGCAATTCTCAATGAAACAGTAACTTAGTAATTTCTGTTTGCTCTGTTTTTGCTAAAAAAAAACGTCTTTAGACAAGATTAGAAGCAAATTTCTTTCTTTTCATGTGATTATTTTGTGTTTGCTGGTTTGTTAATGTTTTTTTTGGACACAACAAGAAAATCTTTTTTTGAGGAAACTTTCATTTAAATCGTTACTCGCTTTCGAGAAACTTTTCTTATCAGCGATTCGAGTTCGCCATGAATACCTGTTCACGCTTGAAGAGATTTTCATAGAAATTGAATTTTTTATTTAAAATATCTTCTAGAAAAAAAATCGAATTAGTATTTGGATTCTTTCGCGAGATTATACAGATAAATAGAAGAGTTTGGCTCATTCAAAACTAGTTTATCGGGATTTTAAAACCGATTGTTGTTCACCGATCTGCGTTTGCACTTTGGAATTATGTGAATTCATGATTTCCGTCGAGCTTTGTGAAGTTAACAATTTAAAGTCTCCGCATTTCAATCGATGAGCATGGAGATAAAGAAAAATTGCAAAAGCAATTAATATCAGACCGAATGGTGATAAAATCCAACCAAATCTATACGACGCTGTCATCACAAATGACCAAAACATGAGAAAACCTATGGCATAGACAAATAAAATATAAATAGTAAAGATCCGGCCACAACGACTAAAATAAAATTTGATTAGATTTGTACTTGACTGAAGCTGTTTATAACGATAATAACATAACGAACTTAAACAATGTGTATATGGAAACACGATGAAATATAACTAAAATTTAAAATGATCATTGTTCTGATTGACTTCAAGAATAATTTACTTGAAAATTTCCGCTGAGTACTTGAATATCGGGAGGTAAATAAGTTCTCTGAATTAGAATTCCCCATAGAAACACAGCACCTATGTGATCTTGTGTTAAATATCCGATATACCAAGGACCTTAATTTACAAAATGAGATTCTATTGATCGAAGATTTCAAAGAGATTTCCATACCGATAAAATGATAAATGGCGAAAGCGAGAAGTGAGAAATAGATGAGATCGACTGAACAAAGCAATGTCATTCGCAAACGAAATCGATTCCATAACAAACATCGTCCATCAAAATGATCTAAAACGAGATAAATATTATTTTAATTAAGCTATTTTTGTCAGAAAAATGGCTAATCTATCCTTATGTGTAAACAGACATGACAGACATCGCACAACTCTGTTTTCTTCTCATTAGCTTCGAGTATCTGTTCTGTTAACTTTGACGCATGTCGTACGCTGTTTTACAATCTCAACATTCCATCTCCGCTACCTACGCTTGTACTGAAGAAAGTTGACGTAAGAATTCAACTTACTAGATATACGTTTGGCCTGATGTCGAAAGAGCAATAACAGGGCAATGTAAATAAATAATGATAGTGTTAGAAAACAAAGACCCTAAAAGGAAATTTATCGGAATGAGAAATGAAATCGTGAGGAAAGTTTCGTACGAAAGTCGGTTGATGAACTGTAAGGAAAATTTTCGATTTATTCCATGAAGTGATTGTTGATAACGATAAAGAAAACTCGTGAGTAATGGTAATTGAATTATTTTCTTGATCCTTAACAAACGAAAAACACTATTGAACAATTCAATTCTTTTGACTATTAAATTTACTCGAATTTGTACGGATATTACATGAAGATTATCATCGTGATAGACACTTGCATTCCAAGGCAATACAAACAAATTCGAATGATCAATTGCTTGTCTCGCCGAGCCCATTGATTGTCCATCAATGGATATTTGGACATCGACAATCGGTAAATAGGCAAATATAACAATTCTAAAGGTAAATGTTATGTGTTTGTTAGAAATCGAAAGACGTGATTGTTTATGAACCTAATATGAGTATTTTCACGTGGGCGAATCAATGGTTCTCGAGATGTTTTGAACCTGGCTGATTTTGGATTTGATATGACTGCATAGATTGGGTCATTGAATCGGAAATCTCCGAACGATAGAATTCCCGAATCGATCGTTATCAAACGGAACCTAGTAAAGGAAAATATGGTGTTTTTTCTTCATCTCAAAAATAGAGTTTTGCCGGAATGAAGTACTTCGAAATGAATCTCTTTTATTAATTTCTTCCACTTTTCTGCTATCAATATTGTTTAACTTTAGGGAAAAGTGAAAGAAAGTTAATAAAAACAAGGTTCACTTTGAAGCATCTCGTTTCGTGCAAATTCCGCTTTGAAAAGTAATAAATAGTAAATAATTAACACGTGTTTTGTCGCGTAGGTTTACCTTCGATTTCGTTTCCAATCACCTAACTCTAATTCCAGTAATCCAGTAGAATGTCGAGCATACAATTGTTTTATCCCAGAATGAAGATGACCATTGAGATAAACAAGTGCGTGACTCATCAGTCGTTGAAGACCATATGAATAAGTATAAGACAGAGGATAATGACCAAACAAGATTGTTGATGTCGAGTTTTTCGTTTGTTCAGATAATCTGACTAAATTCTGCATTTCTTTCTAAAAAAAATTCTCTTTCTTTATCGTCCTAAAGAAGATATTCATTCTCATTTACATCACTGATTGATCCAAAGAAATTAAATGGTCGACCGACACCTGGTTTTGGACAAAAGTCAATTCCAATAAAAGAATAGCTGTCATTATCTTTTGTTGTCAATGTATATTCATATGACCCACTATGCAAATGTCCTTGATGAGAATATACACTTCAATAAGAAACAAACTTCAGATTCAAACGGTCATTTTCATTTCATACCGAAAGAAACTTTTTGGTGAATCAGGATTTGAATCCATAAACGTATCTATTCATTCGAAGAAACTTCCTAAACTATTCATAAGTGACTTTCTTTACCATGATTTCCTTTGATATCAAGCCATTTCGTATACTGTGTAACATTGGTTCGATCGAGAATATTTCGATAAATATTCCATTCTTGTTCGTATTGTCCCGTTCCAAATAATCGATCATGTTTGTATTTTAAGCCGCCAACATTGTTCACAAGATCACCTGAGTGAGAAAGAATTGAATCAAACAGAAGAGGAAATCGAATTCTTTACCTGAAACAACTGTCACTTCTGGTTTGATCAATGTTTTGATAATTTGATTACAGAAATCTTCGAATTGCTTCATTCGATCTTCATGTCCGAAATGTGTGATATGAATATCCGTGACCTAAATGGCGATATTTTCTTTTGGTTTTTATCCGAGAAAATGCGATTTACTTGAACGAAATAGAACAGATGTTTGCTCGTGTTTCCAAAGTATTCATTTGACGAGAAAACAACATAGATGTGAAGATTTAACAGCAAAATAATCAACTTCATTTGGAAAGAAAGAAATGGAAAACAATTAATGACTCATTTAGATCTAAAGAAAAGAAAATTCATCTTTACAAATCGATCGAATGATTAATGAATTTCGTTTAGTTCTTTTTTCATTGTTGAATTCTCTTCGGTATTATTATTCGATATGATATGATTAATGAACTCTTTTGTTTCGTTAAACTGAACGATTATTCAAAAGAAAAGGAGATGTTTTGGAGTGATTATCCTTTAAATGATTTTGATCAGAAGAAAATATAGACGAACAAGGACGGAGATTTCTATCAATTATTTTCTATTATCATTAGAAATAAATCTCATTGTATCAAGATAGAACTTGTGTAGGATGATGTTCTTACAAGAGCTCCAAAAAAGAAATTCATTGACGAGAAAAAGAAGTATTTCGTCAATAGATTGGATCTTGATTGGTTTATGACGTCTTTTCTCTCTTCTTTCTCTCTCTCTCTCCCACTTTTTCTCTCTAAGGTATCTCGTTTTTTCCCGTCCAGATATAAATTCTCTTCCTCGAGCAATTCAATCTGGTCTACTTTTAATAATTTTCCCTAAGTTCGCTTACAATGCATATTCATTCGACATTTGCTATCTTTCTACTCTTTTGTCTTCTTATTCAAACCTTATATGGTATTCCGCCTACGCATTATCGAGCTGAACAAGATGATCAACAACTGGCATCGTTGATCAATGAACTCAAAGAACGTCAATGGCATATCGACTCATCTGAAGCAAATGATAATAACAGTGAAGAAGAGCAACTAAATAAACGAAGCGCATATTCGAAATTTCGTCTTAGTCCGTTATGGTTGTCACGTCGAACACGTGGAAATCGCTTCTATGGAAAACCATTATGGATCTCTCGACATGGATAAAACTTTTTTCTTTCTTTTTCTGGTAAAAATGCAATAATCATTGACGTTTATTTCTTTTTCTATTCGAGTTTTAATTATATAAATAGTGACAGAAAAAGAAAACCATTAAACATATCTTGAATTGATTTCAAGACTGTAAACTGTTTTCTCTCTCTCTTCTCACAACTTACGAAAATCAAGTTTAACATAAAATCTAAAAGAATTCGAATGAGAAGCCTATCTGACTTTTATTGTTTTATAATCGAGACGATCGAAAATATCAAAAATGTTCTTTTTCTCAAGTGCATCGAGTACGATTATTGATTGATACATCCAATGAAGAAATCTTTTTCATTTCTCAAAGAATTTTATTCGAAAACTTATTTTCGAATAGAAAGAAAGAATTCCTTTTGGACGCCACGCACTCGATGACGTTCAGCGACATCTATTCGAATCTTTTGTGAAATTCTATTTCTTGCCGGAAATGTTGTAAGTATGAATAGATTACCATGAGAAATCTACAGACAATGACTCTGATCACCCACGATCTCTTTGAGAACTAAAGATATTTCTCACTTGAGATTCTTCTCACATTATTTATTGCTCTTATTCATCCCTCAGCATTTCCCCCCTAAATAAATGCAGATTGTATGAAACAACATTTTCACAAGTAAATATTCATTGTGACGAATTCTCTTGACGTTTATGTTAAAAGTGATGAGATGCTTATCTGAGAATGAATCTATCTATGAAAGTCAGGCGATGGTCGAATACGATCACAAGAGAAATGTGAAAAATGTCTTCCGTGAACATTGCGTAACCTTCCTTATTTGACGGATTAGTTCTAATAAGATTGACAATGACACATTGAAATCAGAAAAAAAAATCTCTCGTACCGACTGTTTTTACCGTCGCACAAACCTAGTTAATGATAAGAACGGCATTCAGTGATGCGGATATAATTATCAACGATAAAATATTCATGAGAACTATTCTTCTTTTCTTGTTATATAATCGAAATCTGTTCAAGAGAAGAAAAGTTAAATTTCGAATAAATTTCGATTTATTCTTTAGAAGAAAAATAGTTCAAATGATCAAAAATAAATAAATAGGTTTTCTTTATTCTCTCATATTGAAAATAAGAGCTTAGCGACTATATGCAGATCGTCACAGGTGGTTCGATTTTCCATGTTAAGATGTGTATTTCGGCGGTGGTGGAGGAATTTGTCTTTTATCATCATCCTCTCGTTCAGCTTGGACGCGGGTTGCATGAGCAAAGCTTGTTTCCATTGGAACATATATCCGATGACCAATTGGACGTATAAACGATGAGCCATTTCCTAACGGATCATCTCCCATCATTCCGCCTGCAGTTAATGTCGCCATACATGGATTTTGTAGTTGAAGTTCACGTTCTCTGAAACAAAAGAATCATGGTGACAAGAAGTTTGATTTTTTTTTGGGAAGAAATTCTCACCTCGATACTCGTTTTGATAATCGATAAGCGAGAAGTGTTCGAATACCAAATAAAATCAGAAAACCAATAATTAATAAAAGAATAAGCGAAGATATAGTCACTACGAATATACCAACACCACTAACTGGAGAAAAGTCATTGAGAAAATATGACAACAATCAATGAATCTCCTCTTACTATTTTGACAACGTTTTCCGGAATGGAAAAAGTCGCAATCACACTTATAATCTCCCGGTAAATTTGTACAACTGAATGCTCCACAGATTCGTTCGTTAGTAGCACATTCATTGATATCCAGTTCGCACATCAAACCTCCATACCCCGATGAACACACGCATCTACTTGTGGCGTTTGAACAAAAGCCTTAAAAATAGATCAGATTTTTCTTCTAATCAACCAATTGAAACAAATCAAGAGAGAGAAAAATGACTGACCTCCATTAAAACATTCATAACGGCTGTCGCAGATGCCATTTTGCGGTATTTCTATTTAAAAAAATGACATATACATATATATATATATACACATTTCTCTCTAAATATATAATTATTGAATATGATTGTTCAACGGATGTTGGAATTTTGTTTTACGCTCTTTTGGCAGGAATAGAAAAGGAAATGTTACGTAATAAGAAACCCTCTTACCTTGAAGCACACAACGTCCTGTTGATGAAGAAAGAGCAAAACCCGGAAGACACACGCAGCTGACACCACTTCCATTAGATAAACGTATGCACACAGCCCGAGTGTCACATTTTGCACAATTCGGATCATCTGCTTGACTGAGTACTAGAAGAACAGTATGATTTATTTAAAGATTATTTCCTATTAAAATGCTAATGAGCACAGAAAAGTTTGTCTTTCAATTCCAATGCAACTTTTTCTTCTCTTATATGAACAAACAACCAAGCAATTTAACACTTTCATCATTGACACCTAATATCTTCAATGAGTCTTTTTACAAGTTGAGGTATATACATATATCACATGCGTCGTAAAAAAAGAATCCTTCTCGCTCTTGTCATTGATAAGCTCCTTTCTATTGCTCTCGATGATCAATACATGTCTATTGAACTGATTGGAGGCGAAGTGTTATCATCGATTTAGTTAAATGTGTTAAAGAATGAGAATCTGATATGTTGGACAAACAACGAGCTTTTACTTAAAGGTTGTCGATTTGAACTGAAACTTGATCAGTGGGCAGCTGCTGAATCTCGACATGTAGACAGCGGAACCAATTCTGTTTGGTATATACGTTCTTTTTCTTTCATCTCGTTCGCTTTACTTACCTGTAATATGATTTTGTCCGTAAACGATCCATAGTGTGATGAGAAATAGGAAAAGGAGTGAAACAACAGTCGACATTGCTTAAAGATTAGCTGCGAATGTTGCACATATACACACCGAGAATAAGAATGATTGTTTTAAAATGAGCTCGTGTGAAAAAATACTTCTTTCTCTCTCTCTCTCTCTCTCGTTTCTCTTGCGCAATGGAACCAGCGAATAAATTCTCTCACTTTTACTTCTCTTTCTCTCCTTGACCAAAGACATTAAACCAGAGAGAAGAAAAAAAATGATGAAGAACATAACACCACTTAGTGCATTGATCTTCCGATGCTCTTTTTCTTTTTTGAAAACCTTGAGATGAATAAGACACATTTTGACCTTCCACATTCATTAAGATATTTTCATGGGAAAATAATCGAACATCAATAATCAGTTATCGACTTTATTTCTTCACATAAGAAAAACAAGTGAATACATCGAGATCTTAGAGAGAAGTTTTCGTATTGATTCGCAAGAATAATAGATGAATATTGCTCTAATGTTTGACAATGTTAGCGAGATCGTGAACGCGATCGAGAATAACTGTCTGATTTTGAACGCGAACGATTTTTTGATCGACTACGTCGATGGTCTCTACGAATCAACAATAAAAACAGTTTTTCGAAATAAAAGATTTTACCTTTTGGAACGTCGTGATGATGATTGTTCGTTATGGCGATGTGTTCGTCGTCGTCTAGGACTGCGACTTCTTTGTTTGGATCTATAATTTTGTACTTGTATTTAAAAACTCGTTGTGAAAGAGAAAAGAGAAGTGTGTTTTGTATTTCTGACTGTCTTGATCATCGATTAGAGGAAAATGCCGATGAATATCTTATCGACTTCTTTGTAATTCGTCATCTATGAGTGAAGTATGAAGGCATCGAGTGCATTAATCGCTCGCTCGTATCTCTCTTCGTCATCAACACGTATGTGAACTAAAAACAGATACTTTCGTCTTTTTTTAAATGTACATTGACTTTTCATTTGATCACAAAGATCAAATCTCGATTTTCCTATGGAAGAATACACAAAACGAGATTTTCTTCTTACCGATTTCGTTGTTGACGTCGTAATCGAATCTCACAATCATAACCGTAATGACCACGACCTAATTAAATAAAACATCACATAGTTTCTATGCTCGTGAAGAAAAGAAGTTCTCGATTTTCATCTGAAGTGACTCATCACAAAAATTGAGTCCTTGAAGAAGCCTTTGAAATTTTATTATTCTACAAGGCCAATGACATCTTACGTCTATTCATTCAACTTTAACAGAATCTAATTTGAGTTCCTCGTTTCAAAGAATTCCTTCATGTAGATAATGTTCCATGAATAAATAAAACAACTCACTGCCACATTCATAACAAACATCACGTGGACTAAAACGTCGTCGTACAGAAGATGAAGGACTACGTAGTTTTCGATGAGTACGTTCTGATGCTTTCATCCGTCCACGTCCGTGAGAAAATTCTACGCGGACACTTGAGCCGCCAATCAATCTAAATGATCGATAAGATCCATTTCAATCATGTCTTCAATTCGATCATACTTACTTTCCATTGAGTGCACGAACAGCATCAGCAGCATCACGATGACGTCGAAAATCAATAAAACCTAACGTAAAGTTCTTAGAAATAGTTTCATTGTTCTCCTTTATTTACCATATCCAGCTGGTTTCCTGGATAACCTTTATCGAAACGAGCAAAACCAAAACGTAACGGTAGAAAAGTTCTTCGAAAGACTTTACCACATATTTTCTATTGTTCCATAAGTGCTAAATGTGCTCCTGATATCTTCTTCTGATGCATGTTCTGATAAATCACCCACGTAAACCTTTAATTGTGAAAGAAATCAATTTCCATCACTGAATTCATATGAAACTATAGTACCGTCACAGTCCCATCACGTTCATTCGACATTCGTTCGTAATAACCCAATACACAAAACGAAGCGACAAATTTTCCTTTGAATGTATCACAGGTATAACATCAATCCACGAGATAAACGTGTATTATATCGTTTGTAATCAAGGTAAACATTATAATACAAAAACGAGAATAGACTGACTGTGATTTTCTTCATGGTCTATTAACGATACAATTATATTCGATGATCGATGATTTCGAATGTGATGAATGTAAAGCAAAAAGTAAGAAAATCGATTTCTCTTTTCATTCGTGTAATATGACGAACAATTCAAATCCGAAAATTAAATTAATTTTTCGGTTGAGGTCAGAATTTGTTGCTAGGAGTAACGGAAAAGAAAATGGAGACTGATGCGACATCTAACAATAACACAAATTTCACTTGTCACAATCAATTTCAATGGTAAGTAACACCGATTACGCAGGTCAATCTTTTCGTTTGCATGAAAACAACGATATCCTAATCTTCCTTGAGAATTTAATAGCGTTTTGTTTATTACTTTAATGGATTTGGACTGGAAAAAGATGTGATATAATGGAAGTTTTTAATTGAAGTATAATGAAGAAGAGAAACAGCGTCGAAGTTGATTAGATTTTCACTAATCCATTCATGATCCTTTGTAGAAAATGATGAACTATTCTCTATGTTTATTTTTAGCCACCGAAGGACACCAAGCGGGTAAAACGTTTGCGATAGAAAACACCTTGATTTTTCTCATCGGAAACTTTTCTTATAGAAAAGTACAGTCGATCGTAGTGTGCTACTCGAACAAATCAATGTTCCTGAGTTAACCGATACATTATTTCAATCATCTTGTCATGGAAATCTTTCGACTCTAACCGAAATTCTCACTGCGCCCACGAAAAATGTCGAAAATCTTCGTTATGAAGCCGTTCAATATCACCATTTATTACAAGTACGAAACGATCAGACACGAACATGTTTAGATCTCGCCGCCATGCTCGGTCATTCCGAAGTTGTCAAATTATTAGCAGAGAAAAGCACTGCAATGACAACCGACGCAATTAACTTAACCAACGGAGCTGGTAAAACATGAAAAAAATCAAACTGTGTCATTGATTTTCTTTAGGATATTCATGTTTACATCTCGCTTGTGCTTGGAATCAATTGGAAACAGTTAAAAGCATTATCATAGCAGGCGGAGATATCAATCAACAAACAACGAATGGAGAAAAACCGATAGATGTTGCCCGACGGTATCATCATGATGAATTAGTTGAATATCTCGAATGGATTGGTAAGCAAATTTTAATTATCCTAAGCTGATTAGATCAAAGTAGTTTTGTTTGATTATTTTTAGCGACAAGAAATCAACTGACATGTATTATCAACGATGCGAAAGATTTCATCGGTGACCCGGCAAAAAATTTAGACAAATTAAAGAAAGATGACAAAGTATATCTGTCGAAGAACGGAAGATCAACGAGTTGTTTTTGAAAATTTTTTGCTTTAGAAAAAATTGGAGAAATACACGAAGGATACGTTGAAATGGTCCGAAGAAAATCAAACAAATCCGAATGCGCGTGAATTATTCACAAATAAAATTCGAGAAGCAGAAGAATTCTTTGCTCCTTTCTATGCAAATGTTGCGTGTAAGTTAATGAATTCAAATGAAAAACTCTCCTCTCATCAATCTTCTCCTTTATTCTAGCATTTTTAGCAGAAATGGATATGAATTCGACTCGACCATCATCGCGACCACCAAAAAGTGGAAGAAAATAAACCCAAACTTTTTCTTTTCATTTATTAATAAAAGTTCCGTAAAAGAAACTATCTTCGTAGATGTTTCAGAGTGGAAAAAGGAAAAAACTACTCTAGATTATCTAAAATCTTGATGATGACTTTGCAAATATCACAGAAAACATGTTCCTGCATCTTATCTATAGTGGAATTCTATTCCCTAGCAATGCACAAGAATTAACTTATCATGAAAGTATTTGATTCTTCCACTGACAGTTATTTCATCAGCAATCTTCTTTTCGAGCAAATAATTACGTCGATTAGGTTGAAAAACCAAATCTACAGTTGACCTTGTTCTACTAATTACATATGTTTCGACTCGAGTAATAATGAAACGTATATTTAACAATCGTAGATCATATTTGTTCGTTATTATTTGTTGAAAACGACACATCTCCAAAGAAATATGTTGATTTTTCACATCTGAGTGAAGCTTCGGTAAGTTTTGTTATTTAATTCAATTAGTTTCGCCATTGTCACTCGTTTCTTTTGCTCCAACAAACAAATTCATTGGTGTATCATATTTTTCTAATCTTCTATTACAAGACCTAATCAACAATGAAAGGAACAAGTGAAATATGTTATTATAATCAACATAAATACAATAAAACTCTGCTTTTTCCTAGATCAGTATGAAATCTTCGTCAAAATAGAGATATGATAAAGGAGGATGCGAAGAAAAGAGATGACTAGAATTCTGATGTCGCGACAATGACAAAGAATATAGATTTAAGAAGGAAGGAGGTTGTGTCAAGAGATTGGAAAAATAATGGAAAAGAAAACTTCAGTGTCATCAAAGTTGATAAGTGCTTACGGCAAACTTTTCTTTTTTCTTTTTCTCTTTCCACAATTAACGATGAGCAAAACAGAACAACGTCGATTTCATTATTCTTTCTAGATAACTATGCAGTCCGTCAACATTAACACTTCACTCGAAAATCGAATTTTTCCAATGACAAATTCTTCCTCATTGGATTCATTCCTCTCCGACACCGAAGCGTCCATATCATTGCCACAATGGTTATTCATTCCATTCATTATTATCTCAATCGTGGAAAGTGTTCTTGGTACCGTTGGTAACATTCTTGTTATCATTGCCATTTCATGTCTTGGCAAATCCAATCCTCATCATCGATCTTACAACAGTTTCATTGTTAATTTAGCACTAAGTGATTTAGTTTTGTGTTTATTCACAATGCCATTGAATACCTATCGAAGTTTAAACACTTATATGAAATTCCCTCCCGCATTTTGTAAATTAGCTGATACATTTCCTGCTATAAATATTTGTGTTTCATCGTTAACTATTGTCGCCATATCGATTCATCGATATTTAGTTGTTTGCTTTCCACACAAACAGCTGATGGGGACTTTTGTGACATTCTTAACCATGATCGGTATTTGGTTACTGGCAATTATTGCAGCAAGTCCACTTTTTATCTATTCATCGTCGTTGCGAGCTTATGACGATGAATTGATTGAAAGAACCATTGATTTGTTTTGCGCGAACTTGTCCGATGATTCGTGTATGAATGAATTCAATCAAAGAAATCGACGTTTGCATGTTGTTTGCTATGAATCTTGGCCTCAATATGGCAATTTGCGTCTTGTGTATACAATATTTATCTTCTTTCTTCAATTCATTCTTCCAATATTCATCATTTCTATCACATATTATCAAGTTATGCTGAAATTAAGAGAACGTATGTAAAAAAATCCTTTTAGTGATTCTAACGAAGAATCTATTCGACTTTTTCATAGGTTTTCGCTATCGATTTTTAATTAAACGTCATAATATTTCTTCATTACGGCAAGAAGTTAGCCGTCAACGGCGAAACAACGTTCTCCTCCTTCTAATCGTTTCCTCATACGCGATCAGTTGGTTACCATTCAACATTTCCTATACCATCTTCACCTACAAGAACCGTTATCTCTCTAATTCAGGTAAAACAGTCATTTCCTCTCATTTGAGAAAGATATTTTCCATAATTATTTAACCATTCGATATATTTGTATTCAGATAGTAATCCAACGCATTCAAAAGTGCAAATGAATGGCTCATTGAAGTATCTTCCATTACGTTTTCTAATTTGTATGATCTCCGCAATAACAAATCCGTTTGTTTACGGTTATTTTAACGAAACATTCCAAGACGGTTTAAAAAGAATCGTTTCGTTATTCTGCCCGCGTTTCAATCGCAACATCAATGTAATTTATTATAAACAAACAGACATTTCCTCATTTCCAACCAATGGATCCAAAGTTCGAATAAAAACCAATGACTTATCAGCCATACATTCATTTTAATACTTCATTATACTTGGCAAATATTGAACTGGCAAACAACGAGATTAATTAACTAAAAATACCAAGTCAATTGTACTATTAATATTCATAAACATTAGAATATAAAAATAATTTAAATAGAAAAGAGAAATGACATTCCCATACTGTCTGAAGAAGTGCTTCGAAACAAATAATTAGATGTTTATCATGTAGTTACATTCGACTCGTGTTGTCGCTAAGCAAAAGAAAATGATGTAGTGAAGATGTTACTCAAAAATAAACGGTGTATTGATCGTTTACAATAAAAGTCTTGAGAAATTTGAAACAATTCTTTCTTTTGTCTTTTCAAGGGCAAGTGTAGCGAATAAATACACACGAAAAAGAATTTGTTGATCTTGTCTATGAATTCTTCACACGTCGAATGTTTTGTTGCATTTGGATGAAATCGGTAATTCTTGAAAATAATTTACAATTGAGATGACAAGGTCAAAACAAGTTGGATTCATTTGGTTGATAAATATTTTCAAAATGTTCACTTGAAACGATTAGAGAAAAGAACGTCAACGATCTAAGGCAATTTCTTTGCCAAAGGAAAAGAAATAACTTGTCAAGGTTAAATCAAAGAATATTCTATTAACTATATCAGTGATTCTTCTAATCAAATTAGTCGGGCTTCAACACATCAAATCGAAGGATTAACAACCATATACCTGTCAGAGTTTGTTCTACATTATTTTCACAGCACACAGTTTAGTTAGGCTTCACAAGGGCGAACTAAAAGTGAGTTTTAACAATTTATTCAAATAAGTTCCAATCAATACGCATTGTAAATAGAGAAACCTTAGATCTTTACACATCCGGGTAAGTCTACGCAGGGTTTTTTTTCTTTTCAGTATGCAAACCAGAATCGTTCAATGGCTGATTATGATTACGAACTAATAAAATCATGCGAAATCCATTTTACTTTGATTTTGTTTTTCTCCTATTGTTTACAATAACAATAATAGATTGATTGAAGAAAACAAGAGGAGAGACTTCTTTGTATATTTTTGAAGAGCAGCGTTGAGAAAACGACGAGAGATGTGATGATTAGTCAAACAGATCGAAATTGGCAAACAGGAGAGAAAAATAATACTTGAAATACCACAACATTACTAAGCAGCACGATTGTTTTGAGAAAAAAATCTTTCGTTTTTGTGGTAAGACTAAAGAAAATACAGTGAGGAAAAGAAAAAATTTCTTTTCTCATCAATAAGTCGACTTTCAAAATGCAAATCATTCCGTAACATCAGTCAGAAAGAAAAACGAAACCTTTACGATTCTTTTTTTATCCGTCATCGAATAATAACATATTTATACTAAAAGTAAATCGCCATTTTTACATAAACAAAGGTAAGGCAATTCAATTTTCAATTATCTTTCAGTTAAAGTCCACTGACGATTTCCGAACGTCAGCTCGAATGTCACATTGAATGTTCAATGTTTTTCTTCTGCCTGGATAATCGCTTTTCTTTTGAAATATTGATCGAAGAAAGAAGAACATTTGATGTCAATGAATTTTTCTTCGATCGAATTTCAATGTTCTAATGGATTTTGATGATGAAAATAAAAACGTTCGTTTGTTTATTAAAACCTGCCAAATGTACCCTGTTTGTTTTTCTTTCCATTAGAAGTAATGCAATTTAAAATCTCAATAGAAACATTCACTTTCTTCGCTTTTTCTATTCTTTTTTTGAAAAATGTATCGCATTTCGTGGTGTCTTTTTTTTGTTCTCAAAACCCAATACGAACGCTGGATGATCGTCAGGTGCTGCAGCAAATAAAGTGCGTTATTCAAGTCAGCTCGATCGATTAGCTTTTTATTTCGTCGTCAAGAAAGAAACATTCGGAATTCTATAAATCAAATGATTTCTCTTTCAGATTATCAGTTTGCACGAGCACGATGCAGCCGTTGAGTACTCTTGATACAACAAAACCGATTAATTTTGATGATTTGAATATTATTATTCGTTCATTACCACCGCGACGACGGCAAAGTGGAACATCGATTATTCCATTTCGACCTTATGTCAAACGTTTAACGAGTGTTCGACAACCATTCTCGTTTGCAAATGGACGCGATGGATGGGTGACAACCGGAGAGAAAGTGGCATTTTTCAAACAGGAAAATGCACGATGCATTGGATCGTTGTTTTCCGATTGTGAAGCATCGGAAGTTATTCGATGGGATATCGAAGGAGAATCGACTCGTTTACCGATGATGTGTAAACTCTGGATCATCGGTAAGAAAGTTGTTTTCTTTTCTCGATAAAATAAACATTCTTCATTGTTTAGTCGACGGTGCGGTTGTTGAACGAGGTAAACCACGAATGGTACAAGATGCAGCTGTGACAGTTTTCCGTGCTGGTCGAACACTTTTGTCATTACTAACAAATCAATTTCAAATGATCAGTCGTTCAACTGTAACAAGATACGATCGACGTCGTCGCCATTCATGGCACGATGTTAATGAATATCATAGCATACCGTACTTTCAATATACGAGTATAATCAATCCAGGCTTACCCCAAACCATTCAATGCGATTTGGACAATGAACAATTCAAAGGTCAAATTCAATCGCTGCCTTTCATTCGAGAAGAAACGACTGAAGAGCATTATATGATGAAACTTAAAGAACAAAAAGCAAAACAAACGATACATGATCAAGAATTACTACACGATCGAGTTCAAATTTCAATGACAACACAAACTGAGTAGGAAGAATTTCTTTTCTTTTATATTATTCTGCAAATATTTTCCTCTAGACATGCCTTAAAAACTCGATCAACATCAATCGATTCAGGAATAACTTTGGCATCGCATCTCAATACTGAAATCACCGAAAGTACTTATTCGATTGCATCAAGGCAATCGCATGATATGGCAACAAGTACTCATGATGATATCTCATATTCAAATCAATCGATTTCAACACACGACGGAATTTGTTACACTAATCGCTCAATTTCTACTCATGATGATCTTAATGATACACATCATTCGATTGCGATTGGAAATGATATTGAATATTCCGAACGTTCAATGTCAACTTATGATGATGTGAAGTACTCAAATCAATCGTGTTCCACGCATGATGATATCGTATATTCTGAACGTTCAATGTCAACCTATGATGATGTTCACTATGCCAATCAAGCCGTTGCAACTCGTGATGATATTGAATACGCCGATCGTTCAATGTCAACTTATGACGATGTTACTTTCACTAATCAAGCTGTTTCTACTCACGATGGCGTTCAGTATGCCCACCAATCTTCTTCGACACATGACGACGTCGGCTATACAAGTCAATCGGTCTCGACACGTGATTATATCGAATATGTCAATCAATGTGTATCTACTTATGATGATGTTCAACATTCACATCAATCGGTTTCCACTCGTGATTATATTGAATATGTCGATCAATCTGTTTCAACTGGCGATGGCATTCGATATATCAACCAAGCCGTTTCTACTCACGATGGTCTTCAGTACGCACATCAAGCTTGTTCAACACATGATGACGTCGCGTATGCAAATCAATCGGTTTCAACTCGTGACGATATTGTGTACCTCAATCAATCGGTTTCTACGCGCGATGATATTCAACAGTTGCATCAATCGGTTTCGACTCGTGACTATATGGATGATACACATCATTCAATTGGAACTGGTAGTGATATCGGCTATTCCACTCAATCAGTGTCGACTCGAGATGATTTTCAACATTCAAATCAATCTGTTGGTACCCATGATGATATTGAGTTCACCGATCGATCTGTTTCTACGGCTGATGGTATCGGATATTCTGATCAATCTGTTGCCACACGCGATGATATGGAATATCTAAATCAATCCGTATCGACACGTGACGATATTGGATATTCTCATCAATCAGTTGCTACACATGACGATTTTGAATATCTAAATCAATCTGTTTCTACTCGTGACGATGTCGAATACTTGAATCAATCGGTCTCTACTCAAGACGAAGTTCAACATTCCAGTCGATCGATTGCTACAGGTACTGATTATCCTGACTTCTGGCTGCAATTTTCTACAAGTGAAATTCTATCTGAATATATTATACAACCACGCAAAGATGCTAAGTCACCTATTATTGTTTCTCGTCCATCGGACCAACTAACACGAACAGAAGTAGAGCACGATATTGACCTTGAATTGGAAAGACCACGACCGCCATCATCACGATCATTACGTACTCCAGAATCGTCCATTCTATCTCCGCGTCCATCCGATCAGTTAACTCGAGCAGAAACTGAACACGACACCGACCTTGAATTAGAAAGACCACGACCGCCATCATCACGATCACTACGTACTCCAGAATCGTCCATTCTATCTCCGCGTCCATCCGATCAGTTAACTCGAGCAGAAACTGAACACGACACCGACCTTGAATTAGAAAGGCCACGACCGCCATCATCACGATCGCTACGTACACCGGTATCATCATCATCAGTAACAATCAGTAATCGTTATCAAGTTGTTGACCAAATTGATGATGAACAAACAACACCGAGAGCATTGCCCGGTACCAGTCAACGAGTAAGTTAAACTTTTCACAACTTCATTTACTTCAAATGCTGCACGATATGTTTTTCGTAGCTTGATTCTCCCGGTGATTTAGATTCCCATTTCAGTGATATGCAAATTGAAACGTCGAGTCGAAATTCAGCTCGATCACGTCGTGTAACATCATCGTCAGGCTACAATTCATTCGATTTAGCACTCAGTCGTCGAACATACTCAACCCCTGATCTCGACAATTCTCTTCCAACAGAAATTCCATCAAATATTGAAATCACTCATCCAGCTCCAGCTACAGTGTCCGACAACATATCAAGTACACTGCTACAAACGTTAATGGAACGTCACGAACGAACGGTTCAAGATCGTCGTCGAACTACTGCAATGATCAACGACGAATTATATGATATTGGACAAATTGTACAAAATTATCGTGAAAGAATACGAGATCCAGTTACAACAAACACGAGCAAAGTAAATTTACTTTCATTTAGCTAAAGAAAACTGATGATATGGGATATTCTCTTTAGACAATGCAACTCAATCGTAATACTGTAATAGCATCTCCGAAAATAAAAGAAGATCGTTCACCATCTCCAGTATCATCGAGTGGCTCATCACGAAGTCGATATCGATTTACTTCCAATGTTAATACTGAAGAAATGTTACCAGACTATATTCCACGATCACGATCGTATTCCCGATCATGTCAAGAAACATCACTAGAACCACATTATTGTGAAATATGTCTAACTGATCATAGTTCAGGTTCAGCATGGATTCGATATAATGAACAACGAATGGAAAGAATACAACAACGAATTAATCTCATGTTAGAACTTGATGATGTTGAAGATGGACAGTATGCTTTGTCGACATTGAATTCAACGGCAACATCAACACAACGTATCGATGATATTCTCTCAGGAAGATCCAGCTATCGAGATTATATTAATTATGATCAAGACGACGTGTGTAAGTTAATATTTTATAGAAGAAAAATCATTCGGTTGTATTTGTTATTGTTGTTTAGTAAGTTCTCACCGATATGATTATCGTTCAACTTATCGTGCGAAATCTGCAACAGCGGATTCTTCTCGATTGACATCATCACGAAAACTAACAAGATCAGCATCACCAGGATTGAAACGGGTTCGAATTTCTACGGATGACGTTCTAATTCCGAATCAAACTCGTCATCGTGAACCTATCAAGTCATCAAAATCAGCTTCTCGACCTATTGTTTCGATTTTACGCCACAATTCTCCAACATTACCACCCCCACCATCACCAACTACAATACAATATAGTCGCCGACGCCGTGAAACATCAGAAGCATGGAGAAATGAATCAAACCGCATCGGTTTACCGCTTGATCAATGGAGTATTCCACGTTATTATCGTTTATACAACGATGTTGGTTTCCGTGAAGTTTATGACTTTTCCCGCACACTAAATTCGTATTCAGCTCGAGCAAGTCCAAGAGATTATGCGTCAATGGTTCATCATTATGCCGTAGATCATCAACTACCAGCAGCGATTACAAGTCCAGCTTGACAGTACTAAACTTCCTTTCTCTTTTCTTTTTCTTTTACTTTTATTTTGAGTAGTTATACCCTTTTAAATATTAATTTATTTATATATTAAAACATTCACGATGATTGATATTATAGTAGTTCGTTTTAGTCCTAAGGAAACCCTCACCCTCTCATGATAGTAATAGACTGAAAAGAAAAGATCATGCATATTATTGATAACACAGTTTTACAGTTATTGATGTTCTTTTCAAACAGTGAATAGTACTTCGCATATCTTCCTTTGTTAATAACTACTCAGCTAGAGGTTTGAATGATAAGAATATATATATAGCTTTGTAGTGTTTTTCAGAACCAAACACTTAATAGTATTGCTATTTTTGAGCCTCTTAAATAAAAGACATTCTAACTCAAAGATAGACGCAGAACAAATGTATTGACTTGAAAGTAGTGAAGTTTAATCTTCGTTCGTATAACATTCTATTCAAATAATTGTAAAAGACATTTTCTTTGATGAATAAAGGAGATTCTTTTTTCTTGTTGTCTTCGTATACAAACCTTGTCTAATATATATAGACATCAGTAATTCGAATAGTTTCGATATAATACAATGCATCTAATTCTCTTTGCTTCATTTGTCCTTCCATTACATGCATTGAATATTCCAATTAGTCGATTTCGTCGTCAAGCCAATGGTTGTGGTCCTTCGAGTCTCAATCTCGATGAATTTCTTCGTGAAATAGGTGAAGATATTCTCATTGTTTGCTGTAATGAACATGATTTATGTTATGATACATGTGGAAAGAAACAATTTATCTGTGACACGTCATTTCTTCGTTGTATGCTTGAAATATGTCAACACTTATCGCCATTATCGAATGTCCAACGTTGTCAAAATGACGCTCGAATCTATTTCTGGTTTGTTGTCTTCGGTGGCCAATTTGCTTATCAACAATCACAAGAGCAACATCAATGTAATACAACCAAAGAGATTACCTGATATTCCTGTATGTAATAGTCAAACTCTTGTTCGGTTATGAAATAAAAATGAACAACGGATTATTTGTTCATGAGAAATGAAAGGAATAAATATATGAAGATGATTTGATTTTGTTCGGAAAGTGGCGGAATTCGCCATTTAGAATGACTCAAAATGCGATTATCGGTACCAGTTCGATGCTAGGTAAAATACTAAGTGGACATCAAGTTGAAAATCGAAATGATCGTTGCTTTGGGTAAAATGAATGATGGTGAAGTCACAGTAGGGTTGTTACTTTACCTTTATTCCCTCGGCTGTAAGAAGGGCCATATGAAATAAAATAGTTTGTCTGTTTGTGTCAGGACCAAAGGTCAAAAAATTTTTTTTTCTAAAATCATCCCACACATTGAAAGCTTCTACTATGGTGAGGCTAGAACGAGTGGGAATGAAGGGCGAAGGGGGAGGGGAGAACCCATGAGTGGGTGTATGGAGTCAGTGATCGGCGGCTGTGCCCTCCGAGTTAAGGATTTTAGTGAGATTTGGTGCTAATTTGTTTGTCATCGAATTTGAAGCTGATGTGGGGTTTGGATGGCTAGGAGCGGTGTTAGAACGCAGTTGGAGTGGCTAGAGTGTTCTAACTTTGATTCAGCTGTAACTGATCTTAAGAATAAAAGTAAAGTAGCACCCCTACGTCACAGAATGGATCGACTTAGCTTATTTTCTCATTTTGTGCAAAGAGAATTAGTTCGGTCGAAAAATCAATGCCTTTTGCAGATTCACAACATATACATAGTCAAGATCGGTTGTCGTCAAACAATTTAATTCGCTGACGCTTACTGTGATATAGTATGGAATAGACCATGTCATTAACTAGCGTTCGCATGCACATGACCTAATCGCATATCGTCTTTTCTCTTTATTGGATTTTTCCTACGCACATATATGTGCATATATATATATATATATGTGTGTGTGTGTGTGTGTGTAGATAGGACACTATGCTAGCCGTTAGCCGTACCTCCCTGTCTCTCATTGTTCACCGTTTATTCCTGATCATATTACATAAACAACTCCTAATTGTATGTTACTCAAATATATAGTTTCTTTAGGTGCAACCCCAAGACGTAACATTAACATTATCTTCGGAGTTCGATACGAGCACAAATATGGGTACGTTTGTTTTTTTCAATTTTGAAACTTGAATGACACTTGTGAGTTTACACTGACAAATTTTGATAGAAAATGCTATGTTGAATTTTTAAGAACGTTTATCGACCCTTTTAACTGGTCAATTAAAAGATCTAAAACACTAGCAATTAGGGAAGCGAAATAGCAGTTCTTTAGTTGATTTGTAAGAGAATGAATGTGTTTTTCATTCTTTTCTTTTCACATGTATAATCGGCTTTTTCTTTTCGTTCTTGTGTTTCTTATCTCTTTGACGTCTTCTCTATCATTATATATATATATATATATATATGAATGGGTTTCTTCCTAAGCCGCACTTTGGAAGTAGTAAAAGAAAATACCAGTTTTTACTTCTGATTTTTTCTCACTCACTTTCGGTAGTGAAACGTTGTCTTTGCCGCCGAGCAATACAATATCTTGATAGATCAAAGAAGACTATAACAATTGGCGCACTTTCCAGGAATTAATCCATTCGTGTATATAACGATAGCGAATAAATCAATGAAAAAAACACGAAAAAAGAAAAGAAAGTGTAGAATATGCTATATGTGAGTAGAAAATAATGAAAGACATATTAATTGTCTGGAATGACCATTGGACATCGCCAGTCAGTTGTTAGTTTTAAGTACACAAACATATACTTTAACCCTTTCCGGCCAGCTACCAGAAAACAGCAAGCAAAAGATTTTCTTTATATATATTCTTGTTAGATTAGTTATGAGGAGCAATTTTTCAGCCTCGAATTTTTGGAGAATGCCGTACCCCCCCTCCCCCTACGGCAAAATTATTGCCTTTTGGCAACACCCGGCCGGAAAGGGTTAAAGAAATGTGTTAATTGTTTATACTTGGCAGCGACGTAACTAAGAAGTATGCTTTTTTTCAGGAAATGAAATCTCCACAGTTGGGGGTGTGATTGCAACTGCAAGTACAGCCGTAGCGAGTGTTGTCACGCTTCGTCAATGCGATGCCATCAATGATGCAGTGAGTACATGTGCAAACTACACTGTCAATAAAGCACAAGAAACGATTGTCCTGAATGGAGTTTGCGCTGCCGGGGCAGTAGTGAGTGGGACTGCTGTTGCCGTTGCCGGTTTAGTGACAAACAACGATGATCTTTTTGACTATGCCAATGACATTCTCAAAGACGCTGGCAAGGCAGGCGAGAAAGTTGGCACCGAAATCTTGGACACCGTCAATGGCGTTCTTGACAGCACACCAGGTGTGGGACATATCAAAGGAGCAATCCATGAATTGCGTGGCAATGATGAGGCCGCAAGGAAGGCCTATTTTTCAGCTAACAGAACAGTTGGAGTGATAGGTGGGGCAATTGCAGGCAGTATTGGCGGACCAGTTGGTGCAGTTGCTGGTGGTATAGCTGGTGGTGCTGCAATGGATGGCGTGAACACTGGATATGCAACGCTTAGAGATGACCAATACAGTCCCCAGGGTCAGATTGCAGCTTGGACTCAGGTAATTCATTTACATTTTCTAAAGCTAGGCATTAAAAAAAATCAAAGGAACGATAAAACGACAGTGTCGATCTGCATTAGCAAATCACTGCCGAAGAATGCTAAGGTAACAAAGTATACAAAGATTCTGCTCCCTTCCCCTTAAAAAAGTCAGTTTTCGTCAAAAAACAAAACTTTAGGCCAATGTATAGATGAATACTTTAAAGCCTGCAGATTAGTGATCAATGTGATTGAGGGTTGAAAGAGGCTGTCGAAATACAGGGCGTCGCAGAGTCGTTTTTTTAGATTAAGCTTTATTTTCGCCGTCTACGAGGATATTTATATAATTAAACCTCGTTTTTGACAGGTTTTTTCAATCATCGGACTTCTCGACTTCTTTCATTGCTAAAAGTATAAAAATTTGAAAAACGAACTCTATGATGCTCTTCATACTGACATCCTCTTTGTAACAAAAATAAGTAAGCATGTAGTACTATCATACATTGGAAAATTCTTTTTACAACGTGACCTATTTTTAGTTTTTGCTTATAATATATTTCGTGCATACATTATCAAATTGAGCCGAAAGGTTGATCAAAGCTTGCCGGTTATAGCCTTGACGTACTCTAAAAGTTCCATAGAACTGGTGCGAGTTGAAGATGGAGATGAGATTGGACGCTGAGACAAGAGGGGTTTGAACATTAACAAGACTACAAAGAACTTACAAACATGATTGAAATATGAGTATAGTCTATTTACAAGAGTTCTAAAATTTAGTTTCTGAATTACGAAGATCAGAAATTGTTCCCATTCATCACTTAGCACAATTCAAATTTTAAGTTGAGCTCGGTCAATATATGTCACTTTTGAAATGGAATTAAATTAATAATTTTTTACTCATTTGCTCACATATTTATAGGTGTTCACGGCCAAAAATGGCGAAGATGTTGTCGACGGCCTTGTACATGGATTTGTCACACCTGTCTTCGACGGAATCGCCGGCTATCAATATGCAAAAATGACTAACGCCTTGAAAGATCAACGTCCACAAAGAACAGTCGCTGGTGGAGCCAAGGAAGAGGCGTATGTACCGCAGAAGCGAAAAATAGGATATGAGAGCGCCAAGAGAAGACAGCTTAATGATGGATCTGCTTACAAAATTGCCGACCATCCGGAAAACTTCCCGACAAGTGCACCGGTTACTGCGACAGCTGCCCAAGGAAATGCTGGGAATTTTGCGGACAATCCAAATCATTCAAATAATAAATACCAAGACCCTCAAGACTTTGACTCGACTGAGACTGCTAACACAATTTCATCAGATACTATAAACGACACCTGGGAGTATGAAGCCAACAAATCGGTCGGAAACACGTATGGTCTCCAGAGCAAAGTCGTCAAGCTTCCTCATGATTGTGGCACGCGTGGAATTCAACTTCTGATCGACGAAAACAATAGAAGCATCACTTTGATTCAGCATGCTGGAGATGGTCAATACGGTCCGTTCACTGGTTTGGCCGAACAGCAAGCATATACCTTATTTAGGACAATCAGAAAGAACATCAATTCCAATACCCGAACAATAAATTTGCTTGGATGTCACGTCGATAAAACTTTTGCACAACAATTTCAAGCTTTACTCAATAAAAATAACTGTTCCCACATCACGGTTCAGGTTCTTCAGGTAACAGCATTATACTGCTCTCTGGGGCCAGCATTCCGAAAAATGTCCTGTTGTAAGAATGTCAAAAATACTTTTCATATCATAGCAATGCTGAGGACCTTTGAAATATTTTTATGTGTGTATAGCACTGAATACAGTAGTCGATCTTACGAAAGATTTTCTTAACATTTCAAATAAACTAGTGCATTTTATTCATGAAAAATATTTCTCACATTCATAAGAGGTATGAGCTTTTTCTAAAGTTTACAACATTTTTTTCCTCTAGGACATGTCAATCGGGACGGTACCTGGCGAGTGGAGTCTCTACATCTACGCTCAAGCTGGAACATTCTCCATCGTTCACCAAAACGCAGGGATCGGTATAACACGTCCTATCAACGAGCTTCACGATTATCTCACATCTCCAGAAAATCTGCATAGAAACTAATGAATCGATTTTGGTGTCAATTAAGCATCTGAATCGTTCTGACATTTTATTCCACCAGTTTGACCTTCTTTCTAAACAAGAATCTTGTGTTTTCACTTTTTAAAATGATATTTATCTTCATTAACAAACAATAACCTCAGTTCACTTAAGTGCCTGAATATGTTTCGAAACAAGAAGATCAATAAATCTTGTGAAAACTTTCATTGTACGGATCACAGCTTATAATAAAAAGGAAAATGAAATCAGTTTTTTAAACCTATTCCAGAACAGACGATGTAGTTATAGTTATGGCCCTAGAACGTCTGTGATAAAAGTTTCAACTTGAAATAACGTGTTATGGAGAAGTTGTCAAAATAATAAGACTAAAAACGTGAGTCCTCGTGTAATCCAGATTTTTCCAAATTCCATGAAGCAAATCTGGGGCAAGCGGTAAAATGCAATAAATTTCTATCACTACATACTGATAGGGCTCTAGTTGTTCTCGAAAACTTCGAACAAATATACGGAGTACGCAAAACTGCGGCTGTTTTTCTGAAAAAAATCAAGAAGAGTATAAAAAATATAGCTGTAACAGGTTGCAGAGCGCAGTTCTCTCTTGAGCTTAAATTTTTTGTCACTTTTTAACATGTAGAATGGTTGAGAAATCTGCGATGCACAACTGGGAAAATTGACAAACTCATTTTGACAGGAAAATAACGAATTTTTTAGAAGTTTATATTTAGGGCATACCAAAAGTCGTTGCAGCAACACTTTTGTTTTACTTAAGCACATTGACGATTGCCTATCACAGGAAAGTGGAAGAAAAAAGAAAATCAAACGTGTTGATAAAAAACCAGTCCACATTATGTGAAAATGACTTTTACATTGGATTTAATATTCAAATTTTCGTTAAGGTCTGATGAACTGACATGGAATAAACAGTAGTGTGCGATTAGAAATATGAACAAACGATCATTTCAAAGGCAATGTAACATCTTTGTCGGCATCGACAACCGTTCTCTATCGCTGGTTTTCTTTGCCTTTTCTCAATTGATCTCATCAAAATATTTAAGAATAATACTGCTCGGAAATGATCAAAGTCATTCGAAAAACATCAATTGGTAGACACATTAAGAAAACAAAGATGAAAATGAGGAGGAGTTTGATGAAGGGTCAATTAGAAAAGAATAACATTGACATGTAGGTGGTCTTTTGATCATAGTTTCCTTTGTTAAAAACATCGAAAAACAGGTGGGAGAAGTCAAATCGAGCATGTAACAGGTGGACAAGCGTGTCATTGATCTATCAATCTTTATTCAAAATCATTAGAAAGATAAATGTCAGTCGATTAATCGAACGTGCTGTGACACATCGATCAGAATGAAAAAGATCCTTCTCCGTTTGTAAAGCATCGTTAATACGAATGAAGACAATCAAAAAAGACAACAACTGTGCTCTATTTTATTAATGACACGTCATTATCACTGATTTGAACTGTGTTAAACAAATGAAAATGTTTGTTTAGCGTGAAGAAATTCTTCTAATCGAAAACGTGTTTTTTTATTGTTAGATAATTTATTAGAGTTTTTGCAAAGCAGAATTATACAATGGAAGAGACGAATATGAAAATAAATGGTTCGGGTTAATTAAACATTGTTCCTGAAATCCATTAGGAATCGTTGAATTGCAAACGAACGGTGATGATAAGATGGAATCGATTAAATACGAAGATTGAAACGATGAAGAATACATTTGATTTAGATGATGTAAAACTAAAGAATCGAAGATTGTTGAAGATTTTTTCGTTGGCGGAGATGAAGGAGAGGGCGATGCAGTTCGTTTCACAGACTTTTTCCTGTCAGGTGTCAAATGTGATTTTCGTTGTTTTGATGATGAATATTTCAATGGAGGAGAAATCTGTTTGATTGGTATTGATAAATCTTTTCCAATATTGTTACACGCCTGAGCCATTAAGACCAAAGGATTTTCTTGTTGAGGTAAACATGAATCAACCTGTTAAGTAGACATGGGTTTTGAAATTTTCAAATGAGGGAAAGACATGTTACCATTGGATTGATGTATTCAGTATCGAATTGATGTTCTTTGCTTGAGGTTGTCATTGTTGCAAATCGAAGAGAGAAAATGAAGAGAAAAGAAAGAAAAACATTTCATCAATGATACATTACTGAAAGCAAATGATTGGATGAGACGACAATTGATCGATTTTCTCTTTCTTTTTATCCAATGTCTGAAAATAATGATCTAATCATTGTCGTTTCTCTTTCATCTTTCACACTTTACGATGAAAATCAAAAACTCATCGATATTTTTCACTGACAAACATCGATCATTATGAAAAAGAGAATGTGTCTTCTCGTACATATGCACGTATTATTACATGATAGAAACACATTACCGACTCGTTCAATGTCATTTCCGAACTCGTTTTCATCTTGAAGGAAATAAATGGTTTGAACCGAGAACGATGAACACAGATCAAAGAGATGGACATGTCGCACCAAGAGAATTCAACTGATGTTTCGTGAAATAACAAGGTGATTTATCAAATTGTATCTGATATGAACAAGAATACAACAAAAAATCACGTCGAAAGGTTATTTATCATTCATTTGATAACGATTTCGAGAAAGAGATCTTGATGATAAACATGAAATGATTAATTTCAAATCGATATGAAGAAAAGAGAGAGTTGACTGGCTCTTGTCGATCATTAATGGCAGTCAGCTTGACAAAAAGAAAACATTCTTAGTATCAGACCATTATTGAAGTTAAAATAAGAAGAAATTCTATTAAAAAAATCTGTTCGCATATCGAATTATTCAATCTTTCGACATTGATTCATGTTCGAAACTGATTTTACCATGTACAATTCCTAATGGATGATTCTCATGAATTGTTGTTTTCATCATTTTAACTGTTGATTCTTGTAGAGTATTAGCAGACGAAGTCGAACTGTTCGTTAGAGACTTTCCGATCGAATCTTGTTGATTCACTGATGTTATTCGTCCTTTGATCCAATCGTGATTTTTCATTTGAGTCATGGTCAAACGAAGTTTTATATCCGGTTCGACTAACGATAGAATCAACTGTTTGCATTCAATTGACAATGTTTTGTAACGACTAAAATGAATTTTCTTTTCTAATTGATATCGAACAAGTTTGCGAATATTTGAATCATCAAATGGCATCGACCTAATTAATGATCTTTAATAGACAAAAAAAACAAAGAGATAAAAAGAAAGTTTTACCCATAAACCATGATGTATAAAATCACTCCACATGACCAAATATCTGCAGGAATAGCATGGTAAGGTATACCTTGAAGAATTTCACATGATGCGTATGCAGCTGATCCGCAATATGTATGAGATAGTTCATTTGTTTGAATAACTCTTGCAAAACCGAAATCCGATAGTTTGACATCGAAGTTTTTATCCAAAAGAACATTTTCACATTTCAAATCTCCTAAAAAGAAGTCAAGCAATCAACGAATTTCTTTGTTTATTGTATACGATGAACGATATTCATCTGATGCAAATAATCCACTGCAGAGATCAACTGTGTGAACATTTTTCTCGCTTTATCTTCATTCAATCGTCCAATTAACTTAATATAATCAAGTAAATCCGTTTTCGCCAGTTCCATTACAATACACAATTTACTTCCATAGGAAAATATGTCGTAAACTTGGACAATATGAACATGATTGATCTGTTGCAAGATTGCCAATTCCCGTGGTAAAAAATGACGTTGAAAATCACTTGGAGCTTTACGACGATTGATGATTTTAATCGCCACTTTGTGTAAAAGTTGTTCGCTAAACGCTGATTTCACTTTAGCATATGTGCCTGTGCCAAGTGTTGAACCAACTCTGAGACCATAACGAGCTAATTCGATTTCGTCATTTGTATTTAAAAACATCGAGTGAATTTGAGTTGATGGTGGAATTGCGGTCATTGCGATGAATTGATAAACATGTTGGTTTTTAATGATGAAACATCATGATGAATGATTCGACAGAAGTCTCACTTTGATTATAGCGCCATGAAATTAGTTACAAGATTATTATTTTGATTTTTTAGGAAAAATGATTTCAGATTTCGTGAATTGCACAATGTTCGCATTGATTTTATGTGTATTAAAAAAAAACAAGATAACAGACAGAAGAAAACTCAACATAATTCTCCATTCTGATTTTGTTCTCTCATTTTATACAAATGCCACATCGATTCGATTTTATAAATTCTACCAGCACAAAAAACATACAACTGTTCGAATGGTTTGTATCTTCGTAGATTTCCCCAAAAGCCAAAGCCTGAATTCGAGATTATCGATACATCACAGATTTCTCCTAATAAATGAAAATCTGTTATGAGTTTATCTTGTTCCCGGCAGACTTTCTGATTCGTATTTAATGATCGATCGATATGAGTTATTTCACCTGAGACGTACAACAAACGAGATTCATAACGACGTTGAGCTTCGTGATAAACTTGGTCATTATCAGTTGTTAAGAATATTTGCGAATCTTCAATGGAAATGTTGGAATCGATGAACGAAAAGATCGTTTCGCTGATATTTCGACGACCTGGAAGTAATTTATCATCAGGAATTGTTGGATTTTTTCCTAGAAAATATTCACCAGGACATAATTTCGTGTTTCTATCGATTTGACCATACCTGTTCGTATCTGTGCACAAATCATTTGCTTCGCCTTTCTTTTTGTCTTGTAGAAATCGATCTGTCGCTGAATTTTGGCGACAGGTCGAAAGAGAATTTCATAAAACAACGGAAAAAGTATTTCTAATTTGATATTGTATTTCGTCATAATTCCATAGGATTTGAATTTCTTTCGATAGTATAAATTATTCGATAATTGATTGAAATAATCCTTATTCGTCGCCCAGTAAAGTACATCTTCTGACCAAATGGAATTGATTGCTCGAGTATGATTCAGAATTCGCGAAACATTCGATATTACTTCTCTTCGAGCATATGCTGATGTTATCAACATTTTTCGTGTTAAGTTGTACCGACGACGGTGAGTTTTTTTATCTTCTATAGTCAATCCTTTGATCGATTGCGTCCAATTGTACAAATTTGGGTGAAAAATATTCGATAAATCACATGGATGAGTAATTTCAATACGGAAATTGCGATCGAGCATTAATGAAATCATGAAAATACTCATAATTCCACGAAGACGATCGCCCCAACCTAAAGAAAACGATGGTTTTAATGGATTTTCAACGAAAATTTACCTCCGCAGTTTTCATGACAAACATAAACGAGATATTTTCGAATTTTTTTCGGTGCGACAATAGCGGTTAAATTAATTCCGAATATCCGGGAATTATTTGTCAACCAATAATTCAATCGATTCAAATGATTGACTTCTGTTTCTTTTGTCTCGAAGAATGTTGAGTGAAGATACGTTTGACTGGTTGTAGATCGAAGAAAACGAGGTTTTAACGTATCTTTGTCTTCTTCTAATTGAATTGATTTCTCATGATGTCGCCAAATAAGCACTGCTGTGGAAAAAAATAAACAATAAGCGACGAATGTACGCTTACAAAGAGTATTTCCAACGATCATGCACCACCACCATCGATCCTAAAGTACAAGAGAGTGACTTTGATGTTTTTATAGGACAAATTTGACGACGAAAAAGAAAAAATTCAAGTTGACATGATGATTAACGAAAACTGACGATAAATTGTTCTTTTTCTCTCTCTCTCTTTCGTTTTTTGTATATATATATATAAAACCAGTCTCAATCCGCTTACAAATAAAAAAAATTCGAAGCTGTTTTTTCATTGCACCAATCGAATTTTATTATTTTCTTTCGTTTGCTCAATATCCATCTACTTAAAAGAAGTTTTTCGCATCGTCAACTGAATGAAAGAAGAAAAAAAACCGAAAGTGTTTTACTTATAAACGTTGGCATAGAAAATGAAAGAATTGACTAAGTAAACATAACCTTTTTACTTCACTGTATCAAAGAACATGCTTTTATATTTCAATTGAAATTCTCAACGAGACGAAGATCAATAGCTTTTTTTTCTTTTTCTGTGTGAATCACGTTCGGATTTGAATGAAAAAGAAAGATTAGAAAATTGCACGTGCATCAAATAAAAATCAATGTGAACGAAGATTTCAAAAGCAAATTTCATTCGTTGAGAAAACATAATCTTAGTTGTACATTTTTACAGAAATACATCACATCTACCTCTATACTCTTGTTAAACTTATAACAAATGTCTGAACTCTCATTCAGTTCGAAAGACATTTCTTCGTCTAATATATACGATAAGATGCAAAACGTACCTTTAAACTTCGATGTTTTGAAAGCATAATTCGACGGAAGACAAGTACTGATTGTGATGACAAAAGGACCATGGATAAACCAAATTTCATACAATGATGAATCGAATAACTGCAGAAATTGGATAGAGCATCTGTCAATTGTAACACAATGTCGTGAAATTCATTCTTATTGAAGAATCGAAGAACTATATCGATATCTTGCGTACATATGTATAGGAGATACGATCAGAGTTGTTCTTTCAATCGTATATGTTGTTTAGAGCGTCACATTTACCCATTGTCAGACAATGATAGATCATAAACAAAGAAGAGAACGGAGAAAAAGAGCAAAAAACTAAGATTAATGAGAGGAAAATGATATGTTTCAGTATGATTATTCCTAATCGAGAATAGCAAGCAAAGCTTGACGAACAAATAATTGTCTTGCTAAACGTAACAGAATCGAAAGAGAATATTCTCAATGCCAATGTTGATTAAAGATCGTTTCTTTTTCTAATCATAATACGAAACTTTACTAATATTAGTTCTTTTTTTTTCGATCCAAATGAATCTGGATAATTTACATCAAACAAAACAATTTGAGTCATATTTGAATAGTTCTTATTGTATCTGATAAAAAAATTGCATTCGAAAACAAAGAAAAATAAATATTAGGAAGAGAATTATTTAAGTTTGCTGTTGATTTTCTACTAGTCGTTTGAGTTGTCGGTAATAATCATAGAGAGGTTTGACGATTTTCTTTTGTTCACTTTGTGTAGGTTTTGAATACTTGTTTTCAAATCTGAGTAATTCTTGTTGAACATTCGTTTTCTCTTCAAGAATTTGTTTATTGGTCATTTCCGAAAGATCTTTAGGTCGATTGTGTTTCAACCGATGTTTCGCGATTCGTTCTTGAATCTTTCGAATTTCATTTTCCAGATAATCCAAGTCAATTGGTGTCGATTGGAAAAGTGTATCTCTTTCCGGAGTTGTTTTCGTTGACGATTGATTACTAAGGAACGTTCGCGAGGTCGACAATTTCGATGACAGACACGTTAAAGAATATTTTCCATCAGCGAACAGCAAGTCTGAGGAACGATTGATTTTCGATCGATGAGAATTGTAACATTGCTCGAAGGTTAACGTTGATTTGGGACGAATAAGCAAGGCTTGTGGGAATGATTGAGAAAAGTGATAATAATGCTCGGATGGAGTTATACCACGAAATAAAAATCCATCAATAGCTAAATTAATACATTCATGAAGAAAATTATGATCGGACATAGTTTTGAAAGGACATTGATTGACAGGTGACAACACAGCTGTACCGATGCGTGTAACCAATACGAGAAGTTTCCGGAGGGTTCGTATAAGTTATTTGACAGGTTTGATACGTGCCCAATGAATCAAGAATAACAATATTTGACAAAAAAATCAATCGAATGTACGTCCATAATTAACCTATGACGAAGTTTAGGCAATGATTATGTTCGATAGATGTCATTTTACAAAATTCAGCTCACTATGACAGTCTTCGACAGTAATCAATATCAACATTTTCGCCCAGCTCTATAGAATGCAAGAAAAATTTTCATAATGAAAATGTTTTTTTTTCTTCATAGAACGCTTCGTTTAATCTCAAGGTATCACCTTGAAAAACAACAGTAGACATCATAACAAAGAATATATTCTATCAAACCTCGCCATCGAAAATATATTTCCTATATACATGATTTTTCACACAGTTGAATTGTATCATACAGAAAATTGTTTACAAAAACATGTCACTTGCGTTTTCAGATCTTCCTGTTGATTGACCTGATGAATTTGAATAGGCTTTCCTGATGATTTGCTGACTAAATTAACGATCGGTTGTAAGTAAATCATCGTGTTCTGATAGATTTTGTCTGAGATTAGAATGAGATCGTATTTCTTCCAATCATAGTCGCGATGAAATGGTTTGTCTTGTAAATGACCTTTGCTGATTTTATTCACGTCGATCGATTGAGAATTTTCATCGATAAAATAAGCGGAAATAGTTGGTGGTGATGATTTGGATTGAAATGATTGAAGAAAATCTGAACTGATGATAAAAGGGTAACGATGATACCAACATTCGATGCGATGTTCGTCATCGGTTATTAAAATAAAACGTGGAGACGGTTTACTTGATGATTTGGTATCAATTGCACTACGACAGCGTGGAATTTGATTTTGTAGTTTAATTGTCGATTTGATTGAAGTCTGAGATGCAGTTTTAGGACGGACGAATGGCTCAGTGGAGACGATCGAAGGTTGTTCTTCAATCACTGGAAGAGTTTCATTTGTAGTGGGTGGAAGTATCGGTGCGGGAGGACAAGGTGGATGCGTTGTTGTTGTTGTTGTTGCTGTTGATAAAGGAGAGGAACGCATTCGTGGAGGTGCAGATGAGGGTGGTTTTGTAACTTTAAATCTAGTTTTTGGTGAATGGGTGTTATCAATGGTTTGGAGTGAATGCAGTGGTTTAGAAGCAACAATAAACGCTTCAAGAACTGGTTTTGAGTAGACATCCGTTGTTCGTTTAGATAGTCGAGGTTGAGTTGTCAAACTTGCTGATTTTGGTACACTGGTTCGTGGTCGAATACTAGACATAGGTCTGACATCTACATTGGTAACATAAAAACGATTTTTATTTTCGAAAGTCGATTGACGGAATTAAATTATCAGGAAGATGAGAATTTCATCCTCATGAATAACTTACCAACCTGATTCAGATTTTCGATTTGGTTCTTGAAGGATCGTGTGCTTTAGTTTTTCATAATTTAACTGCATTGTTTGTAAGTCAATCAGACATTCGTCTGTTTTTATCAAGCGTTTCAACGGTGCGGATGTTTGTCTTAAATGGAACCAATTATCAGAATCGATATGTGCGAATTTCTGCGCTTGTTGTTTGCGTAATTTTCTTTCCTGAGCAATTTTTCGTCTTTCATGAGATTGTTTCGCAAAGCTATTCGATGTACCTTCTTCGAAATTGGCTTTTAACGGAACTGCTAACATTGCCGATTTGATGCGAACTGGTGTTTGAGATGAAACTGTTGTTGATTCTTCATCGAGGTCTGGTGTTGGTGCCGGTTGATAAAGTGGAGGAGGTGAATGTGAACGAGATTCTGGTTGTAAGGAGCTTTTCGTCGAAGTGAAATGGTTCGAAGGTCGAATCAATGATGGCGACCAACGAGAGAATTGATAAGGAGTTGAAAACATTGGATCATTGAGATTATTCATTCGAGTTTTATCTAAAAAGTAGAATCGAAATCGAAAACAAAATCCTAAACACTTGTTAGAGTTAGAGAATAATTAACTACAAAAAAAAAATGATTCAAAACATGAGAAACAAAGAAAAATATTAGTCTTCATCATCGCTCGCCGATTCCATAATACATTTCCATAAAAAGATGCTAAAACAACAAAGTTATTTTCCAAACATATGACAATTTCTTTCTCTTACCAACAATCGTCACCACCTAAACTAACTAAATATCTTTCATTTGTAAGAAATCGAACGTTTGTCACATTTCCCGAATGACCATAGAACGCTTTTCCTTCCGTCTACAGAACATTCGTTTCAAAAGAATTTCTTCTCAAGAGAAAGAATCAAAATCTTACTCCTGGCTCCGGACACGGAAATTTGAATAATTTCACCGCACCTTGATCATCACCCGTAACAATCGTCGATGAAGTCGCATGTGCACAGTTGATATGATCTTTTTTCACATCCTTCGGCCAAATGCCCACAACATCATCTCCGAATGTACTAACACAAAGCAATAATCGAAAGAAAATCGGCGAAGGAAAATTTTACCTTGTCCAGGTATTCCAAACAATCTTTTCCATTTCTTCGGCATTCTTTACTTCTTCTCCCTCAGGTACTTTAAAAATAATTGCATGAAATCCGGTCGTTGTTGCCTGAGAAAAAATTCATTCTATAAAAAGATATACATACACACTTCATGACATCATACTCGGATATATTTCGAATTAGTTGACCAATCGATATGTAAAACAGGATCTGCAATATGTGTAACATAACCAACGCGAGATAATTTTGTTTGATTAACTTCAAAGAAATCCAAACAAGAGTTTTCCGATGAAGTAACTAACAGTTTTCGATTTGGACTAAATCTAGAATGTACTTTTGTTCCTCAGAATTCTTCTCGATGAAAAGAAATATTTACTTTATGCAAATAATCGCTGCACTACGTTCTCGACTTTTATAGACATCAGTGAGTTTTTTCTCTTCAGGTGAATATGTAACTAAACTGATTTGTCCATCTCGACAACCAACTGCGATTAATGTTCCCTCGCCGTCGAATGCAACACTACGAATTTCTCTTCCCATATCACGTTTAGCGATCAAACCCTAAGAGAAAAAACTCCATTTGTTTCTGTCACCGTTTATGACAAATATGGAAAAAGTCAGAAAAAAGAATCAGCAATAGAACGTAAAATAAAGGCCCAAATAGAGATTTTGTCGAATCAATACTTACAGTATCTTTATATGTGCCCTTTTTTCAAAAAAGAATCATTAAAGAATGCATATTTGTAAAAAGAAACAAATGCATTCATTTACTTTTGTCGTGGTGTTCCAAACGACAAGATTTCGATCGTAACTTCCGGTGGCGAAGATTGATTCAGTAGGATGTGGTGCTAAGCCCCATAGTTCACCTTCGCCATGACCAAAGACAATGTGTCGTGATGGTGATCCAGATGCTTTCTCATCGATTTCGATGATATCAGATGTTTTCAAGCCAATTAATATTTTTCCCTGAGAAAGATTAAAAAAATGATTATCAATTATGGATAAAAATGAAACTTTTACTGCAGAGTTTCGACAAACAGATCGAACACATATGGTATCCGTGGTAGGGTGATCGAATGTGATTGATCGACCATTATTGACATCAAAATCCCAAACTTTCAGTGGTTCGAGAACTCGTGTTGATCCAGGCGATCGTCTTAATAATCAACAGAAATTCTTGATGTAACTGAGATTCAATAACGTACCTTTCTTTTGAACCTGTTACTAAACAATTATCCGAGCTGTACATGGTTAGAATGGGTCCGAAATGAGCGTTGATCGATCGTTCCATTGTATTCGAACGCCAAATGAATATCATACCAGTCATACTACCCGTATAAGTTCGTTCGTCCTAGGATAAAAAGAAAATTATTTCGTGAGTAAACAGAATTTCATGGAGACAGACTGGTCCGAAAGCTACAGAAAGCATTGTTTGCATTTTAGTTGATCGTCGTCCATCAGCCGTTTTGGTGATCACTGCTTTTTTCTCTACTAACGTGTTACCAGCCAGTGACCAAAACTTCAAATGTTTAACTCCAACTGATACAAATTGTGTGTCCGAATTGGGACGAAATAGTGCACGAAATATTCGTTCATCCGACGCTACTGAACACGCGATATTGAGACCTGAGATTATCAAGAAAATTAAAAAGATATGATGTTGTCAATTGTAGATATTTACCTTCTTCCCATCGCCACACGGCGATCGTATACGGAGTGTCAACACCGACAGATAGCAAGAATTTTCCACTCGTTGAAAAACTCAGTGAACAAACACCTAGAGCAAACGTGTCTTATGATTGAAAAGGTAAATCCCGATGTATTCTACCCCGTTTATGTTTTCCTGATAGAACTGAAAGAGTTCTTTGCGTTTGTGGATCCCATATACGAATAGTTGGATTTTCTCCAATTTGACCTGTTGCTACAATGTTTTTATACTTGTCGCCCGTGTGTACAGCCATGGATATGATATCATCGGTATGTTTCAAGTAGAATCTTTGTGTACCTTGACGAATATCATGAACAACACCAGCACCTGCAGCCGGATAAACAATCAAGTCCTTATCCGCTAAATAGAACAGATTATCACGGCAATCGAAGCCGCGATAACCATGAATATGATCCAATTGAAGATCCTACGAAATAGAAAAATAGTTTTGGAAGAATCGAAGACGCAGTATAACGTACAACAATACGACCATGAGGTTTGACATCTTGATCGGCTGGGTCATCACTTGTTGTACGATTTTGCATAGAATGTAATAATCCTAAACCAAGTCCTGATCTTAAATAAAGGACAGATAAATTATGGGAAATAATTTCTCATCACTTACTTCAATGCTACTTTTACCAGTTCGAGTTCTTCTTTAATCTTTCTTTGCGATGGTTTCACTTTCAAATGTCTAAAAAGATTGAAACTTATCTCGAATAGAACTTCGAAATAATGATGAATTACAATGGACGACGATTTCCAGTTGTTGTTGGTCTAGGCACATCCTTCTTGCCAGTTCGAATCGGATCAATTAAAATTCGGGCATTGTAATCCATATTTCGATCGTGTTGAACATCCGAATCATATCCTTCTTCTTCCGAATCAGTATTATCCGAATCATCACTTTCTCCTCGTTCTTTCCGGAGAGGACGAGTCAGAGAAGTAGAGCTCGCATTAACACCAGTCGCTGATCTTTTCGACAATGTTGTTGATGTTGTTGTATTGATATCGATCTCTCGATCGCGTACATGTTTCCATACTAATGTTGCTATATCTCGACCACCAATGGATATTAAATAACTATCATCATATGTCCAACGAACGCGAGTCACGTGGGCGCTATGACCTGTATATCGTTTATATTTAGCGAATTTGCCCTGAAATGAATCGTCTTTGAGCGAAATTAATGCGAGGAGAATTTACTTTAACAGGGAACTCGAATAGTTTGACGAGACCATAATCATCGCCGGTAGCCAAAATCTGCTTGTCTTTTGTTAAATCAGTTGAGTTGACGTCCGTAACATCTGATTCTGGTGGCCAAATGCCTTGACAAACAAGACCTAACACTCCAGTCCACGTAGCCCAATCCATGTTTTCAATATCTGTCGTTTTGATCGATGTCACTCGTGTACCACGCGGTGCCTCATAGAACAATTGTTCTTTAGCACCGGAATTTGACATGAGTAATTTTCCTACAACAATCGATCACATCTTTTATTACGATAATAGTTCGTTCGAAATAGAAAACAAGAACCTGATTCACTCCAATCGACATGTGTAATGTAGGATGAGTTGGCTTTACAAATACCGACACCTGAAAAGAATGTTGATAGATTAGTCTTTTAGACAGATGAATTCATACGCTTTCGTGTTTCAGCATTGTAAATATCCACAAAATTGTCGTGTGTACCTACAGCGATTAGTCCGCCGTCTAAAAAGCGAATATTTTATATCAGTATTCAATCGTTTCGAAGAATATTTACTAGGAGAGAATTTGATGTCCGACACTTCTTGATTTCGATGATTAACAGTTACCACTTCACTCAGATCCGCTTCGTTCAAAACAATAAATTTTCCTTTTTTAAAAACAAGAATTGAAAATCATCGTTCGATTGAATCTCTCACATACCATCTTTCGTTCCGACAGCAATAGTGTCTCCTTTTCGTGAATATTCACATGTTCGCAAGACTTTATCGAAGGTTTTACAACGAAGCATTCGTCGTTCGGTCAACGACCAAATTCGCGCGGTTTTATCATCACTCACAGTACAAATTTCAAGCTTCTTTGGATGACAACTTAAACCCCACATTTCACCTTCGGCATGTCCTGAACGAAACAATTTCCATTCTGTTATTAAAAGTTTTCAATTATGTACCTTGAACGGGCACACGAATAGTTCCATCTTTTTCGATTTCACATATTTCTCCTCCACGTGTACCAACCACAATCCGGCGTGTTAAAGTAACGGCACGTACTGCTGTTGTTTCTTCTGTCAGACGACCTAAGTTTCACAACAATTTATTCAAAAAATCGAAAAAGCATTGTCTCAATGCTAACCTAGCGAATCTGGAGCCAGTTTACTATTGGTCAATTCATATGTTTTGATACATTTTTTAAACTCCGGATCCCACAGCATGACTTTGCCATTCTTTCCTCCAGTCACATAACCCTACAAAAGATCTCTGATTCACTCAAAAGTGAACTTATTTGGAAATGTTTACTTTGTCTTGCACAGCTGCTATAGCAAATATTGGTCCTTGATGTGCATTATCAATCTTTCTCAGCAATGTCGTTAGTTGCCAAATATAGATACATCCATCGCTACCACCAGTTATGCAACTGTCAGCAGTTTTGCCAAACACAACACACATTTGACTTTGCTTGCCTTGTTTTCCGCTTGCCTTTCCGAAAACTCCCTGTTTGGATGTCATACCACCACCAGCATGATTCCAAAATTTAATATGTTTCACTCCAACAGTTACAAACTGATTTTCTGCATGCGGATTCCAACGTAGACAAAAGATTTTATCATTGTGACCTCTAAACAATGACAAGAGCATGGATGATAATGAACATATGTGTAATAGAAACCTTTGTGCAGCTAATTTTTCTCCTTTTTTCCATTCCCAAATAACGATCGTCTTATAATCATCTAAACCGACAGTTGCCAAACGTTTTCCGTCCTCTACAACACATTTTCATACATTCGATTTCCAATCTTTCTCGGATGATATCTCACTTGAAAATCCAATTGCGCAAACACCGCGATAATGTTGGCCTTTCAAGATTGAGATCGTTTCCATTTTCATCGGATCCCAAACATGAATTGGTGGATCACGCCCATTCTAAAATAGATGCTTTGTAAATTCGATCGGAGGCAAAAATAATCACACAAACCTGTCCAGTTGCAACATAGCTCATATCTGTCGATACAGCTAAGCATAAAATGTCATCAGTGTGATAATTGTAAAATCTCTGTTGATTTTGTTCGGTATTCAAAACAATGCCAAGTGCAGCAACATGATAAACGATTTCATTGGATTTTAAACAGAAAACATTGTCACGACAATCGAAGCCGCGGTACCTACGCATTAGGATGAAATGTTCGAAAGAAACTATCAGATATATTTGTTTTTCATACCCAAAGGCGTATTCCAAAGCTAAACCTTCATCCGGTTGCTTTTTTCGTTTCTCACCAGGTGGTAATTTCGCTTTCAACGTTTTTTTAATTTTCTAAAATGAAATTTATATTCAAAAGGTCTACAATCAATTCGATGTCTTACTTGATAATCTTCTCGATATAGAGTTCGTTCATATGCAACTTGTTTTTCTTTTTCAATGTCCGAATCAATTTCTCCTCCACTCAAATCCGAGTCAGAATCTTCGGAGTCGGAATCCACATAAGCATTCGCATGTTGAGCACTTTCTAGTAATTGTGCATTTTCAATTGTTCCATCGATTTCATCGATGGTTTCCATATCATCCACTCCTATTGCCGTTTTCATGGCCGTCGGCGCAACACTTGTTCGTCGTGCGCTGACAAGTGCCATAGAATCCGATTCCGATCGGAATGTCCATTGTAAAATCGTTCGATCATCACTACCAATGGTAATCAATCGACTTATATCGTAAAGAAATGAAACAGCAGCTGAAAAAAGAAATATTCAAGTTCATTTTGATCTAGTTGAGAAAACGATTATTTACCTATGCGACTTGAATGACCAACATATTTGCGAAAATGTGCACCAGATTTCTCACTTGGAAATCGAAATAATTTGACAAGGCCAAGTTCATCACCTGCCGCAATAACACCTGCGTGATTGTTGCCGTCGATTGAAACAATATCCGTTTTTTCTGCGAATTTATTCCAGATTCCACGAACTTCACGATGTTTGAAACTTTTGAATGTCGCCCAATTATGAATACCCACAGCTTGTTCATTCGTTATCAATTCGCCAGCTTCATTGAAAACAGAGAACTTCGTAGAGAATATCTCGGCAAAGTTTCGTCTCTACTCACAAGGAACTTTCGCAACAAAAACTTCTTGATGCTCTCCAGTGTATTGAACATACTGTTCATCATCTGTCCAATCGATATTTGTTACGCTTAAAGTGTTCGCTAAAATGAAATATCGTCGAGTAGAAAAGGATCATGTTTTCGAAATTCTTATTCTACTATTATTTTTGAAACGTAAATTTTTGAAATTGTTTTTCACGTCATAAACGTCAAAACTACCATCAAAACAACCGACCGCGAGATAATGATCATGTGGAGAATAGGATAATACTTGAATACGATCTGTACGATCATGAATCGTTTTTACGGGTGCAACACGAGTGTCGCCTTGCCGTGTCAATCTAAAATCAAGAAAGATTTTATAATCAGAGAGAAAATCGTCGTTAACAAACGTCGTTGGATAAATTTCAATATATCCACTTTCATATCCAACCGCAATTTGACTTCCATCTGATGAAAAATTCAACGATCGAATCGCCGGTGGTGGCGAAAGTGGAGCAAATGGTGTTGGATAAAATGTTATCAATGTCATTCGATCAGCATTCCAAAATCTACGAAAACGAATTCATTTTTCCGCTCGCAATCAAAATCAACAAACCGAAGAGAACAATCGTCACCGCCTGTAGCAAATATGTTTTGATGGGGATGACAAGCTAATGCGGATAATGTTGTCTCATGATGACCTTGAACGAGTAGTTCAGGATTTGTCAGTGAGTTGAGTTCAAATCCATAAATTTCACTATCACGAGTGCCAGCGACACAATAGCCATTTCGCGATGCCACACTACAAACACTAGTTTCTAAAACAAAAGGATATCCTGATAAAAAATCTCAACACCTTGATCTTTCTTACCTTCAGGATCACTAACTAAAGATGGAATGCGAATTGCTTGGCCCGTATGAATAAAATCTCGTGTCCATTCTTTGACAAAACCATCTTTACTACTGGTTAAAAATCCATCCGGGGTTATATCAATTGAATAGATTGTTGACTAATAGAAGAATTAACGGAAAATTTTGGAATTTTACGATATTAAGCTTTATATTTACATGATGGGCTGCTGAAATAATTCGATCGACTTTGTATCTCTTCCAAATAATAATATCGCCATTAATAGCTCCAGTGAAACATAAATTATTGTCTTCATCAGACTGGTCATTTCCCTCTGGAGCTTTCCAACCGAAATTTCCTATACAAAAAAGTATTTGTGCGCCTGATTTGCCAAATTGGCCGTCTTTGTACTGTAATGTATTGCCCAGTAATGTCCAAAAACGAATATTTTTCACCCCACAAGTGATTACTCGATCACCAAAATAGCAAATATCAAAAATACGTTCGGAATGACCAGAAACTGTAGCTAAAAGCTTTCCACGTTCCCATTGCCAAACTTTAACAGTATTTTCACTATCTATTCCAACACTTGCTAATTTCTAAATTTCAAAAAATAACAACTTTTCTTCTAATCTAAAAGAAAAGATTATTTACATCGCCAGTTGCATTGAAACTCATTGCTCCAACCGCATCTGTATGACCTTGTAAAAGGCTTTCTAGTTTCATAACACCTTGGCTGTTCCAAATACAAATTCGTGCTTCTTTGCCGATTTGTCCAGTTGCGACGGTCGTTTTGTTTGGATGCAAACATGAACTAACGATGTCATCATCATGACCAAGAAAAAATCGTTGGCGACTGTTCGTTTTATCATTTATACTTTGAACAATAGCGACAGCAGCACAAAAATAAACCAGTTCACCACTTTCAGTTAGATGAATGTTACTTCGACAAGTTGCTGCCCGATAACCGTAGGCCCATTCAAGGCGAAGAGAGGCTTTGGGTGCAGTTCGATCACCACCAACTAGAACATTAGCAGGTGCCGTAGAGTTCGATGCCATCAGACGCGAACAATAGGTTGTGAATAATTTAGACAAGAAGTTGTTAAGTAGAGGAAAGTGATGTATGTCACCATCGAATTTGTTATTGCTATGAAACGAATGTCGATGAAATATCGAAAATGAGAGGGCGACACTTATGTATATTGATCATCAACAAGCGACATCAGAGAATCTCGTGGATATAGATATAGGTGAAGATACGAGTGTATGAAGCAAACATTTATACACAGATCAATTGCCATGCAAGTTTTTTTTTTATTCAAAATGATTTCCTTTTGCACAAAAGAAAAAGAAGACTGTGATAATATTTCAACGGTTTAACACATCAAGCTTCAACATCTAAAACAAGACTCGAGATATTCATAGTAAAACCGATGAAGTCTTTCATTTGAAGGCCATCAGCATCTTTCTCATGGTTTATTTTTGGCCTTCCATGCGAATCACCTTTTCTGAGCGTAATTCGATCAATGCGTCTTCGATGGTACTCTTTCAACATACTAGGTAAACGTATCACGTGTCCATACGATTCAGGATACATTGCTGCATCTAGTTGATCTAAATGATACCATGGTACTCTTGTCAGAAAATGATGAGCGTTGTGATAGCCACAATTCAGAAACAGTATGTCTAGCATATGTCGGATCATTGTATGCCCACCAAATACTGTTGAATAAGTTGTTTGCTGTTCGTAACAAGCATCGCGTTTTGGCAACATAGTGTCGCGTGATACAAATGGAATGGTGTGATGGTAAGCATCATATACACGTGCAATATCAATGAATAATATATGTGCAATGAAATAATATATTATGGAAGTTGGTTGTACATACCACATGATAAAGAAGAAAATATGTCGTAAAATGAACACTAGAAGAATACGAGCACGTAAACTTCGATACTTATCCACATATAACGGAACAATCAAAGTACGCCACCATGCCACAATTGATAATACAGGAATATAGCAAGCTTCCAGTGGTAATATGATAAAACGTAACCAATATGGATAAGTTGACAAGATGTATGATACTAAATATGAATCGATAGCTGCTTGAGTTAAATGATGCTCTTTATGTTGACTTCGTAGTTCCGAGAACGGCACATACAAAGCACCAGATATTACAATGCTTACTTCACCAACAATGTGATTGATCCATAGCGAAGACGTTACACAAGTATGAATACATTCATGTGTGATTGCTAATGCTACAAGCATGGCATGTGTCAGTAAAATAGTTGCAATGAAAGAAATTAAACATGAATCAATGCACAATAAACAGTATAAAGCCAAAAGATAACTACCTATCATGTAAGTGAGAGTGATGATATTAATGAATAAGTTTTGCGATAGTAAATAAGCTTTCTGCTTGCGGCTCAGTTTTTTATAGGGAATATAAGCTTCATTGATAAAATCACCGCCTGGACGAGTTTTTTCACGTGGTATAGATACAAATTTTTCGACGCTGTTAGCGCGCATGAAAACCATTACTTAAACACAAGACAATGCAAATTTTAGATAGATATGAATATCTAAAATTCTTTTGCTATTCAATGAAACGAAGTTATTCAAGAAAAAATTTGTAAATATTATGATGTATGATATTTTAATTAAAGATCGATAATTATATACATAAGGATGTATGAAATTTCATTTGAATACTTTTACAGTGTTTCTATATTTAGTACGCAAAACTAGGGCACGACGGTCGTTTTCGCATGCGATTTGTCCTTACCTCGATGTATTTTTATGTACTTTGACATTATCTTTCCTTTCTTTCTATCGAGAGAAGGATATATAAGCGTGTGTTCTGTATTAGAACGATGCAATCCTTTTTGGATTCCGCGATATCCACGAAACCAATTTTGGATTTCGTCAAAAACCTTTTTTGTTTTCAGTGTAAACGATCACTCACTGATTATAACTGCGTGCAGATACGAACTTCTCATCCTCGGTTGCCCCTGAGTGGTTCTTATACAGAATAGCGGTTATCATGATCAGTTAACCCCTTGAGAGCGGGATTATTTTTAGGAGAGTGCAAAAGACAATGTGTGCGAAGATAAATACAATAAATGCATGATACATGATATCAGTGGAGCATGACATGACGAAAAAATAGAAGTGATGAAGATAACTACAAAAAGAAAAAAACGTGAAAAAGGTCTCCATACGAATGATAGTATAATACATTAGCGATATATATAGTAACACAGATCATTAAAATATCATAAGAAGTATACGCAAATAAATTATGAGTTGATTTCAACCTGAACGTATATATACGTCACCCGTCCCCAAGGAGTTAATGATCATTTGATAGATGATTAATAAATCATTAAAAACTGACTTCAAAGTTGTGCTTCTCACTGTTAATCCCTTCTTGGTCAAGCTATCTACGAAAAGATTTCTTTTGGGCCGATTCGAGTTTCGATCGATTAGTGAAATATGAATGCGCAAGAAACTAACCTGTCAGAGAAATTGCGCTTACGAAACTATCATTCTGCGAAAGAGAGCATATCACTGTATGAAGATGTATACATATACTAACGAAACCGTGTCTGAAGAGAGTAGTGACAGCAGTAACACTTTCTGCTTACGGACAAATATGTTATACTATTTAAACATAAAAAAATATAGCATTGCATGCCGTATATATAATGAGCACCGATATGGTAGATAATATCTTTAAATATTTGGCTAACCTAAATAATTGAATAAAAGGTACAGGCTATGTTGTAATATGAAGACCTGTACTTTGGATCTATCATATTGCAAAGTATTCACATGATTTATTTTCGGCACCTATTGAATAATACTGACATGTAATAGAGCAGGGACTTTGTTGGCCTCTTTCTTGTTGTTGCACTAGAACTGCTGTTTAAGCGAGTAATCAAAATATCGCTTATCACAGCGTCATATGTAGAAAAACAAATGCACTTTCTCAAATACCGCTGCTTTTTTTGTTCATGGCCTATGAGAAGATGAATTTCAATTATTGAACAAGGATATCGCAGATCATTCTCATAACACATAATAAGAATAAGAAAAGCATGAATATGATATACTCTTAGTGCGAATGTGAGTTCGCCAAAACGTATCTAACTCGAAACCATGCGATCGGATCCTGTTGGTCCCCTGAACAATTCACCAACATTCGACAGTCGGATCCGATAGAATTCTGACGGTCGGATTTCGTATATGATCCTTTAGTTTTCGGTGCATTCAGGCATTCGGATCATCCAGGATTTCAACAACAGAATGCAGACATTTCTGATATATCTTCAACAGTTTGAATAAATGAATGTACTAAAAATTTGAGAAAAGCATTGAAAATCGTAGGTATGAAAACTTTATGAAATCTGTTGGATCCTGTCGGTTCTGAGGATGTCTGCCTATTGGATCCTGGCGTCGGAAATTGTTGGACCCCTAGCGGAATTCGCCGAATTTAGTAGGATTTCCGACAGAATCCGAATCCAGGATTACTCGTCCTTAGTACCGTTTCGTTGCATTGGCTGAATTACCGCTAGTAATCTAAATTCTTAAAATAATGTTTTTTGTGCCAAAGCTTTGTTAACAAGTAATTGTTTATTGAAGATTCTCGTAGCAAGGACATTTTAATTTGAGTGATATGATAAATTTTTAGGTCATGTTCCTGACGTATGTAAGGCCAGATGCGTGTTTTCTCTTTCAATTATGAAATAATCGCGCCAAGGGCAAGCACAAGACTATTACTTATTAGAATATATGGGGTCGTCGTCGTACAAGTACTTCTGATTGATAAGAAAGGTAATCAAAACAATATAATATCTAAATTAAAACAATTTGTCCTTTTGTTAAAGAAAAAAGTACGCATATCCTATATGTGCGTTTGCAAAGTTCGTAAGTCTCGGGTACAAGATACGAGTACGTTTTAATGATCAATAGCAAAACCAGATAATTTCTTTGAATACCATACACACTTTGATCTTCAGTTTCTTTCGAGGTGGCTTTTCTTTTGGAGCGTATCAAAGAACATTTAACTTTCATGCCACTCTGCCCATAAAGTGATGTTCTAGGTCATATGTCTTCAAAAGCAAAACATGAATTACCTTATCATCTTCTTTTGTCCTCTTATCAGCACTCTTCGATTCTCATAACCAATAAATCACACTATAAATTCATTCGAACGTCTATACACCTTAGTATCTCACTTACTTTTCTTACATAAAGCATAGCAATATGGGTTCCCAAAGCAAAACTTCAGACATAAAGTCGTATTCAATCACAGGAATGGCTGGATCATACAATGAAAACTCTTCACCACAATTACTTGCTGTTCAACATGCCATTCCATTGATGCGAAAAGCTATTGATGCATGGGAGTCAATTCCTTCATCTTTCCCAACAATTATTGCTGATTTTGGCTCATCTCATGGTGCAAACACCACATTCATTATCAAAACAATGCTTGATTATATAAAACAATCGAAAAGCCAATTGGTTGATCAATCTTTCCTAATCATTTATAATGATTTACCGTCAAATGATTGGGCTGCAGTGTTCAATATTGTGAATGAGGAAAGTCAATATTATGGTTTGGGTAATGGTCGTTCATTTTATTCACAATGTTTGCCATCAAACTCTCTGTCTATTGGCTTTTCGTCAACCTCTCTTCAATGGCTTTCTCGAAAACCCTGCAATATATCAAATCATTGTATCTTTTTATTTGCGCAAGCTTCCGAGCGTGCTGCATTTCGGATGCAAGCGAAAGAAGATCTGGAACAATTCATAAAGACTCGTTCGCATGAATTGATTTCAGGTGGTGTTTTGATTGTCACAGCCGTTTGTTCTAATAAGAAAGGTGAAAGTATTTTAAACCATGCATGTGACTGTTTATATCAGTGTAGCAAACTGCTTCCCTTGAGTGAACAAGAATTGCTTGATTACACAATACCGATTTATTTTCGCGAGTATGAAGATTGTATTGATGAAAACCTTTTCAAACGATATTCATTTCAACTGGTTTCATCTTATTTTTATTTGGTTGATGTCGAATTCGACCGACATTTTGAAGTAGGAGAGATAAAGCTCGAAGAATTTGTTCAATTACATACTGGTTTTATGCGTAGTTGGAGCGAACCAGCATTGAGAAAAGCTTTGCAAAACAATGGAAAAAGAACAGAGGAAGAAATCAATGAATTACTGATTCAATTTTGGGCCTTATACAAAGATCAAGTGCGCAAAAGTCCCAGAGAATTCAAAAGCAGTTTCAATGAAGCATGTTTTGTATTGAAAAAATGTTAAGAATAAACGTGTAATTTGTTCTCAAAATACTATATATAATCTTCTGAGAAAAAGTTTATAAGCATTAATCATCAGTTATGCCGCTATATAGAGAATCTGTATCGATGTACACTTCGATTTTATCTGACGAAAGTGTTTCTGCTCATTATTCTTGTTAATACAAGTCCATTTGCTTCGGCATATCCTTTCTGGCAATAAATAAACGGCTCGTGATTGTTGTACACGTTTCAATCAGTTCCTTTAGCTAACCAGGTTATTATGGCTTGGTCGCGTCCGATGCAGCTTTTCCAGTGTCTACATCTGTTCTATCGACTATTTCAGTGCTGTGGTTTGCGTCCTTCTCTTCCATCTTTATTTGAAACTAAATCATATAAACCGTTATGTCTGAAGTGTAAACGTTAAAACTATACTGGACAGGAGAGAAAAGATTGAACGGAAGAAAAGCGAAACATGCACAACGTAGCTAGTAGTCTTTGCACTATCAGTCTAGAAGATATCATTTCGTTCTGTCGACTCCCTGGGAATGGTTTATCTGTGCTGTTAGGAAAAGAGCGAGATGAACGTCTTTGTGAGGGGCACTTTGTCTTGTATAATTTTCTCGCAACGATGAAATTGAGGTAAGGCTCATTTGCATACCTTATCGTTTGCGATGGCGCATAATAGAAAACTGTGAATCAAATTTAAGTGGCTCACCTATGACGAATTTTCACCAAACTTAACTTCGAAGTCTTCATCATTGCCATACGGTTTCGATAGAAAAAAAGAAATAAAAATCACTGTTGAAATATTTTTTCCCGCCTAGATAGAGAAAATATTACGTCAATGAGAGAAGACCTTTTGCTTATCAGACTTCTATGAATTTTGCCTGGTTAAACGAAATTTCGAGCAACATCATAGGTCGATTCAAAAACGAAACATGATATACATAGAATTATTTTCCAATCGATCTAATCTACTGAAGTACTAAATCAATAAAATTACTTTCATTATATTGATTCAGTGTCAATTTTTTTTTATATAGATTTGAATAACCATTTCGAATTAAAAGTGTACGTGCTCCCTGTCGATTTAAACAAGTGGTTCATTGAGTACTTGTGAGTATTCATAACTTACCATTTTCGTTCAAGTTTCAACTGATTCATTCAATCTCTTTTTTGTAAGCAAACAACGTAAGACAATACGAATCGACGAATACTATCACATATCTCATTGCTGACTGACAACATTCGGACCAAAATTAAAATATCCGAAACGAACACAACCGAAGAGATAAGAAAAGGAGCTCTCTCCTTCTGACTTCATCCGTTCATTAATCCCATACCAACATCAAGTTTGTGAACACCAACAATAGATGAAAGAGTCAAGTTATTTTTTTATTTAACTTGGTTTAAGATTTGACCACAAATTAAAATCTGGCAAAGCACCATAAATGAAGCGATTTTAATGTGTAGTGTGAATGCCAAGATCATCTTAATCCTAAAAACTCTAATATTTACTTATGATCAACTCTAATCGAACATCGCTTTACTTGAAATTGACTTGAAACATCTGTGATTGGATTCGAATGTTCTGCAAATAATTTTTGACTAGCCCATCTCTGATTCAGCAACAATCGTCTAGGGGAGATCTCAGAAAACTTTATGTGTAATAGAATATGCTTATTAATGTACATGAAAAGCTAGATTGAATAGAACAAGTCTGCAGCTGGATAAAGAAAAATCCAGTTGAAAAGCGCTCAACATATAACTGAAAATGTTAGTGCATGCGGTAAAGAGTATCACAATTGAGAAAAACATTTAATTAGCGAAAGAAAAGGATAGAATGATGAATAGACCACTCGTAAACAAAGCAGATATGAGAAACAGAAGGAACGGTACCATTGTTCGGCCAACATTGTGTAATATTCTCCTATCAATATATATCCATGATTTTTCATTCAGTGGTAATGAAAGAATGCCAACACAAAAGATTGACATGAGTATTTCCAGGAAAAGTCGTCCAAATCCAGTTGATTTGTGTGATGAGCTATTATTTATCATTATCAATAAACTAAATATTCGTGATGTCTTTTTGAGGACGGAAATTCATTTGAACACAAGGTTTTACATACTTTTTCGTATTCTGGTGCTAAGCCGATGGCGCTAGCTTCACACCAATCAACAATGTACTATTAACAACAGTTTTAAAACTTCTCACCGTTACAGTATACGAGGAAAGTTCGCGCCTTACGAGAACTACTCAACTTGGTCTCTACCATTTATCTACGCAATAACTCTTGAATGAGTAATTTGATTGTAACGAAATTTTCAGTTGTGTACTGTTATATCACAATCCTAACTGGATTCCAAGATGAGACTGACGGGACGAGTCATTGATCATTTATTGAGAAAGCATAGATATTTCTCTGTGATTTCGAATGTCCTTTATCTGATATATTTTTCGGAGCATGCCTCACCTTCGGGTAAAATCTTAGGCTTCTCTATTTATTTACTTCTTCTTCTCTTCGACGTGATTTTAATCTTGGTTTTCAAGTAATTTCCTAAGCTACAAATGTCGCGGCATGTCGCTCTGACACGAACAGAAGAGAAAAACTTGAAACAGAGTAATTAGGTAATAATAGAACAAACATTTATTAGAAATGATCATTACATGAACATTTTCCCTCAGAGAAATGATGAATACGATTCGTATCACGAATAATAATATCACACTGACGAATCCGACTAATCAACTTGATTGCACCATCTGTAACAAGAAACTAAAACATATTCTCCATCTATCAAGGTCTCGACTTACGACAATCACCACAAATGCGAAGATTCTTCACGATTTGAATGCGTGATGGAACTGGTCGCTGAATAAAATGATATGCAAGCGCCAATCTTTCACTGTGACTATTAAGAATCGAAGCGACAGTTTCATCAGGCATCATTTCACGTGTTATCCAACTTGAATCAAACTTGTGGCCATGCTCAGTGAGCTCTGTTTCGATCCGATGAAGTTCATCATAGATTTCTTCTGTTCGTGGATGCCTTCGATCTTTAACACGAAATTCCTTCAAGATAAATACGAAGTTGAACGAGCATCAGTGCAACAGAAGATTGATCTTTACCACAATTTCACCGTTGACTTCAGTCCAAGATACACCCACTTTTTTCTTGATACCTGATTGGCTCATTTCTCGTCTTAGCTGTGATGCTTCTTCCAAGTCACCTGATGACGCCAATATATTTGTGAAAAGCACAGAAGTCGATGCTAGACGGTCGTCGTCAAGATGGTCTAATTGTTTTATTCGTTGAGTTATTTGTCGTGCAAGAGGAACATCGTTTCGATTACGAGCACCTGACAGCAAGGACACTAAAGATAGAAGAACAATATTAACTATTCAACGCGAAGTAAATTTTTCTCCATGAAACAACCTACTGTACATGGGTGCAACAGGAGATTGGTGACGCTCAAACTCTTCGATCAAATGTTTTGCTTCGTCAAAGAAAAATGAACGACTCAAGCAATCGACCTAAATGAACAAACACGTTTTTTCTTTATATTTGATGTTAGTATCAATTTAAACACCATTGCTGTGTAAATATAATTGCTTTTGATAGGAATTGTTGTAAAAATTGAGCGACATTCATTAACGAGGCCAGAATGTGAACAAGCGTTCAACACACAAACATGTGATCTCTCATCTCTCATTTCCAGTGGCATTCGATGATAGAGCTGAATTGACTCATGGCCCATTCCATTCAATCCATATACATTAACTATTGAGACCAATATATAAACAGACAAATCACTAAGTTAACTTACTCATAGCATTGTATTCGGTACAACTGGGTTTCTCGATTGTGTCAAAAATATCTTTAGCCTCCTTTACACATGCCACTTTGCCCTGCTCAATCATAAAAATATCCTAAACATAAATAAACAAATGAGATGTCACCTACCCACATATGAATTAAGGTGGTTCGAAGTTGCAGATTAGATAACATCGAAGGTGGAATTTGGCTCGCGATCGATCGACAACGGGATTCAAGTCCTAATTCAGCACATGCTTGGATGACAAGAAGCAAAACGGCTGAATCTGCTGCAACATTTTCCTTCTTCATCTTTTCATATAGGTTAATAGTTTCCATAGGCATGCAATGATCGTTATAACATTTCATCATTTGTCCGTAAGTAACTGCAATTCGTTTCATCCGATGAAATAATTGTTCTGCATTGGAGATATCACCGCACTTGATAAACATATCAAAGGCACCGACAACGATATATTCATCTTTACGATGAATCTCTGACGTGGAAAGCCACACTTGTTTACCAAAATCTAATGCTTGCGTTGTTCGAACTTGGGCACAGCTGTTAAACAAAAGGCCAAGAACAACTTCATTTGGAGCTTTTACGCCTCGAAAGAGTTCGATCGCTTTTCCAGCCATGTTATTTCGTATAAAACCTAGAGAAGAAAGAAACCGCCTTATAGGCACAATGAATCGAATGAATGACGCAACCTTTCATCATCGAACCATAATGAACCATGGTTTTATTGACACAGGAATCGAAAACACGCTGAGCATCGCTCACTCGACCACATTGCACTACGCGATTTTAACGACAACAAGGTGAATCCATATAGTGAATGAAGCTTTACTGTAGAAATGTATAAGTGATGTTTGGACGAATATATTATTAGTGGATTGATTTGAGAGTTGCTCGTGAATGTCTTGACCGCGTTCAAGAGAACTTAATTGAGTACAAGCCTTGAGTGCTTGAACGATAATTCTGTCTGTTAACAGTTCAGAGTTTTTATGTCTGTCGAAGAGATCAAGTGTTTTAGTGAATAGTTTTCTCTCGTTAAGTCTTCTCATTTCCAGTTCAATATTCGCTCGAGGTAAGCTTGCAATTGTGCGTACAATGGTGAAATAATTTAATTTCACTTGACGAAATAGGATAACAACCATCTCCAATAAAAAATCAAGCTAAATGGAAATATGTATCGCCAATACTTTTAAAAGCATTAGCAATCGAAACGAATAATTGAAGAAAAGTTTTATGTTGCGTGACTTCTTTTCTTTTGGTTTCGGTATCGGTACTAAGCAGCCGACGATGATAATGAGTGATGAATGAATACATACATTGAACGTTAAGAAAATGATTGGCAGAGAATCATCATGTAAAAAACTTGTCCTGTCAAGCCTTCGTCTATAAATAGATGTCAGGCAATAACAGATGGAGCATTTTTCCTCTCTCTGACGAGCCAGCGATCAGTCGCATTCTCTTTCGTCTATATACGTTAATTTTGTCGACTTTCGGTTCAAACAAAGAACCTTTTCTCTCTCTCTCTCGTCCTCTTGTAACTCCAATCAATCTCGACCAAGATCCACCAAGTCTTTCCTACGGATCAAAGACACCGAAAAGGTGACCTTCGTCAAGAGAGTCGATCTCGAAATCCCCGAAGATCGCATCATGACAGCACTCAAGGACTTAGGACTTGAAGCGATGAATGTTACGCGGTTAACAAACAAAGACGGCAACAATCCGACACGAACAGTGAAAATGATGTTCGTCGATGCCGAAAACCGAAATACCTTTGTCCACACAGGTCTACAAGTGGATTCGATGCATTTTCCAGCCGAGCCAGCCACACAAAACACCAAGCCAGTGAAATGCTATATCTGTATGCAATACAACCATCTAGCTAAGTACTGCAAAACCAAAAAGCAGGTGTGTGCACGTTGCGGAGAAAATCATCGGCTTGACCAATGCACAGCGTCTACAGACACGTCCAAATGTCGCAACGGCAATCATCTCACCTCGTCTGTAGACTGCCCAAAATATAAGGAACAGGAGAAAAAAAGCGCGAAACTTGGTCAACCGACTATTCATCAACCTTCAACAAAAGGTCGAGAAACTGGAAAAGCTTATTGCCTCCAGCGAATCGACCACATCCATCCCAACAACTACCACAGATCAACTGACGCCAACGAATTCGACTTCATCAAACGACAAGACAATGACTGTTGTGCAAAGCAGCAATGGAGACGCCTCGAAAGAGAGTCAAACAGCTAAGGTAAGGCACAACAAACAGAATGAACCAGCGAAACGAAAACTCGCAGAAGCCAACAACTCTCTCGATGCTTCGACTGGCGAAAACAAAGGCATCAAGATCTCCAACGACGATGATTAGAGTGTGTCATATCAATGTCACCTCTGTCACCAAACATCGCGATGAACTCTTGGCCAGATTCTCCCAATACGACGTCATCTCCGTTAATGAAAGTAACCTGAAGAGTGAACGTCAGTTTGCTTTGAAAGGCTACAACATTTTCAGAAACAACCGAGTAGGGAAACCTAGTGGAGGAGTACTACTGGCAGTGAAGCAGCAAATCAAAAGCCGAGAACTGATCTGCAAGACATCGCAAGAAAATGAACTGATTGCAGTCCAACTCGAAACAAAAACATACAAGTCCATGCTGATAGCGTCGATATGTGTCCCTCCTCGAGCAAGACTGAACATCGACGTTTTCCACGAGTTATACGGAATCAACAACGATTGTATTATTGTTGGAGATCTGAATGCAGCACTCCTCCAGATGGGATCTAGGAGAACGAACGCAAAAGGCAAACAGTTCCAAGGACTGATCAACGAAGGCTTTTTGAACTGTGTGGACGATGCTACTACCACATTTGAAAAGAACGATTACGAAGAAAAAATTGACTGGATTTTAGCTAGTCAACCACTCTTTTCATTCATATCAAATGTCGAGACACATCCAACATTAGGACTTCTTAGTGGACACAAGCCATTAACCTTCGATATCTCGATCGGAACTGAAGCCAACGCCGCATCACCACGATTATCGCTCAACTTCAAGAGAGCCAACTGGAGGAAATACAGAAATACACTGGACGAAAAACTGAAACCATGGAACGAGCTAGATCCAACCTCACCCGGTGACATAGACGACTATGCAGAGTTCGTCACTGATTGCATCACCGCTGCCTCCAACGTAGCCATCCCAACAGCATCAATGCCGAATACAAACTTCAAAGTAAGTGAAGCTTCCCAACGTCTGATCAAGAACAAACATCAAGCATATCGACGTTGGAAAAAGACTGGAGAAGCACCAGACAAACAACAATTCTACAACTCTAAAGTCCTGCTAGCCAACTCACTTAGAAACGACAGAAGGCACAAGTTTAAGCAATTAATGGAATCCCTCTGTCGAAAGAAGATGTACTCGGATGAAATATGGCTCACGGTGCGAAAGTTCTACAACAATCAGATCAAGCAAACATACCCGAGCACGATACAGTACAACAAAACTATAGCAGCGACAGGCAAAGAGAAGGCAGATATCTTCGCGGATTATTTCAAGAAGGAGGTCTACTTCAAAGTGTCTGACACGCTCCCGTTTCACAAGCAAGTTGTACGACAAACCAAAAAAGTGAAGAAGGGTATATTACATCCGTCAACCACGACCAAATCGAAAAAGGTTTCAACCAAAGAACTTAAGTGGCATATCAAACAACTACGCAACAGCACCATTGGCCCTGATAATGTGCACAACAGATGCCTGAAAAACCACACCGAGTTATTTGTACCACACCTCACAGCGTTGTACAATATGATTCTGGAAGAAAGCACATATTATCTTACTGTTGAAGCCGAACAAGGACAAGCGTCTACCATCCAGCTATCGTCTCATCAGTCTCCTGAGCTGTCTCGGTAAGCTGCTGGAGAAGATCATCAAGCAAAGGCTCACGCTCGAAATCGAACGTCGAAACATTCTGCCAGCACATCAGGCAGGATTATGTGCGAAGAAGAGTACACTATACAACATCGTCCGACTTGAACGCTTCGCAAGAAGTAAACTCCATCGGCCCGAAAGTAGACAACACTCCGCTGTCATTTGATTCAGTCTGGCACGATGGCCTTATATACAAGCTACATGATCTTCGTCTCCCGCAATACCTTACCAACTACCTGATCTCCTCCCTCCACAAAAGGAGTGCTACAATCGAAATTGGCAATGATATATCTCGTCCGTTTCAGCTGCAGAGTGGTACACCACAAGGGTCGCCGTTATCTCCACTCCTATACATCATCTACACGACCGACTCGATGAACGATATATCACCGCACACGGAACATGGTCTCTTCGGTGACGACACTGCTCTATGAACATCATCCAACACCCTGACCAGACTTTCACAAAGACTACAACAATCCATAGATGCATTCGAAAGTTGATGCAAATCATGGAAACTGAAGCTACAACCAACAAAGACCGAGATGATCCGCTTTAGACTTCACCCAAGAAAGAAATACAAGCATCCAGTAGAAGCCAAAGTCGAAAATACTACCATCAAACCTCTGGATGCAACCCGATACTTGGGCGTAATTATCGACAAGCAACTGAAGTTCAGAAATCATCTTCAACATCTCGAATCGAAAATGGCTGGACGCATTAGTCTCCTACGATACTTAGCCAAATCAGCGCAAGAACCTAACCAAAAGACGATGATAAACACCTTCAAGACATCACAGGCCAACTATGACAAAACACCAGCTCCAATGCAAAGGACTATCTGCGCCGTCTTACATGACGACGGCCGATCTAAGACAACCCGACCATCCTTCTATCTCTCTTCGTGAAGACAGTTAACGACTATACGTGACGTACACATCTTCGATATTCGGTTTCATCCGTTCTACACGCTATGTTAACGGCAGCGTGTAACAGCACTCTCCACTATTAACGCTAGCGCCGAGAACATAGATCATTCTTAGGTCGGCTGAAACTGTGCGAAAATTGTTAAATCGGAATCACGTACAAAACGTTTGATCTAGAACGAAGAAAAGGCAATCATCGACGTATACATCGGCTCGTTCCTGCACATATAGGTCGATGTTCCTTCGAAGATAACTACCGCTACATACCAAACTCTCTCTTTTTTATTTTAATTTTCTTTTCTTTTCTCTACGAGACATAAGACATCAGTCCTGCGTCTCTTCTCTCCTGCCAGCTTTATAACCAATCTGTCCGTTGTTTCCTCTTTCTCTCCTTTCATTCGGGCTGTTTGTTTTCCTTTCCTCTAAACTGGTTGCTTAATAACAAATAAAGCGACGACTCCAAAAAAATAGGTCATATGTCTTCAAAAGCAAAACATGAATTACCTTATCATTTTCTTTTGTCCTCTTATCATCTTCTTTTGTCCTCTTATCATCTTCTTTTGTTCTCTTATCAGCATTCTTCGAATCTCATAACCAATAAATCACACTATAAATTCATTCGAACGTCTATACACCTTAGTATCTCACTTACTTTTCTTACATAAAGCATAGCAATATGGATTCTCAAAGCAAAACTTCAGACATAAAGTCGTATTCAATCACAGGAATGGCTGGATCATACAATGAAAACTCTTCACCACAATTACTTGCTGTTCAACATGCCATTCCATTGATGCGAAAAGCTATTGATGCATGGGAGTCAATTCCTTCATCTTTCCCAACAATTATTGCTGATTTTGGCTCATCTCATGGTGCAAACACCACATTCATTATCAAAACAATGCTTGATTATATAAAACAATCGAAAAGCCAATTGGTTGATCAATCTTTCCTAATCATTTATAATGATTTACCGTCAAATGATTGGGCTGCAGTGTTCAATATTGTGAATGAGGAAAGTCAATATTATGGTTTGGGTAATGGTCGTTCATTTTATTCACAATGTTTGCCATCAAACTCTCTGTCTATTGGCTTTTCGTCAACCTCTCTTCAATGGCTTTCTCGAAAACCCTGCAATATATCAAATCATTGTATCTTTTTATTTGCGCAAGCTTCCGAGCGTGCTGCATTTCGGATGCAAGCGAAAGAAGATCTGGAACAATTCATAAAGACTCGTTCGCATGAATTGATTTCAGGTGGTGTTTTGATTGTCACAGCCGTCTGTTCTAATAAGAAAGATGAAAGTATTCCAAACCATCCATGTGACTGCTTATATCAGTGTAGCAAACTACTTCCCTTGAGTGAACAAGAATTGCTTGATTACACAATACCGATTTATTTTCGCGAGTATGAAGATTGTATTGATGAAAACCTTTTCAAACGATATTCATTTCAACTGGTTTCATCTTACTTTTATTCGGTTGATTTCGAATTCGACCGACATTTTGAAGTAGGAGAGATAAAGCTCGAAGAATTTGTTCAATTACATACCGGTTTTATGCGTAGTTGGGGCGAACCAGCATTGAGAAAAGCTTTGCAAAACAATGGAAAAAGAACAGAGGAAGAAATCAATGAATTACTGATTCAATTTTGGGCCTTATACAAAGATCAAGTACGCAGAAGTCCCAGAGAATTCAAAGGCAGTTTCAATGAAGCATGTTTTGTATTGAAAAAATGTTAAGAATAAACGTGTAATTTGTTTTCAAAATACTATATATAATCTTCTGAGAAAAAGTTTATAAGCATTAATCATCAGTTATGGAGTAGTGTAGAAATCGTTAACTCGATTTTAGTATTAAACATCTTCTTCGAGTTTTCGAGTTTTAAACTTATAAATCTAGAACTCGAAGCTTCGAGTTCTTAAATTTAGAAGTTGAATAGTTGAAAACTCGAACTGAAAGTTTAATACTCGAATAGTCTCTTCGACTTTTACATGTATGAACCAGGGTTGCCATTCTTTCCGCTTTCTTTACATTTTCGCGTTTTTCCATACAACGTTTGGATCAAACGGTCGGAAGTCTAAAATACCGTTTAACTAGAGGGACCCAGGATGAATGTTTCGGCCTCCGGAACCTCCAAGAAACTACCTCCTTTCGCCTCACTCCGCTCAGATCCCAACGGGTCTAGAGGAAAAATGGACACAGTATTCCAGACCAGAATACATTGGACCAGGAACCGGCTAAGTCTAAAGAAATCTTACGGAACGGTTCCCACAGGCTACGGCCGACAGAAACCCTGTCCCAACAAATGACTATTTCCCTTTGATTTCTGTCCGATCCTGAAAGATACCAACAAATCCTGGAAAATCCCACTAAAAAAGCACTCCAACCACCAATAAATATCACCTAACCCAGGACGATGGTTCCTGAAGCAGGATTCCATGAATTTCCGACAAAATACCTGAGGAAACTCGCCATTTCTGAGCGGAAACCGTCCCGAAAATGCCAGGAATCCGATGGAGAAATGCGATAACTGTTTCCGGCTACTGACTTTGACATGTTCCTATCGGTTCCGGCCCAAACCAGATAAATTCGGTCACCGAATCCGCTCATCGGGAATATTTCTTCCATAAAATCTCCGGAATACCACGGAACTGGCCGTTTACGTGCCGGATTGTTCGACCTGAGAAGTCGTTACTGAGTGATACCCATTGCCTCCTCCCTTAAAATTACACTTAAACCCATCAAAAGCACAACAAAAATGTATTCATACCGCCGATAAGCAGCAAAAATCAAGGATTTTCTAGAAGATTAAAATCGGATTGTAATCCTGTGAAAAATCCTAACAGTAGATTAAGACATATGAAGTTTTATCATTTTTGGGATAAGTTTCATACGCAGTATTGAAAATTGGATTTAAATCGGCTCGAACATCCTGCTCATACCTAAGTCACAGACACTGGATCAAAGATTGCTCTGTGATTATGATCTGTGGCGAGGTTAAGTGTTCGCTTTTGTGAAATATTTTCGAAGTGTTTGAGAATAACAGAAAGAAATTGGACTAGTTCGGAAAGTCATCCTGGGATCCGTTCGTTTCCTCCCGGTTTCCGTATGTAAGGTTCCGCGTAGAATTTTTCCGGAGCTTTCCAAGATTTTACGATCGGAAACGAAGGGATATCGTCCGAGAAAGTCCGGCCTGGAATCCTGTGTCACGAAATCGCCAGAATGTTCGACCTGAGTCGAGTACCTGCTACAAATAAGAAATATCTACGTCGAATATCTCACGGGTTGAAGAGCTATAACAGATAAAAGAAATCAATACAATTCAAATTTCTACGCTTCCAGTCCTTATTTTTTCTCACCGTGCATCGCATAAAATGGCAGTTTCGGCTACCCAGGTCGAACAATCCCATACTCGGATCCCATACAGAATTCTATCAGATCCTACAGGAATTCGACGGATCCGAAACATGGATTTTCTAAGGGTCATCATAGAATATAGCTAGAAAGTTCACTCATAAAATTTGCAACAACCGACGGGATTTTTCTAGTCGGATTCCAATGCAATTCCGTTTCCAGGAATCCGATCGGATTTTTTCAGATGGTCGGATCCGGTAAGATCCGATCGGATTGGTTGACCTGGGTATATCTCTTTATGCAAAAGAGTTACGGAAGCTAATTTCTGCCTCAGAAATCATGAAAATTTCCTCTTTCTCTGATATTCACTTTCCACTCCAGCTATTCATTCGTCGACCTTTTTCTCACTCTTACATCATTTCATACCTTATATCCTTCGAATTCACCCACCCTCGAGATCTCTGATGCTAATACGAGTTCAACTTATTATTTCACATTTATTCTACAAAATGAAAAATCTACACAATTGTCCTGAGAAAAAGTTCATTTAAAGTTCTGTTCTTGGTTCATCCTGATACATTCTGTTTGTATTTCCTCCGTAAGCGACAGTATTTATCGTTGATAGCATATGTTTTCCAGCAAATACTAAAGCAGGGTTGACATCGCTGAGATGTGTTGATCGTGGTCGATGATCAAATCGAACATATTCTTCAAACGTTTGTTGAATGTGTTTTCCATTGGAATCGACTTTTTCCTTCTTCATTAGTTTTCCCGTTGGTCGAATTTCTCGAATGATGTGTTGATTTGTTGTGACATCATACCATTGATTTGTAAGACAAGTTGAACAATCGTTGAAACATGACCATCGGTTACGAAGGCAAGGTAAAAACGAACAACACCAAAATGATGAACAAATCTGACTGGATGCATTTCGAATGGAGTCAACCAAGAAAAACGAAAGCCAAGGATTGATGGCGCGATTGATGAGACGAAGAGTGATCAATGGAATATCGATGGCAAACAAAAGATTCGATGATGAGAGATGCAATTGAATGGAGGGATTATAAATTCGAATCAATTGATAAAGATAATAGGGAAATTGACAAAATATAAAGACGAGAACAAGGAGAAGAACCTAGAAATAAAAAGATTTGTTGAGTTCACTGTGATTGGAATGATGAAACGAACCATTGTGAAGAGGTGAGGATGTTCATCATCGAATGATTGGAGATCCAATTGTTTCCAATGGTCATCGTGAATATGATCAAGTTGATAAGTTTTGGATTTGTATTTTCGACGAAGAGAACTTGTGAAAAATAAGAAGAAAATCATAAGGAATGCAGGTAAAACATTTCCGAAGATGAAATCAAGAAGATAAATGGTTCGATAGGGTGTTTGAATGTGTTGAAGATCCAACCGAGTGAGTTGATTGACTTGTGTTTCATTGTAAACACATTCATATGAACCATAGTTGAATGATTGTAATTGTTGATCAAAAAAGAGAGTTGGAATGAGAGCATAAGAGACAATCAACCAAAGTGAAATGAAAATACAAATTCCAGTGACAAATCTTCGTTGACCATAACAAAAGACTCTTCTCTTCACACAACGATCAAAACATAAAAAGACAATTGTATAAGCAAGAAGAAAGTCCATGACTCGCAGAATGTACATTTCACATTTACACCACGAATCGCTCAACCATCGACCATTGTTCAAGGCAAAATGTTCACCTAAGTCGGCAAATGAAACCATTTTGACCAAAGAGAAGATTGAAGACCAAATTGTTCCTTCGACAATCAAATTCCAGATGAGAACATGAATACTTTTGCGTTGGTATTGATCTGTTGAGACACACAATGCAAAGAGATTGAAGAGATTTCCAATGAGTGTAATGAGAAGGAGAATTGTGTAAACTATGGGAATAATTATGCGAATGGGATAGGCGGTCTGAGAAAACATCTCAGCCGATGATGAAGTTGCCATTGAAAGGAAATATGTGAGAGAATTGTCGTGTCAATTGTGTTATTGATGTATTATTCGAATAAGCATGAGGTCTCTCCCTCTCTCGCTCTCAATGTTATTTGCATAGAGATTGTCGTCTGGTTGAGTGTGTTGTTCATAGTGATATGTTTAAGATTGTATGTTTGGAGTAAAGAATTTGTTCGTTCTGTTTCGAAGAGAAAGAAGAAAGAAAGAAAGATATTAGTACAATGTAAAGTAGACCAGAGAGATGTGCGTTTGTATTGAATGACAGTTTTTCGTATCTCTTTTACATATTTTGTATTGAAGAATAAAGTATTACTACCGACCATATAGTATCAAATATTGTCATACTGTCGCAAAAACGGTGTAACACATGACCAAGAACTTCTTGTCGTAAAGTTTCAGTGTAATTGAGATCGTTTATTTCAGACAATGTTATACATCCCCAAGGCTATGTGCTTAAACAGCTACACTACTTTCGCATGCTAGTGTAACAATAAAAGATATTCTGAACACAATTTCGAGATGTTGTACACTGGCGACACCATGCGTCCTGATTTGACATAACTGAATAAAGAAGATTTTCCTCCAATCAAACATGAATCTCTTTGTTCTGATAATCGATGCGAAGAATAACGATAAATCTCTTTGTCAATTTTCTTCTTTCCGAAAACGAGTCTCAACTCATATAACATGCGAATAATTTCATTTATCTGTGAAAATATTCTTCTCTTATAGATGTGTTTTCATCTAACTCTTCAAATATCATTAATTTAAGTCATTTTCAACGAAAAAACCATTTAACAATTTAGTCAATGGAAAATCGAAACAATCTCTCAACACCGTTGAGTGTTTCATCGTTACTCAGTGATAAGTCGTCAAGTATTACAACTGGTGATTGTTCCTATTATGGTCGAATTAATTCAACTGGTTTTGGAATTATTCGTTCATATGAAGGAATTCCGGAAAATATTGTCGTCAATTTAATTGTGACTGCTGTAAGAAGAGCAATTTTAGAAATCAACTCTTCGATATTTCTCTTTATACTTCTTAGATTCTTCTGCTTTTATTCGTTTATTTACGACGTCGTTTTTCCGATGCGAAAACTATTGTTGATGGAACCGAGTAATGGCCTTGAATTTCTTATCTTCATAAATCAAAATCTCATCTCTTTTCGTTCAGAATCTCGACTTTACTTTATGGAAGAAGTAATTCTACTCGACATCTCACTCGTAATGTAAGTTGATTGTCATCTTCAGAGCTTGATGTGCCTTCTGTATGCATTATATACGAAAACAAATATATTGTTGCTTATTAGTTTGCATATCGTTTTGTTGTTTTTCTTTCAATAGGATACAGAATCCTGTTTCCATCGATGTTGTGTGGTAAATAATAGTAAACAGATTTGTCTAATTGACTAACGAATGCACTTGCTTGAAATTTGTTTCTCACAATTTTTAATTAATAAATATTTTTTCTGATTATTTAGTCGCATTGGGCATGGGTGCGAGATTTATTTCGAATAACGTAGATATAGATGATTATTATCTTTTGAAGTACACATAAATTTGTTTTTGAATTTAGTGATTGGGATGTTTATCAAAATTGTTCACCGGATGCTTATTATTATCTATTGTTTCATACATATTTAATTGCTTATTTACTTTTCGTGACGATTATTTCACTAGCAATTATCTTACCTGTCAATTTTCAAGGAAATCAAGGTTAGAAAAGGAGCAGTTTACTCCTACGCTTTCCTCCTATGAATAGTTCTTATCAGATTTAAATATTCAGCTAGAGGAAGTAGCATATGGTTTGTAGTGTCTCTTGTGAGTTACATTTTACCTTGAAAGTTGAAGTTAATCAGTACGGGAAATGACGAATATATGTATCTTATCAACTGTTCTCTATTTAGGTACAAGTGAACAAAAATTTGCTCATACAACAATTGCGAATTTACCACCCGAGTTTGTTTTTCTGATACACCATCGTTATCATGTTTAAATGAATGATATTTCTTTATAGTTCACCATTACTCTGGATTCATGCATGTACATCGATACTGTTTGTTTTGGTTGGTATTATTGTTGCATATTTATATACAAATGCAACACGATACTATGCCAAAGAAGATATGGTACGTATAGAAACATTCAGATGAACTTTGAATAGCATTGGAATTTTGAAATTATTAGTATGAAGATGAAGAATCGAAAGAAAAAGTATAGTTTGATGTTGTCTTTGTCCTATTATAAATCTTCTGTGGATAGTCAGAGTGTTTTGGATGTTGTTCGATGTTAATCGATAGTCATTGACAGAATTATTTTATTTTACAGGCGTCGCGAACTTTAATGATCCGTGGAATATCTCCAAATGCGTGCGACGAAGAGAAATTAAACACGTATTTCCGGTAAGTTCAAATTCAAATGAATCGAATCGACATAAAAGCAAAAAATATTCTCCAGGGAAGCTTATCCAAGATTAGAAATAACACATTTAACATTGGCTTATAATGTCGCGATGTTACAACATGTTTATAAACGACGGTTAGTGATTGGATTTGTGATAGGGCTTCTTTTGATCACTTAGTGTTTTAGTGAACTTAATCTTCGTATTTGGCAACAGAGCAAAAAGATGTTAGAACAGTCAGGTGAACGTCCGGTGGTTTACAATAACAAATGTGGTCAAATGTGTGGTGTAAGATTGGTTTTCTGTCTGAAAAGACTTTAATTGAGAGATTTGATTTACTTTAGTGCTGTGCCAAAGAAATCGATGCAATTGATTATTATGAGAAATTGTATAAGGCATATAAACAAAAAGTAGAAGAGGAATATGCGCATGTTCGACAGAAGAAATGCGGATTAGCTTTTATAACATTCGCATCGTCTGACCAAGCACATAAGTATGTTCGAAATATTGTCATGACATCCTAAAACATTGATCTAAATTTCATAGGGTTCGATCGGATTTTCGTACGGGATGTTTTTCACGCGATCGTCGACCAGAAACATCAGCAAGCAAATCATTGGAAGTACACGAATGGAATGTAAAATTCGCACCAAGTCCGAAGAATATCATCTGGTAAACATCTTAATCCAGAGTGTGTACATATTATGATAATCTTTATCCGTTTCATAGGAAAAATATTCCAATGAGTGAAGCAAGTCATTGGTTTCGTATTATCATCGTTAATACTGTAAGTGAAATCTGAAACAGAATGCTGAGATGTACAACTGCATTGTGTTTCGCACTTTGATTTCCGATGAGGTTGGGTTAACCGCTTGTCATTTGCAGATCTTGATCTTCTTCATGATTTTCTTAACAACTCCATCAATTGTAATGAGCACACTCGATAAAATCACGAATAAATATCGTTCGATTGATCCATTGAAAAAAGTGACGAAGCAAATCCATTTTCCTGTTGTATTAACATCGGTTATGCCAGTCTTATTACTGCGTATTTTTGCTGCGGCGATGCCATCACTTGTCAGCGTAACATCATTACTGGAAAAACAATGGAAAAAATCGGCATTGGACAAATCAATGATGATTAAATTATTCGTTTTTCTTTCCATGATGATTTTAATTTTACCATCGTTGGGTCTAACAAGTATCGAAGGATTTTTACGTTGGGTGTTTGAAGATACAACCGAAGGATCACGAACAAATCGAATTCGTTGGATGTAAGTTGTAAACTTTCTTTTGATTGAACAAGACAATAAAGTTTGTTTGTGAAGGTGTGTATTCTTACCGGACAATGGAGCATTTTTTGTGAATTATATCATCACATCAGCTTTTATTGGCGCTGCAATTGATCTATTGCGTTTGGCTGATCTTGTCTTTTACATCTACATTATTGCTACTGCGAAATCAACTGCTGAACGACGTGTTATTCGCCACGTAAGACACATTTTCTCTACTCAAAAAGTCTCATCATTCTCTTTAAGGCACTGCAATTTCCGTTTCGTTTCGGAGTTCAATACGCATGGGCAGCTGCAGTCTTCTGTGTCATTATTGCTTATTCAATAACATGTCCACTGATAACTCCAATTGGTAAGAGCAAAAGAGACTTCTACCAATTGAGATCTGTTTTTTCTCTCTCTAAAGGATTGATTTACATGTTCATAAAACGTGCTGTAGACAAATACAATTTAGTATTCGTATACGATACTGAAATAGCTGATAAAAGTGTTCATCGATTAGCTGGAAATTTCATGATCATTGCATTGATTTTACAACAGTTGACATTATTATTCTTCGTTCTTGTTCGTTCTGGTTTGTTCGATGGAATTCTTTTCTTTTCTTCATCAAATCATTTTTCATGTTTAGAAACGTTGACATATTTATCAATGACTTTACTGGGAAGTTTTATCCTCACAAGTAATTGTTCTTGAAACTTCCTCAAAACATTTCAAAAAAGTGTCTTTTCAGGCGGAATTTACTTCGGATTTTCCTGTTTCGATTGTTGTGGTCGATGGAGTTCAAGAAAACGTTCACTTGTCGATGCAATGTTACCTGAGGTCAGCACATCTTTTCTTCCCTTCACTATTAGATACAAAATATTAAATGAAAGAAATAGTCCCGTAAGAAACTTCTACAAAGTATTCGCATTTTGCCCTTGGTTTTTTCTTGCTTTTACGCAATAAATTAGAATGAAAATCGAAATAAAACATCTTCTGGATATTTTAGCCACCAAGCGTTCGTCAAAAACTGGATGATCTGGGTGAATTAGAAGAAGCAGAAGGTCGGGAAAATCAACAACGAGCTACATCGGTAAAGATTGATTGAATTTAATGATTTGACTGATTTTCTTCTTGAAGAATTACATGCCAACAATTTTGAATACTTGTATTCAAGAATTTGATGTTTCACCAAGTGCAACGAATGTTCGTCGTAGTTCTACACGAGACCCGTTACAACAGGGAACATATGGAGCAACAAATCAAGGCAATCAACCGATTGTTGCTGGAACTGGCGATGAGAATGATTTAATAACCGATTAAATGAATCTCGACAAATGAAATCTATCGATATTTATTCTCGCGTTCAATATTGTTTGTTCTGTGCAATATCTAATCATCTATTTACACTTTCTCTTATTAAAAGTATTTTTCTTTAGACAGTTTCAATTGATAATTTGTTTCTTTGTTGTTCATCATTTTATTTTTATTTTCTGTTGTGAATTTTGTTGTTGTAGATTTCGAAAAGTCGAAATTTTTATCGAAATTATTCGTTGTTTCAGATAAATCATTTACAATCATGGTAGTCAATGCAGCACTCAAACGACGACGAGGTGAGTTCATATCTCTCACATACGAACAGCCAAAATGATCTCTTTATTTTCCAGAAAATATCTTGGCTCAATTGGTTATTGCGAAGAATACCAATGTCGAGCTAATTAAGAAATATGAAGAGAAGAAACTTGAGGAACATAGGTAATTGTCATAAACGAAAGAAGCAATTGTATTGTAGTGCGATTTATTTAGATGTGAACAACGAATTATTGATAAATGTGCGGAAATGTCAACGAATCTTCAACAACGTATGGATGAATTGATTGAAAGTGGTTCGGTTGCGGCGGTAGATTATTTTCTTTGTAAAAATTAGTTTGTACATTCGTGGATTGTTTTCAGACGTCGAAGAAAACGGAAAAAATGCTTGAAAAAGCTCATCAATGGAGTCAAGAAATGACTGATCGTTTAGCATCGATTCTATGTTTACAAGAATCACCTGAACAATCTCGTACTAGTTTAACAATGCCGGCAGCATTATCAAACAACAACAACAACAATACACTTCTTGACACAACTATCGCTCGTCGTCAAGCAGCAGCTGCTCAATTACAATTAGCTGGCCTTTCAGCTTCATTTTACGTTCAACAAGGTCGCAAATCGCTTTCAGTTTCCATTCAAAAAAGTCCTCGAACACGTCATTTGTAAGTCATCTCACTCAACAAATTCTTTTACTCCAAACTTATCGTAGACATAAAAATACAAATAACAATCATAATAACAAATCAACGGTCGATGAGAACGATGTTAATGACGAAAATAAACCGATGGAAGATGTCTCTCAAATGCCTATTGATGACGACGTCGCTGGTGAAGGTGAAACAACAATCGAGCAAGATTCGAATCGAAGGTATGGTGCTTTGTTTCAAAAATATAAACATAAAAAAATCAATTCTTCGTTTAGTCCGACTCCACCACCACCCCCACCGCTTCCCGATTTCTATATCGTTGAAGATGGTCTCAACTATACGAAAAAAGGTGAAAAGAAACATTTTACCGTTCAAAATCGTTATGGACAATTTAAAATGGTTCGCATCACCGGTGTTACCGAACCATTTCAATGCAAAGCTCGTGTTATGAATATGCCGTGAGTTTCTCATTTAATTTCAAGTTCATTTCATCTTCTCTTGTTTTATTTAGTCCGCACTCACAAATGCCTTTATCAATTGCATTTATCCCGACAATAAGCCAACGTGGTAAACCATACGCATGCACAATTACATTACGTACCCGTTCCGATGATGGCCAAGATGAAATTGTTCTCGAACGTTCACTCACCGGTCAATGGGTTTGAAACATCTTGTCTCTTCTCTTTCGTTTGTTGTTATTATCTATCAGATATATTTTTTTTTGGTTCCTTGATCGTTCTTTGTGCAATGTGTCAAATAGATTTTTGTGCATCATATTCGTGTAGACATTCAATTGTATTCTTGTAGATAGATGTGAAATAAATTTGTCAGATAATGTTCAATGAATTATTCAGTTTTTACTCGGCTTCTGTTCATGATAAATGAGCAAAACATAGACGAAATCGATCATGATATGACAATAATGAAGTCGCAGGAGAATTACGAATGCAAATGTTTCAGTTCAATTAGTCTTCTCTATAATAGAAACAAGAGTTGTTTTTGATGCATTCAGCGACTGTTTTCTCGACATTGATCATGTAAATTGTAGGGCTAAATTTTCCACAATTCTAAAAACGTCTCGACTATCTCGCAATCAAACATCAGCAAATGAAGTTATAACCTGTAAAATCGAGAGAAATCAACAATAATTCGATTTCTTTTCTTTGGACATAAATCAAGTTGATTGGTGAATATCAACAGATTAATTCTCCTTAATAATCTCTTGAAGTCAGTTTCCGATTGGGAGCAATGCTGAGTACATTGTGTTACGACATGTTACAAAGCCTTTTAACCAACAAAACAAGAGAGAAGAACGAAGGCGTTCGATGTTTCATTTATCTACTGTTGTTTCTGATCATATTTCATGTTCTTTGAAGCTAATCAAGTAAGTAGTGTTACGGAAATGTTCGACTTTTCTTCGGTAGACCTTGTCAGCCTTAATCTTGTCAAATGTCAATTTTATTAGAGGAAAACATGATCAATTTGGTATTTAAAACGAGTAGTTTGTTTCATGAAAAGAAAAGGTATGTCAGTTGGTGTACGAAAGCACAGGTGAATTCATTGGAATCTGTAAGCGAAGGTAGAGAAGGTCGCTAGAGTGCCAAATATTCATCAAGTTTCTTTGTTTTCTCCAATGAATTCACTACAAAGTGTTTTGTTTGTTTATTGAAAAATTAATTTAATTATTAGATCGATTCGCAGCTTTGTATAGAGCATGTGTGTCGGCTTTCTTCGTATGTTTCCTTTGTAAATGGTTCGGAATAGGAACAAGAATGGGTTTTTTTTACAATTAATACTCTATTTTCTGTTGTTTGATAGCTGTGTGAATACAAAATTTGGAATGATTCTTGATTTTCTTCTTAGTTTATCAAACCATATCTGTTTTCTCTCATTTCTATCTCCTCTAGTCCAGTCATTTAATATTTATTCAGGAGTTTTCTTCTCTCTGCGAAAACAAGGTGCGTTTGTAATACTTGATCATCATTTTTTTTCTTTTTTTCCTCTCTCTCTCTCTTGGTCTCTCTTTGTCTCACTATATATTTCAGATAAAAGCCCGAATAGCTTCTTTATTCTGTTCATTTATCATTGACTGCGTCAAGTTTCTCGCAAAACAAAGCAAATATCAAAATGCATTCACGTGTTCTCCTCGCTTTATGCGCGATGTTCATCGTCTTACTCGCGATCTCTTCATCGCCCGTCGTAGCTGACGACCAATACTTTCCACGAGCACGTAAAATGCCCGGTGGTGCCTGGCTTTCTTCTCATCAATTGCAACAACTAGGCAAACGCGGCCGATTCGTCTTTCGTGATGCCCCAAATGCACATCATTACGATTCAATTCATACTGACTATGTTATTAATGATGATGCCGATTCATCACTTGATAAACGAAATTGGCGATTATAAAGCAAAAGACAACATCGGAGAATTGGTCAATCAAACCAAGTTTATCCTTTTGAAAACTTCGACAGTTTTGCAGTTTCAATAAAGAATCAATGCATTTTTTTTTGTGGAAATAAATATTGTGCGCATTCAGCAAAAAGATTCAATAAAGGAAAAGCATTGTTTTCTTCTTTTTCATAATCGACTAGACAAAGTTCAAGATTTCCTGACAGAGATATTAATTGCAAGATTAGACTGTAAATCAGCTCAACGAACAAGTCATTTCCTTTCTAATACAAGGTTTACTAATTGAAAATATCACATACATTCAAGGTAGAAGACTATCGAGTTCACAGCGAACGACCATACCAAGAAATTCAGACGGGAATATTCACATTGGAAATGGGAAGGATTCCACTATTTATTTATTATCGATACATTATTCATTTGAGACTTTGCCATCATATTCGATGTTAGATATTCGAATATTATATTGTTGGTTGAACTGCATTTTGTCGAAAGATAATTTTCTTGCTCTTTTCATTGTTTTCATGATCGAGGCGAACTTCGCTTTCCATCTAATTATCTTCGTGGATTTGAAAAAGGAATAGGATATTCGAAATTAGAATAAATATCGAATATATTATAACTAAGGATCATCCACGTCTATATTTGTTATTTACATTTTTCTGTTTGTGCTCAACATTATGTTATAACTCGCTAATCATTCACTAAACATGTGTATTAACGCCATGATGTTTTCCACAACATCAAGAAGAGAAAAGAATTATTAATATGTAATAGCTAAATGTACATTTTGTATAAAAATCATCATGTTACGTATCATAATGATCACTATAATCATAGTCGACCAAGTGCATGTCAACAAGAGAGCTTTCAACCAACAACATAATTACCAGATATTCTGTGATATATTTTAGCTTATAGTCAATGTTGCTCTTTTGAGAAGAAAGCTTCTTAGAAATTTTCTATTCATTGTTAACAATGGACTTTTCTTTAATGAATATCTTAGTGTTATTCATTGTCTTTCTTAATGTATTTGGAAAGAAAGAAAACAATTGTAATACTGTGAAAAAGAAAACTTATTTATTATTTCTTTTCTCATCTAGACTCGCTAAATATATTTGTCTTTTAATATTCTCAACAACTTCCTCATTCGACATATGGGAATGTCGATGTTTTCTTACAAGTTGTAATTGTAATCACGCTACAATTGAAGATATTAATCATCAGTTGTCAATAATAATTTATGTTAGATCTATTTTAGAGCAAGAAATACTCATGTGAAGATACTTCGTAACAATATTTTCGAAAAACATTCTCTGCGAATGAATCGCAAACGAGGATTTGGAATGGAAGTATTGCTGAAGGCTTTTCGTTCTGTTTCGTTTTACTTTTACTCCCACGATCGATGATTGTTATTTCGTTAGGATTGCAGTCGCTCGTTAATATTTTTTTGATATATACCATCTCATTCGTGACTAAAACTAACATTGACAATCATTCACTGGCTTGTTTAAAGAAAAATTTCACATCGACTGAAGTCTTTTACAGCAATTTTAAATTGAATCTCAGAATAGAATCCGATATTCCAGTGGTTAGTAAATGATCAGTTAAATATTTTTTAAACCTATCTAAAGTTAGTCACAAGTTAGAAGGAAAAACAAATCGTTGTATTAGTTCGCTAAGATGAATATGCAACGTGTAGCATTTTTGTAAATGAAGTCTTGTTGTTGGAGCCAATTCGTATTACATCATTTGATATTGTTCGCGAATATAACGTTCGAATATTAAACCAAGGACAGCGCTTACCAAAGCAAATAGAATGAAATTAAAATTCAAACCAATTAAAATTGAGTATTGTTGTCGATAATGCGATGCAACAGGTTCGACACAACCACGTATGTAAATGTTAGTTTGCGAGACGAGAGAACTGTTTCCACAGCCGGGCGTAACGATATGACAGCACGAATCAGGTGTACTTTTTCCATCGGAAAATATCGTTGCCCAATTGAGTGCTTGATCAGCGCCGCAACATTGGTAAGTTTCTTGAACAGTATCCATGACTGATTTCGAATTTTTGCGGAGATCAGTGCTGACATAATCTGCCATAAGAAAGCCCGTTTCACGCGTTGATTTTGTTCGAACATTCGCGCGATTGATAAAGAGCACAATTATACATATGATCGAAAGTAATACAGCTGCAACTAATAAACCTGAAAATAAAGTTGTTAATGCTGGAAATCGACGAAAAGCGACGTAAGCAAGGCCAATCGCGGCAATAAGTCCTAAACACGACACGATGATTGACCATATTGAAAAGGCAAATAAAACTCCCCAATAATTCCTAAGATAATATGAACGATTTGTATAAACCGATGAAGCAATTAGCAAAATAAGTGCCGAGATGATTGTTAAAATGCATGTGGTAATACAAGCCCATGGCCGTGCTTTCGACATATTTTCGAGCGTAGCGTCGGTCGCCTACTTCTTTATATTCGGTCGTTTGACTCGCTATCTATTCCAATGAAAAAAAATATGTGTAGGCAACCGGGAGAAAAACGTCGTGCACATAACGTGTTTATTTATGTTTTCGCAACGTCACTGAAGCGTTAATTTTTCTTCTATACTTTCTTGACTTTGTTTCGTAGTGTCGACTAATATGACGTATCTTTTCATACGAATTATTATTTGTATTCTTAACATAAAGCAAGTCTTTTTCTAACTGATTAAGCTTATACACACACGCATTAAGAAGACTATAATTGTATGAAGAGGAAAAAAGAGTAAGAAAACGACGTTTTGTCTGTCTGGTGATAGACAGATTTCCATATCCGGATGTGTATATTATGTATCATATTAGACAGAAATTATCGAATCAGACATTTTCTTCTTGTTATCATCTTATTTAAGGCAAATATTGTTATCAATTAACCGATCGCTCAATGAGATACACGAATTGCTTGATTATGCGAAAGTTTATTGCCATTTACAAAAAAAGTCATTAAATAATCAATCCGATTCGTTCAAGAAAATCATCGAGTAATTTCATTTTTTCTGAAGTTTCGTCCATATCCGATGAATTTTCAGCAGAAAACTCTGCTAAATAAAATCTCAGATCATCGATAATTGGTACCGTATCCAACTCCTGTCGATCAACTACACTTGCTGCATCTTCAAGGACAAATTTAGTAAATTCATCTTGTTGTAAAACCTAAACAATAGTTAAACTAGTTTTTCATTCGAACAGAACTTTTCTTCGTACTTCTTCGAGATGATCGCTAATAAATCGAATGCACTGATGTTCGAGTTTAACTAAATCAAACAGTCGTGCCAATCGAAGTGTGGAGAGAACGGTGTCAATACTAAGTAATTTCGAATATGTATTTCCACATAGACGTTTCAAACCAGGAAGGAGAAGTTCATCGGCTAGAACAAGTAAATCATCGACGCAATCGACCGAGATCTAAACTTGAGGTAAGAAACGCGAAATGATCGAAAGATTTCAATCTACTTGACATTCGTTCGAATAGATGTAATACAAAAGTGGAAGGAATAGTTCTTTTCGTATATGTTTCAAAGGCATTGTTGACTGCGTGGGATTCAAAAGCATTTCATTGAAATGATTTTTTACCATCGCAGAAAAATATTCCGTTCGTGTGCACATAAATGCTCGATGAACATTAAAATAGTACTGATCATCAATAATAAATATCAAATCAGAAAACATGTCTAGTTTGGGTTGATCGATAAATGGTAACTCACTACCAGCAATCTAAAGTCAAAAGAATTCGTAAACATTTAAAAAAAAAAAACCCTATGAAATCATTTTACCCATTGTCGAAGTTCTACTGGAACAGCTTGCTCAGCTAATATACGAAAATCTAATCGTATACTGTCATCATCATCATCGGGTTCTAATACTAAGCGATAAATACTTGATGAGGATGTTTTACTTGATTCTATTTACGAAGAAAATAATGGAATGGTTTTGATTCAGAAAAGTCAAACTTACGCCATTCATCGATTTCATGTTTTTTTCTTTCGATTAATTCAATCAAATGTGGCAAACGGCAACTTTTAGCCAATGCTACAACACTATCAACATTGTCCAATGCGATTTCACAACAATTAGTGTACAAATATCGAACGACAGCTTCGAAACTTTCAGCGTTGAACTAGAAAAACTCAACAAAATTCTTCTTTTTTTTCTCAAAAGTTACACTTACTTTCGCCTTTCCCAAGTGAATACATCGTTTTCCTTTCCAACGCGTACCCAACGCTTCGTGAAAAAATGCTGATCGGGCAGCCAGGACACATCGATGTAACGAAAATGTTCTTTCATCGACAATAAACGTCACGTCACTATATGAACCTTCTTCATAAAGTCTAAACAATAAATTTTATCATTCAGAGAACTCATCACATTCATTTACTTTCGTAGAAATTCGTCGTAAGTATTTCGTTTAACTGTTCGTGTTGTTAAAACATTATAATTCTTTAATAATGTTCGAATCGCATCGGTTAACGCGCCATATCGACATCGTTCACCATCAAATGTATTCGCTTGACATCGTGCGCCTACAACGACGAACGAAGAAGCGAATATTCGTTTTGATAGAAATATCGAATTACATCATTAAGAATTTCTTTCGCCCTCACCATTATCGAGCAGATATTGAGCTATTTCATAATGGCCACATAGACATGCATAGTACCTAAGCGTATTTTTTATACGTGATTGAAGAGGAAAATGTCGGAATTGCCTTACAAGGGTGTGGAATCCCATTTATCTCGAATATTCAATTCGACTTCTCTTTGTTCGACAAGATAACTAAATAACATCGATTGAAAGAAGGATTTTCGTGAAGTGAAGTGTCATACCGAACTCGTACTAAATCACCACGTCGCACACTTTGAATCAGATCGATTTTATCCGATGTCATTAATTAGTTGAATCTGACGAAAAACGATAAATGATAACCGATTTTGTCTTTCGATGAGTCACGCAATAAAAAGAATCATGTGATCTACAGTTATGTTATCAAACTACGCCTTTTTCTTTAGGCATCCATATGCGAATATAACTGGTAGGGTTACCCGAAAGAAACAAAAAGACGACTGTCGTTTTTCTAAGGATCTTCATTGGCCACTAGAATAACGCTGTGTTAACTATATAAGAAAGATGACGTTGCCCTATAAGTAGGAACTCTCGAAGGTAATAAAAAGAATCTTATCGTAGTTCTTTGATTCAAGTGCTTAGAAATTTTATTAAAAAAAGAATTTCTATGAATAGTACGATGATTTTGCTATTGAGTTGAATGTCACTTGTAATTCAAAATGTATTTCAAAGAAAACTCGTCTTTCTTAACGATCTTTTTTAATAGACTTCACATTTTCAACATTATTTTCTTGGAGAATTGCCGCTCTCGAACGTACGATTTCATACACACATGTGTTCCCGTTCTCACATTTGACTGACGTATCTCTGATATTATTCAGTCAAAAAGAAATATCATCTTGGGAAAGTTTTTCTTGAAAAACTATCGCCGAATGACTACTAGTGATACATTTCTGTAGAATCAATTCATTGATTGGTTGCATTCGTCTCTTGATCTAATTGGTTGTTGTTTATTTTGTTGTTTTCTGTTCTTTCTACTCGTGTTTTAATATTCATCATGGATTTTGCCTATTAATCCTTTTTTCAGATTTCATTCACCATGTATTGTTCAGCAAACGAAACATCAGATGGGGGTGGAATGATCGTGTGGACTGATAAAGGTTTCACCATCTGCTTTTTTGATACGTTCACAACATCAATTCTATTTGGTTTTATATTAATTTTTGGTTTAATTCAATATATTTTTTATAAGTAAAGTTTACTTTGGTTTTTTTGCAAGAATTTCTATTCACTTCTCAAACACTTCAGACGGTTTGGATTCAAAATCGAAAGAGAATACATCGATGCGTCAGTTTTATATTCCATTCAAATTGTATTAACAGTTCTCCTGGCATGTGAACCAATTCTACTGTATGCAACAGAAACAACAGCATTTGGAAAAAGCAAAGTAAAAATGAAGTTTTACTTAGAAAAAGCGAGGTAAACATTCAATGTATTTTAGCTTCCGGGTTACACAATCTTTCGTTGTGTACTTCGAACTGCAGTTTGGTTATTTTCATTGATCATTCTTCGAATTGAACGGACCAAAACAATGCCAACAAGTCAAACACGTGGCCATGGTTTGACACTCTTGACATTTTGGTGCATTGCAGTTTTAATCGAATTATGCACTTTGATATCTTATCGTTCGTCCTTATGGTTTTTCCAGCCGATTGTTCATCATGAATCACCGATTGAAGAAATTCAACTAGTTCGATTTGGCTATTGGATATTTCGGCTGATTGGAACGATATGTGTATTTTGCATTGGTCTTCGCGCCCCCGGTGTACCACGACGACGTTATACAGCAATGTTAAATCGAACTCAATCACAAACTGAAGAAGAGAGTAGAAAAGAAAATGTTTGGATAAAATTCTTTCACCATTTCAAAACCTTAGCACCATTCATCTGGCCACGAGGACATTTTGGTTTACAAATCAATATTCTTATTTGCATCGCCATTGTTCTTTGTGGCCGATTGATTTCAATCGAAGTTCCTCGATATACGAAATTGATCAGTAAGCTTCTTTGTTTCGTACGAACAAGTGTAATTGAATAATTTTCTTGTGTAGCGGATGAATTGATTCAGCCGAGTAATGCAACCACGGACACATTTATGAATCTCGGAGCAAAACTACGTGCACCACAAAGTTGGCCATGGAGACTAGTAGTGATATTGGCGGCTTTAAGATTTCTACAGGGTAGAGAGCGAAAATGAGTGTGAAGTCATTTAACATGAGAAGATTTTCTCCTTTGATAGGTGCAGGCGGATTTGGCTCAGGTTTATTATCAATTGCTCGTTCGACATTATGGGTGAAAATTGATCAGTATACGACTCGAACATTGAAACTTCGAGTTCTTTCTCATTTACATGACTTATCATTACGTTGGCATTTAGTACGTAAAACTGGTGAAGTTTTGCGTATCGTTGATCGCGGTACTGAATCAGTCGATTCGTTACTCAACTACATTTTGTTCAATATATTTCCAACAATAGCAGACATTATTGTTGCTGTTGTTTACTTCATTATTCAGTTCAATATCTGGTAAATTGACAAATCTTGTTTTTGTTTCCTGAAAATGTTCGTTGTTTGTGTTGAGGTTCGGTATAATTGTGTTTGCAACTATGTTGATTTATCTTCTGACGACAATTGTTATTACCGAATGGCGAACGAAATTTAAGAAAGAAATGAACAAACTCGATAATGCGGTAAATGCAGCTGCTGTTGATTCGTTGGTTAATTTCGAAACAGTAAAGTATTACGGTGCAGAACAATACGAAGTAGAACAGTATCGTGAAGCAATTGAAAAGTACCAAAAAGGTAGCAAAACTTACTTTTTCCAAAGACTCTTATTTTTATTCTGAGTTTTAGCCGAATGGACCAATCAAATCAGTTTACAATTTCTGAACATTGTTCAATCAATTGTCATCACTATTGGTTTGACAATCGGCTCATTGTATTGTGTCTGGCTTGTTAGTAGCAAACACGAATTAACTGTTGGTGACTACGTGCTATTCGGTACATATGTTCTACAATTATACACACCATTGAATTTCTTTGGAACGTACTATCGGATGATTCAGCAAGCTTTTGTTGATATGGAAAATATGTTGGACTTATTGGACATTCGACCTGATGTGCAAGATTCTCCATTTGCTAAGGATCTTGTGATTAACACCGGAATGATTGAATTTGACAACGTTTGCTTTCATTATCAACCAGAACGACCAATCTTGAAGAACGTTTCGTTCAGCGTTTTGCCCGGTCAAACTTTGGCTATCGTGGGTCCATCGGGAGCAGGTACCACATCTATTCCGTAGTTTAATTTACAAACATATTAACCTAACTGTTTATTTATTTAAGGAAAAACTACAATTGTTCGGTTACTCTTTCGGTTTTATGACATTCAATCTGGTTCCATTAAAATTGATGGTACAGATATCAACTCCGTTACACAAAATTCTCTTCGTCGTTCGATTGGTGTTGTACCACAAGATACAGTCTTATTTAATCGAGATATTTTATACAATATACGTTATGGCCGAGTGACAGCAACAGATAGAGAAGTCGAAAATGCTGCGCGTACCGCTGAAATGCATGAGCGAATACAAACATTTCCAGAAGGATATAAAACAGTTGTTGGTGAACGTGGATTGAAGTTATCCGGTGGCGAAAAGGTAAAGAAAAACCTATCTCATATTCAACTATTTTCTCTTTTCTCTAGCAACGAGTTGCTATTGCAAGAACACTTCTGAAAGCGCCTGCAATTGTTTTATTGGATGAAGCCACATCCGCATTAGGTAAAACTCTTCTCAATTACTTAAATATACTGAGCGTAGAAATGATATTTAGATACAATCACCGAACGACACATTCAGTCAGCGTTGAGAACTGTTTGTGAAGGTCGAACAACAATTATTGTTGCACATCGATTATCCACCATCTCACATGCTGATGTGATTGTTGTACTTAGAGACGGTGAAGTGGCCGAACGCGGTTCCCATGAAGAACTCCTAGCTCTCGCTGATGGTCTGTATGCAAGTATGTGGAGGGAACAATCAACATCGTATACAAACGCCGACAAACCAACCACCATGGATAATGAAGCACCGAGCGAAAAAGATTATCCGGCAGCTTCCAGTCATCACCATCATCATTAACCAAAAACGGCCAAATCATCCACTTTTCCCTATTCCGCAACTATATTTACTTCGTCTTTGTTTGATCGTCCATTTTGCATGTTGTTTTTTTTTATTATCTTGTTTGTCAATCTCATTGAGAAGGAAACAAAAAAAAAGCATTCAACTAGATTTCTCTCAATCCATTTGAATCTTCTGTTGTAAAAAACAATCCAAAGTTTCTTAGATATTCTCTTGGCATATTTTCCATCTTCTTTTTCTTTTCGTTGTAATAATATAATAACAGTAACAATCAAAATACATAAGCCGTTCCATTTATAATCGTATTGGTTCTTGATAGAGATGATGATAGAGGATTTATGTTCATGTGAAAAGATGAGATATGTGTTATGGGTGAACGATAACAAGATAGTTGTTCGAATCTTGATTAAATATCATTGAGAACGAAAAAAAAACAACATACGAATGCAGAGCAGAAGAAGACAATGATATCAAATATCACTCTCTATGTCATTCTATCTCTTCACAAGCAGACGAATTTTGATGTAGAGATTTAATCATTCTCATTCATACAAAGTATGTTTTGTTTTTTTGTTTCAATGAAATTCAAAGAATCCTTATCAATGTATCAATTTTTTCCTCATGCAAGAAAAATATTTGTACATTAGTAACGCTAGTCTGTCGTTGATTCTTTTATCACGAAAAAAATCAGAGCCAATTTCACAAGTTTCTCTATTGATTGTTCAATTCACATCGATCATATGTGTCAATCATTAAATTCCATCTGCGCACGGCACCTACAGGGATAAAAATGGCATTCGACCAAGATGATTGGCTGATTAGAAGCACTGTCACCAGTTAGACTGACTTCTATATTGTTTCTTCTCTCTGCAGGAGATCATCTATCATTAATTTTCTGCACATATTTTTCTTCTCTCCGAATAACTAATCATGGCTCTTTGGGGTGAAAAGAAAACGAACGAATTTTGATTAGATCAAATCTAATCTTTTTAGAACAAGGTGGTGGGAACGGATTTCAACAACGAAAAGCTGGAGGTGAAGGTGATCCAAATAACGGTCAAGTTCGTATTTAAACGGTAGACAGTCTTCAAAGATTAACATTTTGTTGCAGCGCTCGGCAATTAAAGGTGTATTAACATGTACGATTAGAACGATTCTCAATGCAAAACATTCCGAAGCTGAAAATTGTTTTATTTATAAGTATTTCAAATTCAATACAGTTATGATTATGGGTTTAATTCGAGATGTGAATCATGAAGTCAATGGAAGTTTAGCGATGTATAATCTCGACGATCATTCTGGTGGTGTAATTGAAATCAAATGGTGGCATGATGTGAATATTCGACGAAGAAAAAACGAAGTTTCATCGCATTTTCTATTCATAGGATTCGGGTGAACCGTTGAAACCGTTGACATACGTTAAAGTTGTTGGCCAAGTGAAAATTTTTTCCGGTAGAGCACATGTTGTCGCACATCATGTCAGTCGATTACAATCATTAAATGAATTAGTGGCTCATTCAATTGAATGTGTTCATGCTAGTATGGCTATTCGAAAACAAGCATCAACTATCGTATAAAAAAGATTTTTGAAATGATCTTTTTCTTCTTATGATTCACATTTTATCAGAATGGAACGAACACAAATCGTAATGGTTTTACGCTGATTCAAAATGCTGTGATTAATTTTTTGAAAACTGCAACGACTTCCGAAGGTTTTAGTGTAACAGAAATAAGTACACAACTGAAACAATTTAACGAGAATCAAGTCAGGTAGAATGATTGGTTCATTGGATTAATTGAGATTTCATGTTGATTCATTTAGACAAACGTTGGAATTTCTCTCCGGCGAAGGACATATTTACTCAACTACCGATGATGATCATTTTCGTACTGGAAATAATAATTGAATCGATAGGTTTTGTCAGATAGATTAGAGATTATTTTTGTTATTGATGAAATCAATTTTGTTAGGACTTAATTAAGTAATTTTGTTTGTTTTTAGATAAAAAGAGGAATGGATCTCGATCCAATGATATCGAGTACACAAGAGGATTTTTCGTATTCGGACTACGATGATCGTCCGATTCGACCAATGAATCAAGAAGCATTGAATGAGACTTTAGCACGGTTACCTATTCTTATCGATGACGATGATTATAACAATCGAACCAATGGAAGTTCAGATTCTAACACCAGGTATTCAAGTCGTAGTCTATCTTTTGTCATCGTAAAAACTTCTTTCTTTTTTAATTCCAGTATCAAAACTCGATTAACAAATCGTCGTCAACCAAATCTAGCCTATTCAACAAGACGAAAAAATCCTCCGACAGCAATCTCCGGTGTGAATACGATGACTAATAATCAATCGTTGTTACATGTGAATACAACAATTGGAACACCGAAAAGTAATAAACGAAAATTAGGTGGTTGTACACCAGCAATAACGCCATCCGCAAATAAAGTTATCAAACGTGCGTTGCTTTTGTTTTCTCTCAAGAGATTTTCATTCAATTTTCTCCTTTAGAACTGGATTGTCGATTGGAAATAAATCAACTGAAAGAAGAAAATAAAATCTTAGAAGAGGTCGGGATTTTCCTTCAAAGTTTTCATTCATTTATTGATCTATCCTTTTAGGCGAAAGCCAACTTACAACTGGAATGTATTTTACTAAAAAATGTAATTATCTTCTGTGTAAAAAAGTTGGAAATTCCATAGACGATAGTTTCATCCATAATTAGATCTGATAGATAAGATGCGGAAATGTTCTTTTTTCTTCTCGACATGAGAGTCTGGAAAAGGGAACGCTCTTCTCGATAATCATGATTAGAAAATGTTATCAAAATCCGATTAGAAGAGAACGATAGGTAAAGAAATGTTTGAAAAGTTCTGTCCAACGAGCAACACGAAGGTCAACAAAGTCGATTACATTATATGATCGATTGAGCTAATCTCTAATCATGTATTATATATTACTAAATATTGTTTATTAATAGACACATGAAACAGAATTAGAAAATGTCAAACAAGAACATCAACAGGCAATTGAGACACTTGTTCAAGGTAAAACATGTTCGATGAACGTGATTGATGATTATCGATTTCCTTTATCAAGAACATAGATTACAACGGGAACAGTTTGATGCAACACTTGCGGATAAAGAACAGTCGATTATAAAGATTGTAACTAATCTCTTTCAATGTTTATGCCCTATCGAAACTTTTCCTTTTTAGAATCTTGAACTTGATAATCTTCGAAATGATCATACTTTGTTGTTGTTGGAGAAAGAAACATTAGATCAAGTAATTTGAACGTATTGATATGACTATGCATGTGTCGCGTGTTCTTCTATTAGATTGTAGCGGAGTATCGAGTGTATAAGGAGGAGATGACGAAAAAAGTGAATGACAATGAACTGATGATTCAGAATCTTCGAGAAGAAGTGGAGAAATTGATGAAGATTCAAGAACAACAGAAACAACAGGTAAAATCAATTGGCTGAAAGAAATGTTTATTTTTGTATCGATAATTAGAAACAATCAACAACGAAGTCTTCAGCAGGAAATGGTCGTGCGTTACTAAAAGGAACCTCCAGTAATTTTTTTTTAAATTGTCTGTATTCGATTATACTTAATTAATTTTTTTTGCAGCAGATCGGCCGAGGACAACTGGTAGTACTGTTCCAAATAACACAAAAACTGAACCAGTTCGATCCAAGTAAATTGATATGATTTCATTTGATTTTCGTATTTAAGAATCGCTTTTAGAGCCAATACGAAAGGTCCAACTACGCGCGGAACAGTAAGTTAATTACTTTGATTATCTCATTTATATTCGAAAATATCTTGTTAGAAAAAGGATGAGTTGATCACAACGCCATCATTGATATCAAATAACACAAATTTGAATAAGTGAGTAGTAACGATGATCCAATCTATTAAGAATGTCTTTCGTTTGAATTCAGATCAAACTCGTCATCTTGTTCATCAGCCTCAATAATAAAACCACAGTTAACAAAAACGAAAATTAAACCAAATATAACTGTCGATGATAAGAAGAAATCAGTTCCTTCAATGGTATCTTTTGATAAACGTATAAGTCTTATATCGACACGTACCAGATCAAAAAATGTTCCTTCGAAATCTTAATCAAAAACAATTCTTTTCTTATCGATTAAACTCTAGTCTCTCTCTCTTTCCTATTTAAGTATTGAAAAACATCAGTCATTGTTGTAATATGTCTTGTGTCAGATATTTTTCAATTGCACTTTTCTTCATCTCTTTGCAATCTTGAATGTTCAGATCTAGCGCTTCCTATTTCCCTTTGAATCTGTCTTGTTTCAAAGCAGACTGTATTCTTTTGTGTATGATTTGTGTATTGACCTTGACTGTCGTTCATGGTATTGAATATTGTGTCATTTATGTACGAAGAAAAATTTTTTCTTTTAATTTATACGAGAAAGGATTTTTGTGTATTTATCCAACTTTCTCATTTTGTCAAAACCTTTTTTTCTCATGTATAGTACAGCAAAAATCAATATATAACTGTTTTTCAACAATAAAAAGACTTTTATTTAATTGAAATACCAAACTAAGATCGTCTATAGCAATGAGAAGCACTTTATGACGAAAATGACTAGTTGAACTCAACTGTTGTGCTTGACACTACTCCACAATCATTATCTAATGTCTCTTTTCATGAAGATTGAATCTATTGTTAGAACAAGACAGATCATATTATGTTTCCTTTATCGACTATGCATTTTTGTAATAGAAATACAATTTCGATATGAATGAATTTTCATTTTAATTAAGTTAAATGTGCATCGACATCGACCTGTCTACTATCTAATTCATTGACGAAGTTCTACTCGAGAGAAAGAAGATTTTTCTTAGTATTAATTAATTATCAAAAGGCTTCATCAACTCAATTATTACTATTTCTAATTATTTGTTCATGTTTAAGATCACTCGTTGATGGCAACCATGGATTTTAATAGAATGTTTCTAGTGCAGTGCTTCCTTTCCATTCCGTTGACACTCTATTAACACTTTGGAGTGTCATTTGCATTTGTTTTTTTGTTTGAAAGATTCAATCGGATGTTATTTTCATAGAAGTAACCATCTAGGTCAAAATTGTTGGTATAAAGCGATTAGAATATAATATTATTTTTTTTTGTGCGCCACTCAATTAGTCTGAACGGGTAAAATCTCCTTTTGTTTTATTGCGTATCACTTCCATCATTAAAGAAAACAAATTTATTGTTTTTTAAAAGACAAAAATTATGTACTTTTTTCTCCAAACAAAAAAAAATAGATCCAAGAGGCGAGAAAAAGAAGAAACCTTTCTAATGAACCCCTTTCGCGTGATGAATAAACGAACGAGTAATTAATTATATAATTGACAAGACAAGAAGCACACACATAAAAGAGAAAGGAAAAAGTGGCGAAGAGCAATCATTTCAGTTTGTTTTTTTTTCTTCTAATCAAATCCTTCGATTTATTGTTAAATGAGCAATAAAATTTGTACAGCAGATTTATCGAAATTAAGCTGTAACTTGCTGCTGTTGTTGTTGCTGTTGATAGTATGCCATTGCTGCTTGTTGTTGGGATTCATAAAATTTGTGTCCAGTTGGTTCAGTATGATGATGTGTGAAATTGCTTCTTGGTGTTCTAGATTTCATAGACGTAAAGAAATTTTCAATGAAACTAAAAATTTGAAAACATACTCAAGAAGTGCAGCTGGGCATGGTTCAATTTCTTTAGCTGTATATTCTGTTCTATACATGGTAGCATCATCGAATGGTGCTGATGATTGATAAGCAGCTCCTGTTGGTTTGAAGGATGGTTGTGGGCCGCCAGGATGAGGAATATAATGTCCTAATGAACAAATAAACCATCGAGAACACTAAAATTCATCATGTAGCTTTACCTTTATATGTAGACATCCCTTCGAATGGCATGTTTGGTGGTGCATAGCCAGATTGTGCTCGAATTGCCGGTGGTCGTCCTCCAGGCCATTTACGAAAATCACCACCGTACGTTGTGCTACCATCAAATTTAGCATCAATAGCGCGTCGTTCAACTGGCTTGACAGCATTAACTTTTGCCAGTGGTTTTGGTGTAAATTCCGAATTGTACATTGTATTCATATCCATATCACCTGGTTTTGGTCGATATTCTTCTGGTTTATGTGTTTGAATTGGTTGAACTTCCCATCGTTTGAAATCTGTTTTATTTGTTGTTGAATCTTCGAAACGAGCATTCGACGCATAACCTTGATTGTCTGGTTTCATTGATCGTGCTGGGAGTGCTACAATGACAATCATTGTTTCAGATAGACATATATTTATCTTATGTATTTATTACTTTACCTTCTTTTGGTGTGAAATCTTTCTTATGCGTTGTTAACGAATCTAAACTGGCTTTATTGGGCATATATTCCTCTCTTGCACGTTGAAAACGTTCCTGTTGTGGATGATGAATGTAATCTGTTCGATATCCGGTGCGATCATCGAACGGTTCTTGTGATTGCATAACTGCATGATCAGGTCGGATAGCTTGCCGCATAGCTGCTTGATGTTTTAAGTAATCTGTTGTGTAAGTACTTTCACCTTTGAACGGATCAGCTGAAGCAACCTTGACAAATTATACAGTGGAACAATAAAAGAAATCTGAATCATATTCAAAAACATACGTATCCACCATCATGACGAATAGGTTCTGTTCGAGCAGCTTCCCATTTACGATAATCAGCTATAGAAGAGAAAGTACTGAATAGAAAGAAGCAATTGAGATGCTAGTAGTAATATACCTTTATATGTTGGATCACCTTCAAATGGTGCAGAAACAATTTTTTGTGCATGGTGCTTGATCATTTTTGCTGGTTCACCACCCTTAGCTACAATTGATATAAATAGATATTGATCAGAAAGATGACTTTTTTTTCATTTACGTGTATATTCTTTATTATAACTTGTCAAAGCATCGAAGTCACCTCGTGGAACATAAACTTCTTCTGGTTTGAACGAACGTGGTTTCTCCATTGTATGTTTGATGTAATCATGTCTAAAAGTTCACCATAGTAAACACTTATCTCTCTGCCTTTTTCTCTTTTTAAAATTTACTTGTGCGTTGTTTCATCATCCAGTGGTGCTGTATTTGTTTGTAAGGTATAATCAGGCTTAAATGATTCCCGTGCAGCACCTTCACGTGGTACGAATTCGGAACGATATTCAGTCACAGCACATGCTTGATCACCTTTACCGACGACACCATAAGGACGATGTGGACAACGATGTTTACTAGAGACAGAAATTCATTCGATGGAAAACTATCAAATATCAATAACGACAATAGCGGAAATCTCAATGAATCGCGTGTTTTCTCTCTCATATCAGCGTCATGTTCGGAAAAGAATTGCGTAGTTCTTATTTTTCCTAATGCATCGTTAAATTAAAGCGATGTAAATATTCTCTTGACGTCTGCTTAATATCCATGACAACAGAAAGGTGTTTCAATATAACAAAGATACATACCCACATGTACAGATTTGACAAATACATTGTTTGGTCATGATGGTTGATTACGAAGATTTGAGTAACAAAAAAAAAGAGTTGAAATCGAAAAATTGATAACTGAAATGAGAATAATGTTTATTCAAGCAGTAAGACTCGTTCGAATCCTTCAATAACCAACGCACATCTAGAAACAAATAGAAAACATATTGATTCTACAAGGAAATCTTTCTTTCAAAGCGAAATGTAAATTCCGTTTTCAACTGGGTGTTGGTATATGTTTATATATATTTTCTGTTACGACGACGACGGCGGCGGCAGGAAGGTAAATGATAAGAGGATTTTAATTTCTCTTATGTGTAGTATGCTACAGATGGTAACTGAAACAGTCAAAGCTTTTTTTTGTTGCATGGCAATGGACATTAAAATGTTGACGCCATTTAACATACGAAAGATGACAGAAAATTCAAAAATAATATCAGAATAATTTGTTGAATTTTCAGATACCGCCTGAAAATATCATTCGACGGAAATTGGGTTTATCTCTTGATCATTAATTGGAGTTGATTATATGCGCCATCTATGGTACGAATGCACCTGTGTACGCGACACCTAGTTAGAAGATTTTTAATTGGATAATTCCGTCTGGTTCATAGTAGCAGTTGACGAAAAATTTAGTTTTTCTACTGAATCTTTCGGAACAGTGTGAACATGGCGAATCGTTGGAGATATATGGGACATGAGATTGGCGTATGTACTCATGTGTTCTATAGTTTTATGTTAAATTCTTGTTCGTTCTTTTAGGGTTGGGTAGCGACAAACCCTGAACCGGCTCAAAAACTCGTTTTTAGACTCGAAAAAAACAAATGGAAAGGAAACGGACAATATGCTCGTTTACCTGAACATTACAAACAGCGTGCTATCGAACATCTCTATGGAGACAAAGAAGATGTTCATGATGTTCGTGATAAACGAAAATTTATTGTGAATCATGAAACCGGTGTTTGGTATGAAATTTACAGTCGATCAAATAGAAATCAGTCACTTTTCAATGTTTAGGACCCGTACGCAACATGTACCAGTGACCGTTGTACCAACGGTCCAGGCTGATAAAGGCTTATGGGGTGGTGAAGGTGTAGTCATTGGATATGAAGATGGAGAAGTGAAAGATGACTATTAGTAAGATGAAACGACTTTCCTTACATTTCCAACCTGTTCTTTTAGTCGCTGCTTTGTAACAATACCCAAATTAATGAAATTACTTTTCTACAGTGAAATTCTCGATCAACATTATGCTGTTTGTGTTACACGACGTACCGTATCGAAAATAGAAGAAGCAACAACATTCGATCATTATATTCTCAAGGTATCATTTCACAAATGCAAACAACAAACGAATAACTAATCTCGTCATTCATAGACTCCGTTACAAGATCTCAACTCTAAGTTTGGCTTTGATTTACGCCGACAAATGCTACACAAACTAGCCAATAATGGAGAGAATCTTTGGCTGAATGATCCACAAAAGCGATTGGCAATCTTCAACAAATACAAACAATATCAAATACCTGTAAGTCAGTAGCTTTTTTCGATGTACTTTCGGCGAATTCGAGTGTTGCAGAAGGAAGAAATCGACTGGGTTGGTCTATTACCTGATGAAGCATTAGAAAAATTGGAACAAGAAGAAGACGAAAAGTACGAGCAATCTGTTCGTCCATGGAAAGAGCTATTTCGCGAATCACTCATCGCTGAGCTCTCTCGACGACAAAAGAATAATGAACCAATAGATATAGTACCGGTAGCATCAAAACCGTAAGCAATCTTTGCTTTGCTTTGTTTTCACACGTAAACTAGATGCTTGTTAAATATATTTTTAGAGCGCCGAGAAGCCTGAAGGAAAAGGTTATGAATAAGCTGTGGGGATCATGAGATGTGCAAAGTCGTTGCGTGTTTGTTTTTCTATTGCGTATTTGTATGCCTGTAGGTATTTGTTCGTTTGTTTTTAATAAACATGATTCACAGGTGATCATTCAGCTAGATATTGAAATCAGTTTTTATGTCAAAAGAGAACTCTGTAGTACAATAATTTCATTATTTCACAAAACGATAGTTCCAACAGTTGCAGTTTGTTGGTTTCGTAAGTTCTTGGGAAAAAAATACTCTTAAAATTCGTCAAACAAACGAATAACTTTCTTACGATAGGCCTTTGATACGATCAGATAAATATAAAAATTCATCGCTGGAATTATAAATACGATGATGTAGAATACGTTCTGAAGAAATAAATCGAACGCTTGTTCTTCAGCACTTTCACCGCGAGACGCGCATATTTCCTGGTAAACATTTCGAATTGGTGTCGGTGAATTAAAAATAATATAGACAACGATCTCCGACAAACCCATGCCGATAAATTGCCGATCTTTTCCTCGTCGAACGCTCGTTACAACTGATATGCCATTCATCGGTCTAATACGTGCTCGGCGAATATTTTTCAATGTCACAATAGTCAACAAAGCCGAAATCAAAAGTGGAATCAGAAAACCAATTATCAGATTACTGTAGAAAATATAACTGGTGAAAAAATCCGAATCAGTGAAACATATGTCATAACCAGGGGACAATTGAACAATACGAATTATCGCTAATAAATAAATATGATAGAGTAGAATGAAAAGGGTTACTCCAGCAATAGATCGATAGGCCAAACGACGAGTACTTAGTTGTCGTACCAATGCATTTGATGATGTGATAAGTACTCGATCAATAGCAGTCAAAACTAAGTAATATCTAGATAACATAAGAAATGTCGTTGCCACATAATAACCTACTTTACAACGTAGAATAGTTTGAGTTGTAAAATGAGAATTCGATGCGTACAGTATAATAATCGGTAAAAGAACGCTCACTAGGACAAGCAAGTTGATACAGGCGACCGCTGTAAAATATATCGAGCTGGGATTTTGTCGCATCGTTCGTTTTATAAATATAATGCAATTCAAAAGGTTGCCAATAATGCCAAAACTGAATAGAATCGCCCCGCCTACACTAAACAGCCGAATTTGAATACTCTTGTACTGATCAGTAATGGAAATGTCCATAGAAGATGCCATAGTATGTTTCAAACGATGTCTCAGAAAAAGAAAATCAAAATTGTTCGATAGTAAACTTCACTTGCGAGATTAACATGCGCTGCTTGAACTACAACACATCGCTGTGTTTAGAAATAATAAGTGATGTATGAATCTTTTGCAAGAGAAAAAGTAAATTCATTTACTAACAGCTTCTAGCAAAAGAGTAAAAACGCGTAATGAATATTAATTTAAGTCTATGTATCGTTATTTTGTAATATGAAATTAAAATAAAAAGGAAAATACATTACAAAAACGTCTTCTCCTGAAGACATTTCACAGCGCAAATCCGATGTAATTAACAAACTGTTCTCCATTTATTCACAAATCATGTCTATCTGTTTTAAACAATGAAAGGAATCTAATTATAAGCATTGTTATAGTCATGCCTATGAAGGATCATTTTTTATCCTTCTCGTCTGTTTGTTCATCTGAACATGATGGAGAAAAGAGTACAGTGTGACTTGTATCCCGGTCAATCTTTCCTTCATGTTTTTTTCTCTTCTTTTCCTTCACGTTTTGTCTTTGTCTTGTCTATCGAACTACTGACCAATTGTATGTGGCGAACCACAACTGAGGAAAACGATCTGCGATGACGCCTCGTTTTTATTTTATTACTTCATCGAGTCATATTCGTTCATTTTGTCTTAGTTTTTTCTTACTCGCTATTTTATTGACATTTATCAATTTTTTGACCACAACGACGACGACATCGCTCCAGAAATTAACGACAGATGACCTCAACATTGAACTGAACTTGACCACAACAACATCGCTTCCGCTTCTAGTCTTAAACTCAAAAGATGTTCACTTCAATCGATTCGATTGTCATGAACAAATCGAACACGAAAGAAACCATACGGTTTTATCTAAGCCTTCGATACTATACCAACCGAATGATACATTGTCAAGACAAAATGCAATACCTTACAATTATCGGCTTTGGCAATCAGCATTGTCAATGCCTCGAATGGTCACGAAATGCGAACATCGATTAATGATGCAATTATTAAAACGTTTTGATCAATTAACAAGAAAATATTCACTTGAATATATGATTATCGATGGAACTTTATTAGGTAATCCAACTTTCTGTTTATTCATCGGTTTTTGTAATCCTTCATTCGAAAAGGTTCATGGCGCCATCATGATTTAATACCGTGGGATGACGATATCGATCTGATGATGTCAGTTAAATTAAAATCTCGTTTAAATATGGCCATTGAAGCTGAATCGTTCTCGTCTCCGGATTACATTGAATTTCATCGTCGGTGGGATGCTCCCAAAGCATTTGAATATTACAAATTTTACTTTTCGACATCACCGAAACTCAGCGAACATCCATGGCGTTATCCGTTCATTGATTTAATCTTCTATCACGAAAATTCTACACATCTATGGCAAGAAAACATGCAACATATCTCGACGATATCCAAACAAAAGATTTTTCCATTGAAACTGCGCCCGTTCGGATCCTTGTGGTTACCATCACCTCGTTTACCACGTGATTATTTCCGCAGTGTCAATTGGACCATGTACGATCACGAATGTGTCTACGGACCTTGGTCACATAAATACGAACGAATGAAAGATGATTTTTACACATATGGAATCAAGTCGAAAGCTGATTGTAAAGAGTTGAAGAAGTTCTATCCATTTGTTGAACGATCATCGACGGATGATGATGAACGATTAGTTTTCAATGGTGTTGTGACACAGATCATGAAAGCAAGGTCTTGATATGAACTGAACATTTCATCAGTATTCTCTGATTATAATTTGTACAAGTTCAAATAGCTTTCATTCGATCAAATATATCATATTGTTCACTTCCAGTCTCTCGTGTCCTTTTTCATTTATTTTAATCTCGAAGATCATTAATGAAACTACTGAAAACAACAAAGAAAATTAATTTCCCAGGGTTAAAACAGTTCTCCGTTTCTCACACCTGACCTTCCCTCGAGAATCATTATCATTCATTTAAAAACAACATGTTATCGATTGTTTTTGTTGCACTCGTCGAAATAACAACTAATTTTCGACAGCATGTCAGAAAACAAGCCACTGTAAGTTCTCAGAACGATCGGATGATTTACATCAGTGATTTTACATTCTCATAGAGTACAAATCGTAAGATTTTCGTCGATATTGACTGCTGATAAGCTGTTAAGTAATTCGAAATATGGAAATCTTGAAACTTATTCGATTCTTTGGGTTGATCCGTTTGTTAATGATGCAAAAGAATATGTCGATGCTCAGCAACGACTTCGCACGGCAATCAATTACATTCGAACATTTAAAACTATTTCAAACTGTGACGATTATATTCAATCAATCCCTGATCAAGATCGAATCTTTCTCATCATAAACTCCCAATTAGGTGAAGAATTTGTTCCGCAAATTCATCACTATCGTCAGATCTTTGCGATTTATATTTATATTATCGATGAAAAACGAAACACACAGTGGAGCAAAGAATTTACAAAAGTAAAATTGAAATTTCTATCTCGTACTCCAATACATTTTCCTTCTTCTAGATCAAATCTATTAGTATTCAAATAGATAACCTCGTGGCTCGAATCAAATCCGATCGGGCACGTCGAAGTCATAACAAAATCGATGAACCATTATCGATTAGTTTGTTTGATTTGAATGTAAGTTATAAGAACAATGATCAATTCATTCGTTCGCATTTGCTGATCGACTGTTTACTTCGCATAAAAGGAAATTCCACTGATTTTGACAAGTTTATTCATCTATGTGAACAAGAATACCAGGAGAATAAAAGTGAATTAAGCGTTATTCAGGAGTTTAAACAAAATTATTCTACATCACGAGCTGTGCGATGGTATACAAGGCAAACATTTCTCTTTCGAATGCTGAGCAAAGCTTTACGTGTACAAAATCTTGATATCCTCTTTTTATTTCGGTTTTTTATCTCGGATATTCAACAGCAACTAATTCGAAATCAATGTTCGCAGCCCATGCAACTTTATCGTGCACAATTATTAACAAATGAACAATTTGAGACATTGAAAAATGCTATGGGTGGCTTTCTTATGATCAATAGTTTCCTTTCGACAACTCTCGATCGTGATGCATCATTAGAATTACTGAACAGTATAGATTCTTCCGACGAATTCAATATGCAGCGTGTTTTGTTCGAAATTGAAGCCAATCCACATATCAACGGCGTGAAACCATTTGCGAATATTATCTGGTTAAGTCATTGTTTCGGTCAACGAGAAATTTTAATGATGGTTGGCTCGATCTTTCGCATTATGGAGATTCAATATTATGATAATCAGTTGAGTGTTATTCGATTAGTTTTAACAAATGAACATGATCAAGATCTACAAAATTCATTTGAACATCTAAAACGAGAATACGGTGAGAAAGAAATGGATTTATTGTCATTTGGGCATGTTCTTTATGATATGGGAAATTTTGAAAACGCGAAGAAATTTTATCTGCGTTTTCTCGATGATATTCCATCGGATCAGCAACATTTAGTGAATTGTTATCATGCACTCGGCGAAGTTGCAGCTGATAAAGGAGATTGTGACTCAAGCCTTGAATGGTATCAAAAATTACATGAATTATTAGCACGAACATTAAGTGCAGATGATACTCGGCTTGCTGATAGTCATACAGTGATTGGTGATATTTATTGGAAAAAGGCGGATCTCAAACTAGCACTGGATTCGTACAACAAAGCATTGAGTATTTATAAACGTGGCTGCGACGAGAATGATTTGACTATCGCAGCCTGTTGGGAAAAGCTCGGTGCTATCTATGAAAAACAGAAGAAATATTTCCAAGCATTGAACTCTTATGAAAAAGCATTGAATATTCGTCAGAAATCATTACCTGCCGACGATCTTGTCTTAGGTGCAGCTCATAGTAAAGTGGCAAATATTCGATTATCACTCTGTCATTATTATTTGGCTGTAGGTCATTTTAATATCGCATTGAAAATTAAATTAAATTCACTTCCACCTGATCATTTGGACATTGCATCGGATTATCGCGGAATGGGTCACATGTACAAAGGTTCAGGTGATATAGATCAAGCATTGGTGTATTATGAAAAAGCAGCAGAAATTTACCGAAATAAATTGCCGGCAGAACATCCGACTGTTATGGAAATTGAACGAAATATTCAATCTGTTTCGACAGAAAGTACAAAACTCTAAATTTCTATTTTAAAGAGAAGACTACTAGGATGATACAATGGGGAATGCTTCTGATATTCTGATGTATTTTCATAATATATGTTTCTTTGTAAATGAAAATCAATATAAGTTGGCGCAATGAACCCATTTATAGAATCTAATATACGCATAATGTTTGTGGTATCGCGAAAGATACTCCTCGGACATTTGCTCTCCGCGAAAACTCTGGTGTAGGTACAAGCCTGAGTAAGGATGAGGGCGCAGGTGTCGCGGGAGCAACTGTTCGGCGAGCATCTTTCATGGAACTGTATTATTCTACCTTTACTTGTTCAGCGAGTTTCTTTTAATTGCCAATAATATCGATTGAAATTGTTGGTTAAAGTTGCAATTCATCGTTAATCGAATAAAAACTTATTGTTTATTTTGGGAACAAAGACAAGCTATTGGCTACTCTCATATATTCAACTGTTAATAGAATTATCTGGCGATGCAAATGATGCTATGAGTAAATTCAGAGAAAGTCAAATAGATCAACTTCAGTTAAAACAAAAGTTGAACTTATTGTATCAAAACGAAATCAATAGGTTAAAATGAATTAGTTTGTTATCCCGAACGATAAAACACATTTTTTCGAGAAACTAGAGGATTTCATATGAACAGTCGATCTCTCCATAGAGATACACGTTACATTTAACATCTTCCAACCGATCTTTCAAAATAATATTTCTGTCTGTACATATAACGTCGTGTGCGTGCATGTCTCTGTGCCGGCTCGAAAATGAACGGCGAGCTTTAAAGACATGTATAGTATAGAGATTGTGAGACTATCGAAGTTGACATCTGTTATCTCCACGAATGTTTTTCGACGTCACCTGAAACGTCCGACATTCCATATTGAAGACAAGAAAGCAGTGGTGCAGTATGCACCGAAGCCTCGATAGTAAAATTCTATTGTCAAATGTTCGTTTCATTCAAATCATCCTTTTCAAGTTCGACATCATGAGTAAAGTAGAGTTTGTTGGAGAAATCATTAAAAAAATCTTGATGACACAGCGATGGCCGAGGTGATGATGATGATAATGATGGCGACGAGGGCGATGGGTGCGGCGAAGGACGTAATGATGTAGGATTTTCTTGAATTGGTTCCAGTACAATACTATTAGTACTACTACGTCGACGCGCTCGTCGCAGACGGTTCAACGCTGAACGTGTTATGCGTCGTGTTAAGCGATGAACTAATTCAGCTTCAGTCTCACTGCCTTTCAGTTCCTCTTCTTCCTCCTCTTCTTCAATTTTTGGCGTTGGAGTCTAAATTGAATTGATAAACCTTCGTGAAAATCTAATCAGTGAGAATTTTTACTTTATCTTCCGCCAGATAAGAGTACTTTTGGAGGATATCGAAACATCGTTGCAATTTTTCTTTTTCAATTTCACAGACAACTTCTTTTTCTTGCATTAATTGTTCAACAAACTGAATTGCGTTGAAATGTTGATCAAGCTGCAGAAAAAGAAGGACTAATTCATCACCTTGTAAATACGTCATCGGCGCATTCTTCACAATATCAATAGCAAATTTAATCGATGGATGTTGATGGAATAATTCAGTCAATGTATCTTTCATATTCGGAATTGAATTCGCATTTGCAATTAGATAATCCAGACATCGTTTCGACGAACCTATCGGATAAGTGGCATATGACAGATAATCAAAGTGTTGACAATTACCGGTTTGTAATAAACACGAAGCGACATCGACATGTGCACCGAGTTTTCGATAGATAAACTCTGCTAAATCGAATGCTTGTAATCGTTCGAGAAGCTGCGCCATTTCTAAAGAATACGTCAGTCTGAAAGATTCAAATTTAAATGCTGCTAGTTAAAAAAAAAAAGCTTCACAAACCTATCTTCGGCGATCCACTTGTAAAGAAGATTAAGTTGATTTTCATGACATGCGGCTTTCGCACATTCTAACGATATGAGTAGATCCGGTTTAATGGGTGCTTCAAGGGCCGTTTCTGCTAAGACTTTACAATGAAAAAGCCATGGACTAGCATCTTCATTTACTGGCTTCTTCAATGCTAAATGAATTTGAGTTGCAAAAACAAAAAGAATCTATCAGTATTTCTCGTATACCTTTAAATCTCAACAATGTTTCCATGTTTCTCAATACACCTTTTGGACTACATGCTGCAACGTATGATGCTTCTTTGTAGTTTCCACTTTCAATCATATTAAGAAAGATTTCGATATGTTCAACTAAAATTCCTGCCTCTCGATCATATAAAAATTCACTATTATATTCATCTTCGTCTTCCTCTTGTCCAACTAAAACAATGAATGGAATTTGTCTTCGTTCATAGTAGGAAAAGTTAGCTTCACCTTTCTGAAAAATATTTGTTGATTCATAAACTGCTTTCTTAATCAGATCTTCTAATAACATGGAGTTTCCCGTTTCTTTTTCAGCATATTTCTTGATTGTTCTCCAAATTAGATGATATAATCTTAAACGATTCCGTAAGGTTAGTCGATGTTCACGCTCTTTATCTAATTCGGCGAGTTTTTCTTCGAATAAAGCTTGCATTTCTCGTTGTTTCTCTTTCGTTGTATACTTCGTGGAAGCATTATGATCAAGTTCGGAAGATTTATCACGAATAAATTCATAGTATTTCTCCAAAGTTTTCAAATCCGTCTGCTCTGCCAATGTTAAGCCTGGTATACGTCTCCGGCCCGTGTATAATTCTGGAAATGAACTGGAATTTTCATTCGTTGGTTTCGGCACTTGTAATTCGTTCAATTTCGTTTGATTTACCATGTCAGCTAGCTCTGCTTCAAGTCTTCGATTGTCTTGTTCGATGATTGAAAGTCTACGAGAGAGAAAAAACTTTGCGATTTATTAATCGAAATATCTTTCGTGACGTGTACTTGTCTTCTAATTCCATACATCGCTGTTGGTGAAGAAGAAAGGTTTTCGGTTGTAAAACTAGGCGATGCAAATCGCCAGTCATTGTGTATACTTCTTCTGCTCCGGATTCTAATACTCCAATGCATCGTTCGTATTCTTGTTTGATCGCACGAAATAACGGCCGGTAGAGTGCTGATTTATCAATGATTTTTTCAAATGCTAAACGGTAAACAGCAAATCGTTCTTTCGATGGAGTTTTACCAACTTTCGCTGATTCATCAGTCATAAAACGATTCAATTCATTGAAAAAATACCGATCACGTGACGTTAACGGAACATGATCATTGATTTCCACATCAGTTAGATCAAGATCCATTTGATTTGATCAAATATTGTGATTGCAACGATGTTTTTACCATTTACATTTTCTTCCTTTAAGACGTTTCCATGGAACACGATGCATTTATACTTATCAACAGATGTCATCTTATTCAAATGGTCTTTAAAATCCCTATCTCGATTTTGATTAATTAATCAAAGCAAAGGTGAAACTGCTTTCTGAGATCTAATAGGAAATTGATTCGAAATCTTTCTCATTACTGAAATTGTTGCTTGACGTTGGAATTATTGAGTTGATTACAAAGCTCATCGATTGTGTTAATATTTCAATTACTTTTTTTGTTTACAATAAAATAACACAAGAATACTAAGTAGAAATATTTCTTTTCATGAAATGAGGTGTAAAAGCGATAAAAGATTCACATGAATGGAACAAAAGAGCGACAAAGATGAAGATAATCGCAGACGTTTCCTCCTTGATCTAAATGCCATACACCCGAATATTCTTAGAATTCGGCACTAACCATATATTATTCTTCACACATTTCACTCCATTGTGCGATTGACCACTATCTGTAACATATATTTGTACTTTTTCTCCCCTGTATTCGTTTTTACTGGAATCACTGTGATGTCGAATTTCTTTGAAACCTCGAGATTTGGAAAGCAATATATGCCAGGTCCATATTTTCGCATTCGAACAGTTCGAAATCTATTTCTGTAAATAGATGTCATGGCATCCACAGTTGCTTCTTGTTGATTAAAAGATAAATCTGAACCACGGAAATCTTTAGGGCGACCCCGAATTGTTCCGTGAGAAGTTCAATATCAATTTTCTTGATGTCGAAATGGATGTAACTAAGAAGCGACATCATACCGGTCCAGTACTTTTAAAACATATTGAATCCAACCGAAGAATGATGCAGCATATCGTTTGGTACAGTCAGGTAGACCAAAGTCATAGACTTCTGATCTTTTCACAAAAATTTTATCTCCACATTGATCGAAGTTGTTGATATCACATGCTGGACGCATTAGCAATGGATGAATCTTGATGCTTTGAAATTGTGGAAATTCTCTTCTGAATTTGTCTTCAATTATTTGACCACTTTCTTTGATGTTTTCACGCTCATCTCTAAATATATAAACAAAACGTGCGGATCTATTCAAGACTTAAAGGATTCTAGCCAAAGTCTTCTCAGTATTGTATGCTCTTGGTAAACGTTCAGAATAATAGTCGCCTCAAAATTATGGGTGATCAGAATGATTATTAACCAGACAGTTCAGTTCAATTAGTACTATTGATTTACATTGAAATGAAATTTGTTTTACTAATAGGAGGAATTGCAAAAATAGACTTGCTTTCATTGTGACAGATTTGTTTTTCTTAATTTATTAAATAACAATAAATATTATAACTTTGAGTAGCAGCCTTGCATTTGTTTTTCATACAAAAAAACCTGTCAACTTCCGTGCGATACTAATTTAGTTTAGACAGTAAGTATTTAAAAAGCAAATAGTTACCTCGAAGAATCGTTTGCAAACATTGTGAATAACAGATGGTGTCTAAATGATTCCAATATTTGCAAAGTTTTCTCACCACTCACAGAGTACACACGCAGGTACTGAGTAGGGAACTCACTTATAAAGACAACCTTCCTAATGAAATAAATCGGAATACGATTTCATGTTATCTTCACAGTTGTTTTTTGTAGACAATCACATTTAGAAACTGATCGGCAAGAAACATGTCAAACTTAAATGTAATGATGCTAACAAATGAAGATCTAGTAAGTATGACTGATTGAATGGGTGAAAACTACATACATTGTTATCACTGTTTATTTTTTAGTCTCCATCAGCAATCAAAGAATCAACTGGAATAACGAAAGTTTTAAGAACATTGTATGTACATAGTCAAATTTAACGCATTGCTGAAAAGTACAGGTCGTTTTCTAGATGTATACACTCGAAGAAAAAAATTCTATTAGCACTTTTTATCTTGATAATCCTGGTTGCCCTAATTACAACATTAGGAGTTGTATTAAAAAAGAGGAATGTGAAGAAAATAACCTTAACAATTGATAACGCCACAATGCAAACATTAACGAAATCAGGAGAAACGTCAGCAGCAACTGAAAATCCGTCAATAACAACAGCAGCTGAAAATCCGTCAATAACAACAGCAACAAAAGATCCGTGTAAGTATATGCATTATGAGTATTTTATGTAGATTTAAACTCACGAGAGAACTGTCCGAGATGATTAACGCCTTTAGAGGGCTCTTTCTTTCGGCAGTGGATAGTCCTCAATGAGGTATGAAAAACCTCAAGAGAAATCATCCGATGGACCTTTTATTTAGATATATATATATACTACTGAAATTTGTACCTATAGCTATGCATTTATCAACAAATCATATATCAGTATTTTGAGCTACAACTTTGACTACAGACAGATCTATATGTAGGTACAATGCCTGGGAAATTTCAGCTCTAAAGAACGTTTCCTCTCCAACGTATTAACCCTTCAGAAAATTATCCGTAGTTTTAGGAAAAATGGTAAAGTTGTTCGTTATTTAAAGTTTTGACATCTTGGGAAAGAAACGTTCTTTAGAGCTGAAATTTCCAAGGCATTGTACCTACGTATAGATCTGCCTGTAGTCAAAGTTTTAGCTCCAAATATTGATATCTGATTTGTTGATAAATGCATAGCTATAGGTACAAATTTCAGTAAAATATATATTTAACTCTAAATAAAAGATCCATGCGGATGATTTCTCTTGAGATTTTTCATACCTCATTGAGGACTATCCACCGCCGAAAGAAAGAGCCCCCTAAAGACGTTAATCGCCTCGGACGGTTCCCTCATCAGTCGTATTTTGATGTTATTGTCCTTTCATCATGCGATCAAGGGTATATTAAACGATGGTTCTATCATTTATTTCCTATAATAGGTCCATCCCGTGGTTTTCGATGGAATACAGAAGGTATCACCGTAGGTATCGACTTATCGCCGAAATTATCATGTTCACGTCTATTCATTGATTCCAATGACACTTTGTATGGTGTGGACAACACTAAGGCTTATGTTTGGAAGCTATCAAAGAATGATACTAATGCAATCACTGTCGCTGGAATTTATGGAACAAAGGGACAGAGTAGTTTTCGACTGGAAAACCCTCAAGATGTTTATGTTGATCAATATGGAGATATATATGTAGTAGATACTAACAATCATCGTATACAAAAGTTCATTAATGGATCAATGGAAGGGATAACTATTCTAGGTAATGGTGCAATAGATGATGCTAGGCGTTTTAGGTTGCAGTATCCTCGAAACTTTGCCTTTGAGTCAACAGAGAAATTCATGTACGTTGCTGTTCATGGAAACCAAAATGTACTAGGCTTTTTCACAAATCGAACTGTACCTGCTGTTCCAAGTGTTATTGCGGGTAATGGCACAAGTGGTAATACGATATACCAACTGAATGGGCCATGGGGTATTTATCTTTTACCACCTACGCAAAATATTGTATTCGTCACAAATTATGATGGACATTCCGTAATGCGTTTTTCTCCTGGTAAAAGTTCGGGTACTTTCGTAGCAGGTATACGAGGTTTTTCATGTTCTAATTCCAGCTGCTTACATAACCCAACCGATGTTAAAGTTGATGATAATTCGACTATGTATGTAGTTGACTCATCTAATCATCGAGTTCAAATGTTTTGTCAAAATAAGAGACAAGGTACGACTATTATTGGAAATGGTATCCCTGGTAATAAATCAACACAGTTATCACAACCACAAGGAATAGCATTCGATTCAGCAATGAATATGTACATTTGTGACACAGGCAATCATCGGNTACATAACCCAACCGATGTTAAAGTTGATGATAATTCGACTATGTATGTAGTTGACTCATCTAATCATCGAGTTCAAATGTTTTGTCAAAATAAGAGACAAGGTACGACTATTATTGGAAATGGTATCCCTGGTAATAAATCAACACAGTTATCACAACCACAAGGAATAGCATTCGATTCAGCAATGAATATGTACATTTGTGACACAGGCAATCATCGGGTTCAAAAATTCCTCAGACTTTAACGTTATTCCAGAATCTTATTCTATTGAACTTTTGATTGATATTTCAAATACGAAATACAAAAAATAATTAAAGTGCTTGCTTTCTTGAGTATTTATTGTTGCAGATGACATCAACACTATCTGTTCATCAAAGTTCTTGCCTCTTTTCATATTATATCATTTCTTTGTGTGATTCTCGTATATATACAAACATCCTCTCGATCTTTTCATTTCTTTGGTTATGCGTAGGTAAATATGTTTGTTGTCGTTCTCTTTTCGAAATAAACATTTACAAGAACAACAACAACAGAATTATCTTTTCTCTCTTGCATATCATAGATCTCTGATATTACAGAAAAGATAAGATTGTTTATAAGTTTCGAATCCAGACCTACGTGGTTTGTTTATTTGTTTGAGGGTACGCTTTATTGGTAAATATTACTCACACTTTTATATTCTTCGAATAGTATACCTGCCTTTTTTAACCAAGTGCTGAACTTTGCCATCAAAGTCCAAAGAAAAATGAATAGAAAATCAAATCGATATTCATGTACATTGATAATTCTTCATCTGTCAAACGTTTATTGTCATGAAAACCGTTTTTCTCAGTTAAATAGAGTTCGTTGTTTTCCAAATTTTGATCCATTCTTTAAATTCGCTTTTATATAAATCTGATGGTAAAACAACAACAACAGTGATGTTTTAGAGAGTGTGCGTTTGTCACTTATCATCCTGATCATTTCTTTTAGTAACAAAAAAAAAGTTATTAATCATTTGAATGTATTTTTAAAACTCTCCACAAATATGTTTTCCTTTTAAACACATTAGGATCCGTTGAAAGAATTCCTACTCTTCTATTTTCCATACTTCGTCAAGTATGGGTTCGCGCCAACCGAACTTTTCGTTCAATTATTGTGTTAAATTTGATGAAACAGATAATGTATTGATAGCATAGGATCTATTCAAAACAACTGATATGAGTGCGCATCTAATTTCTGATTAGAATCAATCAATCAATTACCACACAACCTTGAATTGAAGTTGAACGACATCTATAGATCTAACTGATTGGAAATTCGCTTATACCATCTCCTGTTGACATATGATTCATCTATAGAAAAAAAAATAGGTATCGTCATCACATAGTCTTCCACTATTATATCTTTAATACTTACTGTTTTTATTAAGAGAGAANGATATGAGTGCGCATCTAATTTCTGATTAGAATCAATCAATCAATTACCACACAACCTTGAATTGAAGTTGAACGACATCTATAGATCTAACTGATTGGAAATTCGCTTATACCATCTCCTGTTGACATATGATTCATCTATAGAAAAAAATAGGTATCGTCATCACATAGTCTTCCACTATTATATCTTTAATACTTACTGTTTTTATTAAGAGAGAAGCAAATATCATTTAATCAATTATGGCAAGTTGGTGGAATTCTGCAGGTGCCAGTAATTTCACGCGTGGTTTAACGTCAATAACGGGACAAATATCCAGTAATTTCAAAGATATTTTATCAGAAGCTAGCGAAGAAACATATGATCCCGTTGCTGAATTGACACGTGCGAAACAGCACATCGAAGATCTCGAGTTGAGAAAAGAAACTCTAGTAGAAGAGGTAAACCCTTCGATATAGTTCATGTGGAAATTTCGAATAAATACTTTTTTCGATCTAGTGTGCTTCATTAAAGAAACAATGCGATGAACTAACAATGCAGAAGCAGGCGGTGGAAATCAAGTCTGATATGCTTTTAGCCGAAAGTCGTCGAGTTATTGAAGAAAAAGACGTAAGTTCAATTCACCTCTAACAGAGACTCTTTGCACAACGATTCGTCTAGTATGAACAGTGAAATATTGCTATTGTCACATAATTGGACAGTGTCATTGTGTAGTCGAACATTCGGTGAACATTTTTTTTGTAATAGACATTAGTGCAAGGGTAAAGTTTCCTAGATTGTCGAATAGAAGAAAAAAAGAGTTCATTATTAGATAGAATCGCGTATTGAAGATGGAGAAAGTGATGTCCACATTGTTTTGTTATCGGGTGAGCAGCAGATGTTCTTATTTTTACGGATAAGTGATCTGCATTCCAATAGAAAATGAGGTCTATTGTCCTTCGCGATAACAAATCATGATGTGTTTGTCACGGACTGCTGTAAAATGCGAAGAATACAATCGAGAAGTAAATGTACGTCAATTGAATGTTTCTTACTCGTTTAAATGAGCAACTCTAACGATGTTTCTCAACTTTTCATTTATTAATACCACTCGCTATAAAATACGTTTCATTCCCTGTGAGAAATTTCCATCTCATCGGCATTATGAGGTACATTATTTCACAAGAAAATATTCGAGGAAAAATCGAATTTGATAAGCAATTACATGTTCTATATTTAGAATGAATTGAAACGTCTTCGTGAAAATACCAATGCTGCTACATGGAACAATACGACCGATTTGAATAACACTTGGACTGATATTTTAGAAGGTTAGAAAGGCGAAAATGATTTGGTAGTTGTTGATTATATCTTTAGATGATCAACCGGAAATTAATGAATATCTTCGATATCAACGAACGATACGTGATTTAAAAGATGAGAATAGTCACTTACGTGACGAGTTGGCTAATCTACGAAAAACATTCAAAGCGCAACAAGCGGAAAGAGATCAAGTACGATTAGTTTTGTTTCAGAAATGCAAGAAAGTGTTTTGCGTATTTATTAGTCTCATCGAGATAATGAAATCAGTCAACTCGAACAAGCACATGCAGAACAAATGTCAACTTGTCGACGAGATTATGATGAACAGATACAAAAATTACAATCGCGTATAGCAGAATTAGAAGAATGGAATAAAAATCATCAAGGTATTCTTGAATTCTCGAAATATCTCTCTCGAATAACTTCTTTTTTTTCTAGAAGAAGAATTACAAAAATCCATCGAAGTGCAAAAAGACGTCGTATGTTTCTTCTCAACTCAACTTACGACAAAATTTCGCATAAATTCCTTTTCTATTTAACAGGACGATGTTGATAAAGATCTTCTTTCTCAAGAACTTGAACAAGCCAATGAAAAATTAAATTGGTACAATGAGAAATTCAAAGAATTCATCAATTTACAATCCAATATGGAATTATTAGTAACTAACAACAAACAATTGGAAAATGAATTACAACTTGAACAGCAAAACCATCAATCTGCTTTGAAACGTCTTGAACAATTCGAAGCCAATCAACAAAGTAAGATCGTTGATATTTTTCTTCCGTTCTACATAGAAATTATTTAGTTGTAAATAATATTGATGATTTAACTCATCTCCTCACTGAAGAACGACAACGTTGTGATGCTCTGGCTGCTGATAATGATTCAATGTTTCGTCTGTTGGAAGAAACTCGTGTTCAACATGAAAATCAAATCAAGGAAAAAGATAAACAAATTGAAGATTTAAATTCTCAGATAAACAATCTTCAACAACAACTGGAAACAAAGGTAAAAGATTTCTTTTTCAGTTCTAATGAGTATTGTTGATTTGTGAATAGGAAAACGAATACGAAAAAGAAATCAATGAACTACAGCAATTTAAAGAAAAACAAAAAGAAGTTAGTCGAATCGATATTGATTTTCAATCGAATTTTATCGTTTGATTTTCGTAGGAAGAAGAACATCGTCTGAAAGAATCGAAATTACGAGAAATGTTAGAAAAGCAATTAGTTGAAGTCAATGAAGATTTACAAACATTGGAAAACGAAAAGATGGAACTACATAACCAAATCGACGATTTAAAAGATCAATTACAAAATAAAGAACGACAAATTCAATCATTCGAGGTTCGTTTTATTCGATTTCTCATCTCGAAAAGTTTCGTGTTCATTTCAGCACTCAATGGCAACTCCTGGTTCTCCCACTACCATGTCTTCGTCTCCCGATACTCGTGCTCGTTCTCCATCTCCTCAAACCTTCGAACATTTACTTGAATTAGAAGCTCAAATTCTTCGAAATGAGCAACAAACTCGCGAATTAAACTCCATCTATGATCGATTCGTCACTTTATTACCAATCGAACTTTCCTCGACAGACAACCATCAATCATCATTAGCCGACAAGTTCACAAATCTATTCGAACAATGGTCAACTTATGTTGACACTCTTTCAATCACGCAACAAGAACTCGATTCTGTTAAACAATTACTGATCGAAAAACAAGACGATCTTGAAAAACTCCAGTTCGATTTGGATTTATCCACAACAAAGCTGATCGAATTTCAAGAACAACAAACATCGTTATCACATGTGAATCAATCGAAGAATGACGAAGATAACGAAGAAGAGATCGAACAACTTCTCGAATTACATCAATTTCCACAACGTGCGCCATCGAGACAATCGATCGTGTCCAGTACACCTGGTGAAAAGCAACAATTGATCGCTCAAAATGAATTACTTTCTTCGTTACTTGCCGAAAAAGATCGAGAATTGATTTCCTTGCAACAAGCGGAGAAGACACGTGAAGATTTGATAAAGAATTTAGAAACTCTCAAAAAGACTTTGCAACAAATGGAATTGGATAAGGAAGTTAAACAAGTTGAATTGAATGACATTCGAAATGTTCTTGATGAGAAATTACGCGAAACTTCTTCGTTAAAGAAAGAGAAAATGTATTTTATCGAAAAACTCGCCGAATTAGAACGAGAAAAACAGGAACAACAATCTATCATTCAGGTTTCACCTAAACAACAAACATCACCAGATGAAGACAAACCCTCAACACAAATTTCTTCATCAGAAGAAACAAAAGGAATTTACACACAAGAACAATACGAAAAACTCCGTTCGGATCACGATCAACTCGTCGAATTTTCAAAGAAACAACACGAAGAATCGCTTTCCTATTACAACGAATACACTCGCATAGTTGCTCTTTACAATGAACTGAATACCAAACATAGTCAATTACAAGTCGATTATGACTCTCTCCAATCATTAATTCAACAGAAGAATGAAGCATATCTTCAATGTCAAAATGAATTGAATAATTATCAAAATCTTCTTTATCATGAAAAGAAAAAATCGGAAGAAATTGATCTTCTACGTTCGACATTGATCGAACGTGATGCAAAATTACAACAATTAATTGACAATGAAACGAAACTTCTGGTTAAACAATCCGAACTAGAACGCGATGTCAAATTATTAGAACAGACAAACTTTGAAATGAAATCTGCCGAACAATTGTTTATCGAACAACTACAGCAAACCAATCCAGAACAGATGAACTCTCATCTACAGCAACTTGCAAATGAAAGAGATGCAGTTTTAGCAGAGAAAAAACAATTGCTGAATGACATAGAATCTACTCGACAAAAGGTTTGATTTTCATCAATTTTTCTCACTACGCGATCGGTTGAGAATGATCTTTTCGTTTTATAGATGTTACAATTCGAAGAACGAAAAAAGAAATATTCAAGTGAAATTGAGCGACTACGAACTCATCTATTGAAAATGGAAGAATCTTATACAACGGATTTGATCGCTGCGGAAGAGCGAGAGAAAACATTGAGAAATCAAATCGCAGAATTAGAAGATTCGAAAAACGCACAAAATGAACTGATTCAACAACTGAACACAAGCGGTGAACAATCAAAACAAACTTTGGCAACTGAACTAGGCACATTAAAATACGAATATTCGAAACTCGAAGCAACAAATACAAATCTAAACAATCAATTACAATATCAATTGAAATGTTCACAAAATCTACAGAATGTTCTCGAACAATTTAAACGAGGTACCTCAAAAACTTCTCTTTTTTCACCAGCCCATTGTTTGAATTTGATTTTAGAACGTGAACAACATATTAACGAACATTTACGACAGTATCAAGATGCATTACGTGAACAGACAGCATTGGCCGCGCGTTTAACTGTTGAAAACAATGAAATTCGTGCGCGATTAGCTGAGTATAACGAAGCTTTATCAGCAGCTCAGCGTCTAAATGATCAAATTGAAAAGAACGAGGCGCTTGTGTCTAAATTTCAAAATGAAATTCGTGAGAAAGAGAAATTAATTCACCAATACGAACATAATTTACGTGATCTTCAATCAACTAGTGGTTCACGCGTTGAAAAGCAACTTGTGAAAAACATTCTCCTTTCATATTTTCACACACCCGTCGATAAACGACAAGAAGTTGTTCCACTTTTAGGAGCATTAGTTGGTTTCAGCCAAGATGAATATCGAAAAGCGATTGATGCGACGTCAACAAACAATAGTAACTATGCGAAAGGAGGAGCAGGCTGGTTATCAGGATGGTTAGGTGGAAATCAACCAGGAAATCTAGCGCGTACAAGAACACAATCAGAAACACCTGTTTATGATCCAAATAAAGTAAGTCTAATCAAAAAGATTTCTATTTAAATGATCGGATTAATTATTTTTAGTCATTTACTGAATTATTGATTCAATATGTTGATCAACAATCAGCAAACAATCCTCAACATCCAGCTGCCAAATTCAATACCGAAGAATATCTTCAACGGTATGATAATGCGAATGCAAGTGGTCATCTTATGAGAAAACCATCACTGTCAGCATCAGCAAATCCTTTTGTGAATTCTCCACATTTATCACTCAATCGACAAGTGCCTCCAGTGGTTTTATCAACAACAAATCCAACTGGTGTGAGTTTACCGCCGTTACCTCCTTCATCATCATCTGCGCCAACGCCAGCATCGTCGTCAACTGCGGAGTCTTCATCGACTATTCTCAAAGATTTGTTAAAGTCTTGACAGATTAATTATTGAAAAAAAAATGTTATTTTGAAATTATTTATTTTATCTGTTTGCAATTTCATTTACTCTATTGTTTATAAATATCTGTTTCTCCATTTTTTCTCGTTCTTCTTATTTGCTTTCGGCCAGTTCTTCTTCTTCTTTCCCTTCGTTATCTTGTTTTCTTTTTCTCATCAGATCGGCCTTGGTACGATGTAATGTTTTTTTTTCTCTTGTAGACTTTTTAATTTAGAACAAATTACCAGTAAATCAATCATGGTAAAGCCTAACGAGACAACTCTTGTTCTAATCGAAAATTTCTTCTAGGCATATCATTCCTCTTTCGACAAAAGCAAATTTCGCGTCGGAAACATGGCGCTGTTACCAATTCGCACTCGTTATAGTGGCCCAGCTCCCATTGAAACATGTAAAACATGAAAACCATCACCCGACGAATCACCGGAATCATTATTTTTCTCTTTTTCAGCGACAGAAAACGAGGATATTATTGATGAAGCAATGAAATTTTTCCGAGCCAACATATTTTTTCGCAATTATGATATCAAAGTAAGTGTGCCCGTATTGATCCATTGAATCCGATGTTTTCATCTAGCATGATGCTGATCGAACGTTGATCTATTTGACATTATATATCACTGAATGTTTACGACGACTTCAAAAAGTAAGTTTTGATTTTAGAATAACGAATCAATCGTATGGAAATTTTAGTGTCAATCGCGTGTGCAAGCGCAAAAGGAATTAACAGCATTAGCTATTTCGAATTTTCCAATACCAGGTGATAGTGATTTTCCATTGAATGGAATGTTCACCAAGCCAACTCATGATGAAGTTGGTGAGTAACAATCAATGTCTGCTTGTTTGATCCTAAATTTCGATAATGAATCTTTAGACAAAATGAAACAATATCTTGAGCAATTACGCAAAGAATGTAGTGATCGTATGGTTGACCGAGTGATCGATCCAGAGACTGATAAACCATCAAAAGTAAAACAAGATCTGTTTAATTTGATCAATACGATTAAAATCTAATTTATAGTGGTGGCTCTGCTTTGTTCGTCGTCGTTTTATGGATAAAAGTTTATTAAACATCGGTACATTATAATAATCGAGAATGAAATTCTGGAAAAGATTTCTTCAAACAAAAAACAACGTTTCTTTTATCTGTGCCTTCATTTCTATTCGATTCCAAAAGCAAACTATTATTACACTTCTCTCGCTTTTTTACATTTACTCATCATTGATTTAATAAATCGATTGTGTTAAACCAACAACTATTCTTTATCAATTTCGTAATCAATATCAAATTGAATCGTTGTCGAACGGATATGTGCTTCATCAGACCATTTATAATACATACCTTTCTGTATTTGCTCATCGGAATGTCTCATCGACGAGAAGATTAATTGAAGCAAACAGTTTTCTCCTCGAAAATTCAGCTTCAACAAATGTTCTTCGATATAATAAACTAACAGAATTGGTTTCATTTGCTTGACGATCATTCGCGCCGAGTAAGGCAAACGCTTACATGAGTGAAATTCGATAAGATTCGCTGTAATTTGTTCGGTTTGGTTTGTTGGTAGACGAAGATTCAGATACATTTGTTTGATATTTCTCATCCAATAGAATTTCCTTGGTTGACGAACACGCAAATAATCGTTTATTCGAAAGGATTTACGATTCGAGTTGGAAAACGATGAAAGAGATAAAAGAGTGCAATTCAAAACGAGTGGACTATGAGAGATTTCATAGAGATTCGTTAGACATTGTTCTAGATGAATTTGTTCGTTATTTGTTAGAAGAATGTCTGGTTCGAGAGAAATTTGTAAATTCCTTTTATATTCATCATAGTTCATTCATTCAAAGAATAAATTAAACAAAAAAGTATATCGGATTTATTTTCATCTAGGCGCTTGACTTTTGTTTTTCTCACAAATTCACAAGAATAAAGTAAAGATGATCTTTTTTTTCTCTTCTCTTTCCTGTCGTACTTTTCGTCTTATTTGTTTACGATTCTCTGAACAAATTCGTCGTTTACATGAATAGAATCTGACGATATAGATGAATACGTATAAAGAGATAGGATAGTTTCATTTCTAATTGTTTCATCCAAACGATCGGTAAACACAAAATGAGTGGTCGTGGTAATACAACAGTTTCATCAGCTAAAAGTAAAAGCAAAGATAAACAAAGCACTCGTAGCGGTCGAGCAGGTTTGACATTTCCTGTTGGTCGAGTGGTAAGTTAGATTGATATGTTTTGCCATTCACGAAAGTTTCTCTGTAGCATCGTTATCTTAAACAAGGAAGTTATGGAGAACGAATTGGTCAAGGTGCACCAGTGTATTTAGGTAAAAATGACTTCTATCTTCATTGTTTCTTAATGATTTTCCGTAATTTTGTTTAGCCGCCGTCTTGGAATATTTGACTGCTGAAATTCTTGAATTAGGTTAGCTGATCTATCGTTAGAGAAACTTTTTTCTATGTGAACTGGATTTTAGCTGGAAATGCTGCACGCGATAATGAAAAGAAACGAATTATTCCTCGACATCTTCAATTAGCTATTCGTAATGACGAAGAATTGAATAAATTACTCGAAGGTGTAACCATTGGTAAGTTTCCTTCGGACAGATCGTACCACCATTAATATAAATATTTGATTTATTTATCAATATAGCTCAAGGTGGTGTCTTACCGCACATTCGTATGGAACTGTTACCTAAAAAGACCAAAGGTGACGGTGAAAATGCCGGTAGCATGGAATCTCAACGTGGTACACAAGCTCATCCGATGATGATGCAATCATCAGGAGGATCAATGGCAAGCAGCAGTGGAAAAAAGAAGAGTATGCCACCAGCCAAAAAGAGTATGGGACCTTCAACATCACAGAAAAAGTCCAATAAACCAAAACCAATGCAACAGCAACCACCTCCACCACAACAGAAAACTATCAAAACTGATCAAAATGATGAAGATGATGAAGATGAGGACGATGACGAAGATGATGATGACGAATCAGAAGATTCTGAAGATCAAGTAAGAATGTTGCTTGAAAGGATAAATAAATATGTATGTTATTTGTCGACAGGATGATGATATGACTGGCAATGGAAATACAGTCAGTAGTTCAAGTGCTTTAGCTACAACAACAGCTAATGACACAACAGCCTACGATGATGAAGAAGAAGACGAAGAGTAAATCGGTTTTGTTGCTGTTGTTTCTTATTTGATATGTATAAACTCGTTCTCCTTTTTTTCTCTTTGTAATGTTCTCAATATGTATCAATTTATTTATTTATTTATTTATTGTAATCACGAATCGAAATAAAATGTCCAATGCGTTGTCAAATAATTAATTTGTTTGTCGTCTCATTCATCTGGCAGCAAGTTAGAGCCACTTTTAACCTTTCCGCTATCGGACCCATATCGCGAGATCAGAACCTTTTGAGTAGACATGTCTCGAAAAGACTATGTGTCTCATCTAATCTATTTGTATTATCAACAGCGAAAAACTATACGGTTTCGATTTATCACCATCGACCTATGGAAGGTCAGGAAGCAGGTAGTTCCTATTTTACGATAAACATAGGTAGAATAGTGAGGTAACTGAATACCAAAGGAAGTGATTGTATGATTGTGTTAACCTTTTCTCCTTTGGCAATATAAGTGGTATCATTCCAACCATTCGAAACTTCGATCAACATTAATCTGTGAATGTCTCTTATATTTTCCATTGTTTTCGTTCTCATCGTGCAGCACGCATCAGCTACTATCTATGAATGCTCTTGTCATTGCCCATATGGTTCCAATTCAAGTTTAGCGTTCGCATCAGAAAACTCTTCCGAAGCATGTGTTCGTGCATGCATTGCTTCTCCATTCAATCCATGTGTCTCTGCTAATACTTATGCGTGTTCGGGAACGGACTGTGCGTATTCCAGTTCATACGATAACTCGACAACGTTTACTGTTACCTCACTGTTCAGATGCTCTTGCCAATGTCCTTACGGGTCCATTCAAACTTCTGTGTACACATCGAACAACTCTCCCGAAGCATGTGTTAGAGCATGCATTGCTTCTCCATTCAATCCTTGCATCTCTTCCAACACCTACGCATGTTTGGGAACTAACTGCATGTATTCGAGTTTATACGATAGTCCAGTAGTAACAAATACTATAGTTCAGCGCTTCCAATGCACTTGCCAATGCCCATACGGTTCTACGCCAAGTTTTGCATACACATCAGAAAATTCATCCCAAGCGTGTATCAGAGCGTGTATTGCTTCTCCCTTAAATCCCTGTATTCCTTGGAACACCTACGCCTGTCTCGGCACGGACTGTGTCTATGCTAATTGGTATATACATTCAAGAAGAATATTAGCTGCACATCGTCCATGTACGTGTCAGTGTCCATTAGGTTCAAGCAGAGCATCAGCCTTTGCAATAGAAGACTCTTCACAGAACTGCGCGACAGTCTGTAACTCTACCTTGGAAATCAGTGCAATGGAAGGTAATCACATGGTCGTAGAAGGCTGAAGATTCATTTCTCATCTGATCTCTTATTCTAGATAATACTACGATTGATTCAATCATCGATGAATTCGATTCAGTCTACAATATCAATTACGTTGATACAAAAAGAAATGAAGTAAATTGCTCGCACAGTATATTGATAAACACACAATTTTTTCTGTTAAATTTAGACTTCTATTACAACTGGTGGTGTCACATTTGGTGCAGACGAAGACAATGAAGTCGTTGATCCCAAGGATGTTACTGTTCTCGCTTCCTATCGTCGCGCTATTAATCGACATATGTACACAGATGAAGCACGCTTTGAACAAGTGCAGATTCGTGTGCGCCACCATCTTCTTAGAACACTCGGCTGTAAAGTAGCAGACATAGAGAAAATCCTTCAATGGAGTTGGATACCTCGTGATAATTGTGGATTTCGCTTAGCTGGCCAACCCTTGAAAGTGCCCATACCTCCGGTAAGAACTATACGATACACATAATCTCAATCACTGCTGCTTTAGAATGGAAAGGTCTATTCTATGATCCATGGCATATCTTTTTATGATAACGGATCCTTCTTCTTGAATTTAACGGAAGCCGACGAGGGCAGTGCTTTGTTCAATTCTGATGACGTCGAACTAATTATGAAGCACGGCATTACCGGTATGCATTTATATATATATTCTGCTCATTTTTAATGATATTTTTTTTGATTGAATACACAGGTGCCAGTTTTTCGTTGGATCCTCCTTTGGGATCGGATCTTCCACATCCATTTCAAAAAGCTACTTGGGCTCCGTACGATACTCTCAACGGTACTGACTTTCTTGCTACGATGCTTCACGCCGATCTTTGGTTAAAAAGCATGAGTTTTCTTGTGGAAGCATCAGTCAAATCTCCGTTTCGTGCTTGATCCATTCGTGACGGCGTCTACGCCTCCCTATCTCAAGATCTGTATCAACGTTTATTCAAACATGATCGTCTAGAGCAAGACAAGCTTTTCTCAAGTACCAGAATGTGGATAGAATCAGGCACGCTTAGTTATAATGTAATTGAGCAAGATGGGAATGTAGCTTATATTTTTGGTCCACCAAATATGCGGGTCAAATATGAAAATCTTATTCAGTAAGAAAATAGTGATAAAATCTTAAGTTAACTGTTAACTTTCGTCAAAAAATGAATCGCAGGCGTGTGAGAAATCACACAACAGGATTAACTGACACTGTCACTGGACGTAATTCTTCATGGCATGAACATTTCGCAGTCACTGCAACAGAAAACTACATTGAGTTGGGTCACTCGTTTCCTGAACTTTTGCGTCTCGCGGAGTTGGCTAAATTGACGGCTGTTGCTTTAGTATTTCAACATCGCTATCGTGAACTGCGAAAGGTGGTTCTGCCGCCGTCCACTGAAGTAGGAGAAACTGGATAATTTCATTCATATTTTTTAACTTGAATTCGTTTTTCAGACAGTAGCACAGATTTTAATCACTAGTAACTTAAGAGGTCAAGTTTTCAATGGAAGATGGCCATTAGCGACAGTCGCGCGTGTTGAAGAACTTTTAGACAAGGCCCTTATCGAACAAGGCATTAATCTCGCGTACAAACATCGGGTTCGCAATCTGGACGAAAGTCGAGCGCTGATTCGCCAACAATTGACTGAAGTGGAACATAAGCAAATCAAAGAAATAGCCCAAGCTTTGCAGAAAGCGTTCAACATCTCTGAGAACAAAATCAGTAGATCAGCCATCAGTTCTTACTTGGGCGGCGTTGATTCAATTGCTGAAAACGCACTTCTTCAAGAGATTGTCTCAGGTAGTGTTTTACTTTGATTCGGTGGATCTTACGGGTAGAGAACCGTGTAAAAATTCGTCTATATATCCGGCTGTTCTGTAATTTTCACTTTATTTTCATTTAAAGGCATTGCTGAACGTATCCGGACTTCTCAGCATGGCGCAATACGTTTGTATGAAACAATGTCTCAATCAAGATACAGCGTGGGCAATGCAGCAAGTGTATTACCAGAATTTGCACAAATCTCTTTGGGAAAAGGCCCTATCAATGATTTTGACAACGCACAAGCATCGTCGTGTTACTATGTTCCAACGCAAATTTCTCTTGCTTATCAGGGCAACGGAACCTTTCTACAGAAAAGAGGTGGCATCAAATTGCAACCACGTTTACAATATCAGTTCGATCCAATTTCAGGTAACAGATTCGTAGACATTAGACCTCTATGCGTAATTTTCTTTTCTTGCTATTCTTCCCGCTAACTAAGTCATTCCATTAGGAAAACAGATGAAAAGTGAACCTTCACTTGTTGAGATATTATCAGGCAATAGACAGAAAATCATCCATCTATATCAGTACCTAAACACTTACATATCGTCATACAATGATTCATTTCTTTTGTATAGAATTTCAGCATTATCGTCCTCTAAGACCTATGGTCTTTCGAGATCCTATTCCTCCTTCTCCAACCGAAAACATCTTATTCAATCGCGTCTCAGTGGGAAAAGGTGCTCAAATTCAATATGGTGCTAAGTATTTAGGCAAAACCCTATTATCCGATTACAATGGATGGGATAGATTGCTTCAACAACAAAGAGCATCTGCTGATGATAAGAAAATAATAAGCTCATTAAGTTCAAACGAAGGAAAATTAGAAGCTGTTCAGACGTACGATAGTGAGGTAGTGTCAGCTGGTGCGATGCAAAAGACAATCAAAGACAAAGGTGTTGGAGAACTTCCCGAGCAAGTTTGGCGATTCAAGCAGAGACATCCACAATTGTACGAAGATACCTTCAAAGCACAAGGTTGGGAAGTTAAAAAAAAGTCAAATGTGTATTCAATGACATACAATCAACAGACAGGTAACGAACTGAAGACCTCGCTCAGAAAAGATTTTCAAGAAAAGATCAAATCAGCACCTTCAAAGCCATTGGAAGCTCTAGTTAATGCAATCAGCGGTAAAGAGTACCAAGAATTACAGGTCGTCGATTTCGTTGATCGTTTACATAAACAGGTATTACCGAAACAACCAGTTGGTTATAAATCTTACACGATCGGCGATTATCTACAGTCAAATTTTGGAAGAGCTGTAGCTCTCGATCACCATATTAACCGACCTGGTTATATCGCATTAGATTTTGGAAAAGCATTAACAAATTTATTTACTAAATATCCAGATCTATCGAAGAATCCTGATGATTGGGGAGAAAATCGTGAAAAATACGAGACCGAACTTATCGAATACTATGGAGTCAACCGAAGAATGCATGATCCTGTCAACAGATTTAAGAAGATAAAAAAGTATTATTGAACGACAAGACTTTGTCAACCTATTTTTAAAAAACCGAGAATAAACTGAGCATTTCTTAAACTTTTGTGATTCCTGCTGTTTCCTACGCAAACGAAGCAGGGACAAAAGTAAATCAATAAAAAGACACGACGTGAACGAAGTTTTTCTTGCAAATATTTATTTCTAATTTTCACCATTTGCTTCCTTTGAGGAAATATTTATTTGACTCTCAATTATCAACGATGGGCATATGTTACTCGAAAATTATTTGCAAAGCAAAATCGAAATCAATATCGGGGCACATTGATAACCAAATGAAATCAATAATCGTAATTGCAATATAATGAGATTTGACACAGAATTGGCAACCAATGTTTCACTTTGACAATCAAGATATTTTGTTCATTTGTGTTAATATTTTCTTCGTTGATTAATACAACTAGCAATGGAATACATAGCCAGCAGTTGAAGTATTGTAGCTACATTGCTATTCCATTGCTCATGTAAGAAAGTAGTTGGGGCCAAAGTCAGACATCGAGAACCTTGGGGAAAAGTTCACTGTCCGAGTTGGCTGATCTGTTTGTTGGATATGCCTTTAACTCTCTTTTCGTACTATCTCAGTTCTGTTCTTAATAAAGAAAAGAAAGAACAGAACAAGTCTCGACGCATGTGTGTGCTCAATAGATTTTGTGTATGTGTAATCGAATTTCTGACTTTTCTTAGCTGTCACAAAAACTGAGTTGTTAGTATTTGTTGATAGCGCACATTTAAGGAAACGAATACTTTCACCTGTTTTTTTCTTTATTTTTTGATTTCCTACACAAAAACTTAGCAAAGAAAAACGGAGAAAGGACAATAACGAACTAACAAAAAACACGGTGTCAAAGAAGTTTATTTTCTCGATATTGATTATCAATCATCAGCATTTCTTTCCCGTGATGGAGTATTCACTTGTCGATCCGTTGCAGAAGACGCACCAACTGCCTCTTTGATTTTACGTTGAACATATTTCACTCGATCAGTTGGTACTTGAATTTTCATAAATTCATCATAGTGAATCTATGGAAGAAAAGATCTTGATAACTATCTGCTACATATCGAAATAGAAGAAACATACCGGAACACACTTATAACCAAGTGAGTTCAATAATCGTAATTGCAACGCAATGGGACCTGATACAGAATTTGTAATCAATGTTTTATCTTGATAATCAAGACATTTTAATGCCACCCTACGTTTTCCAATAGAAATCAAATCACTTTTTCATTAAAACTCCTCTTTTATTTACTTGAAACGACTATCATCAATTCGCACTTTATTATATGTCGTTTGTCCAGTTGTGCTATTATTTTCTCCGTTGGTTAAAACTGTACTTAAATCTTGAGGTGTACCTGACTTGTCCACAACCATCAAACAATCTGAAAATATCATTGATTGAAGAGAAGAGACAAGTTGAATCGATTACCGATGACAATCATATTCGATGTTACAACACTAAATTTCGAATATTTGTTCTCGGGAGCGACGATCGTAACAGCTTTAGCTAATTGATCTTGAGCATTGGAATTCTTCAATGTTAACTGTTGTGCCAATTGTTCGATATTAAATGTTGGTTTGAGAAATTTCTTCGAAAACTTTTGTAAACTGTACGAGTAAATCGAGAGTAATTTCAGTGCACTGGCGATTTTGGAATTCATCACTTCATCTAAATTGATCATTTAGAAAACGAAATTCTTCTTAAAATGTGAATAAATCTACTTTGTATTAATTGAAAAATATCTTGATTAAGTACTTGTGCGACATGAGTTTGATTTGCTTGATCTAAGATCGCCAATGACCAGACTAGATCGATTTGATTTTTAATTTCATTCATTTGATTAGTTTCATCGGTCGAAGTTTCATCAAGTTTCAAATGTTTATCAACTAATGTTGATAACGTCGATGGTGCATAATTAACTGACGCACATGTACGGATGAATGATGGGATACATCGAGCTTTCGATTCCGGATCTTCTAATAGTGATTTGCCAAATGCATCGAGTAGTTCGCAATGGCGAATTCTCAGTGTACCCATGGAAGTGATGATCGACTGAAGCTGAAAAGAAACCATGATTTTGAGAGAATTGACAAATTTCTTTTTGTTGACTTACCATGAATGTATCATTGATAAGATGAACTTGTTCATATGCATCACGAGTTAGTCGTTCGAGAAATGGTTTATCGTAAACATTCAACATGGCACAAGCCAAGAGACAATCTTTTATTTTCTCGATTGGAAATAGAAAAGAATCGCTTAATTTGAGTAAATGATAACAAGCTGCACGAATTATTGTTCGATCACGTCGTTTTAACATGGATTTGTTGATTAGAATCTTGAACCAATCATCAAATGTTAACGTATCGGTGATTTCTAAGATTCGTTCATCGAGTCGATTGATTAAACGATCGTTGTAAGATAGTTTATGTGTTAACGCGAGAATATCTCGAATATTATCGAATTCGAAATAGCGACCTTCGGCTAATGCTAATAAACGATTGTAAACTCGATGGATCCATTGGGCGGTATGTCGAGATGCTTTCAATTCGTCTAATATTCGAACGATCTAAAAGAAAAGAAAGAAACTTTATTGCACTAGTCGAAGAAACAAATGGATTTACTTGATGAACACTGATTCGTCGTAGTCGACTGGTTAACATAACAGAAAATTTATCAGTAAATTCATTATTTTCAGGATAATATTTGGCTACAAATGCAATTGCAGTCGCTATTTCATTGTCACTAAATTTATTTACCTAAAAACAAAGGTACAACGGAATGCGTGAATACAAAACTTACGAAGCCGAGTAGTAGTGTTTCCATCCGAGTTCGAGCTTCGTCTAATTGTCCGTAAGTCTGAACTGAATCACTGCTTTCTGCAGATGCTAATTGATTTAACTTCTGTAGACCCAAAGCGAATTCAGTTGGAACGACGTATTTATCGAAAATTTTCAAAAGCTCTTCTGTTGTGTTCGCTTGTTCGATGCTTGTGAAAAGCAATGGATCACGGTTTGATTGATTTGATGCTGATGGCTACAGGATCAAATGAAAATGGAAATTCGTATTCGCTGAAAAACATCATTTTACTTCATTTGGTTGTTTGGTTAATGTTCGTTCTTTTCTCGGTTGACGCGGCTGTTGATTTTGATTGAACTTCTCGGTCGGTTTGGCGACTTGTCTCGTAGTTTTTTTTGGCGAAATATATTCTGTTTCGTCGAATAATTTCTCAATTTCAATGGCATTCGCCGATTTCTTTCGCGGGGCCATTTGATTGGATTTTGGTTGAGCATTTTCATGAGTGAGTCGCGCCTGATTTTGCCGAACTGTTCGTCGTCGTTGTTCTTCACTGTGATAATCAGCGATATCAGCGATTTCATTTTCATATCGACTTTTAGTCGATAAATTCGCGGTTAATCGTGCTGGGTCATTGAAGGACGCTGATGAAGGAACATTTGCTCGACGTGGACTCGTCGGAAGTGAATCTTCATTAGAGTTCTCGTCGGAAAATATCTTTTTTATATTGACCCTTCGTTTCACTGGTGGCGAGGAGAATCGATTCGGTTTCGATGAAAGTTTCTCATCAGTTGGTTCAGTTTGATCCACTTTCGGCTGATTCGAAGCTGCTCGAAACGATTGCAGATAAACGCTTCTTAGCGCAGGATTCGCGCTAATCAATGTTCGACCAGATGAACCGAAGAATCGAAGCATTTTCAGAGTATAAAGTAGAATCTAAAAAACAGAAAATATCTGATTCCAAAGAGAAGTTCTGGTTAATATTTGACTGGATGAATGGAAATCCAATGTTTCTTACTAAAAAGTAGGAGTTCATTCCTATTGGTAGATGAGAATGTGTAGCGCTACAATACGACTGTTGATGTACGACATGACAAACAATCATTGTCAATTGGCATATCGATGAAACGAAAATAGGTTATGATAATGCGACAGCTTGTTATTTAATTTTCTTTTTGGTTTTTCTAGAAATTTGAATAAATACAATGGCTGATGCGTTTGACAATATTATTACTCGAAAATTTTCTTCTTTCATTATAGAAATCTCAATTAAACGATGACGCACGACAACGTCGTCGATGAATCTCTTCCGTCTGTAGATAATTCTGAGGAAAAACAAGGAATCTGGTAAATGAAATTCTTCATTTGTTTCTCGAATTAACTTTCTTCGTTTTTCATTTCCTAGGGCATCGATTTTACGCGATGTAAAAGCGTCGACTAAAAAAGCACCGGCCACGAAATCACTCGTCGTTTTCGGTGATAATGAAAGTGGTCGAACAACCTTAGTAGCTAAACTACAAGGCGAAGAAGATCCAAAACGTGGCGCCGGTCTTGAATATCACTACATCGATGTTAAAGACGATGATCGAGACGGTATTGTTAACATAAAATAGGTTTTTTTTTTCGAAATTTCATTGCCTTTCTTCATTAGATACTCCGAAATTAGGTGTATGGATTCTCGATGGTGATGTCACGTGTGCCTCTCCGTTACTTAAATATGCAATAAAACCAGATACAATTGAGAATACAGTACTTATTCTCGTTGCTAGTATGACTCAACCATGGTTGTTATTATCAACATTAAAGAAATGGATTTCATTAATCGAAGAGCATATCGATCGATTAAAACTTGATCCGACACGTTTACGTGAAATGCGCGATCGCTTACAATACGATTTTCAACATTATACCGAACCGAATGAGTCATCGGTGATGATGTCGTCATCATCATCGTCGACAACAATTAAAAACGGAGTATCGAATAATCGAATTGCGACGTCAATATCATCTGTTTCCATTGCGTCAACATCAACACCCTCGAATGCAAATAACACCGACGATCAAGTTGTTTTGCCACTAGCTGAAGGTGTTTTAACGAAATTGCTCGGAATTCCAATAATTGTTGTTATCACAAAAGTAATGATGATTTCCGAAGGAGAAGCTGCAAACGATTCGTTTCTGCTTTAGTGTGACACAATGGCTACATTGGCAAAGGATAACGAGTACAAAGATGAACAGTTTGATTTTATGCAATATCATTTGAGAAAATTTTGTTTAGAGTGTAAGAAAAATTGTTTTCAAGGGAAAGATTTTTAGAAAACTTAACGCTCGTTTTAGATGGTGCTGCATTGTTCTATACATCGGTGAAAGAGAAAAAGAATATTGATAAATTATATCGTTATATTTTACATAAATGCTACGGTTATACGTTTACATCTTCTGCAGCGATTGTTGATCGCGATGCCATCTTTATTCCAGCGGGCTGGGATAATCCGAAAAAAGCAGAGATCTTATTAGAAAATCTCAATCGATTAAGGCCAACCGATCAGTATTCAGATGTTTTTGTCAAACCTATTGTTCGACGGGTATATCCTTCAAATAAAGTCCATACATTCAATCAACCTCTTTTGCTTTTGTCTTTGCTCTTTTAGCCGTTACAACGCGACAATGAACTCATCACTGCAGAGGATGATCAAGAATTCTTAGCACGTCTCCAACTAACACTCAATCGTGCTTCATCACCCGGACGATCAGTAAGAATATTGACATTATCCTAAACACTTATCTCTTTATCGTATTTAGGACGACACATCTTCACCTGTTGTAACACGAAATTCCATGACGTCAGGTGGAACTAGTAGTATGGGAATGCAGACACCATCTGTTGCTAGTCGGCCGCGAAATCCAACCGTACATTAACATAATGATTATAATTTATTCAAACGTAGGAAAATTTTTCTTTTTTTTAGAATCCCGGAATTGGTGGTGGTGGTAATGCGGCGACAAATGAAGGTGCCCTAGCCACATTTTTCAATAATCTTTTAACGAGAAAAGCAGGTGGTCCAGTCACTCCGACGACGACGAGTTCACCGCCTTCTTCTTCGCGGCAAAGTAAGCAATTTGCTCTTCCTCCTCGGCCAAGTGTTACTAGGCATCGACTAACATAAGAAAAAAGAAACTCGCCCATACAAATAACTAAAAGGCAATTAATCAAAATAATTAATGAATTGAATCAGATTCATTATATTACTTTCGCCGTATCCAATTACATTTACTATTATTTCATCAATGGATTATGCAAGAACATTCCGAGAATATTTCTTTATCATATCTGTACATCAAGCAAATATGTTATGAACTGACGACCATATTCGAGATAGTCGAGCAAGAAGATAAATAGGAGATTTGCTATCGAAATTGCGTGTTTCGATCATTATGGAATTCGTTAGAAGATATTTGCAGCTTGTTTTTTTTATTGTTCGTTACAACGAACTTAATGAGATTCCCAGCAATCAAAAGCGTAGGATTTCTTTCTTTGCAAGCCAAGTAATCAAGATTATCCCGTTGTATTATACAAGACGAAGATAAAACTAATGAGCCACATCGACTTCTTTTTCTCGTCTATTTTCCGCAATCGAGACATCCAGTGATTCATCATACACAACCAGAATGGATCAACTGTGAAACATCTCATATCAATAAAGTATTCTGTAAATCATCATCAGATATTTTGGTTTAGGCTATTTCATTGGGTTATCGATAGTATTATTAGTTTTCGGGAATAATAATGCTTGATTTCGACCGAATATTCGTAGTCATGTACCTAAGGATTGTTTTGTTTTTATTTCAGACATTGACAGCAGCGGCGTTGATTCAAATGCAACAGCTAGCCAAAGTATGTTTGGTTTACCTGGATCGTTTTATATGCAAATTCTATTTTTTCAGATTCTCAAAAACAACCGGAGCAATCATAACAACAGCTGAATCTTCGTTTTCAATTGTTTATCTCATTTGTTCTTATATAAACAAATAAAATATGCTATAGATATGATTTCTAATTTATGAAAGCATGTTGTTCACTTGCTCTGATGATTTGAACTTATTTTCGCTCGAGACGAGAATCTATTCTTTTGAAAGTGTCTAGAAGACACTACAAATTCATTCCTAGACAAACAAATATAGAATTCAAATGTATTTCAAGAAACTATTAGAAAAAGAAATCAAGTTGAACATCATAACATAACAAAAAAAGAAGATGCTTTGTACAAGTTGAGAGTATATCATCTTCGGTACCTGATGTGCCTGAAGAAATCTTCCTGAAAATGATTGGCTTGTATACATATAAATACGCACAGAACTATCGAAATATACAGTGTAGAGGACTAACAACATATTGTATGACTATGAAGACATGAGAAAAGAAGAGAAGTGCAATATCCGACTAACTTTGAGAAGGTCTGATTCCACTCAATCTGATCAGTGACAAGTAGTAGTAATGATAGAAGAGAAGAACAAAAGACGCACTACGTCTGACTTGAGAATTGGAGAAGAGGAATGTGAAAACTGAAGAGATATACAGTGATATAAGAACGAGAAAGAGAATCTTAATGAAAATCGTACTACTGTTCTAATAATAATAAGAGGAAAAAAAACAAGTTGAGAAAGATTATAAACGACGAGAGGCTTTATTTTTAGTCTGTTGTAGACGTATCTGTTGTTTATCTGACGAAGTCGCTCCACGAACAAACACTTTCGGTTGTCGCTTTGGTACTTGTTGCTGTTGTTGTTGTTGTTCTTGTTGTGATTGTTGCAGTGAAGTCAGTTCACTACCACCATTTAGTGCTGTCGATGCAGATGGAGGTTGCCGAGAACCATTTTGAGCACTATGTGGTCGTGGGCCATGAGACTAACAAGTCAATAGTGAGTAAATGATAGATTTTAACACATGAAACAACATACTCCGCGTTTCAATGAAAGAGTTCGAGCAGGCTTAAACCGTGGATTGGATGACGGTGTATGTACAGAACAAATTTTTACAAAAACACTCATAAAACCAATAAGACCCAAAACACCTAAGACAAATGCCCACCAGTATTCCTAGAAAAAAACCAACAGGACTTTTTTTCACAAATAGATAGAGGACTAGGGTCGAGAACACACCTGAGTTAATTGAGTAAGTGTTCGAATATTTTCTTCATTTAATAACATATTTTTCAATCGAGTGAGCGGACCTTCAGCATCGACCGCACGACATTTACCAAACACATCACAGTAACCAGCTGTACCAGCACAGGCATGACCTAGACGAAAAAGAAAGAGAGAATAGGAATGATGTTTGTAACAGCTAACTCTACCTGGCCGATGCTTATAACCAAAACCACTTTTACTGTGATTATTCGGCATACGAAGAGTCAACGTATCAACGCACGAATTCGTTCGAGCTAAAAAAACAATGCGATTGGATTCACTTCTCTTTCTTATGAGATCTACTCACTGTCATAGCAACCAATGTGACATAGATATTCTCGATCCACACCTCGCTGTCGCAACGGATCTTCGACATTCGGTATCGTTATTGTGCATTCAGATTTACCAATTAATGTACAAATAGTTTTATTACATTCCTATATGGAAAGACAATCACGAAACATTGTGTAACAGCGAAGGAATCTTGTAGAGTCCCTACCCCTCGATCACATAATTGTGTAAATTGATTGCATGGTGTATCATTTGGTTTAAAGAATTGAGTATCATTAAGAGGACATGTCGCTTGAACACCACTAAACAAAAAGCGAATGCACTGAAATGAACTCTCTTCTCTTTACGTTAACTTACTCGCATCGAACATCTCCGATACAATCTTGACTGGCTTTATCTTTATGACAAATATGGGTAGATGGCTGAAATGTACAGTATTCCGAACAACATGGACCTTTCGATGGACTAAATATACGGCGAAAGAGATCAAGTGAGTAGAAATGAATTCTATGAAATGTTTGTACCTGCAACGAGCACCTGGTTTGAGTTTACAACCTAATTTTGCGTCAGGGCCGCCTGCTGGATAGCAACAATCATCTGTACATTCGGATATAAATCCGCAATCACATTCTTCATCATCTTCAACGTTTCGATTGCCACAATAGCCGACTTGTGAACATTCTATGTCAAACGAAAACTCAAGCTCTTATTTTCAAGTCATAATGTACTTTTGTTTCATACCAGTTAAGCAATTAACTTTGCCCAAAAGTTGATTCTTCACTGATATTACAACTGGTCCCATCTTTTCCATGCTACAATTGGAAAATTTGTTATTATTTTCTTCCAGACCAGTTGTTGCCCGTCGATACATTATATAATGACCGTTTGTTCCATCACCGCCACATTTTTCATCATCATGCTAAACGAAAAATGAAATTGATTTACCAAGAGCATTTATCTTGTTGTCTATACAAACCTCAGCACCTAGATTATGTCCAACTTCATGAGCAAAGGTTAGTTCTGTCATCAACGATGATGTGCGAGTGTTATGATTGATAACGGTTATCATTCCTGTGTTTAATGTTTTCATCACACGTTGTCCCTCGTAGATATCTTTAGCTGGTTTCTCACAGATACCACCGCGACTGTCTAGATAGAAAAGGATAGTTGATTTAGTATATGAACGAAAAATTCTATTGTTTTCCGACATACTTGATGCTACACTTCCCATCCATGCTAAACCGAGGGTACCATCGCCAAAATCTCGTGCAGCAAATATGTATGCCAGACAGTAATCAGCAAAATTCTCGGCCGAATGCCAAGTTAGTAGAACGTTGGAATCCAAAAATGAACGACAAATATTCGTTTCGCTCAAGCTCAAATTCTTATGTCCACAATCGTCGGGTGTTAAGATCTAAATAGCAGAAAACATACATTGATTAACGCGGTTCCTAGATCAGCTATTGATGAATAATCTATTGAGCTTTTGGCGAAATGAAATCCTTGGAATGCTTTTGACTGTAACCTTCCGAAAGGCAGAAAGAGATCAATTATTCCCAAGACGCACAAATCAGTGTTACAAAAAAGATCGTAATCTGATTAGCTATTATTGTATTACAACAATGAACGAAGTTATATTAAGGTGAGTATGAAAATCTGAATATTTTTTCTAGCGTTGATTATTTAGGATGTTCACAACCGACCGATATTTTCTTTATATGTTTAATTAAACAACAAAACAATAATTCTCTCAGAAGATTTCTGACAAAAGAAAGAATTTTTGCTCATTGCATGGAATAATTGAATTAGTTATGTCAATGAACAATACTTTGATCCATAACTAATCTCTCCAAGGTCTTCATACATTAGTTAACTAATTACATACCCGAATTCGTTTGATTCGTAATGTAAATCGATATAAAACATCTCCATTCGACTCAAATTTTAATGAACGATAGATCGCATTCGCTGCCGTCACTGTTCGGTAAAGAAATGTTACAATTGCATGAATTGTTGGTTCTTTTTCCTATTTATTAAATAAACAATAAAACCAATCATTGTATCTCCAAATGATTCTTACGTTGAGACCTTCATTTTTGTACACAACATCCCAAAGTGTTGGATCAACACGTATATAAATATAACAACAAGTTCGTTCGCGTTCGATCTTATTTGTCGTCTGTCGTTTAGGTCTTGTATATCGAGATTTGAAATCTTCATCTTCATCATTATGCTTTTCTAATCGTTGGCTTTCTTCTTTCATCTTCTTTCGTTTTTCATCCTGATCAAGTCCGCAAAACGACGATGATTTCTCTTCTTCATCGTCGTCAATTACGAACCGTTTCGATCGAAACGGGTTATTACTATTGTATTTGGTCATATCCACATCCAATGCATTGTATATAATCGATGGTCCAGCATGAATCAGTTTCTCTCCATATTTTCGAGTTGGTTCGATATGCCACGTTTCATTCGAAGTTTTTATAGTTCCATCAAACCACGTCGAATAGAATCCACCACTTACATACGATTGATCGGGATTATCTGGATAAATTCAGATGCACGAATGAGAACTTTTATGAGGAAAGTTATCATTTACCTAAGACATAACCATCGTAGAGAATAGAAGAATCTATAGGAATATAAGTTGATGAATCCAGATGAAGATCAGCGTCAGTTGCAAAAAATTCGTTGGTATTTTTCAAAATCAGTGTAATATTTCTAAATGAACGAAAGCCGATAACTAACTAGTATATTTCAAATAGCGGATGCTTACTTATGATCAAGTTCTAATGTGAGAATACGATCGGGATTACTTTCAATAACTGAACGCTTTCGCCGATGATGCGTCGTTGTGGTTTCATCATGAATTGCACGAACAAAATGATAACGATTAATACCATGGGTAGAAAGATAATCAGCATTCGCTATAGACAATCAGAACATTTATCAAAGAAACATATTCGAAGAAAAAAAAATTACCAAACAAATAATATTGATATGGCCAATAGATCGGCAAGAAAAACAGAAGAATGAGCGACCACGTCATTCATTCAGCCGTTATTCTTTGAATATCTACAATGTAGTAATCACATTTCCTAGAGAATTCTCTCACGACCTTGAAACGAAGTAGAATGTTCATTTGACTAGAAGACTCGACTTGAGAAATGTTCGTGATATATCACTTTAGAGATTCAATGAATTGAGCTATTTTTAGCACAGCGTCTCGAGCCTAGATAATATCTGGTAGTGATAAGCCGCAAGCAGATATGCTACGTGTTGGTCTCGATCTCAAGGCACGAACGGTTAGTACAGCTGATGAGAAAAGAATAGAAAAAGAAACAACGAGGAAGCAAAAAATCTGATTTATCAACAACCAATAAGAAAATTCGTCATCAGAAGAAAAACAGCGATTCTTTCTATGAATATTTACATATTTTATTTTCTTCCTAAAGAGTTTTTTTGAAAAATGAAAAACTTTAATTATTCATCGCGTTTTACATCTCGAACGACATCTATATGAACGGACATACGACAGAAAGTTGACTCTATATATGTCCATAGATTCTCCGTATTTTTTTTCCATGATTATTTCTTATTCTTCATATTTTTATTTCCAGTCCAAACTGATACGAATCTCCTGATGACGACAGCCATATTGATAATACATCACTATTAGACGAAATCATCAACGAATCCAAAGAATCTTTTGACCTTGTCTCATCGTCATGCTATTTACTTCGCCAGTCATTATGTTGTTTTGTTTTCTATGTGCAGTGACATGATTATCGAAATTTGAAGCATTCCAATCTGTGTTTTAGATGTCATCAGTATCTTTTCTTGAGCAATTGACCAGCAGTGTGTCATTATCAATGATGACCATTGTATCAGTCATTACTTTGGCTGTGATTCTAATTGCTACTGTTGCCTTTCGACTTTTGTTTTCATCGCCGAAAAAGTCGAAAACAAGTTCATCATCGAAACAAAATGTGAATAAAGCTAAGAAATCCAAAGAGACAAATGCAAAACAACAGTCAACTGATGCACCAGCCGCAAACAAGAAAAAAGCTAAGAAGAGTGCAGCACCTACTAAACCTGTCGTCTCATCAACATCACCAAGTTCACAATCAGAAGAAAGTGAAGAAGAAAAAGTCGAAGTTGCACAAACTGTCAAGAAGGTTTGTAACTAATCAGTCTGCGTATCAGAGAAAATACTAATTTGATTTATTCAGTCGAACAAAGCTTCTACAGGTAAAAAGGTGCCTTCGTCGGATACGAATAACAAAACAGGTAACGCGGATAATGATATTAAAGCACCATCAAAACAGCAAGTATCTGCACGTAACGACAAAGTAAACGAAACACAAAATACTGAGGCGAAGAAGAAACAAACAAAAGTCGCTGAAACTCCAGCAGCTCCGAAACAACAAGCTGCAGAAAAAAGTATAGGAGAGAAGAAGGATGAGAATTGATTATATATTACGCAATTTATCTTCGTTATTTAGATAAAATCAACAAGGCCAATGCAGATGTTGCAAATAAGAAACAACCTGCAGTTGTTAACGCTGAACCAAAACAGAATTTACCTGTTACTAATGATGGCAGCTCTGATCAAGAGGATGATGGTCAATGGGTGACACAAGGCGGAGGCAAACAAGTTGCTAATCGTAATAAGGGCAAAGGTAAAAACGACACAGCAACTGTTGCAAAGAACAACCAGCAACAATCGGCATCGACAACCTCTGCCAATCGTAAAAGTGGACTTGAGAAACAAAAGCCAACAGCGTCTGTACCGTCTGTAGCTAAAAGTGATTCGGATGTTGAAACAACAACACCGACACCTTCAACTAATCAAGTACCTAAACCACCAGTACTTCAAGAGCCAATTGAAATCTATCAATTGTTACCAACGGGTGAAGATCGTTATACGGCTAGCGATAATTGGTGGAAACAAGCACTAAACAAGCAACAAGCATTCTCTGTTACTGATATTGGTGATTGGCCAGAGCGCGACCAAGAGGAACAATACATTGTCAATGTTCAACGTATTGTACCAGTCAAACCGGCAAACAGCAATGTTAAAACAGCTCTAACAGAAAAAGATATCAATGTCAATGGCAATGATCATGTTCATAGCTACAAAAATGCTCAAGACGATCAGGTAGACTTCATTCCACAACAAAGAAAGAAAAATGAATGAATTGATGTTTTTAGAAATTAAATTTCAATGAGGAAATGAATTCGCCCTCGATTGTGACAGGTAATGTTGCTCTTGACAAAGCTGTTTTCCAATGAAACATCGACAAATGAATATTTTTCTCGTAGGTGAATCTACTAATACCTCATCTCAGTCAAAAAAGAAGACCACCAATGTCCGTCGTATTTCTTAAGTAAATCAGAAATCGAATCATCTCTTGATGTTTGTTTTTTTTTGTTTTTATGATATTTCGGATTATTTCTTTGATTCTCTTTTTCTATGTACTTCTTTGTTTTATGCAACTATCGAAGTTTTTCTCGTTCTATCGGCTGACAGATTGAGGATGATTTTTGCACGCTTTTTAAGTATGTGTGTGTGTTTGGTTGTTTTTTATTCTTTTTCTTTGTTTTGATTTGAATGTTTATTGGGTAAAGGGGCGTTTTGTGGGTGATTGAATGCGTGCAATCTTTATTATATACACATGTTAAGTTTGTTCTTAGTTAGAACATTCATATTTCAACAGTAATCTTCTTTCTTGTTTTGACTTTATTCATCTGAGTGAAAAACTAAAAAAAGCAACAACATTGGAAAGAAATTTCATTTTTTTTGCCTGATAATTATTTGACCCTTCCGATTTATTTTATGTCGCTGGTTTCTTTTCTTTTTCTTCTCCATCACCATTGTTGTGTTTGTTGCTTTTTCTCTTCTATCTTTTCTTGTTATTATTGCGACTGAAGTAGAAAGAAAAAACAGAAAATAGAAAGGTAACATTTGTCTTCGTTTTGAAAAGAAATAATAATGCGTGGGTCCAAAGTCATGCCGAGACAATCGATGAATCAAAATATAAACATGTGATTTATAGGACTAGACGTTTACTAATTTACATGAACTGAAAATAGGAATATACTTTCCACTGAATAACCTTTATAGTGAAAGTATAACCAACCGAGCGAATCAGATGAACTATCAATAATGCGTTTTTCGTTTCTGTTTATGTAATTATGATGGCGAACGATGAAAAATTCTTCTACGAATAACTCGAAAAAACACTTGTGCATATGCAATGTATATTTCGTAATTGTCGCTGTTGAACTCGTTAATTCAAACTCTATATTTCAGTACAGCATGTTGAGTATTATTGGAATAGACGTTCAGCATGATTCAGCCAAATATGCAAAGAATAATAAGATTGCCAATAGGTGAAATCTCTCTTTCTATTCTTCAGTTCTTCAATGAATTCTGTCCAAGGTAATGCTTGGTCAGATGAAGCAAGTAAGGTTAAACTCCATAAATGTTCATGATGATCAAGAATCATTTTCATACTATCAATATCTCTTATCGTTATTTCGAGATATTTTATGTGATGTGGAATAATATTGTAGAGCTCTTTGATGAGCATCGAACCATCCGAAGAAGATGAATAAGGATGAATGGCTAATGTACTAAGATTAGCTGACAATGCCATCAATGTACTGATACTATCGATGGTACCGTCGATCAAAGCTGGATTAAGATCAGGATTAAAAGTGAAATTTTCCATACGCGAGAGATCGACGATATTCGATAAATGCTGAACATAATTTATTGACCAATCTTGATCTACATCGATAGTTAATTTCGTAACATTACGAAAAACGTAATCACTTGACAGATCGTCCTACGATTAAAAACATTCAAGTTCATATAAAGATTAGTAAACACATACATTTTCTGTAGCTGTACTAGTTATCAATTTTGTCAAGGTCATGTTCAAATTTCGCACATCATTTGTCATGATACTGCCGTCGTGAATTAAATTCGAATTCGTTGAATAAGAAATTTTTTGCATTTCAGATTCATATGTGAAGTCGGGATTACACAATGGAATTGTATAAAGCATAACTTGATTGAGATAATCTATATAATCGCAGGTAATGAACCATTGTTTTTCTTGTAGCCAAAATGATGTTCGAAATCGAGAGACTAATGATTGAACATCTCGCGATGTGTAAGAAATATAGTACATATTCGTAAAGTAGAATTGAAATTGTACTAAATGAGTTAAATTCGATCGAATGAACTTTTCCCAAAACGATCCATCTGCAACAGCCTCAAACGCATCGGGCAATCCGAGGATTTTCAAATAAGTCAAACAAGGTGTGAGAATTAGAATCGATACCAATCCGTTGATCGACATTCGACTGTCAGTCAACGTCAATGATGTTAATAGCTCGTAAAACGTCGGTACAATAGTCGCTTCAACTTCGTGCATTGAACAATGATTAAATGTCAATCGTTGCAATTCAGGAGTTTGTCCAAGTATAGTACAATATTGTCTGTGTGTTATGTACATTAATGTGAGATGTTTTAGGGTATATTGGCGTGGCCATACCATTTTCGTAATAGCGTAGGATGCAGTTTTTAATTCAAGCCTATGAAGATTCAATTGGGCCAAGGTGATTGAAAGAAGATCTAAGGTTTCCACAGAAGGACAATGACATTCCCGCCAAATGATACGTAATGATGTTAGCGTTGATGTTAGACTCGAGCGTAGAACTGTGTATAGATCTTTGTCGTCAATATCAATGAAATGCAAAGAAAATAATCGAGTAAATTGATTAATATTAAATAACGATAGAAATAGTTTGATTTGACCAGGTGTTCTGTTGTCATCAGACAGCGTTAAAGAAAGAATAGTTTCCGGTTGAATAATCCGACAAATACGATGAAAGTATAATTTAGAAATCGAACAAAAATCTATTCGATATTGGCTGTAAGCCTTGACTACGGCTTGAAAATATGTACATACATCATACAGTGACAGGAATATTGTCGATGTATCGACATAATCGAGTATATGGTGAAGAATTTCTACTGGTAAGTTCAGTAAAGATAAATTGTACGTTGTGGTCATTAAAATATAATGTTTCTATCTTTATTAGAGGAATATGAAATGGCAGAGATAGTAAATAGGCGTATGACTCATTATTGTGTTCGTAATTCTATCATGTGCTTGCTGCTAAAATGTCTTTCCCCATCGTAAACACAAATGCTTGACGGAGGAAAAGGAAGAACAAGCATATGTATTTTCCAGCTATATGTATCACAAACAGTGTCATTTGTTTTGTTTTCGAAAATCATATTGTTGACTTTTTTCAATAGCCAATGAAAACTGTGTAAAAGCGTGCTTGCTGAAGTTAATTCATCGCTTAGTAAACAGTGATGATGCTTTAACCAAAACAATCGAAGAGATGAAGACGAAAATATATGCAAATTAGAAATAAAAATAGTTGAAATTGAAGGAAATTCATTCACTGAATTCAAGTGTCTTTCATCAGCATAAAAATGACTCTTAATTTCTTTGGATGTCTCTATTAGTTTTTCTGCGTCGAAAAATGTTTTCTTATTAATTGACAGAAGATTGATTAAAGATCAATGAAATATTTTTCTTCGCTGGAGAAATATTATCCTAATGAAAAAAAGACGTTTGTTTTCATCAAAAACTGACTTTTAAATAGTAAGTGTATAAGTACACAACTGGAGCGGATTTATTAAACACGTGTCTAACTGGTATGAATGGCAATAGAACCAAAAAGAAGATATTATCGGTATCAGCGAGAGTTCCCTATCATGAACACCGAGTGTTATGAGCAAAAATGGTATCATTGAGATACTCCTCATGATTTGCCGTGTATAATGAGAACGATCGGTATGGTATGAATATTAAGATGGCCAGGTTTTTGCTAATAAAATATGCATCAGTGTGACATACACTAATAAAAAAGATCCGTGATTTATTTCGTTATTTTCTACGAGAGGACATTCAAAATATGAGTTTTCTAACCTTGGCTAAAGAAAATTAAAGAACCAAAATCGTTGATACCGATACAGTTGATTCATGTTCTTGAATAGATTGTGAATAAAAATAAATGATTATTTTGCGTTCAGTTGATAAATGCCATAAAATAACTGCTGGGGGTTCGGTTGATTCGTATTCGAACTGTAAGAAACTATCGCTCGAAGATTGAAGCCAAATTTTTTCAATTTTGCCCCCCATTCTTCACGTGTGCGATAATGAATAGAGCTTGTGTATTTAATAACTTCAGCTTTTTGTTCATTCCAATCAGCTGAAATCGTACTATATTCGCCAATGCGAGCGAATATGACGAGAGCCTGAACGAAATTCAGATATTTGGCCGTAAGAGAATACTCCTGTTTACAATCGTGTTCGCGTAGGATAAGATAACCGTTGGGTCGTAGAACACGAACTAATTCAGTTAACATCGAGTCGATTTTAGGAATACGATGGAGTATAACCAAACAAGTTATCAAATCAACACGATTGTCAACTAAACAAACAAACAAACAAATAATTAGATAAGTATCGTTGATGAAGAATTATTTAGCATCATAGTGTTATTAAATTTTCGATCAGTCGTGGGCAAAATGTGTATCTTAGTCGAAGTTCATATTTTAAAAAATGTAATTACCGAGATCAATTGTTGATTCTTTAAGATCGACATGAATGTATGTGATTTTATCAGTGCACTGATTGTGCTGATTTCCCCCGAAAATATCTTCTTTGCCCAAGTGAAGATAATCACCAATCTCAGCTGCATTGAAACCATTGCGACACTCTAAGTCAAGATACGCCTTGATACCATATCGACTGAGAATTTCGTCTACATTCAACGGTTCTAGCACTCGTAAATCTCCTAACACTGATGGATTAGCAGTGGTATATTCAAAAAAAGCTTTAATCTCCATAAACCGACGATCAGGGGAGGTTTGCGTATGCCATATTTTTAATGATTCTTGTGCGCCTGAAAAAGACATACTAACATGAACCTATTGCCGTATCCCATTGTATTAACCTGGTTGTTTGTTGAATTCTTGGATGACCATTTGTAACTGATCAAGTTCCTTGTATTTACCACTCTCGATTTTCAAGCGATTGAGATTGTACCGTTGGTTATACATTCTTGCAATGGAGGAAAGCAGACAACGACGATAAAATTCATTGGCCCATAAAGAATCCTTGACCTGTCGTGAATCCATCCATTGAATGAATGCATCATTACTAAGTCCGGAGAAACGTTCTATGCAAAATTTGTGTCATTTTCCCCAGATCATAGGTATCGATGGAATGAATATGAATTAGAAAATCATTGCCTTCAATAATAACCTTACCTTCTTCAAAACAAACCTTTGACTTTTCTGGCTGAGAAGATTTTCGATTGACTTATAATTCACCAGCTACAGTTGAAATTTCTTCCTTCTGTACATATAACATCGATTACTTCATTTACTTACTGGCTTCTTTCTTTCCTGTGCGTTTGATCGCATCTTCATCTTTGGTTTCGTTACGTACTCTCAGGAAATATGCTGGGCGCAGTTGTACTAAAACAGATTAACTGTGTCATTCGACAAGTAACAAGAGAAAACGCATTTTTCCGAAAAATACTTACGAGTGGGCGGATTTGATATATCGTTATTTGTCTGAACTGATCGTTCAATTCGTGATTCCTTTTTATATGAATTACATTGTTGTAATTCTTAAATTTGGATATTATAATGAATTATTTCTTTTAAGTAGAATACCTACAGACCTATTACTTTATCTTCCAACTCTTGAATTTGCTTTTCGAATTTTTCAATCTTCTTGTTACACTCCTGTATGTGAATATTCTGTTTTTGGCATAAGTCCTCTAGCGTCTTCAAGCGTTGGCTAAGTTGCTGATTTCCATCAATGGACGCTCGATCAGAACATAGTGATGTCGGGTGGAAATTGGAAGATTCCATTTTAGAAACAACAGTTAAGTCATTCATACGTCTGAGATTTCGACTACTAGCCATTTAGTTTTCTAGAATAAATTAATCAAATAAGCATTTCTGGAAAATTGTCGCGAATCGCAGAATTTATTAAGATTTCGCAATAAAAGTATCCGCTTTTCTGAAAATCAGGTAAGGAAGTCCGCAATAGTCATGATATTCTTCTTTGTCTCATTTGTGAACATCGAATACACGTTTTTCCAACTGGTAAACAGCATAAAATAAGCGTTGAGGATTGCTCGATCCATCTTTACCATATGACAGTGTCGCACGATGGCGAAAACCAACATTTTCAAGTACTGCTTGCCATTCTTCACCTGTTCGATAACGAATGCTTTTGGCATATTGAATAATATACCATTTTTGCTCCTCCCAATCAGCTGCCTTGTTTAGTTGATTTCTTTCCACATCATTTTTCGCTGAATTTGCAAATTCTCCCACTCCAGCAATCATCATGATAGCATGAACAAAATTCAGATACTTAGTTTCAGGTAAATAATCGGTTTTACAATCGTGCTCTCGAATGATCAGATAACCTCCGAGACGGAGAATTCGAGCTAATTCACTGGATGTTTGTTCAATCTTAGAGACATGGTGAAATGTAACGAATGAAGTAATAAGATCAATACAGTTGTCTTCTAAATTTCATAGAATAGAACTACCTGAGAAATAAGACGAGAGAAAAATGCTGAATACGAACGAAGCTGAATATTTGCTTGATTTTCATTCAGTTTGATAAATTTAATATCTGAATGGTCACATTCGTAAACATCAGCACCGAAAATGGAATCGTTAGATAAACCTAGATAACGTCCAACGGCAGCTGTTATACTACCGTCACCACAACCAAAATCAAAATAGGATCTAATAGATTCCTTATCTATAATCTGATTTATATTTGATGGTTCTACGATAAATTTACTGTTGGACCATAAAGATTTACTGCTGAATTCAAATATACATTTCAGATCATCAACTCGTTGATGGATTCGAGACTTATCTTCCCATTTACTGATGGACACGCTAGTTGCTATAAATAATTGTAACGTTAATAGATCTGAGTTAGCTTTTACATTCTATACCGTGTCGTTCTTTTGTTTTTTCAATTAATTCGTGTAAAAAGTCTAATTCGTCGAGCTTTGTCATTTCTTTGCTTAGCCGATTGTACAGTTCTGTCACGTAGTGTCTTTGTTCATAAATTCTACCTAGGTATTTCAAAAGAGCTATCCGATATTGAACATTGTGCCATAACGAATGTTCAGGACACCGTGAGCACATCCATTCACTAAATCTATCTATTCGTCGAGCACTGTTGGGTGCTTGTGAACGAACAGGTTGTGTTGAATTTCGAGATTTGTTACTAAGCGCACCATTCTATGAAGAAAACGGCCTCTTTTTTCCTTCCCTATCATCAAGAAAATATCTACTAGTGCGTTCCTGAAAAGGTGGTTTCCAGCTACAACAGATCCTCGTCCGTTTTCTTCGCCATTCTTGAGAACTTGCTGATGCCTTAGATTTTGACCTTTGGTTTTGTCTAAAAATTCAAATGTGCACAAGCATTGTTCAACGTCATTTGAATGGTTCTTATCAGAAATATACTAACTTTCTATTGTCGAACATTTACTTCTTCTGTTCGACTGATGTTCCATAAATTTCTTTGTTCGCTGAGTTCCTTGAGTGTCATCTACAATTCAGTACAGTCTAAACTATGAGTACGGAAAAAGTATGTATGTATTGAAATAAGACGAATACACTTTAACCATTGTGTATTTCAACATCTTAGAAAGTTTCCTCCAAGGTGTTTATGAGCTAATATATACGTACAATGTTGATTTGAACTTTGTGCAGTTGATAGAGGATCTTCTATAATCTAGAAAACGAACAGTTTCTCAGAAAAGACAAACAACGCGATGAGACTTTACATAGTCATCAAGTCCATGTGTCAATACAGTCTTGGTTGTGGATGGCTAATATTATAAAGAAATGAAGATGCAAATCGTCTGAAGATATTTAGTAGAGTTCGATATACTTCTAATGATATACCACCAAGAGACTGAGCCAACGTTTCGAGTTCGTAATCATCCATAGCATGATTGTCAATAGGAGAAATCAATTTCGTTGTCTGATCGTTATGGGAATGAAAATTGGACAAATCTTGAATAACACTCTCAGAGGATATCGCATGTTCAGTCTGTCTACAGAATATTTTGTGTTAGGAATCAATATGTGGGATTAAAATCATGAAGTACTGTTGAATATCACTGTTCTCGGAAGGATCAATGGAAGATATGATTGGGTTCGTCTGTAGGAAGAAAGAAGATGAAACTGAAAGTGTCTTTGTTGATATTACCTTTGACAGATCTGTCGACCACTGCAACACAGGAGGAAACACAAGAAAATAGGCAGTTTTACTTAATTAATACACTTACAGTGCATAGTGCAGATGTTGACTCATTTGGAATATCAATCTTGTTCATGTCTAAATCATAGTAAATACTTACATATGTGTGATGTATTCAAATAAAAAAATTTATCAAATAAATTATTAAAATGGTCTATTTTTTCCCAAGATAATTTAATTCTGCAGTCCTTCTACATACCTTTGTAACTTACGAAAAGACGAGACAAAGCATGTAAAAGATGTAATAGATAAAACACTATCATCTATTAAGACTTTTTTCTTATCATCAACAACACGAGATCATAGGAATGCCGTAAACAAGCGAAACTCATGAAAAACCGCGTTCAGACTTTGATAAAACATGTCGATTCAACACTTCTCAGTCACGAAAACATCGTTTTAACGAATCTCGAACGTGTTTGTACGCACGAGTATTACAATCTGCTCAAGTTTTCTTTATATTAATGTGTTATTTCGTAAAATGTACCGAGCTTTTATTCATGAAAATGTACGCTATCCCCAAATTTGTTTTCTTTAAAATCTCCATGTTTTTATGCATTTCTGTCTGGTGCTGTTTGTCTACCTGAGAGTATTACTAATGGAAAATTTTGAATTGAAATTGTAAAAAAGATTAACAAAGGAGAGAAGTGAATCATTCGAACAGAAATCGAAAGTAACTCGATGTCTCTTTATGTTGATGTTGAAACAAAAGTTTTCACTGATCAGATGACTGTGTAAACAATATGAGTTCGAAACCTCTTGCCAAACCATCATATTACGATATACAATTTCATCAGTTTTTTCTTTTGTAACGTTCAAGAATTTTTTGTGTATTTGTTCAAATGAAGATTCAGAAGATCATGAAAATTGCTGACAGTTGTATATGCTCTCATAAATCTTCAACATCTTTCTGAGAGAATGAGAATGAGGTTATATGTCACTATTCAAATACAACTACATCGTATAATAAACAATTTTTGAACAAAGGTATTGATTTTCCATAAACGTTCGAACCGTTTTCGATACGGTTCTGTTCGATTACATGTACCATCATCTTCAGCAAAACCATTCTTGATTATGCGTCGAGTGTTTCCCACCGTATATGTATATAGAAGATCCGTATCGTCTCGATAAAACATTTGAGATTTTTCATACTTCGAGCCAAATATAGTTTAGCTTTGAAGATGAAAACATTGAGTGAGAAAAAGCAGTTTCAAGAAGCGATTGATTTTTTCAACAAACATGATGATCGAAAAGATGGTCGAAACATTTCGGATGCAGCTATTAATCAGGCATTGAAATCCGTCACTAATATCAAAGATTTAACACGCGGTTTCGATATTGATCGACGATACTCGTCCCGAATTGAGAAAGAAGCTTTCACGTGAGCTTCGATTATTCATTTCCACAGTAAATAATAACAAATTCTAATAAAGTCTCTGCATGTATGTGACACTTAGTGAAATCCAGAAATGTTTGATAAGACAAAAGAAAAGACAACTGACATCTACGGGCCAATGATGAAAGATAAAATCATCATTTAGATAGTCGAAATGAAATTTATTTGAGTATGCACATAGGTTTTATAAAACATAATATGTTAAATGAAGTAGTCAATATTTTCTTTAAGATTCTCCCATCCAGATGAAGCAAACACTGTTTTATTATTCAATACTTGTGCTCGAATAGCAATAAAAGACTCATTAGCATTAGTTTAAAAAGTTTTCTCAAATCTCCCGAAGCATCATCATAATAGTTTGAATATAATGATAAATGCTTTCAATGTCTACATAAAATGTGATGATTTACCCAATGCTGAACAAATTTTCTTTCCAAAATCAATAGGATCTACAAAGAGAACAATGGCATCGAAATCAACTCAGTTATTTATCTTCTATTAATCAATGCATGTAGTCAAATTGGAATACTTTCGGTATCGGAACCAATCTACGATGAGATTCCCGTTGAGCATCTTAATAATGATCTTTTCATTCGAAATGCATTAATTGACATGTGGGTGGGAGAATATTTCATGCATAGTGAGATAAAATGTATTGTTTGCATTTTGAAATAGGACCAATCAGTATGTTTAACAAAAGCTGAAGAGATTTTTTAATCGTTAAATCAACCAGATCCAGTTGGATATGCATCAATGAGTAAATAAAGAGAATACTTCGAATTAATTTGACTTTATTTGTAAACTAGTTAATGCGTATGGTTTAAATGGCAAGCGTCGCCATGAGGTCGAAATTATTATTTGAAGGAACATACGTTAGTGTTTTGAATGCATGTTCACATTTCGGACTTGTGAGCGAAGCTTGTGAAATCTTTTTCAAAATTGAGGATAAAACGGAGGTGTATACAACCATAGGCAGCTGAAATCATGTATTCTTTTATATTTGTATCGGATGAGTTTCATTTGAATTTAGGTTGATTGTTTCGGTTGTTCCTTTCGTTTTCAAGAAGCTGAAGATTTGATAAACGATTATGAATCTCGTCATTCTCCGTTGCCTTTATTATCTGCAACCGGAAATGACAAAAATCTTTCAACGTATTCAACAGTATTTTCCTGATTAACAGAATAGAATAGTATCGGCGACAGTTTTGTTGAGCAATATTTATGCATCAATTGGTGATGTGGAAAAGTCAGCCGATATTAAAACCAATTTGAGTCTTGCTGGTTTGAACAAGAAAAGCGGTGTGGCCTGGACACAAACCAACGGACAAATTCATGTAAGCGATCTTATGCAAAAAAGGAATTTCTCTTTTTAGGACTGTAGACATTTCGTGCACATGATCGATCGCATCCACGTTTATCGGAAATTCCGGAAGAAATTGAGAAAATATCGAAAGAGAGCGTGGACATCAACCTGATGCATGTTTGTTGTAAATCCAAATACTAAACGAATTCAAATAGTCAAAAACCTTCGTGTGCGTGGAGAATGCCGTAAGTAATTATCTCAAATATCTTTCAGTATTCTTATCTTGTCTTTCGATAGATCAATCAACCAAATTGATAGCTGCTGTTCATGATGCGAACAGAATTCATCATTTTTATACGAACGGTGAATGTTCTTGCAATGATCATTTGTAAAGAATAAACATCGAAATGATATTTTGCATAGCTTTTCTTTTTCACAACATACATTCGTTGACTTTTGATGAGCAGAGAACTTAATTCACAGAATCGATCGGAAATACTCGATCGACATTCTAATTTCCACACATCGAACTATTTCGCATAGCAAAATATGTTCGATTGTTGTGATATCAATGTCGTCTATGGTTTAGTACAAAACCGAACTTTCAATTTGCATTTGATTCAATCAAAATATCTTTTTAATATTCGCATTGTCTTAAAAACGAATCATTTATTCCAAGGTGTTGACGTTCGTGTAATGATCAAAATAAAATCCATGTGGTTCGTCAGCTATAAATGTATTTCATAAGTACACTTTTATCAACCTAACGCCCTCTACATGTATTTACTGCGATCGGTTCGAAATAACAAACCATTCCTGTCTTAATTATAAATAAATCACGAAATAGGAAAAATAAAGGAAGAGAAGTCAAATACTTTATCAATATTAAACTATTCATCCATGATTTTTTCGTACGAAAGCCTGGAAAATAGATCGATGAACAAAAAACTTTGACAATAAGTACAAAGTCATAAATCATTCGAAAACACAACCTTGTTCTTTTAAGTAATTTCAACTGAAAATCGAATATTTCTAGACCATGCAGATCTCGTCGCAAAAACCAACAGATAATTCGACGAGTAGATTCTGGAAACCAGGTAGTGCTCGTCCACCTCGACAACAATCCTCGTCGATTGTTGATCGACAAGATTCCACCTCGGAGAATGTCGATCTCTACCAACATTCCTCAATGTCAATTTCTCAACACCGTCGAAACCTTCCAATTGCGAATTATCGTACACATATCTTGTATTTACTGGAAAAATATCGAACAATCATTATCATTGGGCAAACTGGTAACATCGTTGAACTTGTCTTTAACGAAATTTTATAAAAATTCATTTAGGTAGTGGCAAATCAACTCAAATTCCTCAATATCTTCTCGAAGGTGGTTGGACTCGAAATGGGAAATTAATCTGTATGACTGAACCTCGTCGGATTGCAACTGTGCAATTAGCTCAACGTATTGCCGATGAAAAGGATGTTATCTTAGGGAAAGAAGTTGGTTATCGTATTCGTTTTGAAGATGTTTTTACAAGTGGATTAACACAAGTTATTGTTGTGACGGAAGGTCTTCTTTTACGTGAGATCATGTATGATCCACTGTTAACACGATATAATGTTGTGATTATCGACGAAGCACATGAGAGATCGATTCAGACTGATCTTTTGTTAGGTTTGTTGAAGAAAATCCAACGACGCCGGCGTGATTTACGATTGATCGTCACATCTGCAACGATTGATAGCGAACGATTACGTGCGTTTTTCGAACATCAAACAACTCCGATTGTCCGAGGCGAAAATCAATCGACAGAAGAAGAAGAAGAAAAGCTTGAAGAATGCTTTATTATGAGTGTTGAAGGTCGTTCGTATCCAGTGGAAATCTTTCATACATCCGAATCTGTACCTGATTATCGCAAAGCGTGTGCAGAAGCTTGTATTGAAATACATGAAAAAGAGAAATACAACGAACAGGGTGATGTTCTTTGCTTTGTATCTGGACAAGAAGATATCGGACATATAACTCGTGAATTAAACGAATATGCAAGACGGTTGAGTGATGAACAACAACATTTGAAACGCAAAGATGAACGGAAGAAGTTGATTATCTTACCGTTATACGCGAGTTTGAAATTTATTGATCAAATGAAAGTTTTCGAGAAAACGCCACCTAACACGCGGAAGATTATTGTGGCGACAAACATCGCAGAAACGAGTATTACAATTCCAGGTAAGACAGTCAAAAATCAAATTTTCTCCAAATGAAGAAGTTTTTGTTTAGGAATTGTGTATGTTATCGATTGTGGTTATGTTCGATTGAAATTATTCAATCCGGAGTTCGGCTTTGAAGTTCTAACAACATTACCGGTAACACGTTCATCGGCGTTACAACGTGCTGGTCGAGCTGGTCGTGTTCGTTCGGGAAAAGCTTATCGTCTCTATCCTGCATCCGAATACGAAAAAATGAAAGAATTTCAACTCCCCGAAATGCAACGATGTGACTTAGCACTCGCTGTTCTTCAAATCAAAGCATTAGGCATTCATAACGTCGTTCGATTTGACTTTCCATCGCCACCACCTTCGAAAAATCTTCTCCAAGCGATCGAATGTCTCTACGCATTACGCGCTATTGACGAACAATCGCGTTTAACGGCAGATTTAGGAATGAAAATGGCGGAATTACCATTGCATCCGACACATGCGCGTGCTTTATTGATTTCGGCTGAATATGGTTGTACACAAGAAATGTTGAAAATTATCGCATCGCTTCAAGTGAAACACGTATTCATCAATCCTCCGAACGAAAAAATGCGTGCAGCTAAATTACACGCGAAATTCGCTTGTCAAGAAGGCGATCTGATTACAGTGTTAAATGTTATCAAAGCATTTGAACAACAAATGGCACCGCAACAATTCTGTGATAAGTAAGTCCTATTCTAAGTATGTCAAACATATCCTCTCATTCTCTTTGCTTTCAGACATATGCTAAATCTCAAATCGCTAAAACGTATTCTTGAAATCAAAGATTCTTTAGAAAAATCTCTTCGCCGTTTAATATCAAAACCAAGCACAATTTCTTCTTCAACGGGTGACGACGTGATACCAGTACTTAAATGTCTAACCGACGCATTTTTCATGAATGCTGCACGCTTAGCAATGGATGGTTATACCTACCGAACATTTCGTGGTTCATCTCAGGAACTCTATATGCATCCATCATGTATTTTATCTCCAATTTTATCAGCACAAGAAACTACGCAAAGTCAATTGCCTAAAATAATCTTGTTTAATGAATTAATTCAATCATCGAAGATGTTCATGTCGGATATCACTGTTATTGAACAAAATTGGTTGTATGAAATCGCGGGACATTACTATGAGCAGTTATCGACACGACAATGGATGTTGAAAGAATCGTATGAATTTGAATAAAGGAATCAACAATGTTTTTGTTGTTGGAGTCTAGTCAATAGATCGAAACGATATTAATCGGTGTTTTTTTTTGTTTATATATTTCAGATGGAAAATAATGTGCTAAAGATAAAATTGATTTCGTTTAAAAATACGACGAAATCAAGTTCAAGTCATGTTCTTTGTTATGTGAAAAAGCTGACAAACTTACCATCGAGTGACGGTAATGTTTGATTTAGAATGAAGTTTTTTTCCTTGAAAGACTGAGATTCATTTTGTTTAGATTCTTCGGTAATTCTTGCACAAACCGACTCATCTACAGCACTTGTTCGTTCGATTGGTGACACATTTGATTGGACAAATTCGGATGGAAATTATTGTCAGTTAATATTCTTAACATCGAAATCGAAATCGAAAGTTATTGCTGATGTCATTTTATGGTACGATCATTTATTAAAACTTCTCGACGATCGTCGATATAAAGAATCTGAAACAGATTTACTCTGCAGCGTAAGTGATAGGTATTCAAATAACGAAGAAAAATCCATTGGAGAGAATTGATTTAGACAACAATTCGAAAAGATTATCAGTTTGAATTTAGTGTTCGATTACTTGATGATCAGATGCCTGTCTTGTCCGAAAGTAAGTTTACTTATTCTTTTGCTTCTAATTTGATATTATTCAACGGAATAACTTTCAACATATTTCCTGAATAGCGCCATCGACAATATCGAAAGTGACATTGAATAGTAAACTTTCTGGCCGACAGACTGTTCGTGGACACATAATGAAAATCCAACAGTTCAATCATCCAGTCCATTGTGCTATTTGTCATGGTTTTATTTGGTACGTTCACGATGATATTTAAATTTATTTTTCCAACCAAAATTTTTCGTTCATAGGGGTTTACACCATCAAGGCTTCGAATGTTCACAATGCTCTCTCGTCACACACCGGAAGTGTCATCAACAAATACCATTCTGGTGTCGTAAATCTCTTTTTCCAGTAAGTCAATCATTTCGCTAAAGCATCATCATTAGTACATCGAAAAATCTACAAGGAACCTGCTACATCCAACGAAGGCTTTCGATTAAAATTTGATGTTTCTCATAAATTTAAACAACATGAGGCGCCGTTTGTTCGAGCGTTAGTCACTCGAAACCATGGGCATTGTAACCATTGCGGCTCACCAATCTTTCGAAATGCTCTCAAGTGTACACGTACGATTCGCAAATCAAAAAATTGCATAATGCGTTGCCATGCTCTAACTCTAATAACGCCTGCCTATACTAAACAGATCTCGCTGTAGCTCATACCTTCTTTCCTCAATTCAATCTATACACTTTTTCATTTATTTTAGAATGTCATTTTATTATTCATGAACATTGCAAATCAAATGTTCCTCTCATGTGTACACTCGCATATGATTCCATAGCTGAAGCCATACCTAACACTACCCCACCATCACATATAGGTGTGCGCTTTCATCCACCTAAAGCAACTATTAACCTACGTGAGCAATCGCGATCGTCCTCGTTCGATTTTTCATGGCTTGAATCATTATCGGAGTTGAATGTGACGACAAATAAAGCTGTACCTTTACCGAAATTCAGTGATTTCGCATATGTTGGCCGTGTTGGCGATGGTGCATTTGCACAAGTTTATTGTGTTCAACATATTGCGTCAAAACAGCATATGGCCATCAAAGTTGCTGACGGATCAAATGAGCAAGCACGACAACAATTAGAAGTAGAACGACAAATTTTATTTCGATATAGTCAAGGAAATCCCTATATGATCAGAGCACACTGTACATTTCACCAAGGAGTTAGTTTAATTTACTCTGAGTTAGTTTTACCGAAATGGGCATTTAATTTGATTTTTTAGACGAAACTGTTTCTTGTTATGGAACTTGTGCAAGGTGGATCGTTATATCATAAGATTCAAACTACACGTATGAATGAAGATGACATACGATTTTATCTAGCAGAACTCATCTGTGTTATACAATACTTACATTCTAAGAACATCGTCTACCGGTTTGTTTATTCATGTGATCAAAACAACAAATCCGTCGGATCGTTTTTCTAGAGATTTGAAACTCGAGCATGCAGTTGTCTGTTCCGAAGGTCACATACGTCTCGTTGATTACGGACTTGGCCGATTACTGAAATCTCACAATGAAGCTTGCCATACGTTCTGTGGTACATACAGTTACATGGCTCCCGAAGTACAATCTTTCCGTTCGAACTTCATAATTTTATTCATTCGTGTTAGGTTCGCTGTTTGGAAACCAGTTCATCGGAAGAAGGTTATAGTTATCCGGTTGATTTCTGGGCACTTGGTATTATGTTTGTGCAAATGTTATTTGGCGAACAAATAGATTTTGCTTCTCAAATGTTTTCGAATGGTGATCAAAGTACCGAACAAAAAAATCTAGCTGAGTTATTGGAATTACCTCGTCATACCAGTCCGGAAGCGTGTTCGTGTATTCACGGTTTACTTGAAAATGATCCAAAGAAACGATTAGGTTCACCAGATTCACCACATGGTCCTATTCGTGATCATCCCTTTTTCAAAATGGGTTATCGGATCGATTGGCAAGAAATTGAAGACGGAGTATTCAAACCATTAACAAAAAATCAATATGTAAGTGTAAGAGTCAACAATACACATTTCTATTTGTTTTATTCTTATCTTTCGTGTAGATTGCACCTGTTTTATCTGACGTATCGATTCATCGACCACTTTCTACTCTCCTACTGGATAGAGGAAGTCATGGACAAGCTGATTGGTTAGAAGCTGGACGATCTACATGTACATTAGCAGAAGATGAACAATTAAAATCATTTGATTTCATTAATCAATCTACATGGCTGGAATTGACTCAAGCAGATGCTTGAAATCAGAATACATCAGTTTGTACATGACCGGAAAATGTATTTTCTTAACAGAGTCGCCTTTTTTTTTCTTCTTTTCCAACCAGTTTATTATTTATCGAACGCGTTTGATATTATTGTTAACACTCCAGTAAATTTTCGTTCTTTTTCGAAATATTAACCCAACCGTCGACCAAATATGTGTGATTGAGGATTAAGATGAATAATCAGTCAAGGTTATTTACTCCTCGACGTGAATAAACGCAAACGATTTTGTTCTTCTGTTTGATCATGTGAAAAACAAATTTTTGTATTCTATTGTATTCACTAAGCTTCAAAAATACGGCCTATTTTTATATATACACAGCTTTCAGATTCTCTCTTTCATTTCGAACTTTTTGTCGTGTAATATCAAATGTCATCGTCTCAAATTGTTCGTCGCATTATTAAATCAGCAGCGGCTGGAAATCCATCAGGACCCTATAGGTACGGGTAGATCGATGTACAGTCGAATGCTAAGGAAAAAAGAACCTTTTTTCTTCTAGCCAAGGTGTTCAAGTTGGTCAAACCTTGTACCTCAGTGGATGTCTTGGACTTGATCCTAAAACAGGTCAATTTGTTGGTGAAGGAGTACAAGAACAGGCCCGACAGGTAGGTTTACTCGTCGAGATTGATCTTTTCTGAACTGTATCTGTCGATAGTCATTGAAAAATCTCGGTGAAGTACTCAAAGCAGCAGGCGCTACATATAAAAATGGTTCGTTAGCAATCACATGAGTGTGTCACACAGGAATCGAATGCGTTTATTTTAGTGGTCAAAACTAATGTCTTTCTTCAAGATATGAACGATTTTGCTGCAATGAATGAAGTTTATGCCGAAAGTAAATATTTCATTAATGTCGTTTCGAACTTGGATTTTTTTCTCGTTTCCAGTTTTCACTGAACGTCATCCAGCCCGATCAACCGTTCAAGTTGCTGGTCTTCCCAAAGTAATTCCTCACATTTCTATCACATCTACCTTCACTTCTTTCTCTTTTAGAATGCAAAAGTTGAGATCGAAGCTGTCGCTATTCTAGGCGATATTCAAGATGAATAAATCTTCTGATTGGTTTCTTTCATTCTCAACAACTTTGATTTTGATTGTATGTGCACACTATCATTGATTCATTCGTTTTTCTTCACCGTTTTTTTTCTCTTCATTCTTGTCCATCGAATATGATCATATTAGTAACAGGAATAAAAATTGTGCTAACAACAACATACCAGAGAATTAATTGCTTGTTCATTTTATCAGATACACGTTGAGAAATGTAAAAGAAAAAAA